CCCAAGAACGGAGTTCATGAACCTCTGAAAAGTCGCCGGTCCGTTCGTGAGGCCGAAAGGCATCACTCGATACTTATACGACCCATACCTAGAACGGAAGGTAGTAAGATCCTCGGAATCCGGGTCCATCCTGATTCGGTGGAATCCTTGTCGAATGTCAACCTTCGTGAAGTATCGAGCCTTTCGTACACGCTGCATTAGCTCATCGATCAGCGGTAATGGATAGACATCCCTTTTCGTGACCTGATTTAGTTTACGGAAATCCACACAGAAACGTAATCCACCTCCTGGTTTCTTAGCGAGGAGGATTGGGGAGGCAAACGGAGCGCTGCTAGGCACGATGAACCCTTTCTCTAAGTTCTCTGTGATATATGTCTTTGCGGCCTCGAGTTGCTCCACGGACATCTTGTACAGCGGGCAATATCCCGGTGTGGCCTGGTCCACTAACTCGATCTTGTGGTCAGTCCCAGGTCGGTACGGCGGTAGTGTATCCGATTCCTTCTTCGAGAAGACATCCGCGAACTGGTGATACTCCTTCGGGATCGTTTCTCGGATTGTCCGCAGCTCCGTCTCTTTTTCGGAGAGTTCATCGATGGCATGCTGGATCTCGCAGAGGGAGGTAATAAAGGTCTCCGTACCGGGTTTACGGGCACATCTTTCGAAACCGACCCGTCCGATCGCTGCAATTTCGAAGTTTTGGAGAACTTTCTCTGGCTGTACCTTCCGATAGGGAGTCGGCGTTACACTCTGATTCGACAGCGCCCGGTGCATTTTCTTCAGGGTATCCTCTCCATGGGAATGGTTATATGACCGTGGGATCCGTTTCTGGGGTTTAGATTCCTTTTCCGAGAGGAGACCCTTCTCAAACTTCCGGTCACGTCGTTCGCAGTCTCTCTGGTGCTCTAGATCCTCCTCCACGCATGGCCTTCTGAGGATTTGCATGGGGATTGGCCGTGTCAATTGGCACGCCACCTCTTCCTTTATGGCTTGAATCTTCTGCTCTGTGGTCCGCGGAGCTGGCCATAGTAGTCGAGAGTTCCGACTGTCCAGCAGCACGTCCTGTTCTGCTAGCCATAGCCTGCCGATGATCATGTTGTGGTGGCCGATGTCAGCTATCATCATAGTTGCCAATGGCTGGCGATGGTTATCCACGATCAGGGGTACTCTGGCGACATGGGTGATAGGCGCCGACTGTCGCCCATCGTACGCTCTGATCGAATGTGCACCCATATCCTGCACTCTCGCAGTGCGTAGACCGTACCTGCCTAACTTCTCCACCACCCGGGTGTGAATCATAATGTACATATCTGCTCCAGAATCTACTAACGCGTTGACTTGAAAAAATAACGAATTGATTGGAATTTGTGCCTTGGTCAGGAAGCTCTTAGATGAGAGCAGCTTCGTGATGTCAATTCCGCTAGTAGATTGCCGTGAGACGCCTAGGCGGGAGACTTGCCCTAGGCGTACTCTTTTCCCTGCTCGTCATCCGATCCTTCGAGTTCCACAATGCGGGGATCCGGGGTCACCACTGTTTCCTTGGGTTTAGTGGAGGCTGTCGCAACAGCCGCGGGGGTAGTAGTAGTCTTCTTTGGGCACTGGAGGCTGATGTGTCCGGGTTCTTTGCAATAGAAACACTTTCCTTCACTGACCAGTTTGTTCCGTTCCGCATCAGTCATTCTAGCCGGCGTAAATCCCTCTCGTTTGACTCGAGCGGTGGTCGGCTGGCTGGTGCCCGATGTGTTAGGGGCGGTGTGTGCGGTCGTGGTTCTTGCGCTTCCTCCTACTGTGCCACCCCGGTGATTCCTGCGGTCGGTGGATCGATGCTGTTGGAGCATGATCTCGTGGGAGATGCTCTGGCACTGTTCAGTGAAATTGTCGAACGTGACATGGGACTGGTTAACGGCCAGCATCATCTGGGTTTGAAGTAAGTTCGGCAGTTTCAAGTAGAGGTCGCGTTTCAAGTTCTCTCGGACCACGCATGCTTCCTCAGCGAGCTGGAGGAACTCAGCTAAGAAATCCGTGAAACCATCACGGGGCTTCATCGTTAGCTGATGGTAGGCGGAGTATGCTTCCGCCTTCCGATTCGGGTTAGCGAACACACTTCGCAGGTGACTAAGGATATCTTCCGCATCCTCGTATGGCCTGGTGGAGGCTTCATCCATGCGGGGGGCAATATGGAGCTGGGCTTTGCCCTCGCAGCGACTCTGTACATAGAGCTTACGATGTACTGGTTCAGGATAATGGTCCGCATTTGCGAGTAGCTTCTGGCGGATCGTTGTGGCCCAAGCTTCGTATCGGACTTCCTTCCCATCGCTAAACATTGGTGCGTCAGGCATACGAGCAGATTTCCTCGGGACCGCAGCTTCCATACTCGGTGTGCTCCGGTTCTGTAGATCGAAAAACTTCATAGCCATCTCGTTCTGTTTCGCCACGGCTGCTTTCTCTGCTACTAGAGCGGCTTCGAGGGTGGTTTGAGCTCTGTTCTGCTGCTCGATTGCTCCCTGGTATTGGACTAGGGCCTCATCGTTGTCGTTCTGGAGCTCGATATTCCGTGCCTCGAGTTCGTGAAACTTCTGTTCGAGGGCTTGGTACAGCGTCGAGAGCTTAGGATACCGATCTTTCTCTTCGGTGTTTTCGAGTCGCCTCGCGACCGACGACGAGTCGAGTCGGAAGGAGATCAGGCGAGATGCGTGTCTCGGTGTGGTATCGTCATTGCCAGCGGCAGTGCTGGGCGCGGGATCTGGGTTCGGAGAAGCCATCCTAGCTTCTCGGCACGTTCGGCAACCGTGGTTCGGGATCGGGATCGGGATCGGGATCTGGAGCGAGTCGGGATTCGGTGGGGTGGACCGGTGCCAAGATACGCGTTACAGGAACGCGCGTCTGTGCGGCCGGCGGTCCAGAAATGAAAGTAAAAAGAGACTAGTTATTATGTGACAGTAGGCTATTCTTGCAAAAGAGTCCAATTCGACAAGATAACTAGTCTAAGGAAAGGAAGAAGAGAGAAAGAAAAGAAAGAAAACGAAAGAGGCGCGCAACAAAACAAGTCCCTCGTCTCTCCTCCTCCTGTCACATGACCTGAATCGACTCACCGCCTGGACAGGCCTGGCAGAACCCACCTGCAGTGTCACAGTTCGTCAAATTTGTAGATATCATCCCAAGTGATACCATATTGAGCAATCGCTTTTTCAACAGGCCTGAACCACTCAATAATGGTATTTGAATCTTCCAGCAAGTCGCATCTATAGCTATAGCCACGAGAGAATTGACTAGAAAGCTCGGGATGTCGTTTGATGTATGATGTTGGCCAATTATTGCCAAGGGTCTGGGGGTATTCCCTCTACGGGTTTCGAGTACTATATTGGCTATATCTCTCGAGATGGCGGTCGTAAGAGCAGCACCTCTAGTAACCATCGAGATTAACCTATCCTGGATTGATCCTCTTAGTTATGGGTGAATTCATGGCTTGTAGCCCTCATGACAGACCAACTAGTAATCGCCTGGATCCCGTCCTGTAGCGTAGACCGCGGGACCTTGAAAGAGCGAGCAGCAGCAGCAACGGAGGTAATCGAGGAGAAACATGCTCGATTTACTGAGTCCCGGGCACGGATGGTATTTGAAGCCATTTATGAGCAAGAGAATGTGGTGATTGAGCTGCACAAGATCCCCTGGAATTGCTGAGTGGAAAGATCATTCGCAAGGAGCTTGCTCAGTTTGATAAACCTGAAGTCGGGCTTTGTCGGTTCATGACAGATGAGACAGTTAATCAACTGCATGTGCCAAGCGCGCCTCCCATGTGCAGCCCACTGCTGCCAAGTTATGTCTAATCATTTGTCCAGAGATGTCTGCTCATAGCCTAGTCCTGCAGAGCTGGGACTGGTCGCGCGACGGAGTAATTCGGGCTTTCCGACGAGCCATCGAGCTCAATAATTAAGCGTGATCTCCAATTTCCACTCAACCAGAGCTTAACGTCAGTATCAGCATGGTAAGTCCCATGAACTGCAGGATAACCTGTACGATGGTAGGTTGGCAAGACTAGTCACTCGCGTTAGGTACGATTGTCGTACATTTGTTTTGAGAAATTTGGGGAAGTTCTAACACTCACAGACAGAGAAGAGAGACTCGTGTCTATGTTACGATGATGCCGATAACGTTTCAAACAAGAAGAGTATAGCATTTAAACTAGATTATCAAAGGTGGAAGAGAAACAGAAGGATGAAGACAAGTGAAAGATGATGGGCTGATGCAATCATGCTACGTCATCAGTATCCTAACACATCCCTGAGATCCGTCCGCCCTGTGGACTCTTCTCATCTGAGTTGTAAACCTATGTCACTAACTCGTGACAGTCTACAGAATATCGTCGCCCGATTTTTCGATGGTTGCGTTGGTTGTTGGAAAAGCGAAGAATCTTGCCCCTGGATTTGGTGCTGTCAACTGGTCTTTCGAGCGGGGTGGGCTAGTAACGGTACATACCCGTACACAGAATGGGACATTTTGTTACGGGGTTCCCCTCTTGGGACCCTCACATCACTTAGCGCTCAGGCCTTGTGTGATCGTCCGGCCCCATGTGACACTGCAGGTGGGTTCTGCCAGGCCTGTCCAGGCGGTGAGTCGATTCAGGTCATGTGACAGGAGGAGGAGAGACGAGGGACTTGTTTTGTTGCGCGCCTCTTTCGTTTTCTTTCTTTTCTTTCTCTCTTCTTCCTTTCCTTAGACTAGTTATCTTGTCGAATTGGACTCTTTTGCAAGAATAGCCTACTGTCACAGTCGAGGGCCCCCTGCAGCTGGGTAACTAATGTAGCGCGTTCTTCGGCAGCCTTTGCAAGCTTTGCGAGTGCGTCTTTGAACCGCTGACTACCAGGGATATATCTATTAAGACTGCAACTAAGCCTTCTCACTTTTTCAGCGGTTTTGGGGTGCTTAACTCGGTGTTTTGTGAGGTATCTGAGGGCGTAGTATCGCGGGGCCGGTTCTCAGAATATGCTTCGTAAGACTCCAATTCATCCGTGATAAGCTTGGAATTGATAGATAGGCCAGAGGCCAGTCAATTTGAATCCAAGCTTGATTGTATGCGGCCGGAAGGTCTTTCGTCTGATCTCTCCAATGGAGTGGAGAAATTCGTCCTTCGAGAATTTGCGACATCCCGACATTGTCGCGGCCTCTACAGCCTCACTGTGCCAGTGCTTATAGACGCTAAATACGCCGACATCGAGAGGCTGTAGAATATGGCTAGTATGAGAGAGTAAGAAGAAGAGTATGATATTCTTCTCCTCACAGAAATGGACAAATTGACGCGTTAAATACGACCCAAAACGATCGCAGATGACAAGCCTTTTCGGACCGAGTGTACGACCAATTGTCCACTTGTGGAACAGCTGAATCCACTGATATGCCAGTGTATCGTTGAAGTAGCCAGTATCAGTCACGGTTATGTGCTCATCTTCTTGGATGGCATCGAACCAGCGTAATAAAGCCTGTTTTGCACTGAGAATGATGAGTGGCGGGCAGGTAAAACCATCGGCAGAAACAGCCTCTAAAACCGTGACAGATTCGCGATTAGTGATTGACCCGTTGAACAGCTTCTTTTTAGGTTCCCTTGTGATGATAAATTGATCGCGACCGACACCAATTTGGAAGCCAGTTTCATCAAAATTGTAGATGTCTTGCTGCTGTATCCCGTTCTCAGACTGATCACGACGCGCTAGTAGTCTTTAAACCATCTGTCAACCACGTATTCATCAAGCGCAGTAGCTCTCTCAACATCAAGGGCTCGCCGGCGTCGCACATGGTACTGGGGATTACGTTTAAGGAAGCGCCGTAGCCAGTGGTCTCCGATTTGTGGTGGTGGTGTCGATGCGTCCTGGTGGGCTTCCTCGAGGATAGAATTGGCTGCGATCACAATTTGCCTGCGATTTATTGAGGCCCCGACCTCATCAAAGTAATCAATATACTCGCATAAAGCCTTCTCTTGTGCAGAATTAAGCCTCCGTCCATTGGGTTGTCGTGCAAATAGCGACTCTCTCCCTTTCCAGCCTCCACAGAGGCGGCTCTCAGGTCCCGCGAATTCTCCGGCAGTTTTCGCGATATTGGGTTTTGTTTGCTCAGAGAGGGATTCGAGAGCTTTGAGAATATGACTCTCTACTTCTTGATTGGATTTAGGCATGGTTGGTGGAGTGGCTCAAGATTAAAGTGAACATGACGAAATTGAGAAAAATGTTACGTTTGGGTGGAAGGTTATGTTTGGGTGGCGGACCCTCGCTGTGCGAGGTTCTGTAATTTTGGTAAAAAATGTAAGGGCCGGTTATATATTTGATACTAATATTGATGATATATGAAAAGAAAAATACATGAAAGCCATTGTGGATTGCAAAATATGTCTGCTTGCAAAGAACAACAGACATATAAGGTCACTCAGACCATTGCCTAGAACGTATGATAGCAAAGATAATATACCACGTCAAATTCCTAGACAAGAAGCCTGGATCCATAAGGATATTCCTACTTCGCAAAAAGGACGAAGCATATGAAAGTTTTCAGAAATTGAATGTGCAAGCTCAAATTGAAACTAATACCAATGGACGTAATGAGACGCACTCTCTCCGACAAAGGAATAACTCTCCATCGGGATGAGCTCTTGACAAGTCCGGAGGCCCGCACGACGGTGGCCGAATTTATGGTCAAGACTGGTCTACTGGGCCAGTTCGAGACAGTCAATCCCGCGGCGCTGGGTGAGGAAGAAGGGGATGACGGGGGGGGGAAAAACTAAGACACCTTAGTGCGGTGCGATTGGAGAAGAAGAAGAAGGATGGCGCAGTTTAGGAGTGCAGTGCCAGGTCCACTGTACTCCCTTGATCCAAGCGAGCACACGAGCGGCAGCCGACAAGGAGGGGCGGCTGGAACGAAGGGGATACGGGGATGTTGCGTGGTGAGATGTGGTTCTGGTCCCTACGGCCAGGAGTGCGACACTCATTCCTTTTTTCTGTTTTTTGTCTTTCCTTTGTTATGGTTTACATTTTTCTATTCTGGAGGCGACTGGTCGGAAATGCGCAAAGCGAGTTTCCAACAGTCGTCCAGTGGGCTGGCGCCCACACTTTCCAGCTGTCGGCAGGCCTGATAGCAACCCCGCATAGCAGCTTATACTTAGAGCAAGCTACATCGGGCCAATGAATTTCTCTCTCTCTCTCTACCAATGGACGTAACGATGGGAGTTGCGGGCGGAGGCCCATGCGCCCCGTACGATGTACATAAAAGCTGGATTCGAACCGGGGAGAGACTGCTTGCCCACAGGGGCGAGGCGGCCAGCCGCCTATTCAGAGTAAGAATATAAATAAATAATACCAATGGACGTATTAAAATAGTTCTTCACTGAGCATGGTAAATAATGTACAAAAAAAAGTTTATACTGGCTTTGATCAATACGTGATGACACAGATTCATCATTTTTATTTTTTTATTTTTTCTTAATCTTACAACTGGATAGGCGGCTAGCCGACTCGCCCCTGTGGGCAAGCAGTCCCTCCTCGGTTTGAATCCAGCTTTTATGTACATCGTACGGGGCGCACGCGCCTCCGTGTTACGGCATGTGGGCCTGACACCACCTACCGAACGTAAGTCCAGGCGTTAACCAAAAAGACCACTATGACAACTAACTAGTTGTCATGTCAGGTTTCCAATTCATACCCACAGTACAGGATCTTAACACTCCGCCCGCAACTCCCATCGTTAACCTCAATCCAATGGTGCTAGGCCTCGTCCGTCCAGCTTGGTGACAAGTCTTAGTGCATGTGACTAAATCTTTTTTTTTCTATCTTTCTTCCTCCTCCTTCCCCTATCTTAGCAGTAGTTAGCGGCCCTCCGATGCACACAGATTCAGCCCAACGTACAAAGAAGGGACTTCGCTTTGATGGATAAGGTGAGAGCCTTATTAATCAGTCCAAATGCCCCAGTCTACATATGGGAAGAAGCTTTAGAAGAGGCTACATATGTATACAATAAGCCATAAAACACCATATGAAGCGTAGAATAATACCTAAAAATGTATCACAACATGGGATTGATTGGCATATTATAACAATATTAAACACCTAAATAAAGCTGAAACCTAGGAATCAACAAGTTATCCTAATAGGATAGGGTAACTCCATAAACTATAACCGGTGGGATGTCAAAAGAAGAGTGTAGCATATAAACCAGATTATCAAATATGGAAGGGAAACATAAGGATGAAGACACGTGGAAGATGATGAATTTAGGTCCGACTTATGGTGTGGACTCTTCTCATCTGAGGTGTACACATATGTCACTAGCTCGTGACAAAATGAATACAATCTAAAAAAATGTCACAGCCAGGTCTTTCGTAAAAAAAGAGTGCATTGAACTAGAACAACAACTATGGGGAAAGAAGAGAGAAGAACAAGAAGGGAATCGGCCAAGAAGCTCTTTGTCCTGCTTCTTGTCACAGGACAGAACAACCATCAGGCACCACTTGTCCAACCACATGACGAGTTCATGCCTGCTCTCGACCTACTCTAAGCTGCCTGGTCGTCACACACTGGATCGTCAAAAACGATCGAAGTGATCATGAACCGTAAATAGAAACTTCGTTCCACGTGCTACTTAGCCCCTGAGCCCAGTGGGTGGAAAGAAGCCATGACAAAAGACAAAGAAATAAAGTAGACGATACAAATCCAGGATATCTTATGGTGGGTAAAAACATCAAGTGATTCTTGAGGATCTATCAAGAACCCGAAGTGTCTGGGTCTTTATCCTCAAGCCTCTCTCACTATCCAAAGTTACTAGTACACCAGTCAAGCGGAAACGATCCAGAATGGCCCGCCCGGCTGTCCGGGGAGGCGAACCAAACACTAATACAGATAAGGTTCACATGACATAAGTCATGACATGCTTGACAATGGGTGGAAAGCAATGACGGAGTACTGGAGACCTGTCAGGGTCTCCCGCATGCCCCCGCCAAGGCCAGTTGGTCTGGTAACAAAAGAGTCAAAATACTCAAAGAAAATTTCCCTTCACAGGTCTATACGGGCTTGTTCCTATAGCATGGCATCTTTTAGGCCATAACTAGCATCTATAGGGAGTTTGAGGGGAATCCAAGACTGCATGCTTGTGTTATGTACATATCCAGGATTTGGAACTCTCATTTTTGGTATCACCATAATACAGCATTTTCTATTTGAAAACGATACAGGACGTTAATTGTCCTTATCACTCGCTATCGTGAAACGGAGACAAAATAATTATTATTATATTCTTACACTGAATAGGCGGCTGGCCGCCTCGCCCCTGTGGGCAAGCAGTCCCTCCTCGGGGAGACAAAATAAACTTATGGTTGTCGGGATGTAAATATCGTATTTACTATGTGTTTTGGGGGTGGTCAGCTCGGTAGTGAATTAGGTTAGAAGTTTACAACTATTTGATTAAACAAACCAACGAACCGATTGAAAATAAAGAGACGCTCACCAACCATTAAATAAAACCTCCCAATCCGATTGCAAATTATTATATATATAAATCTAAACTACTATTGTAAATGAACTAACTATTACGCAGAATTAAATCGTAATATTCTTTTTTTAACCCACAATGATAACGTATTTCACTACCGAGCTGGCTACCAAATCGAACCCGTTAATTTAAATGCAAATATCTCAACCAAAACGTCATTAAATTAATTCAATCAACTAATTATTATAACTCTGGGGACATGTTCCATCCTACCCTCCTGCTCTGCTAATTTCTGGGAGCGTTGGGAGCGAATTGGTTTCATGGTGGGTGGTTGAAGAACTACAGTGCTTATTCTTAGACGCGTTTTGGGTTGGGTGGCCAGCTCGGTAGTGAAATATCAAAGAGGATTATGGCAGAGGAAGGAATGGTGGCGGTGAAGATGTTTGGGTGGAAAGGCTCTTAGGAAGAATGTGGAAGAAAGATGGTTGAGTCAAGTAAGTTTGATTGTGTTGCAAGAACTTGATGATAGTAGTGATGCTAAATGTGACACTGCAGGTGGGTTCTGCCAGGCCTGTCCAGGCGGTGAGTCGATTCAGGTCATGTGACAGGAGGAGGAGAGACGAGGGACTTGTTTTGTTGCGCGCCTCTTTCGTTTTCTTTCTTTTCTTTCACTCTTCTTCCTTTCCTTGGACTAGTTATCTTGTCGAATAGGACTCTTTTCGCAGAACTGCCTACTGTCACACTAAACTAATTCCCCTGGGGGATTTGACTCCTATTTATCTTTGCACTTCATGTGCTGCGTTTGGTGAGATTCCGCAATCGTCTGTCCGGAAGCAACAAACCGCAATCCTCAGTCCGTCCGCGTCAATCTATGAACGTTACGGTTCACTTGTGTTGTATCTTCATGTCACGTCAGTTCGCAGGCGTCTGTCCGTTAACGTGTCTTTATATTTTTAGGTCATGTTGATATTTTTAGATCTTACAAATACGTTATGGTATTTTCTACCATATCCAATATATAGTAAAACCTATTATTTCTGTTTAACCACTCGATGGCCATGTTTACGTTTGAACTATAATATGTTACAAGTCAGAGGGAAAGAACAGCATGAGAGATATTTTCTTTCTGTGCTAAGACCTAAGGTAACAGAATTGGAGAAGGGAAGAGGAACAAGAGCTGCGCAAAATAATATTACTTATGAAACAAGCAGTTATTTTATACTAATGGTTTTTCTAATGGTTATAAAAACCACCCGATTTCCGCTAAGGTACAATAAATTTCTGCTTATTGGTATTACGCTGATTGGGCGGTTGGCCGCCTCGCCCCTCCCTCCTCGGTTCGAATCCAGCTTTTTATGTACATCGTACGGGGCGCACACGCCTCCGCCCGCCACTCCCAGCGTTGGCCTCAGTCCAATGGTGGGTAAGGTATAATATGGTCTTTCACTCCTCCGTATATTTGAAATTGATATAGATTTCTTCTCATTCCTATTCAATGGCTATCGTGAAACAAGGAGATAAAATAACATGAGGGTTGTTGAGATAATATATCGCATCTACTGTGTTTTCGCTCAGCAGCTGGCTTACTTACATGTGCGGCTTGCTTACCGAATACGTTACGAGTTATTTTCTTAGATTGTAAAATCCGTTGGTAAAACATTTCTCATATATGTAGGTAGGGATGGCCCCGGACTTACCTCTCTTGGCTTATCCCCCAACCCTGCGTTTTGTTTCTGGCTGATGATGTCTTATACCTCAGGCAATAATTTATTTTGCCGGACTTTGCTTCCCATCCCCCCTCTCAGTGGGCATGAGTCCTGACATGTCAGGATTCTGACTCGATCAATCAGATGCTCCATTTCAATCTACTCTTCAAGCTCTGTGCGTCTCAACTAAACCCATACCCTCCCAGTGCGGGTGCGCCATGGCGAATGCCACGTACCTTCTAAATTTACATAGCCATGCTGCGATGAACACATGGAACTAGGACTGTGGAGGGTTATCACATGATGGGAGGAATTGACTGGTACTTATCTCCTTCTTCTTGTTTCTTCTTCTTGTTTCTTCTTCTTGTTTCTTCTTAAGCTTAAGTGACACTTTCTTTCCGCCTAGAAGGGAGACTTGTCCTAGGCAGAGGCTTTTCCCTGGTCCGTCTCTTCCAGTTCCTCAATTCGGGTGCTTGCTGTGTGATGGGAAATTGTCTTTGAGTATTTTGACTCTTTGTCACCAGGCCCACTGGCCTTGGCTGGGGCATGCGGGAGACCTTGACAGGTCTCCGATACTCCGTCATTGCTTTCCACCCATTGTCAAGCGTGTCATGACTTATGTCATGTGAACCTTATCTGTATTAGTGTTTGGTTCGCCTCCCCGGACTATCCGGGCGGGCCGATCTGGATCGTCTCCGCTTGACTGGTGTACTACGTTAGATAGTGAGAGAGGCTTGAGGATAAAAGACCCAGACACTTCGGGTTCTTGTTAGATCCTCAAGAATCAATTGATGTTTCTACCCACACTAAGATATCTTGATTCGTATCGTCTACCTTATTACCTTCAGCTACAAACTCCCAGTATTACCACCCATCCTCTTATCTTATCGGTTCACCCATCCTTCTACCTGACCTAGTCCTTTGCTATTGGGTCGTCCACTACCCCATCCAATATCTTGGGACTCCCCTCCTTACATCTGAACTCCACATCTTATCTTTCTTACCTAGCCATCAGCTTCTAGCTACCCCTTGACAGTCTCCTCAAAGATGGTTTCACTTCACAAGATTAGCTTAAAAAAACTTACTGTCCCCAGACAGCAGCTTGACAATGAAAGCTCAGATAGCACTGAATGGAAGAACAGTTGAAGTTTCTTGTTTATGTGATACCGGAGCAGACGGATACCTTTTTGTGAATATCAATTTAGTGGGATTACTGATCGATAGCATGGGGCTACGCACGATCAGGCTACCTACCCCAGCAGTGTGAAGTGGCAGGCTTCTGTCACGGTGCGAGCCCGTATATAGTTGATAGAGTGTTCCTGTTGGCACGTGCCCCTTCCAGAGTTTTCTGCCTTTCGGAACTCGATCCTGTTGTAGCTCTTCGAGCTACGTCTTGTTTATAGACCCGTTATGTCACGTGCTATGAGATCTAGGACAAAGGACAAGGGTCATGTGATAGAGGAGGTGATTGTTTGTTCGTGCCTGAGGCACGTACCTGAGGAGCATAAAGGTTCCTCTCAGATAGTTGCTTTCTTTCTTTCTCTTTCTCTCTTCACCTTTAGTTTTCTGAATCACAGCACTCATTTCATCAAAGATTTGGCTCATAACATAAAACTAAAACTAAAGGTCATCCCAACCACTCACTGAAGCAACGCTGTACAGACCATCATTGTGATTGGTCTCAGCTCGTCTTCACCCCACGTTCCTTGGCACCGTACAGCCAAGACTTCCGAACCCGAATCCGACGATTTCCCGAACCGAAGACCCACAGTGCCGACTGTGTCGACGAACCAGAATGGCTCCTCCTAAGGCTGATAAGCACAGCAGACAGCAGCGAGTGAGCAACCCCGATGACGAACCCCAGACACCCCCGAATCCTTACTCCGGCCCTTCCCACAAAACCACTCCTGATCCTCTCGCCGACAATGATGACGATACTGGCGGAGGATTTGAACCCCAGATCATGTTCAAGGAAACCAGATTGATCAACCTCCAACTGGACTCGCCGGCGGTTACCAAACAGCTCTTGAAGGTTGATCTCAAGGACCGATATGACAAATTGATCGCGGTCTACAAGGAACTGGAGCAGAAGTTCTACGAACTTGAAAGACTCAACTCTGAACTCCAGGACAAGCCCCGCAATCAGGAAGAGAAAATCATTCGTGAGCGAGACGAGGCGATGGCTCGCTACCAACGAGCAAGAGAAGAGAGAAACAACGCGCGAGCTGACCTGGAAAAAGCGGTCTCTCGAGCAGCCGCAGCTACGGAAGAGAAGGATGCCGCTATTACCAAGCTGCATGAGATGGCCATCAAGGTCTGTGATCTGCAAACCCGCGCACCGATTGTGGAGGCGATCAAGAAGACAACGCGTCTGCCAGACGCACCCATGCTTAGCGACGGAGTTGACATCCGTTACGAATCCTGGATGACGGGCATCAAGAGGAAGCTCACAGGGAATGCAGACCATTTCCCCGACGCGAACGCCCGTATCCAGTACGTGCAGAGCCGTGCCGAGGGACAAGCGTTTCGTCACATGGCTCCCCGTCTGAACGAGGAATCGCCCGACCCGTATAAAGACTACGGAGATATCCTCGCGCATATGAAGACCGTGTTTTCAAACCCAAACCATGCGGCAGAAGCACGTGCCAACTATCAGCGGCTCACAATGAAGCCTCGTGACCAGTTTACTAGCTTCCTTGCGGATTTTATGGAGCTCGCAAACGAGGCAAATATCCATGTCGATAACCGCAAGGTTGACCTGTACGAAAAGCTACCCCCGTTGTTGCAAATCCAGATACTGGAGGATCACTGTTACGAACCCCACTAGCGTGGACTTGCCAGAAGACAGGAAGTCCAATCAACTTGGATACGTCATGCGGGAAAGATAACGTGACTGGCGAGGAACGTGACTGGCGAGGCACGTGTTACGAACCTCAAAGAGGTGCGGGGGCCGCAGCTATTTGAGGGGCAACCATGAACCAATCATTCCGCGGACGCCAGGCACTAGCGTCCTCACGTGCGTTTCGGTATACTTGGGCAGGCCTCAGAAGGCCCCAAGGAGGCTCTCCAGACAAGGGAGCCAGAAGCGACCTACATGCAACCGTCACAAACAATACCCGCTTATCCAACGTAACGGTTAGCGCAACTCAGGAAACGGCCACCACGCACGTGACCAAGGTGGTAGAAGGGTAGCTGGGTATACGGGTAGAACATGCCAAGAGTCATCTACCATTATACCATCTACCGCCATACCACACATACCATCAAGGAGGACTAGATATATAAGGACACTCATTTCACTATCATGTATTTAGTTCTTCGCGATCAATTGCACATTGTTACTTGGTTACTACCTTTGGTACTTTGCACTTCACAGTTCACCCTCAAGACAACCCAACCTACAAGTAGGGGATTCGCCTAGTGGTAACACTTAGTGATTGACTTACTTGGCGCGCACTTCTGGCACGTTCTGCAAGATACTCAACAGGACCCGAACCCGACGTAAGGCTTTGCATAGCAACGGTACGGTTGCGAGATACTCTTGGAATCCGCAGTGGGGACTAGGCAAGTATAACCCGTGGACATCCTAACTCACAGTGACCAGTCGGCTACGCGTAACATACTGTTCATATATATTCCTGCCTGGGCCTGCACCCTGACATTACGTAGCTCCTACCAACGCCGGAAGCTCACGTACCGACCCCTGAAAATGTCCGACATACGCCCAAGTCATGCCTTATATCAAAGAAGGCATCTGCGAACTGAACGACTATCAGGATATCCTGAAGATCCTGGACCGTGCCTTTGGGAGCCCCTTTCAAACGGTTTGTCACATAGATCATGCGACTCTGGGGGTCGGGAACATGACTTGGGCGTATGTCGGACATTTTCAGGGGTCGGTACGTGAGCTTCCGGCGTTGGTAGGAGCTACGTAATGTCAGGGTGCAGGCTCAGACAGGAATATATATGAACAGTAATAGCAGTATGATTGTACGTAACGGGTCTATAAACAAGACGTAGCTCGAAGAGCTACAACAGGATCGAGTTCCGAAAGGCAGAAAACTCTGGAAGGGGCACGTGCCAACAGGAACACTCTATCAACTATATACGGGCTCGCGCCGTGACAGCTTCGATGGGGAATTGCGAGATCCCATCACCCACGCTGTGAAAAAGACTCTCATGATCGACGGTAGAGTGCAGCAGCGACAACCTATGCTCGTGACAGAGCTCGGTCGACACGATCTTATCCTCGGAAAAATGTGGTTTAAGGAGCATTACGTGCTACCAGACTGCCGAAATCACCGATTGATCTGGCCTGAGTCACGGACGGTTAAGGACGAAGCGATGATCCTAACTCTCAAAGACCTATACCCCGGCAAATACTCCAGCGGCGCCCAGAGGTGCAGAAAGCTCATCAACAAGACGCCGAGGAAGTTATTCGGCCCAGGAAGCAGACTGACTCAACAACTCTACGACCTGCAAATAGACAAGTCGATATTGCAGTGATCTCAGGGCCTGGTTTTCATCGGCATATGCAAAACAAGCAGACAGAGATATTTGTCACCTCACTGGCGCAGATCGACGGAGTGATTGACGAGAAGCGAAGCCCGGAACGTACCCTGGAAGAGGCCGAGATCCGTGCTATTATTCCCCACGAATACCATGATTTCGTTGACGTGTTCTCGAAGATCGATTCTGACACGTTACCTCCACTGCGAGGTGCCCCCGATCATAAGATTGAGCTAGAAGGACCGACGCCATTAGGATATTGCCCTCTCTACAAGATGACTGAAGAGGAGCTGCGCTTTGCAAAGGATTACATCTTGAAGAATCTGGCGAAGGGATTTATCGTGCCCTCGACCGCTCCTTATGCCTCCCCTATCTTGATGGCTATGAAACCAGGAGGTGGTCTTCGATTCTGTGTCGACTACCGGAAGTTGAACGCATTGACAAGGAAAGATCGGTACCCGATTCCACTAATAGACGACTTACTCCAACGGGTGAGTAGGGCCAAGCGCTTTACAAAGCTTGATATCCAGCAGGGTTTTCATCGCCTCAGAATGCACCCAGACTCAGAAGACCTTACTACTTTTAGGACCAGATACGGGTCTTATAAGTATTAAGGTAGTGCCTTTTGGCTTGACAAATGGACCTGCCACGTTCCAGAGATACATCAATCATGCATTAGGGGACTACCTAGATGACTTTTGCACTGCCTTTATCGATGATATCTTGGTATACACGAACGGTAGTCTCAAGGAGCACCAGGAGCATGTGAAGAAAGTACTCGCAAGACTGAGAGTGGCTGGCTTGCAAGTGGCCGTTCAGAAATGTGAATTCCACACCACAGAGACGAAGTTCCTTGGATTTATCATCGGAACAGACGGCGTCAAGGTGGACCCTGAAAAAATCAAGGTTATCGAAAAATGGGATGTGCCTAACACTGCGAGAGGCGTACAGTCATTCCTTGGGATGTGCAACTTTTACCGCCGATTCATCAAAGGTTACAGTGCAATTGCAAAACCTCTGCACAGACTCACGAAGAAGATAGTCCCTTTTTGTTGGGATGACTCATGCGACCGAGCTTTCCAAGAGCTAAAGCAGAAGCTATTAGCAGCACCAGTGCTTATGCACTACGACCCACTTGTCCCTACCCAGGTAGAGACCGATGCGTCTGATGGGTGTCTAGGAGCAGTGCTATCACAGACGGGCCCTGACGGGCTCTGGCACCCGGTAGCATACTACTCTAAGACAATGGATCCCACCGAGCAATGATATGATACACATGACAAGGAGATGCTTGCAATCGTCCGCGCCCTTGAGGAGTGGCGAGCAGAACTAGAAGGACTCCAGAGGCATGATCGGTTCAGTGTCTGGACAGATCATCAGTCACTACAGTACTTTATGACAAGGAAAAAGTTAAATGCACGACAAAGCCGCTGGTGCGAGTTCCTCTCTCGTTTCTATTTTCTGATCCGATACCGCCAAGGAAAGGGGAACGTCGTTACAGATGCTTTATCCAGAAAGGATCGACCTAAGGAAGAAGGACCTCAGCAGAAAACCCTATTACCAAGAGAAGTCCTTGAGCAAGGAGTACAACCAGAGGACATACGGGAACCAGCATGTGAAAGCACGACCTGAGAAACTTGAGGCACTACGAGAACGCCTCGTGCAACACTGGCAGACTGCAAACGAAACAATGGCCAAGTATCACAACGCCAAACGGAAGCCGATGCAGTTCAACCGAAACCAACTTGTTGCTCTATCTACCCGCAATCTACGCATCAAAACCTCTCGCAAGTTGTCTCCAAGATGGATTGGCCCTTTCAAAGTACTCAAACCCATTGGCAGTCAGGCTTACCAACTCGCATTACCTGAGAAGTACTCCCGTCTTCACAATGTCTTTCGCGGATTCCATGTTGTAGTCAGGGACCCATTGGTTGTACTCGGAGGGCCAATCTTGCCATTTGACGAGGAAGTGTGTTTGGCCGTCGAACTTGTGTTCGTCCTTGACTTCCTCGACCTCATACTCTTCTTCATCCTCAAGGTCAGACAATGGCGGTGAGTTGTCGCCGTCTCGTTGGTGGTCTTCGTGCCAGGGTTCCAACAAGGAAACATGAAAGACATTGTGAAGACGGGAGTAGTTCTCAGGTAATGCGAGTTGGTAAGCCTGACTGCCAATGGGTTTGAGTAATTTGAAAGGGCCAGTCCATCTTGGAGACAACTTGCGAGAGGTTTTGATGCGTAGATTGTGGGTAGAGAGAGCAACAAGTTGGTTTCGGTTGAACTGCATCGGCTTCCGTTTGGCGTTGTGATACTTGGCCATTGTTTCGTTTGCAGTCTGCCAGTGTTGCACGAGGCGTTCTCGTAGTGCCTCAAGTTTCTCAAGTCGTGCTTTCACAGCTGGCATCTCCCTTTCCTGGGCGACGGCCTCGTCGCGCATGTGAAAAGATGGGTCATAACCGTAGAGGGCCTGAAAAGGGCTGAGGCCGGTGGTAGCATTCTGCTGGTTGTTGCAGCAAAACTCGGCAGTGCGGAGGAGTTTGGGCCAAGCGACTTGTTCCTCGCCAACAAAACAGCGTAGATAGTGCTCGAGGGTCTGGTTCATGCGTTCAGTTTGTCCATCCGTTTGTGGGTGGAACGCTGTTGAGAACCGTAGAGCGATTTGGCGAGATCAAACAGCCTAGTCCAGAATTTGCTTGTGAATAAAGTACCACGGTCTGAGACAATTCCTTGCGGGGGGCCAAACTGCAACTCAATCTTGTGATGGAAAAGGTCCGCGAGCTCTGGGGCTGTCATGGTTGTATGCACAGCGAAAAACTTTGAAGTCTTGGAAAATCGATCCACAATGACCAGGATCGAGTCGACGGTTCTTCCTTTGTATTTCGTTTCAGGAATGCCGGTGATAAAGTCCATTGACACTTCTTGCCATGGACGAGAGGGAATAGGCAGAGGAACGAGTTGACCGTACTGGCGATGTCTAGGCGCAGCGCTGCCTTGACATATTGGACACACTTTCACATAGTTATCAACGTCTTTGTGAATGTTTCGCCAGTAGTACTTACGACTCAGAGTAAAATGGCCTCCCGTGATAGGGTCATCGTGATGTAGTTTCAGCAACTCATGCTTCAACTTCTCTCCGGCAGGGATGTAAAACCTCTGTTTGTACATCACGATATCCTCTGGGCTCAATGACCAATCTTCCATGCCGGGAGAGTCTGCAACAATTGAGGCCCGGACTCTCACAGTCTCGGGATCCTCCATCTGAACCTCCTTGATAAGAGACTTCAGATCAGCCGGTGCTTCCATCTCGAAAGCATTCTCGACTCTGCAGGCATTCACAAATACATCATGATTGCCAACCTGGTAGCGACCCAGTACTTGCCTCCAGGTATCTATTGACCTGGCCAGGGGCTTCTCTCCCTCTGACGGCAAGACAAGATCAGATTTGAACTCATACAAATCAGCAAGCGTCAATGATACTTCAGCTGAGGGCTGCACCGGCACCGTCTCAGTGTCAATCCGGGCAGCGAACGGATTTAATAGAGTGGCGTCCAAGGCGTCCCTTGACCCAGCTTCCATCATCCGGGATGGGCCATCGGCGGGGAGACGCTTCAAAAATTTCTTCCAGTTCGGAGAGCCAGCGTTGGCGTAATTGAAGGCTTGAGGTTGGGTTAAGTTTCACTGAGACAACATCCAGTTTTATGTCGCTATCTCTTTCTTCAGATTCTCGGAGGTGGCGTCTCGCAGTTGAATGGGAGTTGGCTTGTCGTGTGGTCTCGAGTTGTCTTTCAAGGTTTGCGATTCGTTCGGCGTCAAGTTGTTTCTCAAGGATAGCAACTCGCTCAAGGACAAATTCGAGAGGAGACCGATGGTGTTCTTCGGTATGGGTACTAGACGGTGCGTTCGAAGACATTTCCGGAGAACGTGTGGTCGTTGGACTTTGAGAAGGAGATCGGGTAGTTGTCGCAAGGCGACGGGTGGTTTGGCGAGTTTGTCGCACAGACATCCTTTCTTCTTAGGTAGTTGAAGAAGAAGAATCAGAAGTTGCTATCCTTGAGAACAACTTGACGCCGAAAGAATCGCAAACCTTGAAAGACAACTCGAGACCACACGACAAGCCATCTCCAAGAATCAGAATTGTTAGGGGTGACTGCTTACAGGACAGAAGACCTGTCAACTAGGTAAGAAGAAAATGGATGTGAAGAAGAATAAGACTTGATAGATCTCAGTAGTAGGACAGAGACTGATTCTTGCCTTTCCCAGGCCGGCTCGATCAGTAGATTTATAGATACATGACCTCTAACCCCATGATGCTCAGTCACACCAAAGGTGATGAACAAATAAAGAGAACATGAACCAACAAAGATATCAACACATGATTTCAAATCATTACATGTTAGCTCACGTCAGCACTTCAAAGGATCAGTGACATGTTCCCTTTGATTGATATAACACATGAAACATCAAAGGCCAACACTTCAAAAGATCAGTGACCTGTCACCCTCTGATTGGTATACCCCGTGACACAGGACACCAGGCAAGATCACATCCGACGGAGATACACCGTTCACACCACGCATGTGGCAGTCATTCGCGGATCGAATCGGTGAGCTAGACTCTCTACCACGTATCATCCACAAACGGACAGACAGAACGAGTTCATCAGACCATCAAGCAGTTATTCGGATGCCATGTGAATTACCGACAAGACGATTGGGCACCACAGGCTCACAGCTACCGATGGCACAGACTACAGCTGGCGTACAGTAACCCGATGCACTCAACTGGGGAAACACTAAAGGAAATCTTCAATGCCTGGAAGATTTTCATACCATGGAGGAATACCTGTGAATAAGCCCTAAGGTGAAAACCTTGAAAACAAGGTATTCAGTGGTGAATCCCTTTCGGATGATAACAAGTCCCAGGTGGTTTCCATGCCGCTTTGGCACTAGAGAGATCCTTGATATAGAGCGATGGCCCATCTTCACACCGCAATTGTATAATTGAGAGGGCCTAGCATTTTTACTCCCAGTCGGAGGAGAATCCCCAAGGAAATAAGGCCGTCCTTTGTATAGCCTTGAGGAGAATAGCCCATATGGTATCATTTTCAGATCCCTTGAGCTTTGGTATAAGCTCCTTCATGATAACCTCCTTTTCTCATGAGGCTCAGCAAACAGAGGCAGATCACTCAATCTCCGTGAAAATAGCTCCGATCCCTATCTACGTGCTGATTTACGTGGATGATCTGCTAGCAAGTAGCAATATCCCCTTCTCTGGAAACTACCACCAGTTTAGAGGATCAGGTGTCAAAGCACTTCCACATCTCGGACAAAGGCCTTCTTCAGAGATATCTCGTGATCGATGTGATCCATAATCACGATAATGGCACAATTCGACTATCTCAACGAGACCACACGGAAAGATCCTTACCGGTTCGGCCTTGAGACCCCAATGAATGAGAAAGAAGTTCCCCAGCCACACTCCGGGGATCAGAGCCTACGCAATAACCAAGAACGCCATTTCATTACTTATATCATTCCCTCGGACTATCGTCGATCTAATACATTAGGGAGGACCCCCAAGGGGACTATTCGACTAGTTCTTCACAAGATTAGAATTCCTCCATAGATTGATTTCCAATGAACCCCGACCATGACTAGCCCAAACGCCAACTTATTAAATGAGATGCAATATCCTGAATGAGAGCCGTAGAGAACCACCTCTAGACAACGAACCACAAGTTGGTTTTGTGGCCTTGTATCTCCACACCAAGTGTCAATGCTAATAATCCGTTCCATCTGTTTGCAACATCCCTCAGGTGAGGATCATCTATTGACGAGAAGAGGGAGCAATCCCACCGTTGAAACAATCGAATGGTCATTCCCCGTTAAACTTGGATAGTTACACCTTTGCGGCCCATTGCCTCTTCCATATGAAAGCCAAAGACAAGCCGGTAAAGATCGCGGAGCCAGGAGTACTGGCCGCTTTGCAGCATCGCCTGACACGCATGTGCCACATCAATGGCACTCACACGGGCTTGTAGGCCGACACTCCTGAAGGCCGGATCAAATGCCACGACCTTTCGATAATTCTTCAACAACGACGTCTGCCACGCCGTAGACCCAAATGCATCCGAGGGAAGCGACTTGACAAAAGATGAAAGATTTTGGTTTCCACCCCTTTGGTACCCACTAATGATGGCCGCCTTGGTGATCAGCACCTTCAGCCGCGTGAGGTTAGGATCCTCTGAGACGGTGGTCACAGTGTTCACCGAAGATGCAGTGTGTCCAGATGACCGAGATTTCTCCGAAATGCTGGATGCATTGGATGACCACTTCGTATGAGGATGGTGCCCATTCCCATTACCGAATACGAGGATATTGGGAATCTGGGCTTCGTCGGGCGACACGGTTGCTGTATCATCAAAGATGGTGGTTGGAGTTTCAGGGTTGGCCAGTTGACTCATTGGGTCATCGCCGAAATCCAACTCCGACTGCCGCGACGTTTGATGGAACGCCTGCGAGAATGTGGTTTGGCTGGGTCGTGGTGTTCCTCGGTCCGAGTTGCGCAGATTATGAGCGGTCCAGCCCTCGCGGAAGATATCGCAAAGCTCCCAACACGCTTGAACGGCAGACCCCAGCAATTCCTCATCCAATGGCTTTCCTTCCCTCTTGCTTTGTCGGATGCTGAACAGCATCTCGGCTAATGTCCAGCAAGCGCTCAATAGAGAATCTGTCTCCGTGATCCGGGTGCGCTGCTTCATGAGACGATGGCACAAGGTAATATAAAAATCCAAGGTTCGCTCGCGAAAAGCATCCGGAAGGTTCCTATCGTGAGAATTGTAGAGATGATTGTTCAGTTCGAAGCTCACTCGTAAAACTGAGTCAGATAAGTCAGTGTCGCGAATCCGGGCTTCGAATAGCGCCTGGCAGAAATCACGACAGAGATCAAGGGTTGGATGGATTTGCGATGCATAGTCATCATCCCGTGTATCATAGAGCTTCTGACAAAGTCTCCAACAAGATCGCCACGCATCCTCTTGTACGTCATCATTGTGAGATTTCATGAGGCGTTCTCGATGGATATAGCTCAGGTTAGCCAGGGTGTTGCATAATGTCCAACATTCGTCGAGGGCAGCCTTCAGAGCACTGATTTCAGCCTCTTTGCTGGTCAGTCCTATAATGGCATTAGTCGTGTTCCCAAATATATCTTTTTTTCTCTTTTCTCATCTCTATGAAATAAATAGACGAGAAGAACGAGGGGGGGGGGAGGTGCCTCATCATTGTACCTTCCGGAATATCTTGAGAAAAGTTAGCAAGATGAGATCATGGATGCAAAGCGCGGCCAGACAGTTTGACCACTTTACCTTCTAAGCTACACGAACGAGTGCGCCTTTCCAACTCCTCAAACTCATGTCTCTTTTGTGCGCGAGGTGTCGCTCGCTCGGTACAATCGTTAGCCAGACCGAGGGACGTTGTCAGCGGCGGGGGCGATATTGGGCTGTTTCCAAACTGTATAGTTCATACCCATTAGCACAACGTTTCACTGAGAAGGAATTGACTAATCACTTTTCTCGTTTTTGTAGATATAGTTATTGAATCAGCTTGTTCATCTGAGCTGGTCGATGGCGACTGCGACTCCTCGGTCTCAAAAGTGGGTTGCATTGGGGCCTGGATAAATTGGTAGTCGTTAACCAACATGCCAACTGCTGCCTATATCAAGACACCTACGAAGTCACCAAATCCAGGCGGAGCATGGATGACCGACTGTGGAGGTTCATCTTCGTCTGATCTCGTGCTGGGGCCCATATGATTTGTGTATCCAGTCTGAATCTGTGATATAGTGTGTGAGCGTGTGTGAGCTCGCTCTAGTTGGAAAAGAAAGAAAAAAGATTGAGACGGAGCTACAGATTGGACTTACTTCGAGCTCTGGTCGAGAGATCCCAGATTCACGTGTAGATTTTGGAGAAGTATCTCCAGTTGGTTTCTTGTAATCATCACAATCGTCGCAATCCGTCTCATTTTCGCCAGGGGCCTCGGCCCCATATAAGTCTACCGCGCGCTCGGGTGCGGAGAAGTGGGAACTCTCATTGCCAGCGACCGATCCGTCAAGAGACCTTTCATGCGCATCAGTTGACATTGTTATAGATCCATGATACTATCTATATCTTACATTGGAACCTTTTGTGAGGAGAAGTATGCCGGACTTGTGGCATCGTATGGTAGGACAGATAACGGTGTCGCAACGGCCATGGCCGAGTGTATATGGAGGGTAAAAAGGGAAGCTCAAGGGAACATCTGAGAGAAGATGGGAAGCCAACTTGGATTAGATTGATTGAGCCCGTTTCTTATCGCTTACCTAGCGCATACTACACGTGATTATTGTACATTTGTACAAGTGGTTTATCCTGTCCAAGGTTAAGAAAGAGGGTTAATACCTGAACAGGTGTGTTGTATATTTCCATTTTTTTTTCTCTCGTTTTGTCAATACCTGTATCATTCAAATTGGGGGCTGATTACAGATCGGAAGCAGACTGAGAAGGAAGAAGAAAGTGTACTCCGTACTGTGAAGCAATTTTATAGTACCTGGATGTGTAGTAATTGTAACGACAATCGGATCCTCTGATTGGCTTCCATTGATGGAAGCGCTTTCGTCCCCAATACGGATTAGTGGGGATATAGCTCTGCCTGGTGATTGGGCGGTAGATGTCGAGATGCATCCTCTATCACGGCGCCTATTTAACCCCTCGATTAACTACACAGTACGAAGGGGACTTTTCAAAGATTGGTACCTTCCCCCGCTGATGGAACCAAAGAGAGCACTTTTCAAAGCTCCACATCATGTAGCAGATCTAGAACGGGTCTTGAGCTGTTGAGCTTAGCGGAGACGTACATGCGGGGAATTTGGCCCGGGTATATATTGGGTTAGCTGGAAACCCTGTTGATAAGTGAGATCAGCGCGATGACAGGGTCGGGATACGTTCCCCATGCGAAGGTGAGGATCACATGACAAACAGCTCAGCTATCATCGGTCTGTATGCAAACATATGTATAAATGTCAATTTTCATTGGAGATGACCATAGCTCAACGAGAAAAGAGTATGAAAGGAAGAAAAAGCAAATGTCAACCTTCTGACGCCATGTCTTATTTTCAATGACTGTAACGCCGCTTTGAATGCAAAAACCGAAAGGAACAATCCGTGAGGAACTTCATCTCTTCTTTGGAGGGACCTGGGTTACCCTGAACGCCGCAAACCATTTCATTTCCTCGAAGAATGCCCAGAGATGCAGCACACAAATGAGCAGAGCGATCGATGACCGGGGACTCCATCAACATTAGAGAGAGCATGCCTCCTCGAAAGATACCATTTCATTGACTGGCTTCCAATGATTTCTGGTCCACAGAAAATTAGGATGGCGCATAGTAGGCCTAGCATGGCCAAAAGGAAAAGAGGCTGGCGTATCGAAGATTCTGGCAGGAAGATCTCCGCTGAGGTCGATGACAGGTGGGCTCGTGTGAGGAGTTGATAGACTTATGCTTGTGCCTTCGAACGGTCTTTCTCGGCGGAATTGTAACTGTTCATGATCAGCTGTGATACTCTGATATATGTTTCTACAGCAAGAGGTTTCCCAGGCATACCGAAGAAGTTTCTCGATCAGATCAACGTGGGTCATGATCATTCGCCGACAACAGTACCGCCTGCAGCCAAGCTGGTCCATAGCGTCACTGGGAAACAAGTACATTAGTGCTGCAAAGCTGCGATACGTGGAATATCGTCATACCCATCCGGTACGCCATCGTCCAACAGCTGGAGATAACGCTCCCAAAGATCACCAACGACCTATAGCGCGAGTTTAGTAAAGGGTCATGCATCGAGGAATCTGCAACAGTGACTGACCTTGCCACAGGAGAAACACCGAATTGGAATAATCATTATGGTAGTTTGAGTGAACAATGACCTAGTGAATTAGAAATGAGCAAAGGAGATTGCTTGGAGGTCAATGATGTCGCCTTGAGCCAGACTTTTTTTCCCGTGAAGATCGAAAACTCCGATCTAACCCGATTAGGACGATTGCGCTTTTCTGCCAAGGATCTCCGCTTTATTTTTCCCTTGGGAAAAAAAAGCAGACGGTTCGGCCAGGACGATCCCCGACTCACGTTTCTGCAATAGCGGCCCAAAAGCTATGATCGTCTGAATCGCACAGTTTTCCTTCAAGGTTCTATCTATACCTCCATTCAGGTTCATTCACAGACATGGCGACCAATCAATCAGCAAGACAGCAAAAACGATCTCGGCTCAGCGATGCGGCTTCCGAAAAGCCTGCCAGGTCAAACGAAGAGCGAACCAAGAGGCGCCGAGTCTCTGGGGCAGATGAAAACCAGCCCCTACAGACCAATGATCCGGCCGGTGCGGTGACGGAGGTTTCTAATGGCGACATTCAGACACAAGATGACAAGGTCAAGCGAAAAAGCCCCGCGCCATGGTCTTTCTCGCGCCCTGTTGGCGGCCGTTACAACAATCTCGACCCAGTGTTGACAGACGATGAAGCGTGAGGATGGTTTCCGTCGATAGGCAGTGAACGTATTCTGACCATTCTCTATCACAGATATCTACTGGTCGGACTCGACACGGCCGTTCAAGTATTCGCAACCTCAACATCCCGCCTGTCACGTACCCTACAACTGGAGACTGACCAGCAGATCATTGGGTTCAGTATCTGCACTGAGGACCCTGAAATACTTTATATCTTTACGTCGTCGGGTTCTGTTGGTAAGTGGAATTGGAATTCCGGCAAGCGGATCGCACGCTGGGAAACTACTTGCACAACCACCTCAACAAGCCTGGCTTCGTCTGGAAAGAAAGACAACAAACGTATTCTTTGCTTCGCTACCACTTCGCAAAAGGATGGCAAAAGACAAATTTCGATCAACGCACTGGGAGGCAAGAAAATCCAAGGCACCATCGCACTAGAGACCAATCAGAAGCTCAACAACGTCAAGGTCACCCGTGATGGCCAAGTGGTTATCGCCAGTGATGGAAAGCATCTTTTCATGGGCACTACAACTAGCACGGAGCTCGAGAATCTCGAGACTGTTCAGTACACATGGCGTGAAGCGACCCTTCCTGTCAATGCTACTTGCTTCGACATCCAAGTCCAAGGCTCTGGGTCGGTTGATCTTGCATTGGGCGAGAGCGGTGGCTCTATTCTGATCTATCAGAATGTTCTAAATACCCTCTTCGGCAAGGATATCAGCGACAAGAGGACTTCCCCCGGAAGCTGCATTGGCATCGGGGCTCTGTCAACACCGTGCGTTGGTCTAAAGACGGTATGTATACATCTATGCGCATTTTCAATATTTCCAAAGAGGTTGCTCTGACAAATCCCAGGAAACTACATCATTTCAGGTGGCCAAGAGTCGGTCATGGTTCTCTGGCAGTTGGACACGGGCCGAAAGCAATTCCTTCCCCATCTTTCCTCCCCTATCTGCAACATTGTTGTCTCCTCCAGCGGCAGCTCCTATGTGGTTAAATTGGCCGATAACTCGGTCATGGTCTTGTCGACGAGAGAGTTGCAACCTCTTACTACCATCACGGGATTGCAATTGTGTCCAGACATGAGTGGCTCTGTGGAATCCTCAAAGGGATCTGTCGTGGCTAAGTTGCATCCGCAGCAACCCGAGCGATTGATTGTAGCTGTCCCAGCTTCTCATCAGCTTACCCAGAACCAGCATGGTTCTCAGCCTCCAAATGCGGCTATTCTTCAGACATATGACATCCGCGCCAATTCTAGCATCTCTCGCCAGGCTCTCGCGAGGACCAATGCGACGACGCTGAACGTCAGCCCAGAAGGGTCTCAAATTGTCGCTCCCGATGTCAAGCACTTGGATATAGTGCATGATGCAAAATGGCTGGCTACAGTTGATACCTGGGCCCCACATCCTCAAGACGTGGAGGCCCTCGATCGCTCTTCCAGTGCCAGATCCACCGCCACTTTGCGCCCGGAGGTCTTCTTGAAGTTCTGGAAGTGGGATGCTTCGTCTGATACATGGGAATTGGTCACACGTGTCGATGGTCCTCACTTTTCGGATAATCACCACTCCGTTGTACTTGGTCTCGTGTCTCGACCGGGTGCTCACGAGTTTGCGACTCTTGGTTCGGATTCGCTCCTTCGCTTTTGGTGTCCAACTGCGAAGTACCGAAGTGGGTTGAGAGCCAAAGACCAACCGGAGCAGCCTTTGAATACGTGGAAGTGCCGGGGTATTGTTGATCTGAAGGGATGTCTGGATTCTACCCAGCCTGCTCCCCTGGATGCGGCTTGCATGGGTTTCTCCGATGACGGCTCAGTTCTCGCCGTCTGTCTGCCGTCGACATCGGCTGCGAACGACGGACTTGTTCTATTGATCGATGCACGGAGCTGCTCTGTGCACTATCGACGTACTGGAGTTTTCCTTGGGAATCCCTGCTCGACGTGTTTCCTGGGGAGCCATTTGGTTGTTGCTTCCACCCATTCGGTAGCTGTCTGGAACACAGTCGACGATGTCGTGAAGACCATCCAGTCATCCGAGTCGGTGGATTCGGCTCCCGTGAACTCACAGCTAATCGCCGTGAATGCCAGAACTAAGTCCTTAGCAATTGTCACGAATTCGTCTCACAGAAAGCGCCGCAAAGTTCGGTTCCAGATCAAGATCTACGATGTCCCATCCTTCGAGGTGGTCTTCCAAGAGACTCTCCAGACTCCCCCGGTTGCTTTGCTCTCCGATGCTTATTCCGGTGATTACATCGTCGTTGATTCTACAGCAACCGTGCAGCGACTTGGCTGTCTGGAAAAGGCATCCCAGAAAAGTCAGACCAACCAGTCTCGGGATGTGACCGGCCAGATCGACAATGGATTAGCAACTCTCTTCAATCGCGGGCCAGACAGGCTTCTTGCTCAATCGGACGAGTCGGATGAATCTTCTGCATTAACCAAGGGACTTGCGAGTGTTTTCGGCGAGACTCCTTCGTTCTCCTTGCCGGCTATTGGGGTTCTTTTCAGAAATGTGGTTCAAACACTCGGCGCTAACTGAGCTCCGGGATATCATCCGCTTTGGTCTCTTCATTTTGGTGCACTGGTGTAGCGGTTGACCGGGATTTACTGATTTCTCTAATTTTCTTTTGGACATTGAACATGTTGCATAGTGGGAACAGTGTATAGTATATACATGGGGAGTGAAGGCTTCATTCCGAGAACTTCAGGTCTTGACTATTGTTCCAACTTACGTGAAAACTCGTACTTCTTTCGTACTCGGGTGAGCCCTTAGTCCTAAGGCAGATAGATATACTGCTGCTGTAACGTTGGAATGTATTCCACTTGTTACCATGATCTATCTTGTCTGGCGAAAAGGGCTGACGAAGTCTAGTGACCTATTGTTCGAGGTGGGCTGTACATCAGCAGATACATAAGAACGCGTTCGGATCACACTGGCTTCGATACATCTAACCCAAAGAGGGCGGAGGATACGGTTGGTACCTGGTAAGTTGAAACCAGGCGAAGCATGTATTTGCAGTGCAAGATAGTAGAAGATTGTCGTATTCTTCATAGGGATATCGTACTAGTTATACCGATAAATCCGATAAATACGCCGTTTTTACCTCAGACGGGTACACTCGCCAATTAACGCTCAAATCTGCCTCAAAGTGAAAATGAGCAACGCCTTCCTTTCGTGGACATGGGTTAAGTATGCATCCAGTTCGTGATCATCATTGACAGAGAATCGAAGCTCATTCCCTTCCTCATCCCTGTCAATGCCCTCGATGTGGGTGATGATGGAATAGGGATACCTGGCGCCAACCAATTGTCGGAGCTCTTCCATTGTCCGTGTAGCTAGTTTTTCTAGCCAAGGTTTTGGGATCGACTCTTGAGACTGGCTCGAAGAACCGAGCTGGAACCAGACTGGGGTGTGTAGTAGCGCGGAGCTGAGCATGGGATCCACATATTCGAAGCCATTGCTTTCATGGTGTGGATTAGTTGAGAAAGATGGATCATTGGCAGCCTGGAGCAGCGAAGGGTCAATCTGCATATCGCCAATTTCAGTAGCCGTGATGGGTGCACTGGCCAGCGCCTGAGAGGCAAGGGTACTGATTCCATTGCTAATCTCGTTGCTCAGCATGCTGCCCATAGAGGAAGCTGTCGGGGTTTGAGTTCGAGACTCGGAACGTGCAGAGGACCTTTTGCGTGCCGGGTCTCGCTTCGTTTGGTCGTCTCGAAGTCTTTTCATGACATCGCGACAGAGGACTTCTAGCGCCTTCAATTTATTGCCATGCTCCGGGTCGGCCGGCCCAGGTGCCAGGATTTGCTGAAGCAGCTCTGTATTTGAGATCCAATGCTCTTTGAGTTCCCTCCAGTGTTCATCGCCGGCCTCTAACTTGCTTGTGAAGTGGTCCACCTTCAAGGTGTCATAGAACGCGTTGCGAATCTGTCGGCTTTCCTCCGGATTGATCCCTAGAGCATTCTTCGCCTCCGCCATTGTCATGCGTCTCTCTAGAGTCCGCATTCGCTTGGTAACGTCGGTACACACGACGTCGAGGGCAAGGGCCTTGGCATCGCGTTGAGTAGGATCAGCGTTGAACACCTGTTGGAGGTGCGGAGATTCTTGGATCAATTTGTCTTTGGCAGCTTGCCATCTTTCCGGACCGGCCGCTGTTTTCTTTATGAAGCCCGCTTCTTCACAGATGCGCTGGAAATGATCCCTAGTTTGACGGTACATAGTAGTGTCTAGACTGAGATACTGTTTGCTCTCATCAATAGTTGTCTCCGACGGAAAGCGTGGAGGCCCCGGAGGGTCAGCAGGCAGCCCACCCCATCGTCGAGTACGTCGTCGTCGTTTGCGCGTCGCCCAACGTTCAGCACTTTCCGACTTCAGGCGGTCTAGTCGCTCTTGGCGTTTTGCGATGACCTCTGGCGAAAGAGCGGAGGAATCGGGCTGTGTAGGGAGCGTATTTGGATCATCCAGTGGGCTTGAAACCTTGTAGACCTCTTGCTGTAAGGCAAGGAGCCCCTCATCCTCCGGGGGAACAGTTCGTGCCTCGATATTCGACTGTGATTTCATCCCGTTGGGAACCCGCAGCAACCAACGGTTCTTTGCGCGAACTCGCATTAATTCTCTTTCTTTGATCTCGAAACCCTCGTCATTCAATATGCGAAGCATATCCCGCTGGCTTGTGTTCCGCTCCCAAAGCTGTTTGACTCGCGCGACGAGATCAACATTCTTGTGTGCCGGGTTCTGCTTCGAGGGGAACCCCCAGCGTTTGAACTGGGTTTGAAACGCGCGTTTGCTAGACGAGCGAAGATTAATTGACGTCCAACAGAACGGAACAATGTGTACTTACCTCGGCGCGAACTGATAGGCAGTTCGCATATACTCCATGATCTCCTCCAACGCCTTCTTTTCCTGGATGTACATCTGGAAGCAGATTTCCCGCTTGCCAGACCAATCATACACCATGACGAAGAAGACGCTCCCTCCGTGGAGGCGCGTCCTGTTGGGAGAAATTGATATGAGCTTGAAGATGTGGAGCTTATCAGGCGGTTCTTGTCGCTGCTGTGCGCCGTAGTCCTTTCGGGGGGGTGGAGGGCACTCGGGCGGGCGAAAGGCTAAAGTGCAGCTATAGGCACGTGACTATGACACATGTATGGAGGCAATGGATAGGAATGGCTATATTTACACATCGCATTTATATCACTGGCCTACACAAGAGAAATTGAAATTTTAAGATTTAATTTCATAGATCGGTCTGACTATCGTCGGGGTGGGAGAAACCATGCCCCCGTCTTCCATGTCCTTTGCATAAAATGCCCCTGGAAATATGGAATACCCATTTCTCCCTCTGCAGATTCATCGACCTGCGATTTCCTAGAGAAATTGAACGCTTGCGTTGCAAAAAGCAATCCAGACGCCGTGTATCTAGCTCATGCTGAGCGATGTCCCATAAAGTTGCAAGAAAAAAACCCGCAGATCAAAGATCAGGGAAACAATCGAATCGCTCGCTCACTGGGTGGGAACTGGAATGAGTAAAAGAAAGGCTAACAAAGGAAATAACAAAAGAAATATATTGACGAAATCAGAATCAATGAAGTTTCCGAATCTTTCGTCGTAGTTTGAAGACTCGAGTCCGAAGCCACGTCATGAACAGAACCCATGTGCTTTTGGACTGAGATTTCCAAGAGACCGACGGTTTTTCGTTCCCATGTGCGGTGGATCGGGGTTTCTCGGAGATCTCCTCTCTTGACTGCAAGGGAGACTCGTGGTCTTCTTGTGGCATGTTTCGCTTCAAGCGTCGTCGAGAGCCCCTTTCTTCCGCTTTGATCTGCTGTTTTTCGAGTCGACGGATCTTGGCGGCTTCCTTTTCCTCGAACGCCTGACGGGCAGCTTGGACCGTGGCTGCACGAGAGATCGGATCCGTGCTTGTCCGGGTCCGGGTCCGAAAAACGAAATCGAGAGACGTTCGGGACATTGGGGATGCAGTACCATCGGTCTCCCGCGAGTATCCGAAGGACGGCCGACTGGTTACATTGGTCTGAGAAACCCCAGATAGACGAGTGAATGAATCATCCTGAATCTGCAAAGAAAGCCGGGGTAGGGCCGAGCCCGATGCAGCGCGTGTTTCGCGGATAGAGGTAGGTTCTGATTCAGGGCTTTCATCAAGTTCTTCGCTATCGTGGCTCGACTCCTGATAGGACTGACCCAGAGGCGGAGTGTACGCTCGGGGAGTCTGGCGCATGGGATGCACATACTGTGACCCGGGCTTACTCACACTCGAGCCTGATCCATGGGACGTCCCGCTAGTAGAACGATTGTGAAGACCAGAGGGTGTTCTTTTGAAGGTCCCACCTGTCAGGGACCCGCTGCGTTGGCGATCCCGCTCGAAGTTCATGTAAATACCCAATCCATCCTGTTCAGTGGACGATCGGGACAAATCGATTGACGTTGACGGCGCATCATCCCGGGAAAGCTTTCGCAGAATCGGTTTGATATGAACCTTAGGTTTGATTGATTTGCTTTTGAGAGACCGGTGGTCGAGACCTTCAGACGATGCATTGTTCTCCGAGTCCATCAACTGCTGTGATTCCAAGTTCCATGGTTGATCGGCCGATGTGGTATCATGCACGAACATGCTGGAGGACATCGAGTTGCGCTTCCTGATACCGGAAGGAGACTGCGCATTCTCGGAAACATCAGGAATGGGAAACTGATCTTGGAAGGCGTGATCCCGTGAATAGATCTGATAGGATGCAGTGCGCCCAGTTTCGATACCTGGTCTCGGCTTTCTAGGGCGTAGGAGTGATCCGGATTCTCCTGCGAGTGTATTTCTCATGTTCGGGAAGACCGACTCCCGGGAAGTTAGATCGTCAACGCGAGCCATGATTGGGACCACACTCCTCAGGCTAAGTCAGGCTTTAGAAATGGACCACGCGATGCATGATTGTCAACACCGGTTCGAGAGTGGAGAAACGAAAACCAGAGGATCTGCAAGACAGCAGAGTATGTATGCTGGGGAATCGAGTTCCAACGAAGTTGCCGAGGATGAATGAGGATAGAATTGAGGAAACGCAGTGATCAGAAACAATCACAGTAATCACGAGTAAAGAGTAATCAGCGTGATGGGAGGGGGTGTATCAGCGGGGAAGAACGCGAGACTAAGATAAGCGCTTATGCGCGAGATTGAGATCGCAAAGGATCTGACATGCGCAAGTGGAGGCGACAAGCTTAGAACGCGTGATAAGAGAGGAGAAGAGATGAGAGAGAAGTCAGGGAGAAGTAGAAAGTAATAGTATTAGAGCAGAGGAAAAGGAGGCGGCGGTGAAGCCGGAGATAGACGGGATCGAGACCGCATGCGGCCTTTTGAAGTTGATTTCCTTTCGGAACTTTTCTCCTTTTCCCCTTACTTTTCCTCCTATTAGGCTATCTCCCGAGTTTCTATGATCCTTCTAGCCTGGTTTTATTCCGATCTAATCGACTATCTAACTAGTCGTAATATTCCACTACTCCGTACGCACGTTTGTACTCCATATCCCCCTTAAACCATTGCACTTCCCCCTAGTGGAGACCTAACTTAGATGATTTCCCCTGAACACCTAGAATTAGGAGAGGAATATATCCCACTTGAATAACAATTAACAAAGTCGTCCATGTAACTAGTTATGATGTACTAGTACTGTGTAAGAATTCATAAAAGATGAGAGAGACGTTTAAAATCGAACACTTAATGCAGCCCTGGAGATGCCAAGGAAAATCAAAAGCCTCGGAACTAATCTGCATAAAGCAAAACATCAAATGATCATCCCCCACCAAAGTGACATATGTGTTGTACATTTGGTGGGGTTGGTCTTAGGGTATTTTTTCAATTCTCCGCTTTCTATTCTTTTCAACTCTTTTGCACTTGTACTTGTTTGAAAAAAACAATAAAGTAAGGAAAAAACAAACCCCAAACCTACGGAGTACACATTTTGAATCGTCCCTTGGTTTCCATTTCTTCCCAACCATGGGTCTGTCTTTGCAGAACCTGGGGTTGTCCCTGTTCATCCTGGTAGCCTTCTCCGGTCAGGCCTATGCATTTGGTGCCGGTAATATCGCATCTCTTTCCCGCCTTGAAGGTCAAAACTGGCGCCATGGAGATATCGAGGATGCTCTTCTTACCCTCTGTCTTGCAAGAGTGGCTGGTGGTAAGAAATTTGGCAAGCTGGATGTGAAGCGGGTCTACTTCGGCAACTGGTTGCGTGATTACAGCCAGGCAGTCGATGTGGGTACCGTGAAGTATGTTAGTGCTGAAGCTATTCGCATTCTGATCTGGGTTTTGGGCTTTATGAGCTTTGGGTAAGTTGTGTGAACAGGAAATTGCCTTGGTCATATCTAACTGCGAACTTGAAGATATGGAACCGGAGAGTTCGAGGTGACGACAGAACGGCTTGGATGTTATCAACCAACAGAGCATATCGATAACCCCCTGGGATACGCCGAGGGTGAGGATGCGCGGAACTACGATCGTCGACTGCGTGGCCCCCTCGATGAAGAGCGAGAGCTTTCAGTGGACCCCCGCACTGGTATGAAATCTGATCGTATAGTGATGGATATAGTACTAATCCCGATACCCTTTATCTAGGCTTGAAACACTACATTGCCACTGAGGACATCAATATTGACACCTCGGCTGCATTGGTTCGTCGCGTACTGGGCCGCTCGATCAAGATGGGTCGGCGCTATGGCCAATCCCGAAACAAAGACGACTTGTACGAAGCTCTACGCCTGTTGGGAACTGGCTTGCACTGTTTGGAAGACTACGCTGCTCACTCTAACTACACCGAGCTCAGCCTTATCGAGATGGGGGAGAGAGAGGTCTTTCCTCATGTCGGACGCAATACTAGACTGCAGGTTGATGGCGTCGAGCATGAAGTCTACCCAATCGTGACCGGCACTTTTGGCGGCGTGGATTTCTTCCATTCCGTGCTGGGAGAGTTGTCCGACAAGACAATGCAGTCTGAACTCCAGTCTTTGGAGACTGTCGTTGCCGAATCCCAGGAATCAGATTCCTCTCAGAGTTTCCTGCAAAATTTGCTAAGCAAGATCCCCGAGGGCCTGCTTGGTGACGACACCGATCAGACTGGTCAGATGGATGACTTCAAGCACAAGGCAGATGATGCTAGACACGACGGCCAGACTGCCAATCCTCGGGAACCTGAAGAGTGGACTATGTACCTAGACAACGTGCAAAAGGAGATCTACCCAGTCCTTGAGTGGCATGATCAGCTCTTGAAAAGGATCAGCGAGGCCATTGAGAAGATCCCAGTCCTGCCCGACTTGATTGAGCAGATCCAGGATCAAATCACCGTTTTCGTCTTCTCTATTTTGGCGCCTTATGTTCTGCCCATTATCAAGCAGGTCAAGTCTGAGCTCGAAACCGGTTCTTCCGAGGTTATTCAAAGCAGCAGAGACCAGCAGCACATTGTATTCAACGATGATGACTGCTCCAATCCGACTCACTCAATGCTTTCCAAGGACCACTTCTCGAACATTCTGAATGAGCCTGCTGGTCGCATTGCCTCGGCTGTTATCAAATGGACAGTTCCTCAGCTCATGCAATGCTGGGATGATGAGGATGCCGATGTTGACCGGACTCTTGACAGAATTATTTCCGGTGTTTTCCATCACCCCGCATTGCGAGGGTCTGGACGCGATGGAGCTGCCGACATGCAACACATCATGTTCTCCACTGTCGAGGAGTGGTGGGGCGAAAAGTCTGATGAGGAGCGTGATATTCTTCGCGATCAGCTGAGCCGCGACGGTGTCCTGGAAGGCCGGAACCACAAAGACGGTGTGCAGGATTGTGGACACGGATGTGGCAAGCCGCTCGCTCTTCCCAAGCCCCACAACACCTCTGGTGGAGGCTATGGATCCGTTGACTCTGGTCTTGAGAACATTGCTTCTGAGGCTGTGGGAGGAGGCGCGCTGGGTGGTATAATCGGTGGACTGGTTGGAGGCATGGGCTCTATGCTTCTCAACCAGGACAGCTCAAAGCCTAGCCGGGAAAGCCCAGAGCCGCAAAGCTATGACAGCGGAAATAGCTACCAGAGTCAACCTCACCGTGAGAGCTACCAGCAATATGGAGGGGACTCATACAATCAAACGCAGGCACATGGTTCAAGCGCATATGGACAGCCAAGCAATTCAAGCTATGGGGGCTACAGTGAGCCGGTTCACTCAAGTGGATATCAACAGCCCAGCTACGGCGGCCACAGCGAGCCGGTTCGCCAAAGTGGGTATGAACAGCCAAGCCAGCCAAGCTATGGTGGCTACGGTGAGCCCCAAGTTCATCACGAGGAGTACCGTCCTCGTCCCGGCGGATATGAATATCAAAGTGAGACTGTCTATAGCCAGCCGCCTGTGCGCCGTGATGACTACTCCAGCTACACACCTCCAGTGGAGAGCTACCGACGCGAGGAGCATCATCAATACCAGTCGGAAAGTCAGGGTTACCGTCGGGAGGAGAGAACGGAGACCTATGAAGGTGGCTACTCCCAATACCAACGCACAGAGACATACCAGGGAGGTGGAAGCCAGCCCCTTGGGGAGTAAGTGAAATTATCTGATATTGGCCGGTTTCTCTTTATTAATCACAATGTACAGGGATTTCTCGTCTGGCTATGGTAGACCTCAGCCTAGCTACAATGACATGAGGCCCCGCGAGGAAGGATATGGTCAGCGGTTCGAGGGCGGCGATGGATACAGCGCCGAGCGGCGATACGAGGGCGAGCGACAGTCCGGGTACGGCTCAGGCTCTCGCAGCGGCGGCAGCGATGATGAGGAGCGTTCTCATCATCGACGCCACCGTCACCATCACCACAGACGGTCTGGTTCAGATTCGGATTAGGTAGCCCCAACATTATTGCCCTGGGTGAAGCGCGGGACTATGGATGGGTCCTGTCGTACGAGAGGACTACGACGATATCTACCACTCCTTGACTTCTCCGGGAGCCGGCTGCTCGGTGCGAACAACCTTGTCGCAGTTGAGCAGGCGGAGGGGATCAAGAGCCAATTTCAGCTAGCAATGGAGACATAAGCGTTAACGGAACTGTCCATAGACGTAGACAAGGGTAAGTTTAACAAGGGATTGTATGGCAGGACTTACTCGGCGCATTGCGTCCACCGTAGATTCACCCAACTCATGCTCAAGGTAGTCTCGCTTGACGAGACCGACACCATGCTCACCAGTGACAGTGCCCTCCATTTCCACGGCACGCTTCACCATACGGTGCACGACACCCTCTACGGTTGCCTTCTCACTGTCACTGAACAGGATGATCGCTGTCGCTTGTTAGTACACTTCAAACAAGACATTTGGGGTCTCGAGCTCACCGTGGAAGTTGCCGTCTCCTACATGGCCACATATTCCGGCCAGTAAGCCATGCTTGGTCATATCATCCTTGGTGGCCTCCATGATATCGGGTAACCTGCTCATCGGAACGGCGACATCGGTGGTCCAGACGTGGTCGTCCGGGCTCCTCTTCATTGCCATCACACTCCACAGTGCCTGCTTGCGGGCACTCCAGAGTTCTGCCCTCTCTTCCGGGCCACGAGCAAACTCGAAGGACTTTCCTGCGGTGTTAGACACGATCTTCTGCACCATACTGATCTGCTCCTTGACACCATTTGGTGTGCCAGTGAACTTGAAAAACAGGGTGGGTGACTCCTTCCACTGACGGCTGGTAGTCTGGCTGTCATTGATACACTTCATCTGGATATCGTCCAGAATCTCGACACCAGCCACAGGAATACCAGCTTCTACGACCTTGGTCACACACTCAGCCGCGTTCTGAATAGACCCGAAGCTTGCAACAGCAACATTTTCACTCTGAGGCTTGACCGTCAGCTTCAGGGTTGCCTCCGTCACCAGACCGAGAGTGCCTTCGCTGCCGATAAAGAGTTTAGTCAGATCGTATCCAGCACTAGACTTGCGGGGCCGCTGCCGAGTCTTGATAACGGTGCCATCGGCCAGGACCACTGTGAGCGAAAGCACCCACTCCCGCATTGTTCCGTACCGATAGGCATTCGTTCCGGAGCACCCGGTTCCGACCATACCGCCGATCATAGCACCGGGTCCCGGGTCAGGTGGGAAGAATAGCCCATCTTTGGCGATCTCCTCGTTCAGATCCTCCCATCCAACCGCGGGCTGAACGACGACATCCATGTCACGTTTGTGGAGTGCTAAAATTCGGTCCATGCGACAGAAATCAACACACACGCCGCCTCTCGTAGACGCAAAGTGACCCTCCAAGCTAGTGCCACCGGAGTACGGGGTCACGGGGATCACCCGCTGGTGGCAGACCTTCATGATCCGCGAAACCTCCTCGGTACTTGACGGGTAAAGGACCAAGAAGGGTTTCTCCGTGTCTTTCGGTGAATAGGAAGACCAGTCTGATCCAGAATGCAATTCCAGGTCGCTGCTCACAGTGGAGACATTCTCCTTGCCCAGGATCTCGACAAAATCAGCCCATGCTGCCTGGAGGTTAGAGGTAGAAACGTTGTGTTTGGGAGCCTCGACTTCGGAGAGGGGTGTCGTGGATGACGCAGGGAGAGCTGCAGGTTTGAGGGATCCGAGGTAATAAGCGCCAGTTGAGAAGAAAACCAAAGCTACACCACGAGTATGAAAGTGATTAGCCAAGTATCTCAATTGAACAACAGGAAAAGAGGAAAAGAAGAAAAGGAACCCCCCAAAAGATAACAAAAGCTAGCAAAACATACCGAAAACCAGGGCCGCAGAACGGCCAGCGGGCGATTGAGTCTGATATTGGGCGAATTTCTCCTGTTCGGCACGCTCGCGCTTCAGACGCTGCTGGGTACTTTCGTATAGTTGGCTCTTGAACGATTGATTTTCTTTGGCTTGTCTAGTTGACGCTGCGAACTGGCGATACTGTAGGAGACGGGAGGATACTGGTCGAGTCCTGATACTGCGCATCGCCCCATGCAAGGCGAGAGCATTGAGTTGGACCATTGCGATTGTGCTTTGGGTGAAAAGGTGAAGCTCAGGAAGTGAAGTGGAGGTCGGACCGAACGCCGAACTCCGGGGGCTCGGCATCCGGGCAGCGGGCTGGAATCGGCCATGAGAAATTGTACGTAGAACATACAATGCACACCTACACGTGAGTCTAAATATGTGGTTTGTATTTGGAAAAGGGATAATTTCTCATTGCATGATTGCTTAATGATATGACCTAGTTAACTAGTGTTCTACCCTAAATTATGTATTGTACATGGTCAAGTAGTTAACACAGAAAAACAGTACTACTAGTTATACGTATAGCCAGGTCACTTGACTTCTACCTCAGTAAGTTTAAGCTCAGACCTTATCACATGACCCAAAAGTTCTGCCAGATTTTGGCGCGCCTAACTCAGCCTAAACCAAGCAGGCGGTGGATAGGCAAATTCACCGCCTTTTGCAGGGGGAGAGGGAACTGAAGTAATTGACTTGTGGCGGGGCACAAAACTGGGAAGAAAGCTATGTCATATGACCTCCGGTTAATATCATGGCGGCTAAAATACAAAACGCCCGATCCTCACATCTCATCCCAAGTGGGCTGGACAACTACTTGGTGGGGTGGTCGGTTCAATCTCCAATGTACTCCATTCTTCCGGATATTCTGTTTCTTTTTTCCTTTTCTCTTTTTCATAGATCTATTAAATATCCCTCCTCACAAAATTTCTTCCTCTCTTCTTCCTCCCTCTATATTCCCCCGCATCGTCGTTGATTTCCCCAGAATTACCTCGTTGCCCCTCAGACATACACAATGGCTACCGCTCAGGTAAGATGCTCGTCGTAAGAATGAATCTACATGATAGGAACTGATGGTCGTGCAGAACCTCTCCTTCGTCCTTGAAGGCATTCACAAGGTCAAATTTGAAGACCGCCCGATCCCCGAGTTGAAGAACCCCCACGATGTGATCATCAACGTCAAGTACACCGGTATTTGCGGCAGTGACGTATGTACCATGCCCAGTCAGGGATGATCAGAGTCCAGTAGACTAACCAAAGCTCTCGTACCTGACAGGTACACTACTGGGAACACGGTTCCATCGGTTCATTTGTCGTCAAAGACCCTATGGTCCTTGGACACGAGTCGGCCGGCATCGTCAGCCAGGTTGGATCAGCCGTCACAACATTGAAGGTGGGCGACCGAGTCGCCATGGAGCCCGGTATCTCATGCCGCCGGTGCGAGCCCTGCAAGGCTGGAAAATACAACCTGTGCGAGAACATGCAATTCGCCGCGACCCCGCCATATGACGGCACTCTCGCCAAGTACTATACCCTCCCGGAGGATTTCTGTTACAAGCTCCCCGAGCACATCAGTCTGCAGGAAGGTGCGCTCATGGAGCCCCTCAGCGTTGCTGTGCACATCGTGCGCCAGGCTGGCGTTACCCCTGGCCAATCGGTGGTTGTATTCGGCGCCGGTCCCGTGGGTCTGCTGTGCTGCGCCGTGGCCACTGCCTTCGGTGCCTCCAAGGTCATCGTCGTGGATATCCAACAGCAGCGTCTGGACTTTGCCAAGAGCTATGCCACCACGTCGACGTTCATGCCCGGTAAGGTCGCAGCCACCGAGAACGCCGAGCGCCTGAGACAGGAGAACGGACTCGGCGCCGGTGCCGATGTGGCTATCGATGCCTCAGGCGCCGAGCCCTCCGTGCACACCGGCATCCACGTCCTGCGCAACGGAGGCACATATGTGCAGGGTGGCATGGGCCGTAGCGAGATCCAGTTCCCCATCATGGCCGCGTGCTCCAAGGAGCTGACCATGAAGGGCAGCTTCCGCTATGGCAGTGGAGACTACAAGCTTGCCGTTGGGCTGGTTGCATCTGGAAAGGTCGACGTCAAGAAGTTGATCACCGGCACCGTCAAGTTTGAGGAGGCCGAGCGGGCCTTCATGGACGTCAAGGCGGGCAAGGGCATCAAGACCCTGATTGCCGGCATTGATGCATGAACGATCTTTTTTTTGTTTATCATGAACCATTTGGTATGTGGGAATAAACGGGGCGTTGGTATATTGGTTTTATTATAGCAGACAGGCTTTGAACGAGATATGAACCAAAAGCTGTGTGATGTATAAGGATCTTGTCAAAAGCAAGGCAATATTGAGCTGTCGAGTAAAGTAACGAAATGATAGAAATGATCACAAACGAAGGTCAATGCAGAGGGGGTATCGTGCAGTATTTAGTAAACGAAAGTCCAAGTGTCAAAACAAATCGCCTGAAATCAGAAACCAAAGCATCCAGCCATACTAACAACACCCTTGGTTTCGTTGGCTTCCAGAGCCTAGGCGAAACACATCCTCCCATTCTCTCATCCCACCCTTCCAACCTCCCGTGCCAGTAGTTCTGCCTTTCCGTCGAGACCTGCGCGAGAGGGACATTGCGTTCTCATCCAGCGTGGCCCGACTCCTGATACTCGATGCATCGCTGCCATGGCCGTATAAACCTCCATCGCCGTACTGGATTCCACTCTGCGGGTCATCTGGATCGATCTCTCCGAGCTCGATCTTGGTCAAGATAATGCGTGCCAGTCGATTGAAGACTTCCTCGACGCCCTCCCCAGTCAGGGCCGAGATTTCTACGGATACAGGGATGTTCGACTTGGCGGCCCAGTGTGACGTCTCCTCCGAACTGACTTCTCGCCCCTCGGAGGCACGCGTGGCGGTCAGCCTCGTCCCTGTCCCCATGAGGCTCGTCGAGCGGATCGAGGCATTCACATCCCATGGCAGTGACGATTGTATACTGGAAGTACTCGAGGGGGTCGGCGGAGGACGGGGATAGTCTTCGAAATCTGACAGCGCGGCATCCGACGCCAGGTCGGCTTTATTTCCAGCCAGGATCACGGACAGGTTCGGGGAGGCTAGGGCGCGCGCATCCATGAGAAAGGTTGGAAGGGCATTAAAGGAAGCGTAGGAGGCGATATCATAGATGAGGATGGCACCGGCGGCGCCACGGTAGTACGATCTCGAGACCGATCGAAAGCGCTCCGTACCCGCTGTGTCCCAGAGCTGTAACTTGATGCGCCTTCGGCGCGACCCTGTGCCGAGTTTCACAATGCGCGAGGCAAATTCTACCCCTATAGTCTGTGCAGAGAGTACTCGCCCTGTTTTTCGGATATGTCAGCGACCGTCAGCCAGTGGGAGTTCAAAGGGGGGGGGGTTTGGTACATTCATCCTTTACGAAGCGGTGTAGTACACATGACCTGATTTTTCAAGGATTCCGATGTCAGCAAATGATCTTCTGGGCATGGATCTTGTCAGGGATCCCCTCACTTTCCAGCACCGCTTGGTCCTAAGAGAATGACTTTGGCGAGGTAGTCGTACATGCTCCCCAGCTCCTATGATCGATTAGCTTCGAACCCGCGGGGCTGTGAATGTTCACGGTACCTGATCTGGAACTGAGGATACAGAGGAAGCATTTGACAGGCCTCTTTGACGTGCCATGGCCGGTGGGCTGGAAGATGAAAGGGGAATCTGAGAAAGAAGTCGGGTTGAATCAGAGCCCACTTATGATCCCGAGGTTGGGAGTTGACTACTACACAGTATGACTAGTTAATTCTTAATTTTGATATAGTTATGTCCGATTATTCCCTCTAGTCAAATAAATTCATACTATAGTTTAGTGATGTCTAATGAACTGTATCTGCCTTATATTTAGAGCCTTTCAAGGTATCTTTATCCATCTGTTTCCTCCCCCCTGTTCCGGGTGTGGAGCTCGCGCCGTTGGAACAGAAGTCAACAAGGTTTCATTCCTTTATAAGATGGCATTGGCGACATGTAGCGCCGAGGACTGTGCCGGTGAAAGATCTTTGTGAATGGAAGGAGAGAGTTGGTGATACGGAGGCTGCCCTACATCAATGGGGCTATGTTTGACCCGACGGTGTATGGTGCTGTGTATAGAGACATTAATGGACAGGATGCAAGGCAATTCCAACTGGGCTCTTGGCTTGCCGCCTTGCGAAAGGCCACACCGATCTCTGGCTGAAACAAGTTTATGAAGAGCAGAGTCAAAGACATCCAGTCATTCTTCGTGTTGGTTATATAGCGAAGCCAAATATTGACTGCGCCGTTGGCAATGTGGAATGAGATCACGTGCAGTAATGCATAGGCTTATGTAGCCATGTGCAGATTGCGTACGGATGATTGTTGATCCTTCGGATATACGCAGTGTGTACATAATACGCCGTTAAAGGGAAGATTCGATCAACAATTACCTCATTGTACATGCTCCAATGCCTACAATCGCGGATTCTCTGGCAAGTGGCGAGTTTCTAGAAGGAATAAAGGAAGAAAATAAAATAAAATCGTGGCAGTGTCCAACCCAATCTTCAGCCTCGACGTCGTATTCGCTCTTAGGCCGCTAGAAAAGGGGCTTTCCATTGGAAGGCTGGCAACTCAGCCTTGGGAGGATTTTTGCAATTTCCAATCCTGATTTTGCGATTTTGCGATTTTGCGATTTCCAACATTTGCAGTAATTCGCAGTACAACGTTACCAAGTATAAAGACTGAAGACTCCGCTCTTGGACCCTGAATTTACTGCGTAGGAATCTCGTCATCGTCTCAAATTCTTTCCTTCCCTTCATTACTACGGAGTACACCCCTCCCACCTCGATCTCTAAAATTCCATACTCGATTCACATACAACCATGAAGTTCACTTGGACCACGCTTCTTTTACTCTCCACTCAAGTCACCTCTCTGACCGTCCCCAAAGCTGAGGTCACTGATCTCATTGCGCGAGATGCCGACTCCCTGGACTCTACTCAAGACATCTCCGACCTCGTAACTCTCGAGAAACGCCGTGGAGGTGGAGGTGGAGGTCGAGGAGGCGGTGGAGGTTCCAGTGGAGGGAGCAGCGGGGGTCGCACTGGCAGCAGCAGTGGCAGTAGCGGCAGTAGCGGCAGCAGTGGAAGCAGTGGAAGCAGTGGCGGCACTCGCGGTGGCAGTGGAAGCACTGGAGGTACCGGCAGCAGCGGTCGCACTGGTGGATCCAGCAATGTCGGTGGCACAACCCCTGGTGGCTCCGGCACTCGAGCGACCTATGGCGGAGGAAACTACTATGCCGGCGGCGCGAGAACCCCCTACAGGGCTGGCTCCCGATCGGCAGGAGGCATCGCTCCCTACGTGCTAGGTGGAGCTGCCCTGGGCTTCTTTCCGGGTCTCTGGCTGTACAGCGCCTACGCCTACCCCTACAGCCACCACTACAACTATTACAACCAGAACCAAAACAAGAACGAGTCGCTTCCGGTCGTCTGCGTGTGCCAGGAGTACTCGGAGTGTAGCTGTGACAACAACAACAATCAAACCTACTTCGAGTCTCTCTTCAACGGCACCGTGCCCAAGAACTCCAGTACCGTGCGCGTGGTCGATGTGAATGGGACTCAGACCATTTATATCAACGGTACCTTGCCTAATGGTACCACGGCTGCCGGGGGTGACACCTCTACCGCCTCGGGCCCTCTCGCAATGGTCTTGAACGCTAGCGGGTATTGGGTGACTGTCGCTATCGTTGTGACTGCGGTCTGGGGACTCTAATCAGGACGACATTATTGCTTTTTCTTTTGCGCTTTTGGCCGGGAATGATCATGGCTCAACCTGGCTTATGTTGATGATGAGCCCCTAATGCTATGATAAGAGACGACTGGACGGATGTTTGATTGCGACTTTGATACCCCGGTTTGGGACCTTTTTTGCCCTGTATAACAGTGTTTACTACCACACGGAAGCGCTTTGCTTTTAATTTCAATGGTCAAGAAGATATTGAATTGGACTACGTAGTTTCAGCCTGAAACCGTATGCAGCAATGTCGTATAGACAAGGTGGAAGTGGACGGCAATAGAAAAACAAAACAAATAGAAAACTGTAGAAACAACCATAATGTGAGTGTATAGTAACTACGTAGTCAACAGTAACTACGTACACTACATTGATTCTTGATGAGATCAACATTCCGATGGTCGCTTGGGTGAGAGCCTTGGCCTGACAGTCTGAGACCCTTGGCTATAGGGCTAGTCCTTAAACAGTACAAGCGCCCACTCCCACTCCCCTTTGATTCCAACTCTCTCCTCTCTCTCCCTCTCTCAATCAACTCTCCTGTTCTAAACAGTGTCACTCTTTTGTTCTCACAGTCGCATTCATTATACCAGCTCCAGTCACTCTTTATATCCCAAATTATACGCATATTCGCATATCATAACAAATCAACAACCCAACACAAACCAACAATGCACTTCACCAAGGCTCTCCTTTTCCTTTCGGCCCTCGCGCCTGTCGCATTTGCTGCCCAGGCTGCCGAAGCAGATTGTGTCACCAAGACTCTCACTCTGGTGCCCTCTGGCTACACGCCTCCCCCGTCGTCCACCCCGACCCCCACCTCGACCATGACCCCTATCAGTACCAGCACTCCCTTCAGTGCCACCCCAACCTTGAGCCGCGTCGCCAGCACCTCAACTCCCCTGGTCAAGGCTACTGAACCTGCCTCTGGAACCGAGGCCCCTGCCGCCACCTCCTCCGTCCCCGCCAGCGGTGCTGCCTCCCTCCACCTCCCGGGTGCCATGGCTGCCGGCGCAGCTGCCATTGCAGGTCTCTTCATGATCTAATCCTTCATTCCTCATATATATTGAGTGAACGTAGGAGCGAGGCGGTTTTTGGGTGTTTGCGACATTAGTCGCATTGCATCCTGCTATAGCCATATGGCTCCCACTTGGTCATTCCCATATCATCTTTTTTCTGGGATTGAATTTTTTTTCCCTTCTCTCTACATACTTCTTTTCCGACATACCGCTTTTTAACCTTGCCATTCTGGTCACGGTGATTTTCACGTGTTTTCCGATTCTTCTGATGTCTATACCCTTTTCTTCTCTGTTTACCATTTCCCCTTTTGACAGCAGTCTCTGGTCCTACTGCTTTCTAATTCTTGGGGGGATCTTGGATTTTCCTTCTTCACATTGGTGCTTGCATCGGTGCTCTTGGATGTCGTACTACTGTTGACGAGTGGAAGACTGACGAGCTTTCATCTTTTGGTGCAATTTATACACTTCTTTCCGCCTCCACTGTGGTTCTCGAGAAGATCTCTTTCAGACCTGGCTACGGCTTTAGTAAAGTAGGCTGTAAACTGTGGAGATGACTTGAATTTATCTACTGCAATAGCCCTAAAAAGCAAGGCCCAAACATATCGTACAATGAGGATAAACTAGCCTACTCCTCTTTGGCGAAAGTAGCCTCGTATCTATCATCCACATTAGCAAATCTCTCCACTCAAATGAACAGAGTGGATCACATACCTCTTGCCTCGGAAGGCCCACAATCCCCAGTTTCCACAAGAAACATCGTGGGGATCCTGATCGTTCAAATCCCAGCGCAAACTGCGGAAGATATTCTCACCCGGCTCGAGGAGAACGTCGAACTCACCACGACACTTCTCACTCACCCAATTGATGTCTCGCTCCATATCCCACTGGGTATACCCAGTGCAGATGATAGGAACCTTGGTCTCGAGCAGCTGCGGCAGCGTCTCCTCCCACTCGTGCGAGCTGGCCGGGTGACCCAAACCGGGGTGGAAGAGCATGAAGCAATCCAGGTAGGGATCGAACGGTCCGAAGTACTGCGCCTGGTTCATGGTATGGAAGTAGTCCACGTAGGTGGTGATCTTCATCTGGCCGCCGAGTCTGTCCTCGACGATTCCACCGAAGGGGTTCTCGGGCGTGCGTTCAGGCAGTGGGAACTCGCCGTCCCGGTTGGCCATGCTCTCTGGTCCGATGAAGATGAGGTGGATCATGGCACGCGGGTACATGTATTGCAGCTGCAGCCAGACGGGCCGGGGCAGGGAGGACTCGGCGCGGGCACCGAGGATGAAGATACGCACTGGGGGCGCTTTCAAGCGGAGACCTTTTATGTCGGTGCCTTCACCTGCCTTTGGGGGGTGGAGGGAGTAACGGAGGGCTGATGAAGAGAGGGATGATTAGTTTCTATTTTAAAGGATCAGGGGTGAGCGAAGCAGGACTCTATTAGACATACCACTAAAACTCTTCAATCCTTCTGGTGTCAACCGTCCATTGGCACGAACGCTGTACGGGCTCAGTTCATGCAGGACACTACCAATGGTCTGTGGGTAGGTGAGCATGCGGGTAACCTGACGCATGGAGCGGTCATCGTTGATAGCCGCGAATTCGCGGGTGTAGAGATAAGTATCCCAGTTGGTCATGTTAATGACGAAGTTGTCGTCCTGAGGACCGGGGTAGTGGAATTCAGGGAAGAACCGGCCGGAGTGCAGATCGTGGTCATCTTCATTGATCTGACGCAGAGTCTCACAGATCTCGAGATGGGCCTCGAAGTCATCCATCCAGTGACCCTCAGAGCAGTAGACTGGCACACCGCAGTCAGGGCATTCGAAGTGCGAATGGGCCGGGGGCAGGTTTGCTTCGTCGGTATCTTTTCTCGCCTCGGGATCGTGCGGTGAGACAGGCATGCGAGTCTGCTGGTGACTTGGGTGGGGGCAGAAGGCATTCTGCTTGATGAACTGAGCGCGTTTGCGGATTGCCGGCGCAGGGGAGTCCGAGAAGGAGTGGAATAGGTTGTCCGGTTTCAAGACGGCTTGAGGGTTTCGCATGCGGGTTGCGGTGTGAGCAGCTCGCTGGGCCTGGGGCACAGGAGAGGGCTTGGCAGGAGCACAGCAGGACTGGCTGTGTACGTGCTTGGGCTGCTCTGGGGAGCTGCCGAGCGATCGACCATTGCGGTGCGAGCCGAAGCTGCGGATGAAAGACGGGGAGACTGGGCTGCTCCGTCGTACGGGAGCGAGGCTCTGTAGGCGAGCCTGTGGAGCTGATGCCCGGACCCCTTGACGAAGGGCCTGAAGGCACTGGACACAAGTGTATCCTGCCATTGCGATGTCAATTGGTTTGTGGAGGGGGAGCAGTCAGACCGCGGATAGCTTTGGGGATGTTTTTGCGGCACGTGACTGATAACGATGATGGATTACCTGGACACAACTGACACAACAGAACATTTCCTCTCTCTCTCTCACTCTCACAGAACATTCCATACTGTGGCACAAGAGTTAAAGTACACAATAGTAGGAATAAAAAAGCTATGCACTATGAATTCATATGTATGACAATGCGACTCTTGTACAAAACTACCACGTCTTCTTCATCAGAAGATATCCTCTGATCGAGTCCAGTCATGCGCCTCTCTGGACTCCCAATACTTCCCATTGTGAGCCCAGAATTCCTCTCCGGTGATAGGACACTTGTCACGAGTAAACCATTGCGGCTCGTAGACCTCGCCGTTTGTATCACGCTCTCTGCGCTTGGCACGTTGCTTCTCCTCCACGCGGTGCTTCTCATCAGCAGCCAAGGTGTATTCACCGTCTTCCATGGCACGCTGATCGGGTCGCAGTCGAGTGTCCGTGGGAGGGAGCCATTCCTTCAAACCATCCGGGAGAGCATTGAGCGTGATGACAAATGGGGTCAGGTTGAAGGGCACACCCGTGGGACGCGCATGAGCCTGCCAGACCAGGAAGGTCTTAGCAGACTCGGGGTCCTGGCCGGAAACAGGCGCCTCGAAGCCAGGAGTATGGCGGGCGTAGATCTTGTCGTTCCAGCGGCCACCAATACTCCACTTGGGGGAGCCGTCCTTATCGACGACCTTTCCTGTGACTTGGTAGGCCGACGAGGCCTTCCAGCCACGGGGTTTGAAGTCCAGATAGCACACTTCGCCGGTGGTCCAGTTCTTGATTTCCATAAGGCCGTAGTTGTCGACTGTGGGGTTGCCTGTGATAATGCCGATGACCGATGAGGTGACCTTCTTCCAGGTATAGAGTTCCTCGCCTCCGGAGGCAGGTCGCAGCTTCAGGAACCATGTACCCAGCAGGTTGATGTCAAACGATTTCCCGTAGAACTTGGACTTGAGAGAGGATTCACCCTGAACAGGAATATAGTCAGCCCTGCCAACAGCAACCAGAATGTAGATGTAGATGCACTTACCCAGTAATCCCATTTGGGCGACTCAGCCCACGCAGCGCCAATCGGTGGATGGTGGCTAACTTGCTCCACGAAGAAACGATATCCTTTATCCGGACGCACATACTCGAAGGTTTCGCCGAGAAGAGGGTTGAAGGGCTTCGCAACACGGCCAATGGTTGAGGCATACTCACTCGCGGCATACGTGGCCACGTAAACCAGGCGTTCCATCGAATCGGTGCGATCAGCAGCGATATCAAGGAGATCAGTGTACTCGAGATCCTCGGCCACTCGCTGAAGCAGTGAAGTTGGTTCGTTGAAAGACACCGGTAGCGTCATCTTCGTCATATCCTTTCCGATCATAGACTTCAGGATACCCTATATCGTGGTCAGCAAAGAAACGAAATTCAAGCCAACAAGTCAGGACTTACCCAAAGCGAGATCTTCGGCCGGTCATCCGCGTCCATCTTAAGTCGCTCTCTCACTGGTGCTTCGTAACCCTTGAAAGAGGGTGCAATGACAGTGCTCTTCACAGCCCGAAGCTCAGCACTTTCATATTGAGGACTTTGTATCTTGCTCTCATCAACCTTGCTGAAGTCCTCTACTTCGATCTCGCCGGCATCAATAGCATCGAAGAACTCTTCTCCGTCAGACTCCGAATCATAGAGGCTGCTAACTTTGGAGTAAGTCGATGGGTCGCGACTGAGACCAGGTTTGACTGGTGCTTGTGGTGCAGGCTGGTCTGCTTTTTCGGTCGTCTCAACAGCCGCCACTTCGGGATGAGTCGCCTCAGGAGCCTGGTTCTCTGCTGGCAAACGGGAAGGCGCCCCGGCAAGAGAGCGGCTACTTCCTGTCGCATTCTCGAGGGCTTCCTTCAGAGCACGCTTGGTTCGCTTCCGCTTTTCCTCAGACTCGCCCATCTTGGACTGCAGCTCCTCATGCTCTTGAGCCACGCGAGCCATGCTCTCTTCCCACATCTGGCGAATGGACTCCTCTCTGCTAAGACGAGACTGCCAATAAGAGTCTCGATCCCGCGAGATCTTGAGCAAATTCTGCACAAGCCCCTTGAGACTGCTGACTGCAGCCTCGTAGGCGCCAAGTGCCTGTTCAAGGGCTGGATCCGTGATGGTCATGTCCGGATTCTTGGACTTTTCGGCCTGTAGCGAGGCAGCCACATTTGCGAGAAGATCCAGTTGAAGCTTCGCAGACTGTGCGGTGATATTCAGAGCATCCTTATCAGCGGCCGGCATCTCGTTCTCGTGACTCGAGCCATAATCGACGAATTCTTCATCCTCGCCCTCCGCGTCCGGTGCAGTTGTTACATGGCTGATGACTCTGTTCATCTCGCTAGGGCCAGAGTTGTACTGTTCAATAGAGCCACCGTAGGCAGAGCTATCCTCGTCCCCGCCCGGGATATCAAGGGTGGTGCGGGATGCATATGTGCTGAGCCTTGTGCCACTGCTGCTGCCACCGCCCAAAGAGGGAGGAGCCAGACCCTTGACGCTGGGTTTGTGAGAGAGGCCAGACTCAGACGGAGTATGATCTATCTTGGCCTGGCGAAGCACCTCTGCGTTCTTTGTCCGCTGACGCTCCTCCTCCTTCGCTTCGTCCTTGGCCCACTGGATGGCATTATTGAGGGACCAGAACCAGCGTTTGGCCTCCACAACATGGTTTGCCTTAAGGTGATATTTGACGGATGACTTGCCATGGATCTCAAAGCGCGTCTTGTCCTGCGCATCCATGTTAAGTCTAGCAATCTTCATGTTGATCGCACCGCGACAGGCAGACCCTGCATCATCTATACCGCGAGTTAGCAGAAATCCATGGTATGGAGAATATCGACTCCTGAGCTTACCCTGGTGTTTATAATAACTCAAAACTCCATCTTCCAGGACAAACCAACGCAGCTTGTAGCCGGTGGTATAGTTCGTCCATTTCTTGAGGTAACCTCTCATCTCGCGAGCATCCTTGCCAGCAAGCGGGGCGTCACCCACCGAAACACGACCGGCGAGTCCTTGGGCATTACTATTTCCGAGGATAGCCCTCTCCTGGATGCCGCGCTGTGCAATAGCAGCCGCCGGGGATCTCTTCAATAGAGCACGGATCTTATCATCTTTGGTAACATCCTGCGGCAGCTTCCCCTTCTTGTCGCGGCGGAAAGGATCCGCACCATGCGTCAAGAGGATCTCAATAAGCTGCGCATCTTTATTTCTCGCGCCCTCATGCAAGAGCGTGCCGCCGGACTGGACAGTCGTCACGTCGGTAACCAGGTCCTGGCTGTTCACATCCATAATACCCTCTACCCGGGGCTCTTCCAGCAAAGCCTCCAAGTTCTTGTAATCAGAGCGCTGGATCAACGCCTGGATTTCCTGGTTCTTGCTATCGATGAAGAGAGACCGCGCAAGCTGAAGCTGCTGGAAGATATCAGGGGTTCGGGCCATATCAAGGGCCGTCTGACCCCGATAATTGACAATAGAATCATTGATAGATGGTCGATTCAGCAATTCGCGAACAAGCGGGCCCCGACCCAACTGGGCGGCAATGTGAAGTGGCGTGTTTCCATCTCGATCGCGCGAGTTGATGTCGAGGTCTTCCGCTGCGGACATCACATATTCCACGACATCTGGCTCGGCGCATTGCAGAGCCAGATGAAGGACGGTCGTGCCGTTGAGACCATTCGCGCCCTGTGCGTCGTTGGTGTCGTTGATGGCCTTGGCGATGGCGTTGGTATCCCCGCTACGCAATATTTCGAAGAGACGAAAGGTGCGAACAGACTGTTCAAGCGACATGGTGCCACTGTCCCCCTCGAGTACCGAGGGCATGTGTTCAGTCGTGTCCATATCCTCGGCGGATTCTTGAATGGCCGGGGGCGGACTCGGGTCCTGGGCCTGTTTGCGACGGCTGTGGCGGCTGCTGCTGCGGGTGTGTTTCAACGAGCCAGGATTCGAGGAGGTAGAGGCGGAAGTGACTGAGTTGTTACTATCACCGCTGTCATCAATATCTTTATTTTCGCCCTTGGACTTATCGCGGTGGAGGAGGGCCAGTGCTATTGCGCTTCGAGAGCGTTTGTGCCTGAGAGAAAGTGGCATGTCAGTAAATATATATATACCCGACAGTTGACACGTGAATCCGATAGCGGGGGAATTATTTTGCTTTATCACAGCTGATCAGGAAGGTGAGGCAGAAGGTCGAGGCTGTGCTCCTAACAGCTGTCATGGGACACATGTCGAACCATGGATCGACTCTCGGGATGAACTCACCCTTCAGGTCTATCAGGCATCTTTCGACTGTAGCTCGCAGGTCCAATACATCCAGAGATATCTTTTGTTCAGAATTTGGACATGAGAAGAAATTCGAGGGGGGCCTCGGACCCTTATTTGGGGGGCAAATGACGCTGATCTCCGCCTTGGCAACATGAGGCCCTAGTTCGATCGTGACCCGTGAACACCTTTACGCAGCTTTATCTACCAGGAAATATGCTAGGTTCAATCTTCATTGTAATACACGCACTTGCTAAGGCAAGGCAAGCCATCAAGGCCGTCTAATCTATCATACAACAAAGTCGTCTCCAATATACAGACCACAGCTTACGTAGCTTATCGAGTCTCTCCACTGACAAGGACCACAACACTGCCCAATTGTCGCTTCAAGTCTTCCTTGCCCACATCGTGGGTATCCTCAACCTCACCCCACATGTTGGTCTGCCAGGTCACCTCCAGACTAGCTGCCTCGGCCGCCTCCTCAATACCGAACTTCTTCGTCTCAGATCGCTGGAGGTGGCGGAAGTTCTCACTCCATTCGACCAAGAGACGGACCGCGATGAGAAGACTCTTGGAAGCCAGAATACCCCGCTCAAGGCCAGCCAAGTCATGCGCAGACAGTTCCGAAACCCATTTGGAGATGCTCTCCTTGGTACCCTTCGGCTGGGCGAGAGGTAAAATGCTATCGACATCGAGAATAGGGATAATCTCGAGTCCCGGCCACACCTTTGTAGACAAGAAGCTCATAATATCCCCCGCGACCCTCGTCTGAATCTGGCGGAGAGTCTCGATGGGCTTTCCGTCGGCCGTTCGGTCCAACGCGTGAACTGGTCGCTCGGGCTCCCAGCAGAGTAGCGTATCAGTATCTAGATAGCGCATGGCTGTGGCAACGATCTGTTTTCTGGTGGTGTTTACGCCCTCGGCATCTTCACGGGCGATATCGGTGGCGCGGGCTGCAATCGAGGTCATGGGAATAAGGTGGCTCTTGAGGGCCTGTTGGGCAGAGCGCATCACATCCCACTCCAGGGCAACGGCGTGGGCGAGGTGAGGTTTTGTGGAAGGAATAGATAGCACTTCTTTCGCCGGGGTTCTCACGGGTCGCTTGTCAAGCAAGACTTGGTATTCGTCTGCGGGGAAAGGATAGATTAGCTGGTGAGTTCTTCCATAGATGGCTAGATCTATCAACGAAGAAGACCTGATGGACAATGCCCAATCCGCTCATACCTGGCTTCGCATGCACATGAACATCTTTCCAGAACCGCTTCTTCAGTGCCGCGGTGAGATTAGATCGCGATAATTTGTCCTCCGAAGCCGGGGGCTCTGCATCTTTCGAGTTGGAAATTTCCTTGACCCCTGAGGGAGGCGCTGGAGCTTTAGGAGGAGGGCCGTGAGCAGTGATTGGGTGTGCAACGGCCGATCTGAACGGAGACGAGTGAATGCGCCGGCATAACGAGACGGGGGTACGGGGGACGGCGGATAGCTGCAACGGGAGCGCAGCACGAGTGAAAGCGGCCATTTCTCGTTATGCGGAAGGTCAAGCCTGTATAAATAAATGGTGAAAGGGGTTGAGGTGGTTGGTTCCTGAACCCAAAGAGATCAATTGGAGTTCGAACATTTTGGTCCGAAGTCTTGGCTCGCCATACGCGCCACATCTTGCCGGGATCTACTTCAATTCACCTGACTCCCATCAGATAGTCCCTTGTCAGTGTCGATTTGATCGCATCATTTGTTCTACATTTATTCTCTAGGAGGAAACATATGCGAATATCCAAATCGATTAAGAATTACCTGCCCGCAACTTGAAACAAAGCAGAATGACAATTCAAATCAGAATACCGCCCACCCTGCATCTAAGAAGACAAATACTCTCAAGGCAAACTCAGTCGAAGCTGAAAAGCAGAGACGCAAAGGAGTCAAGCGCAGAAGAATCGTAAAACCACGAGATCCGCCCATGCTTTTGTAATTTACAAGAAGAGAAGGGGAAAAGAACAGCCTCGATGGATCAAGACCGGCCACCGTTTTGTTTTTTTTTCGATAGGCAGGCCATGTGCCAGGAAAAGTAAAGCACTGGGCTGAAGAAGAAGGCAAAGAACGGTCGAAATGGTATCACTCAGTGACTAGAATCCGACGTCGAGAAGACCCAAAAAATGAGCCAGAAGTATGGCACTATGCCACTTCGAATGTTTGCTCGTATCGGTTGCTCTCGACAACTTGGCGATACGTGCATAATCGCCAAGGTAGAAGGATGGAAAAGGGAATCAGGGCACATCTAGAATCAAAGCAGAGCATATGGGTGTCGTCACGGCATTTCGTCATGAGATAAAAGGGCCAGCCAATTGAATGGGCAGCAAGATGTTTTTTTCTCTGCTCTCGAAAGCATACTCGGGGTTATGGCAAGACCAAGTTCGGCCGAAGGATCGAGAGCAAGAGAAGGTCTCCCAGTCAAAACCGAAGACTTCATTTAATGAGGTATTGCGGGTAGTACGGTTGCTTCATGCGATCAGCATCCGTCCGCTTCTTCATACGCTCAGCGTCATAATCATCGGCGCCGTCTCGGCTACCCCAGGTTGTCTGTAAGAAAAAGTCAGTCTAGCCCTCGGACAGTGTAGTTGCGCAATGCAAAAGGTAAAAAAAGGCAACCAAATCAAAAGGCAAATATTTTGAGATCTGAAATCAGAATTGGCACGGGAAGAGAGTGGGTAAAAAGCTGCAAGAAGGAGGAGACCGGGATCAAAGCGCTGTGAGGGTGGATTATCATAGGAACGGGGAATACGGGGACTGCGCTTGGATGCGGCAGATATGCACCAAGTAAGAAACAAAGGTTGCATAGTAGAAAAAAACAGGGAAATGAGAACAACAGAAAAGTAAGAATAGTAAGAAATATAAAAAGTCCAAGTGAAACAAAAAAAAAAGATTCGAACATACCACATTCAATGTCATTACAGCGTACATCTTGATGGCGCCGTGGAAATAGCCAAAGAGGATGGAGACTGGCAATAATAGCACGTCGACTGGATAACGAAGGTAATGACCCAGTAACTTGATCCATTTGCTAGTAAAGATCCACATGTAAAGGAGAGTCATGCATTGAGCGTGTAAAGACTCTCCCCATGAACCCGTTGCCTTGTGACACAACCAGACAAGCAACAGATCGCCTACAAGAGCGGGCGGCGACAAAGTTGTCAAGTGAACGGCATAAGCGCTCCAAGGCTGACGACTATCATCTCATATTAGCTTCGATCTTCTGCGGCTGAAAAAAAAAGCAAAGGGTAACTTTATCGCCATCCTGCATCTAGACTCAGAAAGACCCCGAACCGTATGTCTCGGGATCTATCAAGTGGCAAAGGCATCGAGATGCGAAGAAAGGAAAATGCCATGAGAGATAGAAGAAGGCAAGAGAGAGAAACCAATCGGAGAAGAAAAAGAAGAAGCGTTGCACTTACTGCCAAATGTGCTTCTCGTGAAACATTGAAGTCAGATTGCTCCGCCAATTGCTTCTTGACCAGCGGGCGCATTGCTTCAAGAAACGAGGGTTATCTTCGAGAGTAGTCAGCACCTCCGCCTCTGGGTGGTACTGCATATAAGTTTCCCAGCCGTGCGAGACCATCCACCGGGTGATAAAGTTATCGTCGTCGGCGTTGAGTTGGTACTTCCCCCACCACCATTCCTCATTGGTGAAGGCATAGGCAAAGGTCTCGTTCTGCAAAATTTGTGTTCGATACGCAACCGTGCGTCCCGACATGCAAGGAAGTCCACCGTCCATATGGGTAGTCGCGCCGCAGTCGAAATTGCGTCGTTCCAGGTACAGAGCACCCAAGAAGCCCCAGATCCGCTGTGAGAGGCTTGGGTTACTGGCCCGGCGCAATCGCTGGCATGTCACCACGCCACCATATTTCTCGTCCTTTTCAAAGGGTGCCAGAATCCAAGGAAGCAGAGTCCGGGGCCAGCTCACGTCGTCATCGGCGAGAAGAGTGATAGCGGTTCGGACCTCGGGAATCGCACGTGTCATCTGGCGGCGCTTATTCGGATGCTTCACAGTAAACAAGCGGATCCGAGATTTGGAGGCTGGCATTGCGCTCAGCATCTGTTCGGCCTTTTTGCGATTGGCCTCAATTGTCACCAGTAGCACCTCAAAGGGTTGATTATCGAGGATGGTCTGTATCGTCTCCACCACTTCATCACCGCAACCCTCCAAGGATGGAATGATCACCGTCACATCTTGCGAGGTCAATTTAGGGTTCTCCGGAGGTGGGATTGGTTTGAATGTCCAAAAGGAGAACAGATTGAGCACAAGACGGGTATAACGATAGATACTAGTACCGAGTTTAGCTGGTGGCCGATCAAGCTTCCCCCAGGTGTGTACTCACAAGAGTGTGACAAATGCTCGCATAAACGGGAAGGCCATGGTGTGAAACTCGACTCCCGACGCTTTTCCTCAAGCGAGCTGATTTCGCAACTTTTGGGAGATTGTCTGAAGATGAGGTATAAGCATTCAATGTGCTATGCCGACGACCCAATCCTGTGGTCAATTGTCAATTGCCTCTATGGGCTTTCGGGTCAAGTCACAAACGAATGTCGAGAGGACCAAGCTTCCTTTCGGCCTCGAGGGAGAAGAGAAGGGGAAAGGGAGAAAAAGAGATAAAGTACTTTGGTTGAAGGGAGAGCGCGATTAAGTAGGAAGAAGGCAGCACATGCGATGAGCTAGATTAGAAGATTATTCTTAATATAATAAGGATAAAATAGAAATAAAAAAGCATATATAAAAAAGGAATAAAAGTGAATAAAAGCCAAGAAAAAAAAATAGAAAAATAGAAAAAATAGAAAAATACAAGGACTAAGAAAGCCAACTAAAAGCTGTGCCCCAGTCCCCCGTTGTCGTTTTGAGTGTGCTGCAGGTGTAGTTTTGCCTCGTGCGTAAGAGACCCTGGATCTAGAGGCAGTCCGAGGTGGAGAGGAAGATTGGCGGCCCATGCAGAACTTAGAAGTGGATAGAAAGTGACTACAATTATCTTACGTATCTTACGATGGTACAGTAGTAACTAAAACCGACCTTATTTCCGATATGATCATGTGTGGTCTGGAATGTTATATCTACGGCAACTAGGGATTTGCAGCCAAAGAAGAAGGTACGTACGATCACGGGTGAAGTTCATCCTGTTCAGCCGGTGGAGACCGATATATGCACTCTTTTTGGAGTATTTTACATTTACCCAGAGTAAAATAAGATTCCAAATGAGCTCATGGATAACAGGCAACTATTTAGGTTAGTTCATTTAATATTCTTTAACGACCAGGATCAGCTATATCAGCTATAACAAAAACAAATGGAGAACATATCCGGTCATGCACGAGATGACCCTGGTTCTTCGGAACTCGAGCGACCTTCCATTGGTGCCCAGGACAACCGACTTGCCAAAGCTCTGACATCGATCGCCCTGTCAATTCTCTATCTTTCGGTCATAATCAGAGAGATTCCTCCCCACACAGAGCTGCCGATTGAACGGAAAGTTGATTTGTGGAACAATTGGGATTTTCCTCTGACAATTCTATTAGCGTCTTGGTGGCCGCAGGAAAATGGAGTCGATTCGGGTTCCCAGGAAGATCCGCCAAAAGTACCAGAGCGCCGTTTAGCTGCTTAGGGCCAGAATGGCACAATCTCGGAGTGGATATTGGCCGGAAAAGACTGCCTAGGTGCGAGCCAATGCTTGATTACAGACAGTTCTACTAACTGTCTAGGTACCTGTCGTTGACTAGCCTCAAACCGAACAAGGAAAAATACGGGTAATCCTAGTGGCGATCGCTTCGCACAGTCTGTTCGCTCGTGCTCTTCACGGACAAGCTTGAGTGGGGCATAACCTTTTTACAAGATACGGAACTGCAACCGTTGCAAAATACTGCGTGCATGGCAATGTATAAATAGAGGAAATGATCCAACTACATATCAAGGCAGATTGCGCGTTTAAGGGCAACCAGCTGCCTAGGTGGCGTGAAGGGTAAAAATGCCGGTCACGAGTACATCTCGTGGCGATTAGTAAGTACTGTAGAATGTGAACTTTGTTCGAACAACCTGTTGAGGCCGTGCTCAGAGTTTGTACGATACCTTATAAAATACATGGGGTATGTGGTATGGAGTTAGATCGGAGATACTACGACTGTGTATAGGAGCTGGGTAATCAGTCATGTAGCTCGTCCACAACAATAGTCCTCAAATACAATACTACGTTGTATACGAAGTACACAGTATGCTGACAACCGCGCCAGTTGTCGCTTTGGCGTCTAAAAGTGTAGGTTCAGGGCGGGATCCATGGAATTGAAGCTGCAGAAAGCCCAATGTGGATAATTCACGGGATCGGCCAAACATTCGAGACTACGCAATCTGGTACTTTGGAGATCGCTAGGGCCTTTCTCGTGGCAACGTCTACGCTTCTATCTGCAGCAGTTCCATCTGGGTTCGGTGCATATGTCCAATCTCTTATATCCTGGTAGACAAGGTCCATTGAGTCCCGACCGAGCCGAAGATTTTCTCCTTCCCTCCCTCTTAGGAAAAAGTACAAGTTAGCCACGGTGCTTGGCCGATTCGTCAGATCACGTTAGCAATGAAACAGACGCGTATCGCTCGGCTGCACGGACTTCCCCCCCCCAAGTTGAACCCGCTCAACTCCACCGGCCGGGAATGGCCGGTGTTTTTTAACTAGTATTTGGCTATGTATTTGCGATATCCAGCCTTTATGAGTTGTAAAGGTGGAGGCGCGCATAGACCCCCTCCACAGGTACCAACCAGATAGGTGCTGGTTGGAAATAAAATATGGGGACCATACAGGAACTTGGAAATCACGGGAAAAAGGGGCGATGACATGCAGCGATCACCATCTGGGCAAATTTCCTCTCTGAGACTGTTCAGTCCATTTTCAGTAAGTGTCCAAGCCGAAATATCTCTCGATTCTCCGGCTCTAGTGAGGACGTTTATGACTAGGATTGTTAGTAGAGGTGCTAAGTCAAGTATAGTACGGAGTATCAGAGATTTAGATCGACGAGGGAAGAATTCGTAACTTTGGCAGTGGATCAGGAACAAAGATACTCTACATATGTCCTACTACTCAGACAAACCCATTGTCTTTCTCTTCAACGCTGTCTTTGCTCTCTACCCCTCAGTCAAAGTGGGAAACTGGGTCCACGGAAACCCACAACGGGCAGTTGTAACTGTCAGCATTTCCACCATCTCCACTCTCTTCCAACATGGAAAAACGAACATATAGCGCGATCTGATGGCAACGGCGTAGGAGTTGCAGGGGGGGGACCACATAAAAGACGATCTAGTACGCCTAACTCTGTCCACGTACATATGTTCATTTCGGAGAGAAGAACAAGGCCCGCTAAGTAGCAAAATATGTATAATTGGTCTGAGCGCAGGTAAAATCATCCGTGCCATTCTAACCGCTCTGTGGTGGGTTAGTTGCAGCAAATGGGCTTGGCTAACATTTGACTGCAACCATGGTACTGTAGCCCGGGATAATCACCGACCTTGGTACCCACTCGGCTCCACCTTTCATCAATAACAAATTGAAGGGTATTGAAGTAATTTTGACGACGTACAATGTATTTCCAAATCAGAAAGTGATAGTAATGCAAATACAGATCAATTCTGTTACTTAATATGACCTCTTCCTATCACAGTACACAGTAGGAGAGAACCTGGGAATGATAGAGAGAGAGAGAGTACCTAGGAGCCTCATCCCGGAGAACCGAGCTTCAGGTTCTCCGCTGAAAGAAGCCTAAATGCCCTCTGTGCTCAACCTCCGCCTTCGTGTCGTCTTTCCTGACTCAGACGCGGACAGGATTGGCCACTGCGGCTCTTTACGAGTTCACTAATCGGGTAACATGTGCATCGTATGTCTTGCTAAGCAGTTGGCACGATCTCGATAGACGCAATGGTCGCTTACCATACCTCTCAAAGTATCTCTCGAATACCGAGCGCAGGCTTATCTGGGCTCTTGGTGCTGTCAGTGCGCATTTGCGCAGCCTCGACGGCTAGACTCTTTTCGTACCGAGGTAAACGCAATGTAGATCCAGTCAAATGAACCATATGCCTACTGGGACCTATATCCATATCTAGGAACCGGAACCTCGCTTACAACGTCCCAATTCCTCCATCGTCAGGGGTATCTCTAGAGCTCTGGCTAAACCGGGGTCGTTCGGCCGTAGCCAAGTATCAACCCTAGAATGGAAACAAAGAAAACATCAGGCCACGTTGGCCATGACCTTATCCAACTCGTATCCAGCCGGGCCTTCGACAACATACTCCGTATGCAAAGGGACAAAGAACGGCAGAACCCCAATGCACTCGGCACATCCTGACGTCAAGGTCCGTAAAATCTCCGTTCATGCAGCTGGGATCAGCCCGTGGCCATACGGAGAAGCGGCAGAGATGCTCATAGACGGAAGGACCGTCTTCGTAGCGGAACTGCACGAGGTGCATCCCCCCGGCCACTAATGCGGTGCAGTTAGGAAGACTATTCCTGATCTTATTGGAAAAGGAAAAGGCAAAAAAGTTAAGGAATATTAATAAGGAATTACCCTTTCTAGAACCCATGCGCAGAATATCCCTGACGCCATGCAGGTCTGGAGCCTCGGCGTTGGCCGTTGAACCAGATTTAATAGGCGCAGATTAATCCATGCCGTTCGAACCTTTGCTCATTTTAACGGTTACTTTTGGTTATTTGTTCTCAGGGGGTTTGCGAATTCAACTCTAAGCGAAGTGATATCGAGGCTAATCTTCTCCAAGTCAGGATCTATAGGACTTGCACCATCATAGCAGTCAGGAGCAATAGTGCACAGAAAGATAAAAATAGAGTAAGCCATCACACGAGGGAGTTCTCAGCCCTATGATCAGCCCCTTACTTGGCACGATGAGCAGCTAAAGCACATGCACCGTTTACTGAGGCCTCCATAGCCAACCTGCAGGGTCAAAGCAAGACTCGAAATCAACGCCACCAAACAGTCCAATCGCTCCGTAGAGGTCATAGTCCCCTTCCAATCCCTCAACACCCCCAGACTCCGCATCGACTTCCTCATGCAGATCCCATCCTTCAGATCGGCGTCCATTTCGTGTGAAGAAGATATGCACCTTGCATTTCCTGCTCTTCTTCTCCCCACTGTAGATATTATCCGGCAGGGAAATCTCCATTCCGATTCCGACCGTCTCACCAACCTTGAACGCCGTGGTAAAATCCCGACCTCCAAACGAATCATTCACAAAGCGACACCCATCATCCGAGAAGACGCCCAACCCACCTCGCTCCCAGCCGGGTGATCGCCACGACGGATAAGGCTGTGCAACAAACCCAATCGAGAACCCACTGCTGTCATGCGGAGTCGGCCCAGCTCTCAACGCCAGCAGCTTCACTTCAAAATAGATAGTTTTCTTCTGCTCGCGCACAAACGGCGAATCCTCAAGCGGGAAGTACAGCGGCAGCTGGGTCATAATCACACAGTCAGGATTAGCGTCTGCGCTGCGTCCACGCCAGCGACCACGAGCAACAGCCGACACCTGCCCGCGCAGCTCATTCGGCTGTACAGGTCTTAGATCGTGCATCTGGACGTCGTGATATACGGCCGGCGAGGGCTTGGTTGGGAGCCACAGCGGCACTGAGTCGCAGAAGTCATGAGCCCGCTGCGCATCGTCCTCTGAAGCATTTCCCGTCCCGGATATCAGGTATCCTGTGATCGGGGGCGGTGGAAATGTGGCTGTGTCGGGGACTGCATCTTGCCAGTTGTGATATGGCGGTGGGTTTGCATCCTGTGGCTGGTACTGAGTGCCAGGGAACCCCGTCCCGGATGCTGATTGTGATGCATCATAGCTTGGCGGCAGATCGGAGAACTGGTTGTGGGGTTGGTTAGACATGTGGGAAGCTTGTCTGTAGTACAGTGTACGGAGTAAGGGATGTGAGTGTAGATGCTGTAGATTCAGGTTGATTCAAGTGAGTATTGAATGAAGATGATTCTTTCAGAGAGGTAGAGGGTAAGATATAAGAGGGATCGAAGAGAGAAGATGCCAAGTGGGGCGGAGTGACTGTGCCACTTCCTGGCAGTTTCACGATAGTCGAGTTGGTAATTGGCCCAATAGTCGTCGATCTTCGTTTGAGTTGGGTTGGGTTAGAGGTGAAGTTGGAGGTGAAGTTGAAGTTGTAACTTGTAAGTTTGACTTTGAACTAAGAGAAAGAGTTTCATCACATGGTTGATGCATCCTCTAAGAATAGCAAGTCTCAGATGCAGCCAATGCCACAGTCGCGGTGGCTTTTCAATGTCTTCAATTCTTGACTGTCAAATGTTGTGTTCTTCTTCTTCTTTATTCGTCTTTTTTCTTCTTTTTTTTCCTCTTGCTTTTCTTTTCTTTTTCTCACTTGCTTTTGCTCTTTCGTTTTGTGGCCTGGGGCCTCGTCTCTCGTTTATTACGCGCACTCGACTCGACTTGTCATTCACGACTCACTCACGACTCCTCTTGATTTCAGTTCAATGTCTCTCGCTATTTAGATCAGTCGTTCGCTAAACCAGTCGACATCCAGCTTTCACTCTTATGGAGATCATTTCGGCCGATCAGCCCCGCAGGGGCCGTCGATCATCCTTCTCGGAGCACATCCACCGCGTGTTCAACAAATCTTCGGATGTAAGTGAGCCCCTGCAAACAGTCAGGAGCTTTGTTTGACTCCTTGAAGAAGCGACATAGCAGTGCTTTTGTTCCCCCGGTGCCCTTTCTGGAGCGTGAAGCTCTCGCAAATGAGGCAACCGGCGACAATGCTTCCTATGCCAGGCAATCCTTGTACGTTGAGACCGGACCCAGTTCGATCTCTCGTTCCTCCATGAACTCTTGTCTGCCCTCTACTGGCACACCTGGCTCTAGTCTATCCATCGCGCCCGTTGGGACCTCAGAGAATGGCACTCCAACCCAGCAGATGACGCCTCTAACAACTAGCCGTCCCAAGGACCGAGACAATATCTGCAAATCACCAACCTTGGATAAACCCAAGAAGAAAGAAAAGCGTGTTACGAAACGGCTGGAGGCCGAGAGAAAGGAACTTGAGAAACGGCTGCTAGCACTTGAAGAAGCCCAGTCCAAGGCCGACCTCGGAATATATGAGAGATCATCCCGCCGTCTGACCAAAAAGCAACCCGTGAGCAACTCAAGCAGATCTTCCAGTGCCAATGCAGAACGTCCGAGATCTTCGAGTAGGCTGTCCTCGATATTTCGGCGATCGCGCCGGAATTCGACTTCGAGTGACTTGGACTCCCAGTCCCCCGAGTTTAGCCAGCTTAGGAATGATACGAACCCACCATCTCTGCCCTTGACTCTGCCTGAAAGGTTTGGAACGGCTATCACTCGGGAACTCCAGTCCACGCACGGCACGGCACTGAACTTATCCGCTTCGAACAGAATGTCTAATCCGACACAAAGTCGTTCGACTCGTTCGCTACACGCTGCGGCAAAATCTGATGATCTTCGCGAGAACTGGAGGATGGCCGAAGCCTGGAAGACAAAGAACGACGGCCGTCAGTCGACTCGTTCGGTTTCAAAGCAGATTTCCCAAGGCAGTCGGTCTATAGTTGGGAACGGTGCTCAAACTGGCGAGACAACAGCAGCCACAGCGGCCAGGGGCGATTTGGACCGCGAGCTATTCTCCGCAGCTCTGAAACATGATAGGAAGAGTGCCCCCGCGACTGAGTTCGTGTCTGAGCGTGTGGCCCGACATGACCGTTCTATCCGGGCCATTAGCATGCCAGTCCCACGAAGCTTGCCTCAACCCGACCCGCATCAACCCTATCCCAATTCGCCTACACAAGTCACCACAGCACATCAGTCGCAGGAGCTACTGCCCCCAGAGGCCCCAGAGGATTCTTCGAGTCCATCCAGTTCCAGATCCTATCTACCGCTCAACCCATCTCAAACAAACGCCACCGGGAGTTTCGCTCGAAAGGTCCGCGTGGAACAGTCCCCCCGAGCATACAAGTCATCTCCTCTCGCACTGAATCCTGTCAAAACGAATGAATCGCCACAGAAAGGCTCCATGGTCCCAGAAGCAGTGGCAGGGCAAAACATCAACAGCCCCATTCAATCGAAGCCGCCACAATCTTCCGCCCGGTCTCATCCCGAGGATCGGGGAAGAAGCCGACTGCCTGTGGCCGCTTCGAGTGGCCCTCGGCAGACGTCAAGTCGTTTCATGGAAAACTTCCATGAAACTTCACAAGAGAATAAGGCTCCAGAGGTTCCTATCAAAAGTGAGAGGCGGAGTCAAGAGAATTGGAGAATCAAAACCCCGTCAGATGAATCGCTGGGGGAAATTCCAGTGTCTCCTTTCCAGCCGGCCGTCAGATCCCCGTTCCACACTGGAAGCGTTTCGCCCGGTGGACGTAACAGACGGATGTCCAGAGACATGTCGGATGGAAATTCTGCTGTTTCTGCAAGGTCTCCCCGACGAGCGTCTCGCGCTTCCAATGAACTCCCGGGTAATATCCTTGCAGGTGGGGGACCCGGAGCGTTCGTACCAGGGCATAGCCACGCCCCTTCACACGCCTCCTCCCACGATGGGCACTCAAACCATGATAACGATGGGCACTCCAACTATGATACCGCTGACGAAGACACCCCAGAGTCTCCTGAGCTTAGAGAAAACTCGCTGACTCGGGTGAATACCAGTCCTTTGATCCCACCCATTGAGGCGCCCGCTGCTCAGCAGCCTCCAGTCAGTCAAACCATGCAAAACAATATTTCGCCTGGCATCCAGCCTAATATTCAACGTGACACTCAGCCAAGCACCCACTCTGACATTTTGGCCGGCAACCAGCCGGGAATCAGCCCTGGCAGCCCCCAAACCCGCCCAGCCCCCATGAGCATCCTACAGCGAAGATCCGAAAAAGCGAAAGAAAACCGGCCACCACCAATTTCCAAGCTCTTCGTCATCTGCTGTCGGTGCAAGTACTGGCACGACCTACCATCCGAAGTGTATGCACGCCTCGCCTGCCCGGAGCGCCTCGGTCCAGAGTCCAAACTGAGCAGAGCCCTCTCCAAAAAACGGAACGGCAGCGGCTCCCGCAAGCTGACAGGCTCGCGGCCCCTATCCTTCGGCTATTCTGCTTCCCGTGCCCAGGACACGCCTGATCTGCACCCTGCACCACTTCTGCCTCGCAAGGTGACCTGCTGCTGGTGTGGACATAACATGAGCCGGTCTTGCTGTGAGGGCTGGACTACCGTTGTGGAGATGCGCGAGCGTCATCATTGAGTTGGATGACTGGATTGACGATACCGCAAGAGATTCCCTACAAGATACAAGATATGAATTTAACGATTAGGATGATGCCATGTTATGATTATTTACTTGCCATTTTTCAGTTTCACACCGTGTGTGTCTGCATCTGCATTTTATTTGGCATATGCGGTCCTGCTGATTATGTCTTGAGCCATTTCACGTTCAGATAATCAGATTAATGAAGTCAAATGAATGAATATGAATGAAACAAGACTTGATGGTCCCATGTAGTTCCAGTCTGCCTTCGACTCGAGACTTAAGGGATGTGAAGCATACTCGGCTACCTAGTATCTCTGCTAGTGTACGAGGTCGGTATGGTCATATGCGTGAATATACTGTTGTTGGGAAAGGAACGACATCAGTTCTTTGGACGAAGGCCGTGTCCCACAAGGCCGAGATATACCATATTCTTCGCAGGACACAGGGTTCTGCGGTCCCCGTATTCTGGGGCAAGATCGATCTCGCAAAGATCTACTTTCGCTATGGTGTAGAGATTCGCCACATGCTCATCATGAGCAGACCTCGGGTCTTGGCAGGGAGATCAAAAGGTCGAACAAAGAAATTCGCTCTTTGGGAGCCCGACACCTAGACCTTCGGCCTGATAATATCCTATGGAACGCTCAACGCTGGGCGGCTGAGCTATGGCGGGCTTTGATTATTGACTTCCACCGGTCTGAGCTTGATCGTCGGCGAACCGCAGACAGGTCCAGGCCATTGAAGAGGTCCCGATATAAGGCAGAGATACCCGAGTCCAAGCGACGACTTACGAGTGATATAGTAACACGAGCCTCGTGATTCGACGTAGAAGTTGTTGAACCCTAACAAGCATCATGTCCGACGTATGAATGCCCAAGAACAATGAGATGTAGCAAAAGGTAGCTCTCAGGCCTTGCAGTGACATAGAAATAGCCAATTGATTACCTCAGCATGCTCAGACGAAACATGATTCGCTGGGTAATGCTCACATGACCTGCTCAACCAAGTTGGTTCAGCTCCAAACATTTGATTTGGACCTAACCATTACCTAATTCGGCTAGATATGTCATGTGACTGCACATGACCCAGAGTGACTAATAATGTTTGGTCTGAGCATGCTGAGGTAAGCCAATTGAGTTGTTGTGAAGCAATCCGATTAGGTTTAGCGCGCCAAGAAGCCGGCAGAATGTTTGGATCATGTGATACGGTCTGAGGGCACAGAGGTAACTCTTTTTTCTTCTTCTTCTTCGCCAACTTCCGTGCCAACTTCCGGCCCCTTCAAGACACCATTCCTCGGAAATATAATGCTGCATTTCCACAAATGGTGTCTTCCAGTACTCAATCTCATACTAATATACGCAGATATCCCAATTCCAGACACGTTCCACCCTCCGCAACTTCTCAATCCAGCTGTCCCAGTCCACACGGATATGTCCAAGGGCTCTCCTCTGGAGAACAGTCACCACAGCGCTGCGTATTGTGGCCGTGACCGACTGGAGCTGGGTTGCGAGCCGGATTCCTTCGGGGACTCGCGCTCACTCTGAAATTCACAAGTTGCTAGAGCAAACAGGGCCTTCATAGTTCATGTTTACTTGCTCGAGTCTTTTCCTTCGGGAGATTCACTGTCTACGAGAGCATGACTCCTTGCGCACTACATCACTTCATATACTTCATAATCATGAAATCTATTGCATTCACATATCTTCCAAATGTACTATGTAGTCCAATTTACAGCTTGCTCTTCCCGTCATTCACAACATTGACAACAACCTTGCCCCAAGTCTCCCGACTACCCAGCGCCTGCAAAGCGCGAGGCACACTCTCCAACCCAACAAACGTCTCATCCTTAAACGCCGTACCCTTAAACTTGCCCTGCTTCACAAGGTCAAAGATCCCCCGCCAAACCTCACCCACAGTCTCCGTCTCAAACCTGGCATACTGTCCCCAATGCAAACCAACAATGCTCACATTCTTCAACAGCACCCGGTTCAGCGCAACCTTCTCAATGCTGCCAGCGGCAAATCCAATCACCAACAAGCGCGCATTCCAGGCAACACACTTCAAACTCGCATCAATCATGCCAACCGGATCATAAACGATATCCACACCAGCGGCCCCATTACCCGACCTCTTCTCCTTACAGATCTTCTTCACAATCTCCGGCCACGCCTTATCTCCATAATCCACGACATAATCCGCACCGAAAGCCTTAGCAATCTCCCTCTTCCGCTCCGTCCCCGCAGTCGCAATAACCGTGGCCCCCATTGCCTTGGCCACCTGCACAGCAGCCAGACCCACACCTCCAGCCGCAGCATGCACAAGCACCCAATCCCCAGCCTTGACACCGGCACGCTGCACCAGACCTCCGTACGAGGTGGGAGCCGTCACGAACAGTCCAGCAGCATCTTCGAAGCTCCAGCCCTCCGGCACAGGGAGGAGTGTCTGCTCTGCGGCCAGGACATGGGTTGCATAGGCGCCCTGTGTGGCGCCGAAGACACGGTCGCCGAGCTTGAAACGGTTGGACTTGGAGGATGTGGGTAGGGCGGTGATTGTGCCGGCGAACTCGGCGCCGCCGATCCAAGGGAGTGGGGGTTGGTGTTGGTATTTGCCTTGGATTTGGAGGATGTCGAAGAAGTTTGTTCCCGCTGAGTGGATTTCGATGAGGTATTTGTCTGGTGAAGGGGTTGGTGTTGGGACTGTCGTTACTTTTAGGTCCAGGGGGCCCTATCATTCAATGGTTAGTTTTTGTTTTGGTGGATTTGAGGTAAGGATAAGGGTAAGGTAGTACCTTGACATATTCGCTGACTTGAACGGCACGCATTTTGGCGGTGTGTAGATTTGAAGGGGAGTAGTAGAGTAGTGAGTAGTGGGTGTGAGGGAAAGGTTATAAAGAGTTGAAGCTGGCCTGCTTTCCCCGCAAAAAATGCCGAGGTTCTTCGGATAAGGGTCTTGGCGAGACATACAGTAGTGCTGTGTAGAGTGTAGACAACTCGTACTCAGTAGACTCGTACTCAGTAGACTCAGTACTTAATAGACTCAGTACTTAATAAGTTAATAGACTTATCGCTGTCATTGGTATCAGAATATATACAGTTTCCTTTTTCATCCCAAACTCCAGAATCACCAAACGCATAACCGGGTATGAAAAGACGAACCACCCCATATTTAACATCAAACAACGTATCAAGGTATCAAGGTATCACAGATTGAACACAAAAAACAAGCCACCGAAAGCAAACCAAGCCAACTCCTAGTATCCAATGCCCGGAGGCTTCTGCACTTGATCATGACCCATATAAGGCATAATCGGGGCACACATGACCGAATGAGGCCCAATCTGAGAATGCGACATCGACGGCAGACTATGTTGGAACTGGATATGCGGCTGCATGTTCTTGCCCTCATGCTCTGAACGTGCCGGGTGTCCGGCCATGTCGTACTGCAATGACAACGCACGTTTCCAGTTCCTATCGCTGTACTCATGCGGGTACTCTGTCCCCTGGTAGTGATGGTACTGGGGATGGTACATCTGGTTTTGGCCGGGTAGGTAGCCCTGAATTTCAGGTGTCATGGGGGCAGTCGACTGCGAAACAGTCGCTGGGGGAGTGATAGCTTCAAAGGGCAGCGAGTACCACTGAGACGGATTGAGACCGTAGTCGACTGAGACAGCACGAGGCGACCAACTAACGCCGGCAGGGGTTGTGGCTGTGGTGGTTGGTGCCGGGCTAGTCAGGCATGATTCAGGAGAGAGCGGGTAGGCTGGGTAGCTTGGGGCGATGGCGGAGGTGGTATTCACCATCAGACCCTGGGTGACGGGGGAGGTGTGAGCATGGTCGAAGGAGGTCGTCGTTGGGCTGTGGTCATAGGAGACAGCTGGCGTGCGGTCTACGGCGAGGACGTGATCGCCTGAGGGGCTTGGGGTGAGTTGTTGGGTCATGGGAGGGCTCCATTTACGGTCCTCATCTTGGTCTGGGATGGGACGTGGGAGGGCGGACGGTTGTCCGTAGATGGGATGGCTCATGGGCCATTCATGAGACGTTGATGTCTCTCTGGTTGGTAATGATGGCAATGGGCGTTGGACGGTGGATGGCTTGTGCTTGACCTCCGTCTTCGGCTCTGCTTCACTTGCCAGACTCTTCTTTCTAGTTTGACGAGATGGCTTGGTTACCCGCCATTTCTTCAGTCTGCTTCGTAGTTGGGTTTCACTGGGAGATGTTTAGTTGATATTCATGACCATTGACGTGAAGTACTTACCTAGGATTGAAATCATCGGTACGGATCTGCTTAATGACTTGCTTCAAGGGCCATTCCTCTTCCATATACAACTTGGCAATCAATGCCTTCTTCTTCTCCCATACATCTGAGGATATAGAAGTCTTCATGTCTGAATAGCCCAGTCAATTGGGATATAGAAAGGGTAGAAGTAAGTTGAAGATCAAGATCAACAGACAGGTAACGGGGGGATATATAAGTAAGAAGAGAGAGAGAAAAGAGGAAATAAATAAGCTCATATAACTGGGGGATGAGAAAGGTAAATGGTTTTTTTTTTTTTTACCTCCGAGGCAGACTCTTTTCCGTCTTTCATCACGTTTCTCTACTTCCTCTCCTTAGGACCCCTCCTTAGCGTCACCCCGTGGCGTCGGTCCAGCACGCGGCGTCGATCATGAACGAGATTCGCAGGTTATGCTCATTGGACCAGATGGACTGGGTCTCGACGATCCTCAAACCTCTTTGGACCTTTTCGATGTCATTACTCCAAGTGGATCACTGTGGAACGGCTCATCTGCCAGGTCTCACTATCTCCAGCCCAGCGCTTGGCGCATACCAAAGCCGATATGGATCTCTCGCAGGATCTGACAGCTACTTTTCACATTGGACCTGTCTGATTATAATTTACGTCTATTGAGACAGACGTCTAGATTATCCACAGGATTTTACTTCGGAGGGGGGATCAGACGAAAAGAACCGGATAAAATCCCAGGCCAACGGTCATACGGAGACACACGGCATAGTTCCCCAGTGATTTACTGTGCATTCCCCTAGGCTTAGCTTGGTCTGTCTCCAACAGATAAGGCGGTCTCTCCTCTCATCCGAGAAAGAGTTTATGGTCGCCGATCATCGCCACTCGGGATCCTCAGGGGGACTTCTCGGACATTGCCAGCCGTTGAGACCCAACCTTTTGGTTTGCTATATGGACTCTGATGGGCTACCGGTTGCAACATAATGGAGACTGAGTAAAATCACCTCATTTCTCAAACTCAACCTATCTCCAAATCGCGTCCGAGCTGTAAAAAAAGAAAAAAAAGAAGCAAAGAGGGTTTCCCCCCGGACCGCGGTCAAGGCACCGATGCTTTCTATGTACGGCTGAGGGTGAACCCGCTAAAAGCACATGGTGTCAGAACTAGTGTCAAGCCCCTCTCATCTCAAACCAATGGTGTGATAAAGCGTGGAGTAGCAGTTCGTGCGAGCGCCAATCGATCTAGCCAATTGATCGCCGACGATCTGCCCGGGTCCTCAATAGTGGATCCCCGGGCTCCATGATTGACCTTGATTCTCAGGGAACCCACACCATTACCTCGAATCGGTACTGTCGGGGGGGAGAGAGATACGCATAGAGACACAGACAGAGAGAGACAAGTCATTGAGAGATGCACAGACCCGATGCATCTCCCCACGAGCTTTTCTTTTTCTATTCACTAATGCGATCGACGTGCATATGTCACATCTCAATTCGACTCGGCTGTTCAGAGGGGAAGTTGAGAGTATCTTCACCTCTACTTGACCCACATCGATTCCATAGGATGAGTCCTGCGTCTCGGGAATGTGAATCTGGAGAAATGCCGTCAACAGTTCTTTCATGGTTATGATCTATTGGATGGCAGTGGAGCCCCAGAGCTTAGGTGCTTTTCCTTTTCCTTGTTTTTTTTTATCCCTCTCTTTCCCTCTTGTCTTTTCTTTGTTCACTTGTCCTTCTTCCCCTGCCAGAATCTGGACTCTGGCAGGGATTTATACGGCTTCTATTCCCCGCGCTTCAAAGCAAGGCTTTCTTTCTTCTTTGTCCTCAACGGCAGGGAATAGATTTGGAATACTTCGATTCCGGATTAGGTTCATGGTCGTGACTGTCGACTTGTGCTGTTTAGAACCGGCACCTCGGCATCATCTTTCTTTTTTTTTGGTTCATTTTAGCCGGCGGTCTCCGATGACGGGGTATCATTCTCCAACATCGCTACCATCAATGTTCAATCTCAGAACAGTGAGGTCTCCGAGACAGAAGTTTAGCGAACTACATAAAAAGAATCTCAACCGAGATCCTAACCGAGATCCCCCAGATCATCCATGGATCTGCTGTTCGCGAACGGTTGAACCAAAAAAGCTTCTAAAGCTTAACATCCCAGCACCCCCGGGTGATACTCCCAATAGAGGCATCTCCGGGGACATTTCCATGATTCGGTCAATTTGGGTATCTCCGAACGGTGGAGATCGACTCCAACTATCCAGCCCTAAATGTCTCCGTAGTTACTCCGTAACTATTGTGCTGTGTCTATGCTAATGAAATCATTCGTATCCATTTCGTATACCCTTACCTAAGCTCAGGTGACTTTCAACTTACCGAGGCAGCGGTAAGATCGACCGGGCCACGGGTCATCCACATCCAAACTTTCGGGGATTCGGGGTCTACCATTCAATAGCCTCATATCGCGGGGTCTACACATGATCTCCCGTGCAGCCCATCCGGATGATCCACTCCGGACTCCATAATCTCAGACACACTATTGATTTCATTGACTGCGTCTCCAACAGATAAGGCAGATTTTACACAGTAGGCAGATAAGTTACGCGCTTGGCTCGTGGAGTCGTGGTTCTATTCCAAGCGGCCATAATGTAAATTGATACAGAGTACGGAGTAGAGAAGAGTAAAGAGGCATGTGATAACAGCTAATCGAACAATAAAACAATAAAACAAACTTCAAGATTATACACAGACAATTACAATTAGAGCCCACCACTGGAGGGAAGTCCACCCCTCGAGGAAAACATTGAGATATGAAACAGTAGTGACTCCACCAAACAAGCCATCAACGACGCCTCTTAATATGATGTTCCTTGCCCTTTTTGGATTTCTTCTTACTCTTATCCGCAGGCAGAATCAACGGTTCATCCTTCAGGTTCCACTCCATAAACCTCAAGAGATAGTCATCGATATGACCAGGTTCGGCTTCCCCAGGGATACCCTCAGACACGTGCATCGGATCGGACACACCAGTCTCCTCCACAGGCAACGGAGTCCCAACCTGGGCCGGAGTTCCGACCTGAGCGGGGGTTCCAGTACCATGGGTGGCACTGTGTTCCTCAAAGTCTCCATCGTCTGCATGCTCTTGTTCCTTCTGTGCGTTCTTCGCCGCATCTAGATCCTCCTTGTCCTCCGCAGCTTCGAAAACTCGGGTCCCCCCGACACGTGTACCCAGCACGCGATCCATGGCGGCACTGGCCTCGTCCTGGCCGTCGCGCGCGTCGGGTTCGGCGATCGGGGCAGCACCCAATTTGGTCATGTAGTCCGTGGTGAATTCACCCTCTTGAATGATCACGTCGTCGAGCATGCGCTTCTGATTGGCTTTGCGGAGGATGTTGGATTCAATCGTATACTCCGAGACGAAGCGGTAGATGTGCACATCTCGGGTTTGACCGATGCGGTGGCACCGATCTTGACATTGCTTGTCCATCGCCGGGTTCCAGTCCAGATCGTAGAAGATGACCGTATCTGCGCCCGTCAGGTTAATGCCGAGACCGCCGGATCGACTCGACAGGATGAAAGCGAGGATCCGAGGGTCGCTATTGAAGCGTTCTGTAAGCATCTGTCGGGACTCGACTTTCGTCGTTCCATCAAGTCGAAGATAGCGATGACCGTGGATATTAAGGAACTGTTCGAGGATGTCGAGCATCTTGGTCATCTGCGTGAAGATCAAGGCGCGATGACCACCGGCTTTGAGGTCACGCAGGAGTTTGTCAAGACGTTGTAGCTTGCCACAGTCGTATTGAAGTAGTCTCTTATCCGGGAAAGCGATAGAAAGCCGCATCCGCGCTTCGTGGAAGGGATCGTAGGGCGGATTTGGTCGATTATTGGTCAAGAGCCGGGTCTCGACGGGAGTCAGAGCGGCTTCGTTCATTCCCGCAGCCACTGCGGCCGGCGTAACGCAGGCGAATCGCTGGACGTAGCCGTGCATCTCTAAAGCCCGCTCTTCGATGGTCAAAATCATCGACGCGAGGACGGAAGACCGGCTCGACAGCCAGTCCGCCATCGAGCGCTTCCGCAGGGGTGCATTAGATAGCGCATGTTCCTGTGTCCCAGCCCTGATGAACTCGATAAGACTGCTACCGTAGATGGGCCGACGCCCATGGCGCTTAGATTCGAAGTAAAGACACCGCTCTAACTCGGCCATTCGTCTCTTTCGACAGGCATTTTCCAATGACTCCAGAATCGTCTGCATGTTGGACCCGTCAAAGCCCATCTCCCAGTTGGTACGGTTGTACTGGCGTTCTCGCAGGGTCTGGAACGGACCGAGAGCCATGAGCCTGATACTGTCATCGGCCAGTCGGCGTGAGATATCTTCCCGTGACACCGGGGCGAGGTTGAGGAAATCCAGATCGATCTTGGTGAGTGGATGTTCAAAGAGGAGTCTTCGTCGGACAAGGGATTCCTTGACATTGAAGTCCATAGCCACGGACCGTGGCATTGCGAACGAGGTAGAGATAGGTCGGGTTTCAAAGAGATCAGGGTGGTTGCACACTTTACGAAGTTGCATGAGGCAGTGAATGATGGAGAGGAAGTTTCCGGATGCAAGCGTCTCCTTGGTCTGGGCCATCGACATGAAGCCATCGTAGAGGTATCGCTGACGCTTGGAGAGCCTGCAGTACACCACATGTTCATACTTGCCGGGCATTTGCTTCTCGACATCGGCTTTCAGTCGACGGAGGAGATACGGGCGGAGAACGGTGTGAAGTTTGGTGATTACCCCCTTGGCCTCCTCGTCCATCGTCTCTCTGCCATGCTCGAGAATTTGTTCCACGGGGCGTCTGAACCATTCAGAGAAATCCTTCAGATCCGCAAACCCTTCGACGCCCCCATTGTTGCCATCCGACGGCATTAAGAAGAACAGAAGAGACCACAGTTCCGTGAGGTTGTTCTGGAGCGGTGTGCCTGTAAGAAGAAGCCTAGCACGAGACTTGAACGTAAGAAGAGCTTGCCACCTCTGTGAGCGGAAGTTCTTGATGTTGTGCGCTTCGTCAAGAATCATGTAGTGCCAATCCTTTCGCTTGAGAGACATCTGATCTTGCAGAACGAGCTGATACGATGTGATCAACACGTTCCAGGCGTTGTCGTCTGTCCAGCCTCGACGTTTCTGCTTGCGTTCTTCTTGGTTGCCGTAGTAGGTCATGATTTTGAAACCTGGACACCATTTCTTGAACTCCATTTCCCAATTGAGCATGACACTGGTGGGAACGACCACCAAATGCGGGCCCCAGACACCATGATCCACGGCAAGATGGGCGAGAAGGGCAATGGTTTGAATGGTTTTGCCCAAACCCATCTCATCGGCCAGGATACCGTTGATGTGGTTCTTGTACAGACCCGCAAGCCAATCCAACCCATAGTGTTGATATTCACGTAGTGTACCGCGCAGGATCGATGGAATGGGTGTCTGAAGGCCTGGGGCGGGTGAGTGACTGATTTGCAACGCCTTGTCGATTCCAGGCTCGAGCGATGAGACCGACTCGGGTTCGGATGGCTTGGTCGCGAAGGTTCCCGGTGAAGGCTCACTGGACATGTCCCTACTTGGTCGGCTGTCATGAACTTGATCTACCTCCATGGCTTGGGCCTCATCGCCCGCATTTGCATCGGCATCGGGAGTTGCCTCCGCAGTTGTCAGCTCGACAGGCACCTCTTCCACCGGAGTATCAACCACAGAAACTGCCTCCTCGTTCTTGGGTTCGGCTGGTTCATCGTCCATTGGAGTATCAACAGTAGGAGTGTCTCCGCCGGTGGCGGGAGAGGCTGCAGATGCATCGGCTTTGTGCACGGGTGTGTCTTCTGGAGAAGTGCCTTCGCTGGCCGTCGGCCCATTAGGAACGAGGGAGACTTCATCTGGATCCTCGAACTCCGATGCGGATTTTTCGACGTCATGTTCAAGGCCCACAACTGAAGTTTCGTCGCCTCGCTCGGCTTCGCTTGGCATGGGGCTGTCTTTGGAGAAGAAGCCCAGCAAGCCCGGTCTGACATCTTCATCATCCAACTCTTCATCACTCGAGGCGCCTTCCGATTCGTCACTATCACCCATGTCATCATCCATATCGGTGGATTCATCGCTGTCATCCATCAACACAGAGTCGACTTCATCCAGCTCGTTATGCTCGGGAGTGGCGTTTGAATCTAGGTCGTCTAAAGCAGCTCCAACGCCGATGGATTCGTTGGGGTCGGTCATTCCCGAGCTGCCAGAGACTACAGACATTCGGTCCAAACGGTCTTCAGTGGGTAGGTTGGCATACTTCATCCGTAGTTCCTCTGCGGTCAGATTGGCATCGTCGTCCACGTTCCCCTCGTCGTCGGTTGCAGATTCAGAATCCGACATGTTACTTTCGTCTTCTTCGCCTGAATCAGACGACAAGCCCGATTTGCCATCCTCCTCATCCTCACTGGTCACAGGAGCATCGCTGGGCAGTTCACCTAGAATCTCCGATCGACGCTTCTCAAACAGCATGGTCGACTTTTTGATCGCACGATCAAGGGCCTGCTGGTCTTCCATCTTGCGCTTTTCTTCCCACCGCGCTAGACGTACCCGATCAATATCGGCACGGGCGAGGTCGAACATCTTCTGGAGATCCTTTGCTAGCTGCTTGCGTTTCCCACGCATCTCCTCCTGCTGCTCACGCAGTATGTCTTCCGGGTTCTTGTGGCGTTTTCGATATGCGTCTGCACACCATTGTGCGAACATCTTGGCGGTCTGTAGGTGGCGCTTGTGCTCCTTCTCGAGTAGTTTCTGGAAATAGAGAGCATGGGAGACAAGGTGATCCTGGTGGGAATACTGTGGTGGAGGCTCCTCTTGCTGTTCCGTGATAAATGCTGAGCAGACTTGCGAGCTCAATGGTCCGCCGGGCTCGGCAGCACTTATCACTTCATGCCGCCTGCGCGCTTCTACCATAGCCTCCTCTTCAGATAGAATACTTGAGCCATCTACTTGGTAGATCCATTCCCTGAACGATTCGTGCTTCTTCTGCGGTATGTGGCCGGGGTGGAGGACGGGAAGGACAGGCTTCTTCAGGTTGAGGCGCAATCTTGGAACTTTCGAAGATCCTTGTTCGGGTTGCTCACCATTCAGCTTGTCGTCATCGAGTGTTCCATCCCCATTGGATAAGTTTGAAAGGGATTGGCGGTCGCGAAGGGAGCGAGTATTTGTGCCAACTGCGCTGACGGACTGACGAGGGAGGGAGGTTCGAGATTTCGCGCGCGAAGGACTCGCTTTCGGTATTTGTACCTGCGCAAGACGCTGTGTCTTGTTAGTTGCACTGCGCGCAGGCGGCGCACGGGGCGACCCATTGGCAGTAGCCTTTCCCCCCAGCTTTCCATTGACGTCGGCGCGTGACTGTGTCACCGATAGCGGTGAGGATGTGGCCGGCTTTGTTCCATCACGAGCAGATTTGCCAATAGTTTTATTCTGAGCCGCACGCGTATTTCTGGTGTTCGATGGGGGTTGAAGCTCGATGGGGACTGCGTTTGTGCGCGAAGACCTGCGCTTGCCGTCCGAGAGAAACGATGTCGGACCGTCGTATCCAGCCTTCTTCCAAGGCGGCGATGGTGGCCGGGGAGTAGTACGTTGCGATGAGGAGGAATCTGTGAGTCTTCTCTTTTTTGATGGAGGTTCTTCGGGTAGGGGGACAGCTTCGACGTCTTGCGGCTGGGGAGGAATTGTATCGTTGGTGGTAGAATCCGATGAATTTTCGATGGCAGACCCGTTGGGGGGTGCAGGATCGGACACGGGTGTTACTCGTTCATCTTGTGTGGATGGGCCGTTGGGGCTGCCGTTTTGCATGACTTGTAGCTGCAGACGACAGGGGCCGTTGATAGCAGGTGACCCCAGTTATCTCAGCAATGGCGCAGTCGATGTTGTTTATTTTGGCATCAATGAATAGGGACTGTCGAGTAGATTTACTACAAGAAGTTTGGCATCCTTATCGGGTTTGTAGCGTGGATGGGGACAGAAAAACAAGGGTGATGATGAGAATACGTGGAGGGTGGTTTTTTTCCGTTTGGGCGAACGATTACATATGGTCGCGCCGCGCGTGAATGCCTGAGTCTTGTGACTTGTTGCCTCAGGCCATACATTCCGCAAACCTCCATCCGTTCCATCATCGATATTCAACCCCCTCTACCCAATTGGCTGACTTGCCTTCCTCTGACACTCCTTTGCTGCTCGTCTTTCAGCATAACAGTGAGTCCTTTCTTTAGCTCCGCTTCATCTTTGAGGCTGTCCCATAGCGTTTCTAACGTCCAATTCCCTCCAGATGCTGTCTCAACGAATCTTGGCCCGGCGCCTGCCCCAGGTTGCCGCCCGAGCCATTGCTCCCCGCGCATCCTTCTCCCAGGTCCCAGCTCTCCGTGCTGCTTCAGTTGACGATCCTCTACAGGTACAACACCTACATGGCCTGCGTACACGCCAGCTCCACACTTGATACCCGAAATCTAACTCCGAGACAGAACAACAACTACCCCAACCCTCCCCGAGTGAAGCGGGCATTCAGAGACCCCCATGGCGGCTGGTGGGATGCGCAAGAGAAGCGCAACTTTGGTGAGCCGGTGCACGAGGATAACGAGATCCTCGGTGTCTTCAGTCCCGAACAGTATACCCACGTCTCCGCTGGCAAGGGTTTCCTCCACCTCGGATGCTTCGTTGTTGCTTTCCTGGGCTTGGTTGGTATTGTCAGCCTGAACTACCCTGACAAGCCAAGTGTTCCTAAGACCTATGTCGACGGTCTGGAGAAGGAGTTGGGAGGTCCCAATGCTCTGCCGGTATGTATTGGACATGGTCAATACAACCACAAGAACAGCGAGCTAACTATGTCCAGGCTCGCAAGTCCGGCGAGGACAAGTGGTGATTGAGATCTTTCTTTTTGTTTATGTAAATACCAGTACGGTTTTCTCTCGGCGTCTAAACGGACAGGTGATCGCTTCACCGGTCCCATGTTTCATCAGAACCCGAACACACCGATCGCATGCTCGGAATGAATTTGGATTAAAACTATCGTCTTTGTTATATCCACGGGATGTCGCATCTGATATTGAGATTTGGCTTGTTGTGCCAGTAAAGGAACAATGAGCGAGACCATGACCCAGCTCTCATTCAAACACTTGCAGAGGCAAGTTATACCCTTAATTCCATGTAGGTTACCATCCAGGTACGTACGACGAATGTATCAGAGGGATGGTCAAACAGATAGTTAGGAAACCCTTGCAGCTCTACACAGTACTGTGGTGATAGCTACATAGTTTATGTGTGTAGTGCTGTGGGTTCGGCCCCAACACCAATGCAGGGGAAACAAGGATCAGGTCTCCCTTGGGACAACATCATCTAGTTAATACAGTTAGAGACAATATAGACAATCTTATGCCATCGCCGACACTGTCACGCGCTAAAGAGCCTTGTTTTAGACGGGGCGTCTACGTCAGTTGGTCCGGCAGCTTTTTGTTTCACCCTTCCCCCTCTCTCCCCTTCGATAAACAATCCACCATCTCAAGCTCTGCGACTTTCCCACTTTGGATAGAAAACAAAAAAGAGAAGCCTCTGAAAAGCTTCTTCCATCCGAGTGCTGGTTGCTCTGCCAACTTCATCCATGCTCGCGCATTCCGCTGCTCCTTTTCCCCCCGTCGCACGAATCTAACTGGGAACACCCATGTCGACAGCATCTAGCCAATCCCGAGGAGTCAACCGACGGATCAACAGTCTTCAGAATGAAAGTCGCCATGAGCGCAACTCCTCCATATCACGACGACGGCCGCTAAACGCCAACGTGGCATACAGCCATGCCCTTCGGGTCGCCTATCTAGCCTATCTCCTCCACCCTCGTTCTCGTCGCATCCAAAATGCTCCCGTCGCGCCGGCGCGGCCAAAACGATCCTCCACTTCCATTCATGACTTGATGAGCGATTTCTCCCTGGTCAGGGACTCCAAGAGCACAAGGGTTCCCCATGGTTTCGTGGCCGAGCTGGAGAAACGGCTGACGGGGGTATTGATCGGGAAGGAGAAGAGGAAGGAATACCAGGACCACCTAGTGGTGCGGACATTCGCTGTCTTTTTAAACGTTCTGAAGGAGGACTCGTTCCGGAGACGCATGGAGAAAGATCGACGAGCTGAAGACTTGCTCCTTATCTTTTACTCAAACGCTGTGAAAGAGCTTGGAAAGGGCAAAGAGCCCGACGATGACAGCTGGAAGCTCATGGTGGATCGACACGTCGCGCTCTTTGTCCGTCTCCTTGCGCTTACATTGAAGGATCATGAGTGGTCGAAGGACCGTCCAGAGTTGGCCAATCGATTGTCGGTGTTGGAAAACAAGCTTCTCCTGCAAGATCAGGACCTCATGCAGGCAAACGGTCCTGCGTCTACGACAGAGAACGCTGGCGCATTGAGTTACAATGTGAAGGACATGCCGCTGGTGCAGCATGTGGCCAAGATCTTTGGGATGACCACATCCCAGGCACAATCCGAGATTGATAAATACAAGTCTACTTGGACAGAAAAGGCAGCGCTGCAGGACCTAAAGACCTACCAAGCCCACCTCAACCTTCAGACGCGCAAAACAATGTCAAGAGATGATTTTGAGTCGGATGAAGCCTATGAGACCTGGAAAAAGAGCGAAGGCCCCGATCTCTCCCAGATGATGCTCGCAATTGTGCAATCCAACCCCGAGCTGGCCAAAAGTACCCCGGGGTCTCTTCCTCAGTACAATTCGAGTCCGCACGAGAATCCTGACCTGGCAAGGACATCTTCTGGTCGGACTGATAGAACATCGTATGTCATTGACCAGCCGGTTGATTTGAGTGGGCTTTCTCTGGAAGATTCAGATGAATCCGATACATACATTTTCATACCGTCTGACCCTCGGGCGACATACAAGTTCATCTTGTCCCAGACCTTGAGTCACGATCTCCGAGACCGTGAACTGGAAGCTTCCCAAGCAACGTCCGATGTGCCTTCTATGAAACTCCTCTCCAAGCAGTCCACCGAGCTGCTCAATGAGATATGTGTCCGCTGGCGGATCCCCGCCTTCTCCCGCGTCGTGTTGTTCCTCGAGGTGGCTCAGGACAAATTCGTCGACAATGAAATCGACCTCGATACTCTCGACTCGGCATTTACTTTTGTGAAAGAAATGCCTTCGGGTGAGAACCGCAAACGCAGTAGCTTCGTTGCTTCCACAGTCTTTGATCGGAAGCGATGGACCGTACATGATCTACAGGCGATGCAGCATTTGTTGTCCAAGCTCCACGAGGCTCTGCTCCGGGAGCTTTATGAAGCCATGATGGATTGCTTCGAGGCAAAGCCCCGCCCACTCGGCCCAGTAATGTATGTTCTGGAGACCCACGTCCAGACGGATCCCAACTATATTGAAGACCCCGAAGACATCGATCGATTCAGCACGTATGTGCAAGAAGGACTTGCTCAAAAAGCAACAACGAAGTATCAAAGCCTTCTTAGCCAACTTATCCCAGTGGAACAAGAGGCTTGGGATTTCGATCATGTTGTTCAGCTTGGCGATGCCATTTCCAGGCTTGCGCTAAAGATCCAGAAACGCTACCGCAATAACCCGGAGATCATGGGGTAGGTTACTGTCTACGTCTCTCTTTTTGATCATTTTCTAACCGGCAACTAGGGTGAACCCATTCACGACCTTGTGCCACAATGTACTTCCCATGTTCGCTGAGGATGCACACGAGATGATCATCAGGATCATGGATCAGGCAAAAGCGAGGGGCGAGGAAATTGCTATCCAAGATGGCTTTGACCTATACAAGCAGCTTGCTATTGTCAGACGGTTATTCCGTAACACACATGAAGAGTGAGATAGCCGGACCCCCCTAGCACTCTTATAGATTAGCTAACTTGTTACAGTGCTCCATTCCCCTTCCATGTGGAGAGTCTACTGCAAGAGTTCGTCTGGCGATGGCTTCGCCTCACTGACCAAAAGATCATGGACTGGGTGAGCCAAGCTACCAGACAAGATGCGTTCGCCGTTCGCGCCGATGGTGCGGCAGATCTTGCCCCCGAAGACGCTCGTCACAGTGTGTCGGTGATTGACATTTTCCGATCTTTCAATCAAGTTCTGGAAAGTCTGGTAAATCTGGAGTGGGACGATGACCTCCAGTATGCGAAGTTCATGACGCATCTTTCCAACTCTATTGGTAAAGGTGTGGCAACTTACTGTGACTCCTTGGAGAAAATGTTTACGCGGGAGATGGATCGTCTCACACCCGAACAGGAGGCGGCTCTGAACCAAACCACCCAGGAGAAGTTGATGCAGTTCGCCAAAGACACCTGGACCAATAAGGACAAAATCGAGCCCTTCCAATTCTCGTCCGAGGTGCGTTCTAAATTGCTTTTACACTACGTAACATGGCTGACATTCTCAATAGTCTCTGGTGAAACTGAATAACATCGAGTATGCACTTGCCCAGCTTGACAAGCTCGAGAAAGACATTAATGTCGACGGATGCGCGGAGGTCATTGCGAAACACACTCCACCGCAGCTCAAGAAGGTCCGCAAGTCTACCAACTACGTCTTTACGATCAAGGTAGTGGAGGCCGAAGACTTGAAAGCCTGTGATATCGGTGGTGGTAGCGACCCATATGTCGTTTTGACGGATGAGTACCAGAAACGAATCGCGAAAACCCGCACCATCTACAATAACCTCAACCCCCGATGGGAGGATGCGGTGGATCTCACTACTCAAGGCCCTATAAATATCATCGCTACCATCTGGGATTGGGATGCAGTGGGCGATCACGACTACGTTGGTCGCACATCGATCAAGCTGGATCCAGTGCACTTCAGTGACTTCCTGCCCAGAGAGTATTGGCTCGACCTGGATACTCAAGGTCGGCTGTTGCTCCGAGTCAGCATGGAAGGCGAGCGAGACGACATCCAATTCTACTTCGGCAAGGCCTTCCGCACGCTGAAACGAACCGAGAGAGACATGACGCGAAAGATCACCGAGAAGCTGTCTGCATATATCAGCAACTGTCTGTCTCGGCGAACGCTGAAGTCTCTCCTCTCTCGTGGAATCAGCATATCCAGCGTCTCGAGCTTCTTGAACCGCAACCGGGCCCAGCCAGCCCCAGCTGGTCCCTCCCCGGCAGACGTCGAAAACGCACTGACTCCACTATTCAACTATTTCAATGACAACTTCGCCATCATGAACAAAACCCTCACGTCTGAAGCCATGAAGATGGTGATGGCTCGCCTATGGAAGGAAGTACTTGCCACCATCGAGAGTCTCCTCGTGCCTCCTCTCTCAGACAAGCCATCCCACCAGAAGCCCTTGACCATCCAAGAAGTCGACATCGTATCACGCTGGCTCGTGCTGCTCTTAAACTTCTTCCACGCGGTTGACGAAGACACCGGAGAAGCAAACGGTGTCCCAATCGATATCCTGAAATCACCCAAATATCACGAAATCCAGTCTCTGAATTTCTTCTACTTCGAACCAACGGAGAACCTCATTCGCACTTCGGAGCGCATGGCCTCGGCAACCGTCAACCGCCAACAGGCAAACCGCAACCGCGCTTCTGCCCCTGCCCACCTCGGCAACACGGGTAGTGGCTACGGCGGTTTAGGACTCCCCGCTGCCCGTCGCGCCAAGAGCATCATGCTCTCCCGCAATCTGGGCACGATGAAGAAGGCCAAGGAGGAGAAGCGGCGGGAGGCGCAGGCTGATCCCAACGACGATATGATCCTGCGCATTCTCCGCATGCGCCCCGAAGCTGCTGGCTATCTGCGCGATCGCAGTCGTCAGAAGGAAAGGCTCGCTGCTGCGGCGGCGGCCGATGCTATCGTCAAGCAGAGCCTGATGGCTGGTGCTGGAAGCCGCATGAGCGGTATCATTCCCCATGCCCGATGAATATCATGCTGTCTACCAGGCTCTTTGCTATCTCTTCTTTACTTTGCTACTACATATAAGCCAGCAACGTCGTTCTTTTTTTTCCTATCCTCTGATTCTCCCTTTGCATTATGTCTCACCCATGAACCCTTGACTCTTATGATTCCCAATTTGGCTGCTGTACTCGCCTATGCTAATTAAAGATCGGAAATGGAAATAATGAAGATATAGAAGACGTTCCACTTAGTACAAGTAACAGCCGTTCACTCCAATTCTTTAGTTATATCGATTCTCTTTTATGTCTTCAATGACTCAAACATGAGATTGCATAGAACATTGAAAGTCAATCTACTCCAGAGCAATGCACTCAATCTCAACAGGCACACCCTTAGGCAGCTGGTGAACAGCAACACAGCTACGAGCAGGCTTGTGAATAAAGAACTTTTCATAGGTAGCGTTCATCTCAGCGAAGTTAGCCATATCAGTCAGGAAGACCTACAACATCGTCAGCAACAGTTCCCTCTCCAGTATAATTTACGCCCGAAATCGGAGCCCATCACACCACCATCACCATGACAGAAGGGGAAGAAGACATACGTTGACCTTGACAATCTTGTCCACGCTGGAACCAGCAGCAAGCAGGATAGCCTTGATGTTATCGCAGCAGGCCTGAGTCAGGACGCCGATGTTGCCCTCGACGAGGTTGGCGGAGGAGTCAGCGGGGATCTGGCCGGAGACAAAGATCTGGCCGTTGGCGCGGATGGCCTGGGACTGTAATTGTTTGTTAGTATATTTCTCTTCGTTTGCTTCGAAGGTGTTTGTGGATGTGTTGTATAGTGGATTGTGCGGGGATCCGGGGATGGAGGGGTAGCTCTCGTAGATTGAGTAGATTGAGTAGATTGAGAAGGTTGAGACGTACGTAAGGGCCGGCAGCTAGGGAGTATGCAGTTAGTTATTGCTCTGTACCCTGTTCTAGGGCTAGGATTGAGTCTTTCTATCCCCGTGGGATAGGAGGAAGCTCATGGAATGACTGGGGACTTACGAGGGCAAGCATCCTTGGCGGTGATGGCGGACATGTGGGCAGACATTTTGAGGGAGGGGTGGGATTGAAGAGGGATTGAAGGACGAAGAGTTCGAGATAGAGATAGAAGACGAGGAGTGATTCGCAGCATGGGGAGGAAGAGGTTATGTACGGAGAGGGTGATGATAAATGCCCCGCTCGAGTTTCCCTCGGAGAGCGTTGATGCTCCCCGATGAAGTCACCATCGGACTTTACTTTACACAGTACGGAGTACATGTTTGTCTATTGTGTATTATACAGTACAGATGTGGATGTAATTTGCACATTTGAATATGGTCTGAGTTGATAAAGAGAATGCTGGCTAAAAATTCAAGTCGTTTCGTCGTGATGCGTTAACCCGTCCATAAACATACTGTACAGAAGACCCTTCGCCATCATTTGCTCATTCCAAGCTGTTGCAGCAGCTTGGCCGTCTCCTCGGCGGAGTAGCCGAAGAAAACGGGGCCACTGAAGGTGACGTGGGAGGCATTCGAGAGCGCCGAGTGGAGGCTGGGTTTCGTGGGGTCCTCGCTCGCAGCAACTGCAGGGTTCGGAGTAATATGAGGAATATCTCCCCCTATGGCTGTTTGGTCCTTGGGCATGCCAGTCCAGAGCGGTGCAGGCTCTGTAGCTTCGGCCTTGGGTCTGTCGTGGCCAAATGGACAACCGGGTTTCTCTGCTCTGGCAGCCTTCTCGACCGGGGTCTGTTCAGCACTCGATGGCTTCTCCAACTCAGGTTCCGGTTCGGGGGCATCCGGCTTTGGTCGGTCGTGGCCAAATGGACAGCGGCCAGCGGGCTTGGTGGGGGGTTTGTCGGTTTGAGGTTCGGGAGAGGTAGGAATAGATGTCGCACCGGAGGGTGGCTCTGAGATGGGAGGTAGACTTGTAACGGGCACTGAGATGCCCCAGGGCCGACTTGGAGATTCACCCACGCGGACTTCACGGAGGGGACGGTCAAAGCGACCCTGGCGATCTTCATCATTATCATCGCCCTTACCGTCCTCGAGATCGGCGTCGGAGGTGACGGGGTCCACGTTCTCGGCCCATTTCTCAACACGTTGGGTAGAGGCAGAAGCAGAGGAGTGGCCTTCGCCGGTCTGTCGGTCTGGCAGGAAGGCTTGGTGCTTGACACCCAGGCCGGCGATCATACTGGTCAGGCCGCCGTACTTCGCGTCGAGTTGTCGCATGTCCTGTGGGTTTCGCTGGTAGCGCTTGACACAGATGGCATGGCTTCGTGGGATCTCATGTTTGTGTCGTTCGACGTAATCGGCTATTTCTTCGGGAGAGTGTTGGTTGAGGAATCGGATCGGGCATCGGGACACCGGGCATGCTCCTTTCGATGACGGAGCTGACGGGGCACGGTTGGATCGTAGTTCGTCTAGCTCGGCCTTGACAGGGTCGAGATTATCGTGGCCGCAGGTGGATTCGATGTGTATCTTCGCAGAGTTTTGCCCGCTGGGGGCTTCACTGCCAGTCTCGGTTTTCATGTTATTGGGTTTGGAGAAGGGACAGTGCAACTGCCCCTGGGTGCCATTCGTTGTGAAGTCCTTCTCCAGCGTGATTGCTGGAGCCGGTGCTTGCCCGATGCACGAGTTGGAGGATATTTGGGAAAGAGCGTCTGAAGAGCGGAGCAAGGACTTGCAGCCTTTTACCCCGTTCTTTATGGCCGAAAAGGTAATTTCGTCTACATTTTGATGTGCAACGAGTGTGTTTATTACATCCATAGAATTCAGCAGTTGCTCCTCCACGGGAGGTTTGCTGTGTACGAGGCCCTGACGGTATTCTTCTGTTTGCGCGAGCAGTTTCGATTGAATGTCCAATGCATGAGGTCTATCTTTGGGAGGCAGAATGTCTATCACTTCTGAATACTAAAGATGTAATGTTAGCAACAAGTTCATCTTCACATATGCATGAAATAGCAAGGCAATCATGGTCTCAATCAGATAATACATGTTAATCCGTCATTGTCACAAAAGAGTGACTCCTGATCTAGAGCTTTTCGTCGTCATGCGAGACCAAGATGCGAACGCAAGGGAAATGGAAAGGGTGTGTATTTACCTCCTTGTAGACATCATCCATGTGCTGGAACAGCTCATGGTGTCTGTGAGTCAGTCGGTACACGGTTAGTAGGAGAGCATCGAGGGCTGTGCCAACGGCCTCGAGCTGTTCACGGTGCAGATCTGGCTGCATTTCAGAGATCACGGCGGGTGACATAGGCAAATGTATTACAATGTGTCAGAAAGAATTCATCTGAGATGGAAGTGGCCTGTCGAGGCTCTCGAAGATCCAAGAGAGAGATGGGAAAGAGAAAAACCGGTCGCTTTATATGGGCCGACGGCGGAAAAACGGGAAGCGAGGTGGTCTGTGCGTGGTCATGTGAGAGGCTATTCCGTTTTAGGTGAGACATCATAGGCTCGGGAGATCGTCAATAGCTGCCAGCACCTCATGGAATTACACAGATGATATTGTCGACTCTTGAGCTCTTGAATCTTGTATCAATCAAGGTGTCTGAGACGTTGAGACGATGACTACATCCATCTACCTACCTCACGTATGGTCAATCGCTATGTACATGTAGGTGGTAATGAATCAAGGACATGCCGTTTCGTGGTTGCTTGATGATACAGCCACTGGTGTGGGAAAGGTTATTCTCCGGTGGAAATTGGAATTGGTGCCTAGTTGCCTAGCACATAAACTATCGGATTTCGTCATTTATCATGAACTGAGGCCAGTCGACTGCACTGCGGCATATATATATGTGATGACTATAACCCGCCAGTCGGTCTAATTCAATGAACACATATCGTCAGAACAAATATGGATTAAGTAGTTGATTTTGAATATCGACTCAGACCAATAATGAAATACATCCATGGATAATCACAACCAAATACACATTCTATAGTATCGACTCTGTACAGGTAACTACGCATTAGTAGTACATATTTGGCTTATGTAGCACTAATTGGCAGCCTCCTACAACAGCCCGGCCGGGCTAGCTCAATCGGTAGAGCGTAAGACTCTTAATCTTAAGGCTGCGGGTTCGACCCCCGCGTTCGGCTATTCCTAAAAACCAATCCTGAGATTTCTTTTTTTGCTTCTTGCCGTGTCATATCACATACTTATTTCCAGTGATCAGTTACCAATATTTCCCAACCTTCCCTATCGAACACAATCAGTGATCACCCCGCTACTGCGTACAATACGCTCGGACAAAACCCCACCATCTGCAGTTTATCCCAGCCACTGTGACGAGTTCAGATCACGTCGCCATATGAAACACTCCATTGGCCGAGGCTTGGTGTAATGTCCGTACGGTGTGTCAAAGCTGCAGGGCCATACGGCTCACATCCGTCGCAATGGTCTGATCCACCATCTGCACATGCTAACTATCATATCTGTCAAATGAGTCATTCATACGGAGTACCGTGTACACAGTACCTCTATCACGAACGGTTCTGGTTCTGGTTCCATCCCCGGTTAATGCTCCAAACTAAACCAAACCCCAGCTCATAGTCCAGGACGCCAAGTGCAACAATGCACACGGATGACGACCCGTATCAGTTTGCGACACGATCTGTTTGGCCCTGACGATTGCGAGGGGCTAAGCACTAGTTTTGTGGGCTACTGTCTATTGGGGTCAATATGCAGATCAAGACCGGGTTAGGCATGGACATACAGTCTTGATGTACTAGTAGGTACCGCAGTGATGTACACCGTAGTCTCCAACATTGTACTACATGTATAACATGTGGTTTACCGTCTTCTAGGAAAATATGCATTGCGTGACGCAGTAATTTATACAGTGGCGTGCCACTGGCGTTGGATATCTGACCGCTGATTGACCATAGGTCTCCGAGAGGTTTCCATGGGACTTGAGCGAGATGTATGTTAATAATATGCTTGAATGTACGCAATGAATAGGTATATAGAAAAAAAAATAAAGTAATTCCTCTTAAATATAAATAAAAAGGTACACACAAGTCCCGATCTAGACCTTGTGAGGGGCAAACCCCGTTTATCTTGCTTATCAAAACTCTGTAATTTTACCATTTTCCTATTTTCCCCCTCCAGATTTTTTTTGGTTTTTTTACTTCTTCTACCCAATTCCCCCTCTCTCCTCCCTCTTTCCTCTCACAATGTCCTCCTCTACTCTTCCAGATGCCTCCCAAGTCGGACTCCCCGCCTCCGATGCCGCCAGCGCCGCCGAACTCGCCAGTCTTAAGGTAAGACTGCGCGCCGCTCTGCGCCAATTCCCGGACTTCCCCTCTCCGGGAATTCTGTTCGAGGATATCCTGCCTATCTTCGCCGATCCTTCTTTGCACGAGGCGTTGATCCGCTCTCTGGAACTTCACATCACTGCCAATTACGGCGGCCAGAAGCCCGATGTCATTGTCGGCCTCGAGGCTCGTGGGTTCCTGATCGGACCCAGTCTGGCGTTGCGTCTGGGTGCTAGCTTCGTCCCCGTGCGCAAGCAGGGCAAGCTCCCCGGTCCTTGCGAGACCCAGGGCTATGAGAAGGAGTACGGTCAGGACTTCTTCCAGATGCAGGCTGATTCCATCAAGCCCGGCCAGAAGGTCCTTGTCATTGATGACATTATCGCTACCGGTATGTGGTTAGAATGATATGAATGATATCTACCATGCTAATATATATCTAGGTGGCTCTGCCAAGGCTGGTGGTGAGCTGATCCAAAAGATGGGCGGCGACCTGCTCGGCTTCATCTTCATTCTCGAGCTCGAGTTCCTTCACGGACGCGATAAGCTCCCCGCGCCTGTTTACACTCTCCTGTCTGGCCAGGCCTGATTGAAACACACACCGCTTCACCAAAAAAGAAAAGCATTTCTACTGCGACGATTTCAACCGATAATAATGACCCCATCCTCCAAAAGCCGACCATACCCGATCTTGCGGTGAAGCGTCTCACCCGCTCCTGGGCCGCCCTAAACTATCTCACTCGAGTGTCAAGTCTCGAGGATCGACGGACTATACTCGGGGACTCGTTTCGCTGGTCGACCACACCCGCCAGAATTGGCTGGCCCAGAGCTGCTTGAATAATATCCTCAATCAATAGATATATAGCTTGAATGCATTTTATACATGTATAGACTGACCAATCACGTTTACATGTGACTTAACAGGGTAGCTTGATAGCTACTGAACTTGACGTGACCCACGATGATATGCACTCTATATGATTTGACACCTACCATTCACATCTAAATCCAACCATCTCTCATCTATTCTGGTATAAATTTCCTCATAACCTGATCTACCCAGCTTCTAGGAACCCCCAACGCCACCGACTCCCGAATAGCCCGATTCATCCTAGCAATGTACTCAAACCTCGGCTCGGCAAGCCGAACACAATTCTCATCGACATAAACCAAAACCGGCACCGATCCACCATCTATCCCAAGACCCTCCCTAACCCCCTCAGCCCCATCCAACCACCTCACAACCTCCGCCTCAGAATACCACTTATTATAAGACCCATCCCCCTGCACCTTCGGCCTAACAGTTACCGGAACCCCACAATCCGGATCCGCATCCCCAGCAAGCCCATCAACACCCTCATAAGCATCCAAAATGAGCTCATCTTCCAGATCCATCTGGTAAAGCACACCATAGACGGCATCCTTGTCACCGGACACGGGAATCTCATGTGCTGTGTCTGAGTCTTGTGTTGGAACGCGCAAGCCGGAAGGTGAGAGGACGTTTGCGTAGCCGGCTTCGCAGATTAGCCAGCGCCATTTTGGGAGGGTTGCGATTGCTAGTGGGGTTGCGGAGTGGGTTGGGTTTATGCGGCAGCGGGATTTCATTTGTGTTGGGGAGAGGTTGGAGCCGTAGGCGAAGTAGAGGTGTTTTGCATAGGTTGGTGGTTTGGTTGGTGCGGGGATTGGGGTTTTGGTATGTTGTTCTGATGGTTGGAGGGTGGAGGAGAGAGTTGGGTCTGGACCTGGGCCTGCTGGGATTGAGTTGTTTTTAATGTGCATTTTGGGTTGATATTGGGAATAATTGAGGATATTGGAGGATGAGAGAAGAAGAGGAGAAGATGAAGAAGTAGAAGTGGAAGCATGGAGATTGGAGAAGCCAGTTAGGAAGCGGGGCTGACCCACGGTTGAGGCTGATATAATTCTAAACTTTATGCTAAAATTATCCATGTTGAGACTAGTAGAGTACACAGTAATATAGGAGAGTACTATTCATCTCGATAACCCTACATGTATACTACTCCAATATCATTATGAAAACTATCACAGGTCCAAAGCCCTAAGTTTCTGTATACCTTGCACACTTCCCTTTTATCCTCCGGAGCTTAGATCTCTCAACCTAATACTGAGAGTTCCAGCAGATACGCCTATGACTCAAGTATGTGTATACATTGCCGATTTGGGCTACGGAATTCATCTCGATGTAGAGTCGGAGCAGGTAGAGTCTAATCTCAAGGGATCCTCGACTCATTCACTTCATCTTTCCTTCATCCATATCTTACTCTGTATACTACACCTATCACTCTATACTATACTCACTATATCCACCCACCATTCGGCAAAGATCCGACAAAATGAAGCCCCTCCAAGTTCTACGCTCAGCCCTACACATACAACAAGGCCAAGCCAAACCAAAGCCAAAACCAAAGCTCAACAATGGCCGAATCCCCCACGAGATCCTGGACATGATCCAAGAATACCTCGATCTACCAGACCAAGTCTGCCTGGCTCTGACCTGCAGACATCTCTACCGCTACCTCGTCTCCTACCGAAAAGAGAGTGGCAGACTTCTTCTGAACTCCACCCTCCCAAGAAGAGATCGTTTCCCTCTCCGCTCAAACACCGACCTTGCCAACGACCCTCGCATCCAACTCCTCCACCAACTGGAAGACAAGTACTGGCAATACTGCATTGAATGCCAGACCCTTCACCGACGCTCAGTAAAGAAACAGTCTCACTGCTACAACGGTCTCAACATGCACAAACACTGCAATCCATCCACAGGCGCAGTTGATCTCTGTCCCTGTCTAAGCATAACACCCAACCACCGCCAGCTGGTAGCAGCATGCATTGAAGAGCGACTTGAGAAGGAGGTTACTAACCGAGTATTCCAAAGTGGTTTCTTTTATCGTGCACCCACCGAGGGCGACATCGTTCACCAGTGCACGGTAGATACATACCCTGGTGCTGAAATGGAGATCCTGACGGAACCGTACCTGGACACACCCGTCAGGCATCTGAGCCGCAGTATTATATCGATGTATGTGCAGAATACCTATGTGATCAACATCCAGGCTGAACTGTCTGAGGCATTGGGTTCGATTTGTCCAGAGGAAGAGCCTAATAAGTGGCTCAAGCAGTTCTTCAAGGAGGCTGGGCTGGAGTACTCTGCTTGGCATGGGAAGGTGAAGTCTGTGGCTGTGGCGCCGCGGTATGTGAAGATTGTCACGGATAGGGAGTTGGGGTGGAAGAGTTGGGGGATGTGGCAATGGGCACAGAATCGCAATGACCGTTGAGCGGGGTCAGTTCATTTGAGAGTTGTTTATAGGCGTCTGCTTTCAGCCCTAACTAGTCTGGATTTGTTTGTTTGTTCTTGATTTGTGTTTTATCAAGTATGCGGAACAGTGTATTGTCTTTGATATCTTGTGAGCAAGATTTGTTGCCAGGTTGTGCTATTGCGTATTATCAGATGTTTTATGGTAATGATGTTTGTCTGCACCTTATGTATTGTGATCAAATGAAACAAACTTGTTATCAGATGAAACACTTCTTGAACCAGTTGATAGGGCTTGACTATATTCAAGTCTAAACCTTTGTGCAGTTATGTACAAACCATATGAAGATCTTTCCAAAGGGTATATCTGAGTTCAAACAATGTGTAGATTCGTAATGGGGACACCACGCGAGCGCATGCTGTACCGTCTCTTGATACCAATACTGCTTGCATGGCGTAGGAGTTCGTATGTTTCATCTCCGCCACCGACCATGACCATGCTGATGAGGTAGTTGCGCGGGATACCGCTGGGGGTCATTTGGGCTTCATCGAGATGAGGACGGACGAGACTAGACTCAGCACGGACAGCAGCGATGGCCGAACCAGACCCGCCAGCCATTGATCCTTTCTGCTGGTTGAAGCCGGGCATGTCGTCGTAAGAGACTACGACGATCATCTTCAGCGCAGATCGCGTGGGTCGATAGGCAGGGATATTGCGGAGCTTTTCAGAGAAAGTGCAGCCACCGCGTTTGATAACGAGGACTTCGTGATTATGGGCAACCTCGCGCAGGATTCGCTCGTTACATAGCTCGCCGGCGAAATATATACTGGACCACGAGAGGCGGGTTGTGGATGGATTGCCGAATAAGGAGGCGATGACCGCATCCTCAACATCCGGCAATGGGCTGGACCCAATGCCTGTAGAGATAGCAGCGGGGAGAGTCAGTCTGAGCGGGGCAGGTTCGACCGGCGGGTCGCGAAGCAAAGACGAGACCGAGTTCATCAGAGATGATAGCACGGCTTTCACAGTTGAGTCTGGCGAGTCGACGATGGCGGCATCGTCGACAGAAGAGGCGCTGTGGGCTCCGAGATGGGCTGGGGGTGGATTATCCGTTTCAGGTTGTTCATCTCCTGGAGGAGCCGAACCATTACGTCGGCGAGAGGGTTCTGGGAGAACGTCAATGACGAGGTCAAGCATGGCATTGTCGCGAACCCGGGTGAAGTTTGGATCATATGGGTCGACGACATCAAAGGTGATCTGGCGAGAGAGATATACCTTCTCATCTTTTCCCAACGGCACATTGTTGATCACCTGCACCCGGTACCCGTCTTCCTCTCCTGCCATGGCAGTCGGGTCTTCCAGCCGTACATCCTGAACCATACTCAGTCGCAGTCCTCCGATTGTCTTCACAATGACTCCGTCTCGGACACGCTCCAGTGCACCGGGTCCCAGGTTTACACCGCCTGGAAGTGATGGGAATGAGATGTCGAGCGTGGGCCGGACGGCCATAGGGGCACTGATCGCGTCGAATGGGACGAGCTGGGGAGGCAGCGTCCAGGGGTAGAATGTGTAATTAGTTGGCGAGGAGAGGTCGGACACAAAGACACTCTGATGTCCAGGCGAGTTCTCCAAAATTGGACCCTCGGCTCCTCGATCGGGCATCAAATCCAAGCGAGCCAGAGTGGCGGCATGGAAGATGTCTGAACGTGATGCGGTGGAAGACACACCAAAGAACGGAGAGGGGATAATTTGGCAGACTCCACCGGCGACGTCCTGGTCTCGGGACGGGGTTTGCTGCCGAGGAGGCGGGGATGCCGCCCTCTTCGGGATGATGAGAGGATGTCCTTCGGTGTTGAAGACCCAGGGGGCATCAATCTTGTTCAGCGGGTGATCCCGATCGAACAGCAGATAAAGGTATTTGGCTGTCTCGCCGATGAAAAAGCTCTCCATTCGGTCAATGAGCTCGCCAGTCAGAACGTTTCGAATGCCAGCCCAGCCACACTTGGTCCAGCAACGCCGCTTGAGATCGCTGAGAACCATCTCTCCGACATGAAGATACCATGGATCCTGCGTCGCCCGGTAAATATAGTAGTTGGACTCGATGAACTCGGGTCGACCGCCGTACCACGGCATCCCATTATCAATATCACCAGTAGCGACGTTCCATCGCTCAGGAATACCCGAGTAGCGTGTCCAGATAGCGGTAGTCAGCAGATGTATCTGGATAGCTTCATCCAGCTTACCATCCAGGGCGAGGACCCCCGGATAAAATGCGCTTAGACTATCGATCCAGAAAGCTCGCGTGGCACCGGTGAGCACATCTCCTACAATGAGATGGGGGTGCTGATACCCTTCGCCTCGGAACAGGTGCCGATTAATCGCAGTATGCGATTCCTCCCAAACCTGTCGGAAGGCCTCAGCGGTATGCTGGTACTCCGTCAGAGGAGCATAGTATGAGTCCAACGCTGCCCAGGGGCTCTCGGGGTCGAAGGGCAGGCGCTCTCCCTCGGACAAGAGTACGTGGGCTTTGACGGCATACTCATAGAAGCTGTCAATACCCGCACCAATCTGTTGACGATTAGTTCATGCCTATACCTCAAAACAGAAGCCCTGCTTACTCCGCTCCATGGCCCCACCCATTTCCCCGACTCCACATCAATGCCAAACCCAAGCAGGCCGATGTCACTCCGGCGGTTCCAGACTGCCCAGAACGCCCTCTTGCCAAGGTCTTCATACCGTCCATCGCCGGTGAGCCGGCTCAGAACGGTCAGTTCGAGGACTAGACTGCCCGCGCCGGCGCTACAAGTCTCAGCGGGTTCAGAAGACTCAGTTGACTTGGTTTTCCTCTTTCCACCGGCATCTCCTACGTTGCGATTCAGAGGGGCATTTTCGTAGAACGGTATTCCGTGGCGCAGATTGACTCGGGGGTAGGGAAGGCCCGTTTTCGTATAAAATGCTGGGAGCAACCGGTGCGCTAAATCCACAGCCAGTCGAAGAAGTTGCCCGTCGTAGACAAAGCCATTCTCCCATTGGATGCCATGGTCCCTTTCCCCAAAGCCTGTTTTATCCCACGCGCTTGCAAAAGCAGCATCCCGTTCTGATGGCTCGTAACCGGTGATCGGTAGCTCACCGACGGCGAAAAGGTGAGCGCTGAGCAATCCCCCTAGAAGATGTTAGCAGCGGTACGGAAGACGCGCTCGCCATAAAGGGGACTAGAACATACCCAGTCCTCGAATCACAGTCTCGAATAATTGCACCTTGCTATCCAAATCGAAGCCCCTCGACCTCTCACCCTGACCAGCAGGGCCGTCCGAGCCATCCCCATACAGCCTAACAAAGCCCTCGACACCATCTTGAAAATGCGCCAAAGCTCGCTCGCCGCTGTCCGGACTTGACGACAAGATCGCCAGCGTCGACAAGCTGTCAATCAAGGTCAAGGAATAATTCCCAAGCACATCGTTATTTTCCGGGTTCTTCTCGTCGCGAACAAGTGGGCCGCAGGTCAGCGCGCGCAATTCGTCTTCGGGGAACGCGTATTGGAGGTAGTTGTCGAAGCCGTGAAAGAACATGCGCTCAGTTTCTTGTCTGTTGGGCGGGTTTAGTTAATCGAAAGACTCTCTAATATAGAGATAGCAGCTTACCTCAATTCCCGCACCTGGCTGTCTCGCATACCGTGGGCGACAGTGAGCCAAAGTGACAGGAGAACGGCCCAGACCACCATCATCCAGGCGGAGCGGATGAACATCTGTCTCCGTCTGCGCTTCACGGAACATATGTAGACACTGGGGTCATGGATGGGCGCCGAATGGGCTGTGGACCTGTAATGAGGTTAAATAAACAACTTCCGGGAGGGGATTCGGCCAGATAAGCCACTGGGGAATCTTTTGCCTGATTGCATCACCCACTATACATATACACTAACTTACATGTTGAACTTATTACTGTGCATTTACTAGGTATGGATTACTGTGTAATGAAACTCCTCAGCAATTTGCAGGGTTTATATAGTACTGTGTAGCAAATATCGACGTTATGCATATCGTTTGAGCATTTTCAATCCCATGGCAGCTTCTTCCATAAGACCTCATACCTCTGTACGCGGTAAATAGATAGAGGAGTCTCTGTTAGTGTTGTCACAGAGCCCCTATATTTCACTCTCGGAGTCTCAGCCAGAAATGACAAGCACAGAGTTACCTAGATCGTATGCCGGCGGTGATCCTGCAGGGGGATAGATGCCGGCAACAAGTCGATCGCTGCCACCCAAAGAAATAGATCAAAAGAGACACGAGCAAGATTGCTGTTGATTGATTCTTAGTATACAATAGATTCGGATGTGTAGAGCCAGCCACAGGCCCTATCTCCGCCGGGCAGGATGATCTGGCCAGCTCATCTCTCGCTAAGATTCCCCTTTCCCAGTTCGAGATACTGGAGGATGGAGGTATGTCAGGATGTTTGAAAAAATGAATTTGACGCCCGCTTATATTCATTAAACATTATTATCGCTTATGCTTATCTGCCCAGCTCCCCAAGCATCATATTTCGGTCAGATGAGCAAGAAACGACTGTGAGAATATCAGAGACAGCTTTTGCATACAAACGGGGAATATACTCACTAATTGGCTCATCGTTAGGGGAAAAGCGCACGTCGTTGACAGTGCCCTTATGCCCTGGAAGCTTGTACAGCAGCTTTCCTGTTTTGGCATCCCACACAACCACAGTTTGATCACCGCTACCTGCGGCGATCCTCTCACCCTTCGGATCCCAGCTAGCCCGGATGAGGTTTTTCTCCAGCCCAACAGGAGCACCGTCGTAAGTCTTGACTTGCCGGTTGGTTGGGGCGAAGGGACGAATGTCCCACGTGCGAACAGTAGAGTCGTGAGAGTTTGACAGCAAAGTCTGTGAGTCTGGGGAGATCTGTAGCGATGTGATGGTATCTGTATGCCCGGTCATGGAATAGACAATAGCCTTCTTCCGAATGTCCCAAGCATGAATCGTGTTATCAATACCTCCGCTGTAGATCTCGTTGCCTGCCTCGGACAGTGCCACCGCGGTGATAGGAAGCTCGGTCTGAAGGTAATCTAGAGCATCCTTCTGCCGAGGATCCCAAATACCAACGCATCCATCATCACTACCACTAACCAGAAGCTCCTGTCCTCTTTTGCTGATGTCAAGGCAGTTAATGATTTCCTCGTGGCCCACGTGACGGCGTACTCGTTCTCCAGTCTCGACATCCCAGCTTCCCAGTGTCATATCCGCGGATGCCGAGAACAGTGCCCGTGAATCGCGTGACCATTGAAGATCCAACACAGCTCCCCGATGACCTGTCAGCTGGCCATAGTTTTCGCATTGCCCGTATGTATTCCAAAGTACTAATTAGATAGTCTCGATCAGTAAAGATATTCAGCTGGCGCATTTCCAGATCAGGATGACATACAAATGGAACGATCCATTGAGCCGGATGCAATATGCTGTGCGGTAGGGTCGAATCGAACTGCGAAGACTTCCCCAGAGTGGCCTGGCAGGTCCCTTCTGTTAGCGCGTGTAAACTGACAAGTCGGCGACAATATCTCACCCGTGAGCTCCATTATAGGAGCATCTAGACCACTTGTGCGAGGGACCTGTATCCTAATGTTAGCGCACTGTCCTTTCCACATCTCTCTCATTTACGAGGACAAATATGCATACCGACTGAATAAGAGCTCCATTTTGGGAGGAACCCTTCACGAGTTCAGTTCCTGCGGGTTCAACGGCCTTATTCCGCTTGACCACGAGCTGTTGAGAGGTCCCAAATGCCTCTGGGGCAGGTCGCTTTTCACCAGACATTGTCACGAGAAGCGCTGCAGTGAGCCTGAGGGGATAAAGCAATTGGCTGGTGAGCAATTGCGACTTGTAGCAGACGTAGTGGAGAGCAAAAGTTCCAGTCGAGAAGCTGCGGGAAGAACGATAATCCCACCTCGACTCCCTCGGCGGTGAGCGGACTATGTACGGACTGCCAGAGGGACCATGTGAACCTTGATCTTGAATATTGCCCGGCAGAAAGCTATCTAGTCCTTCACCCCACATACACACAGGAGTAGTATTCTACAGTAGCCAACACAGCTATTAAAGATAATCTCAATTGCTAGCTTTGGAGTGAAGACCAGGAGCTGGGAAGGTCCAGAAGTGGTCACGACGAGGAGTGCCTACAAATTCAAGAGAGAATCAGAGAATTGCTGTATCTATTGAAGCTTGACTGATAGCCTCTTGCTAAGGATACACTCATATCCGACTTGCCCAAGTCCAACGAAGGAGTGAAGAGCCTGGGAGCCAGATAGAAAGCGTGGGACGTATGAGAGTACACATCTATATCAGGTTGACACATATTTCAAGCCTATGCCTGTACTGTGTAGGTATCAATAGATGAGGCGGAGATAAGGGCGGTAGGTCAGATTAACCAATATGGTTTAAGCTTAGCGTGGTCGTTCTCGTCCTCCGTAGCACAAGTTGTGTACGATGGACAATCAGCAACTCCAACAATTACAGCCTCCCCCACAATCAATCACCCCGATCAACAGTCGAACCATCATACCTACCAGTGCTTCCCTGGCGTTACTCACTTTGATCGGTCATCAATCAAAGTTGCTAGGACACAGTACTAAAGATGTCGTCCACGAAGACCTCAAGAATAGGAGAAGAGTAGGTGGACTCCGATGCCCCATCAAGTGGTCGTTTCGCTCATTAATGACTTTTGTACAGAATATGGAAGTCAGTAAGCCCCAGTGTCCTCCTCCATGGATTCATAAATGATGAACCAATTGGCCTCGCCCTGCCACTATCGAACGCAACTGATCGGCTTTATCCACATGCGCAGAACAAGAGTCGATAAAGTCAACGCGGAGCTGGTCACATTAACCTACGGAACACTTGTTGCACAATTATGCCAGGACTACGATAGCAACTATCAGGATGTCAACAAGCAGTTGGACAAGATGGGATACAATATCGGAATGCGACTCATAGAAGACTTCCTGGCCAAGTCAGGCGTTGGCCGATGCGCCAACTTCCGGGAGACAGCTGATATGATTGCGAAGGTGGGAGCTACTATGACAGAATGGAGACAAGAGAGCTATGGCCACTGACATAGCGCAGGTTGGCTTTAAGATCTTCCTGAACGTCACACCCACGGTCACGAATTGGACGAGTGACAACACCCAATTCTCGCTTATCTTTGAAGAGAACCCTTTGGCGGACTTTGTAGAACTTCCAGATGATGGGCGGGCTCAGGATGAGCTCTGGTTCTCCAATATTCTGTGTGGCGTCCTCCGGGGCTCTCTGGAGATGGTAAGTCGCTGTGCTAGTCAATTGGATGAGATCTTGGATGAGATTCTCTATGATAAGACCGGGCACTGACCCGAATCCCAGGTACAAATGCAGATCGAGGCACACTTCGTCAGTGATGTACTGCGCGGCGATGACACCACGGAGATGCGGGTCTCGCTTGTACGATACATTGAGGATGAGATGCCGCCCGAGGAAGAATAATCGCGGGAGCTTGTGCATTTACACTACTTCATTGGGCGTTCTGGGGTATCGTTAGTTCTGATTTCAGGGGTCCGGGTCTATTACTTTTCCTGGGCTGTGGCTGCTTCCAATCACTTTGTACATCTGTCTTCTCGCGATTAGGCTTTATGATGTATCTCGCACTCTTCGCGATTCATCACTACCATAGTGGACCTATGAATATTTCAATATTCTATTGTAGCTTCCAATCCAGGACCAGAATCAATGCAAGGTTTGGGGCCCAAGTCACGATCGGTCCATAGAGATCGCATGATCTCCTTTTTATACGTGTCCGCCGTAGATCTTCGGTGAATCTGCCGCTCAGGAGCTTGAATTGTATGGTGATAACCATACCTGTATTGTATTGTGATTCTGCAGTTCTGTCAAGTATATAATGGCTGTCAGACACTCTAAATAGCGGTCAACAGAACCCCCAAGTCGGTGTATTTGTACAGTAATGTATTTTACAAACGACGAGCTATACTGGCCCTGTACCACTATCTCCGCCCCTCAACTCTTTACAGGTCGAATTTCCTTTCCATCCTTTCTTCAACCTCTTCGGAAGAAAGATTCTGTTAACTGTTCCCACTACTACTGATCTATCTATCAATCTGTCTGATCTTCTCAATTGCTCGATCTTCACCAGATTGCAATCTTCATGGTGGTCGCATAGTGGCTTACCCTACTTTTTAAACTCCCGCTGGGATCCATCGTAGGGCCCATCAGGTATCACATCACCCTTCTGACTTTCTTATTCGCTTTCTTCTCATTTTTGTTTAAACCACCCTTACTTCACTTTTTTACTATCATATTCGTCTGCGTGATCCACTGACATCGGTTTTCTTTTGGTAACAGACCGCAAATCCAACGGTTATCAGATCGGTGCATTCCCAGAAATACGCCTGACGGCGCCATCCCCAGCCCCGAGCTCCGTCCAAGTTGATCCGCTCCGAACAAGCGATTCTCCCGCAGAGCGCAGCGCCTGTCGCTGTACGTCCCCCCCGGCTCTACTTCACTACTGAACCCGTCTCCCTTCCCACTTGTGAGATCCACATCTCCTTGTCTCCCCTTTCCTACTCCTAATCTGTTCTTTTTTTTGTTTCTTGTCTTTCGGTTCTTCTGCTTCATTATACACGGGTTTGGTGCTCCTCCCGTCCGCGATTCTGCCCGGATCGGGTGACTGGCGCCGCCCCCCATATCTACCACCTCACCTGTGCGCTTTTCCCGCCTCCTTGTACCTCCGTTGTTGCCCACTTCATATATACCGCGCACTTATCCTCTGCACTTCGTCATAGGTGTTTGATCCATCTGGCACACACTTACATATTTCTCCTGCCAGAGACCCTGAGCATACACCATCTGCGCATCTGCGCCTCAGACCCTCCATCCTCTCGTTTCTAGTCACGTCGCGTGGTTTCTCCAGCAAAAGACGCCACTGGTGATTTCGAAATTGTACCGTCGCCCTTAACATTTCCGCGATCACACACCCGCTGGTGTACTGTCAAGCCTGCGCGTTGTTCAGCCCGCGAGCTTTGAAAACGCTGACCGCTTTGCTTCCGCATCAATTCCCACGCGTCGCATCCATCACCCCGCGTTAGGCTTGTAGCCTGAAACGGAGGTCGCGCGTAGGAAGTTCCTCACCTCATTCACTGTGAACATCTTACGATATAACAGGCAAGGGTGGCTGCAGTCCCACCATACGCCACCATGAATCAGATGAATGTTGGGATGAACCCTGGGGCTGGGGGCCCTGTGGGCGGAGTGCCCATGATGAACAACGGATCCACTGCTTCTCGTAATGACGGCGCTATGAACAATCCCGACATCATGATTAACAATCTCAACACGTATATCTATGATTATTTCTTGAAGCGTGGATACCACGATTGCGCCCGTGCACTCGTGCAAGATGAATCCATCAAACTCAATACCGACACCAATCCCAAGTCGAGCCCCGGAAATCGGCGTGATGGAGACGTGAATGGCATGGATCCTGATTCCATGATGACTGATGGAAAGGATGGCGAGAAGATGAAAATCCCCGACGATCTCCCCCGCCCAAATCTTCCCAATGAAAGCGCCTCGTCATTCCTTCTCGATTGGTTTTGTCTCTTCTGGGAGTTCTTTTGGGCTCAACGCAAGAGGGGCAACAGCAATGATATCAGGCAGTACCTCCAACACACTCAAGTGCGTGACCGATGGCCCTTTATCTCAAACCAGAACTGTCGACTAACCCTCACATCTAGAATTTCCAGCGCATGCGGGAACAGCAGCACAATCAATTCATGCGACAGCAGCCCATGATGCCTGGTCAGATGAACCAGCTGCGGCGACCGAATAACATGATGCCTAGCCTGCAGAAGGCCGTGCTGCAGAACAATACCGCTGGACTGTATGCTCTATCTGAACAAGTTTCTTCCCATGCGAACGAAGTCTTGGAATGGAAATGGACGTCGTGCTAACAATGTACTTTTCTCTAGTACGCCGCAGCAACAACAAATGGCGCAATACCAGAAGACCCAGCAAATGCAGATGATGCAGCAAATGCGGGAATCCGAAATGGAGATGGGTGGACATCGACCACAATCACCAGCGTCTGCCGACAACGCCCCATCACCATCGAAACGCCCACGCCTCGAAGGCGCTGTCAACGGACAGCAGCTGGCACCGAACGGTCGTGGACAGGGACAGGGAATGCCCGGACAGCCCAACCAGATGATGATGCAGAATGGAATGCAGAGGGGGATGAATCCAGCGCAATTCCAGCATTTCCAGCAGGGACAAGCTGCGCAACAGAAATCTATGCAGGTATATGCTCAAAACTTGGCCCTCCATCACGAACGCACCCGCTCAGCATCCAATTCTCAGGGTATCCCAAATGGTGGCATGATGAACCCAGGTGTCATGGCGAGTCAGGGGGACCTGGTGCCCATGCCAGATGGTCAAGGGATGTACCCTATGGCGGGCGGTCCTGAGTTCTACAACGCGAACGGTCAAATCGGCCAGGTCCGACCCGGTGGCATGCAGGCGACTGGTAACCCTCAGCATGGCAACCACGCCCTCCAAGATTATCAAATGCAGCTGATGCTGCTCGAACAGCAAAACAAGCGACGCCTGATGATGGCTCGTCAAGAGCAGGACAGTATGGCCCGCGCCGATGGCCAGCCCCCGATGCCCGGCCAGGGAGGTTTGCCACCGGGCACTTCGCCTGGTAGCCGGACGGGCGCATCTCCTAATCCTAATGAACAAATGAAACGGGGCACACCTAAGATGCCCCCCACTGGGCTTCCCGGCTCGCCCAACGCTGGCGATATGTCCCAGCGTGGATCACCCGGTTCGATGAACATGAACGGTGGGCAGATGCCCCCGGAGATGATGGGGGCTCAGTTCTTCCCTGGAGCGCATATGCGCCCCCCAGTTCTAACCCCGCCTTCACTGGGGCCCAAATGGGCCAGCCAGTTCCGGCTAATGCCGGCCAGCGTATGCCTAATGCACAATGGCAGCCAGGACAACCGCAGATGCCTCCGCAGCATTCGCCTGCTAACCAGCCCCAGGCTGGAACCCCGCAGGAACGAAGCGCGATGCCTCCGCCCTCGGCGCCTCCCCCAACAGGCCCCAACGCTGGCCGTACCCAGCCGGCATCACCTCAGACAGCTGGCAACGCGCCGCCGACGCCACAACAGGCTACCAAAGCTGCGCCCAAGGGCAAGAAGGACACTAAGGACACCCGCAAGGTTTGTACCCACTTGACGCTGATGTGTTCTCTACATTTGCTAACTTGACTGGAAGCGGCCCAACAAAAAGCAAGCTGCTGCTGCTGCCAGCGCGGCCGCAGGTGCCACCCTGTCCACCGAAAGCGCAGAGCCACCGACTCCATCTACCCCCGTTACGCCGCAGCATCCTGCCTCTTTCAATAAGAATGGATCTAACGGCGCGAATGGACCAGCCCCGGCACAGCCCACCTCGGCCCCTGCCCCCCAGGCTATGGTCCAGCCACCTCCCGATCAACAGCAAAACTTCAATGACCTCAGTATTCCCGATGTATGTTCCTTCACTTCTGCTTTTCGTCCCGTATTTGGTTACTGACTTGTTCAAAAGGCTTCTGCATTCAACCTCGACTTCAGCGCTCTGGAAAACCCCGACATTCTGGAGAACTTTGACTTTGACACATTCCTCAACACGGACGCCGATGCCACCGGATTTGGGTTTGACCCCAGCATATCCTATTCGGCCGACGGTGTTGAGACAGGTGCGGGTGACGGCCTGTGAACGTGGAAAAGTCTTGACGGTCCTTCAGGTGCTTCACCTCCGATATACCCTTGTTTGTACATTTGATCATTGCTTTAATGCGTTTTCGCGGATACTCGATTTGTTCTGCTTTTGTTTGCCAATTACCTGGATATGTGTTTTCTAACGCATGTGCTATCGTGAGATTGGCGTTGGTGTACCTTGTTCATCGTATCTTCACCCATCTCTCCCTTGCTCGTCCTCCAGCCAGCATCCCCCCCCCCTTTTCACAAACCGATACCAGGGATTGCTTGGACTGAGGGCTCTTCTGTATTCGAACTTAGTGCACTGTGACCTACGAGTTTTCTTGGACTTTTCTCCCTTTCTCCCTTTCTTTCTATTATTACTATTATTACTTGTGGATGTGGTTACTTAATTCTTTGCTCTAGGCCGCCTGGGCTCTATTGATACTCTCAGTATGAAGTCTTTTCCAATGGCGATTCAGTGCACTTTTATCCTTTCATTATGGCTTTTTCTTATCTCTATTTTGTTACTCATCTTCTCTCTTTTGTATCTCAAACAATTTCCAACAAATGCCGGCCGTTTCCTTTATTTTCATCTGTTATCATTACCGGTCTTGCTGGTAGTGGATTCTTTCGCTTCTCAGCCTCTGACCAGGCTCCGTAGCCTGTGATTTTCCTTTTCTATCTTATCTTTCTCTTTTGATCTCTCCGTTTCTTTACATTGAACCCAACATGACCCAGGGGTTCTGTGACTCTAAATGCTTTGTGGTTGGTGTTGGTGTTGGCGTGTTGACGGGATGTGACCGGATGGATGGACTTGGATATTCCCCTGCTAGCGGACTCCAGGAGTTTCGATGTCGTTATGGTTATGCGTTTCATGTTATTTGCCAGGGTCTCAAAATATGGGAACCGGATTCATATCTCGACAAGTTACTTTGTGTCTGGTCTCTACATGTAGATGTAGTCTTAACTCATATTCTTGAATATGAGGAAGTAGTAGGCCTCGACATGTCCCTCGGACATGCTTCGTCCAGCAAGAGGAGAGCTGTCGCTTCCCAGCCAAGCCCCGACTTGGAAATGACTCGTTTCACACCTTCGGCCACGGCCTTTTAAGCGGTCACCTCTATTAAGTGGTCACGTTCAGACAGGCCCATACAGACTACAGTATACCAAGGCTATACCATCCCACATCTACTACCTCGCCCTTTTCAGCCAGTATCAGTCTCCTTCTCCCTCTCGTTCCACTCCAGCACCGCATACTTGTCCGCCTCTTTCATCAACCTGTCTCACCGGGAAGAGATGCCACGGCCTCTCATAAACAAACCCTCTGATGATAATCCGCCAAAAAAAGGCGTAGCCGCCAAACCCATTGCAATTATTTAACTCAGCTATCTTCGTCGCAAGCGGATCATCTTCCTTCAGCCATCTAACAAGGACCCATCCCCTTCGCTTTTGATAAACAGAGACAGGAAGAACCTTAGTTTCGTTTGCTGTGTCGTAGTTGTAGGTATTGATATCGATAGCCCATAGTGCGATTTCCTACTTCGATGGCGAGGAAATTGATTCGACTGTCGTTTCCCAGGGAATATTCAGGAGATGTATTTTTTCCTGCTGAGATTGGGTAGTCTTGGGGATCTAGTTGGGAGGTATCTGTGCTATCTGTGCTTTTAGCACGAGTCTTTGGGCTGTGGGGTTCGAGAATCTAGTCGAGCGGATTTGAGTTGGAGTAGACATCGTGGATGATATGGATTCGTCAGTGGATGAGGGGGAGGCCTGAATCATGGGATGGTGAGGGATGAAGTAGATCAACGAGTACGAACGAGGGTTATATGCAGAGATGTGTGGCTACCATGGCAGGCAGCAGCAGGTTACCTTTCTTATACTTTTCGTTGTACACCGCTGGTTGATGGCCGCCTTTTCCCCCGCCTTATCTGGCATGTGCTTAACTAGCCCTAATTCGAATAACAAGTCAAAAGCAATGCCAAAATCAGCTTATGGTAGAGCCTCATATTCACCGCTAGACTCCAAAGAATTGACTTATTGCTCAAGTTTCAACAGGCGAACCTGGTTACTACCTAAAAGTGGCAACCTTAAGAGTAACGGATCTCCGAATTCATTCATTGTGGATTGGGGATATGCGCATCCAGTCCAGGAATAGTCCAATCATCCCAGGGTTGTTGATTAGACTGCTGTCAGTCTGCTGATTAAAGATACTTCGCTGGAACATGAAGATGTGCAGAAGGCAAGCAAAAGAGCGATCGTAAGGTCATAAGTGATACATCGTGGCCGTCCTCCTACAAGATTGACTCAGTCTCATCCCGTGTGGATTCATACGCAATCTCAACATTGATCTTGTCGTTTTCCTTCACGATACTGTTCTCCTTAGACTTCGCCTTGGGCGTGTCTTGGCTGGCATCTCGTTCCTTTCTGCCCCTAACATTTTCATTTGGGCTTGCTCGCATCTGAGAGGGAGTCCCGCCTCTGGGCTCGCTCGATCCTGAGACGGCACGGGTACTTGGTTGTGATATCTCCTTGAGCACGGATCCGTGGCGAGTCCGGGATTTGTAGCTCGCAATACGGGCTGCGGCTGCAGCAGAGGATTTCGGGGGACCCATTGCACCTGGTTCAGTTGAGGGGGTGTTCAAGGGAGCCCGAGTACCCGGTGATGCCTTTGTCGGAGTGAGAGCTTGGATCAGCTCATTGTATTGCTCGTCACCGAGACAAGAAGCGATGCTGGGCTGCTTGCTATGCTCGTAACTGAAGCCAGTTGTGCCGGAGAGGGCTCGGCTGCTGGTAGAGCCCGTGGAAGCGTAGTCTGGCATGGGCACGTCTTCACGAGAGGACCGGGCACCTCGGTGTCTCCACGCGGTGTCGTCAACAAGAGCCTCAATGCCATGATCGGCGATGTACATATCCTGCGGATCCCAGCGAGGCCCTTGCGGGTAACCATTCCATTGAGTGGAAGGAATGGGGAAGCCACGGTGAGGCGTCCACGCGTCGTAAATTGAGGAAGTACCGCTGTAAGTGGCGATATTGCTGCTCGATTGGCTGCTACTGTCGGCCGTAAATGGGATTAGAGGTTCAGGTCGGCCAGGCTTAGTTGGTGAGTGACCATGAGCACCGTCTTCGATTCCCTTAGAAACGACATATTTGTTTGCCGTTCCGTACCGAGGTGCGTTTGGTGCTGCGAGCCACATTTTTGGGTTAGGCCAGGCAATGTTGGAGTATTCTAGAATATCCAGAGGTGCGTGCTGAAAAGAGAAGGCAATGACATGTCTGAAACGCTCGAACGGGGGACTGCGGTTTGGGCGAGAGAAACCTTCAGCGATGACAACTTTGATTCGGCCGAAGGAGTCTCCCGCATCCCAGTGCCTCTGTTGAAGAATCTCGGGATGAAAGGGAGGGAAGCGAAGAGAGTCTGGGTTACCATCTCGGTCGATACCTGCGTTTGCTGTCAGAATTACGGAATGGAAAAAGGAGGGATGGCATACTGCAACCATGATCTACCGAATGCACGTCAGTATGTTCACGCAAAGCCAGACCCATTGAGGCATAACTTACCAATTATCTGCGGCCATTTGGTTCGCTGTCCGTAGATGCTGCCACTAAAAGTATCTGTCAGCAGATAGAACGTGTAGAGTGTATAGACCAGATACTCACGCAACGAAAGTTCCATCAAGGAAGATCCGAGCCTCAAATAGCAGGACATCCTCAGGCTCCATATTGGACTCGATTGTGGAGCTAGGTCGTGGTTTTTCCCAGCTGTGGATTGAAACTTGGAACGGGCTATCCCTCTGCAGACCCGGAACGAATGTCGTGAGAGTCGGTAGTTGGTTAAAAGGCATGAGCTCTGGCTGCCGTGGATGTGGGCCAAGGTAAGTTGGATTGCGCAGGAACGGCGAGTCTCGGTCCTTGGTCACGAAGCATTGTGTCTTAAATTCCTGAATTGGCACCTTGGACCCTCCAGGAAAAAGGAGAACATCCCAGTTCCTGTAGCGCATGTTTGTGAATTGAAGTGGATAGATGGAAAGATAGAGGTTGAGGCGGAGAAGAGGAATTCATTATAAGTGAAGAAGGAGGAGTCATTGGACATTACCACATGCTTAACCTTGAGAAGCTTTGACGCTCCTTCTGTGTTAACGGATGTCGGGAAGGAGCCACCTTCCCGATTTGGCCTTCTACGGGCATGTGATCCTAGCCCTAACTAACCACCCCAAGTACTGGGCAGACAGCTGAAGATATAGTATAAGACTCTTCCACCGTTCAGGAAAAGGAGACTATTTTGAAAGAAGGAGTATAGAGTGATTTGCTAGGACTTTATAAACTTCACCGGGAATTAGGACAACCTCGAACTACTGCCCTATGAGCTTACACTCCGGTTCAAGACAGGGAGACTCAAATGAGATGCTTCCGCGATCATATCAATGGTTTGCAATGATCTAGAAAAGATTGTCTAAGGAACCAATTCAATCCCAAAATCCAGTCTGCACTGAAACAGCAAATGACCTCCCAGACAGCGCCAAACCAAGGGCTTCAAACTACAAGAGCAATGAGAGCTCGAAATCATCGAATCGTCCAAGGGTTCCGTTCCATCCATGACACCAGCCACAGTGAGGGCGGTATAATTTCCACAGTGCTAGCCCAAAGTAGAGGGCCGACAAGAAAGGTTTCGACGCCAGGAGCGCAATGCAAGACACCAAACCAGAGAGCGTAAGACACGCGTAAGAGACATTATGGCATACGATCGAGGAAGTCTAGAACAAACGCTGAGGCGCACGGAACAACGCGTGAATACAAGCCGTCCAGTCTAACAAGAAAGGAATAAGGAGAAACAAGCACAACGCAGCAATCCTCAAAGCGAACATAATTCAATTTAGCTGCTCGAAGAAAAAAAAAAAGAAAAAAAGTGGAACATAGGGAAAAAGTGGGTGTACCGGAAACTTTTCGCAGAATGCCTGCCCAAGGAGTATAATGGAAAAAGAAGCGCAAAACAATTCCGAGTTCCGTTACACGCAGGTAAAGATCCAGGGCCGGGGAAGACCCAATAGCATAAGGACAAAGAGAAGATCGAGCAGGTAAAGGGAAATAGTAAGACTTGAAAAAAAAAAGTCCCAGAAATAAGAGATATTGGGAAAGGGAAAGATACATCAGAACAAGACAGATCGGGGGTAAAAAGGGAGAAAGCTCAGATCTTGCTAAGGTAATAGCGCTCACGTAAAAAGGAAATGCGTCGCACAGGAGACAATTGCCCATCAAGAGCTATAGCCTTGGTGGAAACCAGGGAACGAATTTGTTATGACACAGTAGACCCATCATTGGAATGACACAAATAACTCCTGCTGGTGCTTTCAATCAAAGGGAAACGCTTACTGGAAGGGGTGTTGTCAGCCGACCGCCTGCTTCACATTTGATCCGGGATCGGGCTGCCAGCATGATCGCTCACCTTCATGGGGGCGAACCCGCCGTACTGGTGGGCCGGGGGCATACCCATGGAGGGGTACATGGGAGGCGGCGGGGGAGCAGGGCGGTAGGGGCTGCCGGCGGGGCCGGAGTTGTTCTGGGAGCGACCCCAGCTGAGACGGACACGGGAGTTACCGATAGGGTAGCCCTGCATCTGGTTGATGGCCATCTCGGCGGCGTGGCGCTGGACGAACTGAACGAAACCGCAGCCCTTTCCAGGGGGAATCTTAACGTAGGTGATCTCTCCAAAGCCCTGGAAGAAAGAGCGGAGCTCATCCTCGGTGACGTAGCCGGACAGACCGCCAACGAAGACAGTGGTGTTGTTGGGGTCGGTGAACTGGTTCATAGGCTGAGGAGCACCGTAGAAGGGCATGGGAGGGCCGCCCATGGGAGGGTACATGCCAGCGGGGCCGGGCATACCCATACCGGGACCAGCGTTGCCGGCAACACCGGGACCCTTGTTCTTGGGGGTAGCGGTGGAGATGCGCATGGGGCGGTTGCCGCAGTAGACACCCTGCATCTCGGTGAGAGCACGCTGCTGGTCGTTCTCATCGGAGAAACGGACGAAGCCGTAGCCACGGGACATGCCGCTGATGGGGTCGGTCATGATCTTGGCGGACTTGCAAGAGGGGAAGCGGCTCTGGAAGAGAGAAACGAGAACGTATTCGTTAACCTCAGGGCCGAGATCACCAACGAAGATGGAATACTCGGGGCCACGGTCATCACGGCTGTAAAATGTCAGTTTCGGTGAACAAAGTCAGCGAATCGAAAAGTCCCGCTTACCTGCGATCAGCAAGGCCGCCACCGGTAGCCCAGTTGAGCTTGAAGACACGGTTGGTGTTGGGCATGGGGGTCCCATTCAAAGAAAGGGCCTTGGCAGCGGCGGCAGGGGAAGCGAAGTCAACGAAGCAGTATCCAGCATTGCTCCTACTACCCACGTTAGAAACAATTTTGAGCACAAATAAGCATTCATAGGGACTTACCCAGAGAACTTGTCGCGGATCATCTTGACGTTGACCTGCTCACCCATCTGGAACCAGAGGTTGCGGATGAAGTTCTCATCGATCCAGGGCTCGAGCTCACCCATCCAGAGGGTGGTCTTGCCATCGGCACCCTGCTGGGGGACGGGGGCAGAGTTTGGCTCGCCAGAGGGAGGGCCCTGCTGGAACTGAGCGGCGGAAGGATCGGCCTGGCCGGTCATGGTGGTGTCAACGGGAGCCGGGGCACCAGCGGCGGCAGGGTCCTGCTGAGGGAAGCTTTCGAAACCGTTGTAAGACATGGTTGCAAAAATCAGAGTTCGAAAAGTCGATGTAAGGATATAGAATGGCTGAGCGACTAGAACTTCGTGGAGTCGTTAAGGAAAGACCGGCGTGAGATCAAGTCGTAACGAAGCCAAGCAAAGGGACGGGCGTGAAAGGATCCTGAGGATATAAAGGTTAGATTTGACTAATGCGCAAGAACACAACTGAAGCGAGAAGTGGATAACGCCAAAGCAAACAAGCGGTATAAGGAAATGATGTTGGAGAGGGAAAGACGGGTAGCAGGCAGTTTGCAGATTGCTGTTCCGAGCGCAACACACAATTCCGAGCCTCAAAAGCGGTGCCGTAAGCGCCAAGGCCAGTTCTTCAGCTTCATATGAACCTGATGGAGCAATGATTGGAGGGTGGAGTAGACGAAGGCGAACGGCCGAGCGAAAAACAGGTGCGCGAGACGAAAATGGATCCAATTCCACTGGTTGCTGTAGTAGTCGTGCGTTGTCCGTTTCCGTCGTCCCGGCTTGAAGTCCGGATGCGACCGTCCACCCTCTCGATCCACCATCACAACATCAGGTATTTTGAAAGTCCAGGTTCGACTGATCAATACACCATATAGTGCTTATATTGGGGCTCGTTCGACCGGTGAATTTATCGGCGCCATGTCCCGAAGCGCTGGTCAAGGTATCAAAGGTAGGCGAATTGCCATAGTGAACTGTGGCGAACCGAGGAAGCTTGCGATCCAGCACTGCTTTGCGTTGCGTTGCGCTCGAATGCTGCGGAAGGGCAAATGATGCGGGGAGGCATGGGTTGGGATGATGAAAGAGGCTTTGGGGCCACGATACGACATGCGACACAGGAACCGGACCAACTCACCTGAATGATAGGAAAACCTGGGAAAACACTGGAAATGCGCGAGGCAAAAAAAGAGTAATTCAGCAACAAGGGAGGCAAAGCAGAACTCCCGGATAACTAAACGAAAAATTGAAAACCGAGATCTTCGAACAATAAGAAAAGGGAGGGGGAGGTAGGAAGAGGGGAAAAGAAGAAAATGAAGAATTGAAATCCTCGCGAGATGAAGAGAGAGGGGGAAGTGGGAAACGCATTACGTGAGGCTTTGTATGGTATGTGTATTACGCGGTATGGGTATGTTCCGTTCCACGGTTGGGCCAAGTATGTTGGGTATTAGGGCTTCATTATACAGTACAAAATTATGGTAGACTTGGATAGTTGAATATCAGAATGAACCCTCTGTTCTGAGAGACAATAGTATGGGCATGTCTGGCAACTAGTAGGTGGTTTTAAACGGTAGTGCACAATACCTTGCCTCCGCCGATCAGAGCGCGCTCAATCTTCTTCTCGAATCAAGACATCCGTTTTGGTCGTACAGCAATGAAGTACTTATACTATGTCCCTGAACATACATGTGCCTGCAGTCTATGCCCCAGATTCCTGTCAACGATGCATGATATCAGATAAGTTATGCGGGGCCTACGAGATTCTTCATCGTTCCAGGAATCCCGGGAAGCCCGAGTGATCTTCCAAAGCTGATACATCATACACTGTAGCCTAGGGTCCGAGGTCTATCGAGCATCCTTTGCCGATGATCGGCCATAAGCTTGTTTGATTCCCTTTCGCCTGTGCGTTGCTCAAACACAGTATAAAGCTGCAAGAGAAAGAAGAGAAAATTTTATCAAGCGTACAACTCTCAGTGAAAGACATAGGAACAAGGGGCACGGAACCCCAATGCATGAAATCTGCAAGGACCTGTCGCCGTCCTCGCAATGTGACTCGTCAATCTATCAGAGCCGCCGGCCGCTTATCGTCATCTTGCTAAGATAAACCTCTTTTTTCAGCCCAAGAGTACGGAGAAGGCGGAGCAAGCTCATGATCAGGTAGCTGTTGGGTAGATATTTGCATACAATCAAGAGTTCATCTGATATCTCATTTTATGCTGGTTTTTGTGTATAATTCCCGTATGAACCACTCAACGACTTGAGGAAAAGACAGGAACCAGACGCCACAGACCCATGGAACCAATTCATACGGTAATTGTCTTTCCACAATACCGCGATGACACTCAAATACCCGGGTCCCTGCGCCGTGAAAGCTGAAGGTCTACTCTAGTACTTTTACCCTCCTGGAGAGCATGCAAAGCTCCCCCCAGAGCACCATTCTTCTCGAAGCAAGGTTCTATAATCCATGTCCTGGCGTCTTGCCCTAAGCAAGGACTACTCAAACCGGTTTCCCCTCCCGTATCCCAACTCAATACGTCACCCGCGCACGTCCGGTCATGAAAGAAAAAGACCAATAAAACAGAAGGAAGGCCGAGTTAAAGAGAAAGAAGGGAAAAAAAATTCAAAATTCAAGGCTCCATCAGAACCATCCATGGATGGGAGAGTCTTGATGAGTTCAGCTATTATTGGCCGGATTTGGGGGGCCGCTCGTATTTGAATTACTTACCAGCAGAGATTTCACGTTTTCGCAAGTCTCATCCATGGATATCTGCTTGGCTGGAGCTCACGCGACGCGTTCTACCGTGTAAATTGGTGTTGTGTACGGAAGCTGGGGGTTACGTGCAAGGGATAGCTGATCAATTGATCTCATATTCATAAAGGTGGGATGTGGGATGTTAGGTTTCAGATCTAAACCCTTCTAATGGAGAAGATAAGCTAATTCAGCCCTTGCATGGTGAGACATGGCAGCTGAGCGTTGTGAAGTCATAGCCCTGGACAATTAACCTATGTGGGTTACTTTGTGGCTAGAGAAGCTATGGATATTTAGGGCACACTTCTGCATAATATCAACTGTATCAGCTCGAACCTGAAACCACGGAAACCAGAGAACCTTCCACTCTCGGTGTACATAAACAACCCGATTTCGATATCAACATCTCTACTTATTATTTCTTATTCTTTGTTCCTGTTTTCACGTGGAAACCCAAACCCACCAACTCTGCCACATCTAAACTATCGTCCCCTTCAGACATGTTACTGGCTATCACAGCCCCGAGGCTGAACAGCCTCAGGCCACTAGATAACCCCAATGGCCCCCACTTTCAGGGCTCACACCCACTTAGTTCGCTACCTTACAGCCAAAGAGAACGCCAAACCTGTCTGTGACTGTTACCTGAATTCAACGTACGGGAACGCTTACTTGTATACTCGATTACCGAGCCTGTTCCTGAATCCTGACGGCCCATTGATTAGGACCCCACTGCCCAATTTTTCATTAAGCTAGAAACTTCTAAAGAATTGTTGGGATCCATCGTAGACAGTTCGACTATCATAATTCCACATGGTAACTAAATTGTGCGCAGTACAATGGGAGTGGGACTCGGCTGTTGTTAGCACGTACTGGGCATGTGTGGCCTGAGCGTCTCATATTCAAAGCCGATCTGAACTAAAAATAATCATTCTGCCGGATCTAGATATCTACTATGTACTCCGCACGCAGTATACATACACAGCTGCAAATCCAGACAGTAACCAAGTGCTTGGAAATAACTATAAACAATTAAACTCCATCCCCTCACTCTCACCCTCAGGATCCTGCTCCGCAAGCAACATAAGACACTTCTCATAGACCCTCGTCGCCTCCAACATCCACGGCTCATCCACCTCATCCCCACTATCCTCCTCATCCCACCCATCCCCATCAGCAACCTTCCCACTCGATCTCCCCAAACAAGAAAAGACCTCGTATCTCGTCCTCTCCGCCAAACTTCGGATCCGCACTTTCTGCGTCTCTGTCGCGAGAGACTGGCCTGGCTGTGCACCGGGGAGGACGAGGCCGTCTACCGGGTGCGTGCCTGTACATAGAGCTGCGAAGACGGAGTCTAGTTTGTGGAGGATTGAGAGCGTTGGTTGGGCTTCGAAGGGGAAGGCTGGGAGGGAGGTTTGGGTTAGGCCTGCTAGGGTTATGAGGGCTTCTGTTTGGATGGCCGCTGGTAAGGTTAGAACAAGAACCTTATGAGAGTATACATGTGTTTGATAGTAAGGAGTAGGAACTTATCATCCTCCATGATATTTTCATGCATGGAGATATTGGAAAAGGACTTACGAGTAGCAGACGCCCAAAGCATATCGACAAGACCCTCCACATCCGCAGCGAGCTCTTTGAAACTTTCATATCTGCGCTCTGAGGTGGGGGTACCGGGTGCATCCATACCCATATCGGATTTCATTTTGCGATAGGTTACTCTCTCGATGCCAGCGCTGATTTGGCCACGGAGTTGTGTTTCTTCCATGGAGCCTGAGGGGATTGGCTGGGCTCGCTGTGGAGGGAGTGAGAGTGTTGGATTCCATGGTGGGTGGGGAGTTACAGGGAGGACTATGGACATATCTCCGTCCTGTCTGTCTCTGTTGCAGGAGACTGGAACATCCTCAAACTCGACATCTTCGTCGGAGTCATGCTCGTCTTGGATCGAGGCTGGTGACATATCGTGTTGGGCCTTTGCTTTGATTGAACTAGGGCTCTTTGGCTGCTATCAAGTCGAGCTTTTTTGCCTTGGGTTATGCGTTGGGATTGCGGATCAGTCGTGTAGAGTATCAAATGATAGAGTACCTAAACTGTAGTCATTCGTCCCTGGATTATTCGAATTGTATTATGTTTTGGCTGGGATATGAATGCAAATAGTAAAAGATGTACAATTTGTCCAGAGGTGGGATGTCATGCCAAGCCTTGGTCTGTGCGGGAGATCCGGAACTATGATGTGATGTCTTGTAGTGTTACGACGGGAGGCAGATCTTGAATTGTATGTAGAGCAGAAATATGGTCGCTATTGAGTTTGATATCATGTATGTATTCATCTAACCTATCTCGAACCTGAATCAGCATATGTGACATGAAGAAGCACTATAAACCCCAACGAGATGTGGACTCCATTTCAGAAGGCGAGAAGATATAGATATGCTGGTTTTTGCAGACATGGCAGAACAGCGAACAAGCGCGTTTCGCTACTATGGCCCCAGCGTATTCATCTTTGGAGACAAACCAGAAAAAGAACCAAACAAAACTCACATGTACATAGGGGCCTAGGGCACCTCGAACCTTTTTATCCTGCCAGCGAAAGACACCCAAAACGCCATGCTATGCGCAAGATCACTCAGGCTATTCAGAAAGTTAGTCTCATTCCCCAAAACCAAATCAAACAGCAAAGGAGAAAACCTACCCGAATCTTCCCCTTCCGAGCCTTAATCTCCGCCAACTTCTTTTTATCCTCATCGAAATTCCGCAGCAACTGGTTCTGCCTCTCCTTCCTCTTCTCCCGAGACTGGAACCGATAGAAGTCCTCCAACCCAGCAGCCTTCTTCTTCTGCCTCTCAACAATCTCCCGCATCTCGTCCTCCCGAGCAGCAGAATTCAACTTCGGACCATGAGAAACAGTAACGAAACCATCCTCATCCGGCACAGCCAACCGCTTGTGATCCTCGCGCTTGCGCGCCTCTGACACCGCCGTGAACGTCGTCATGAACTCGTTCACCGTCCGCAGCAACGTGCCCCGGTCCGGGTACTGCAGACGCTCGTGTGCGACGTACCGGTTCAATCCCAATGCGGGGATGCGGTCACTGGGCAGGCTGTCGCCCCAGACGATGGTCGTTCCGCGCTTGGCGGCCTTGGTGGCGGCCTTGAGGCTGCTTTCCATGCTTGGCTTGTCGGCGAAGATGACGACGGCGTGCGCGCCGCTCTTTTGCAGTTTGCGATCCCAGGTTGAGGGGAGGGTTATGTTGTCTAGGTGGTGTTGGAAGTCGTCGGCTGTTTCGCGCTTGCGCTTCTTTTTGGATTGTGTTAGGTTGGTTTCTGTCGTTGCGACGGCGCGCTTCTTGGTCTGCACATCTTCGAACTGGACTCTTTCCACGCGGCCGGCAGCGAGCTGTGTGCCGAAGAGGTGACGGATGTGTGCTTCTGTTGTGTCAATTGGGACGTTGACAATGAAGAGAGAGCGGGTGGAATCTGGGTCGGGGATCCGGGGCTCGTGTGGTCGGATGTAGAGGTAGTGTGTTGCGAGTGTGGGGAATAAGGGGAGAGTAGGAAGCTGTACGGGCAGGGTGGTGTACCCTTCCACCTCCACAGTTTTGCTCTTCATTTTGGACGGAGGTTTGATTGTTGGATTGTTGCGTTGATCGAGCTGAACTTTTTCTGCGGTTGTCCTCTTGGCACAGGATTCTGCCGCATTGCCAAAGCGGTGCTGAAGGCGGTAAACATTCTCTTAGGGCTTGACGACAGACCGTCTGTAGACATGGACAGGAATATCAGGCTATTGATGTAACATATTTTGATTGTATAACTTGGCTAATAGCCTAATTATATGAGGCTGGCGCAACATCAAGTAGTTCAAGTCGGGTAAATCAGCAAAATAACCATCATAAAGGATCTCCGTCAACATCGGTACCGTCTCGACCAGTCCACCATTCAAATTCGGAATCAAACCTTGTCAGGATCATTGATACCACCATTGGTAATGATATAGATTGCTTCACGCTCAGGGCAGTCTGAATGACGTTAGAGAAGCATCCAATTCTCAGTTGAAGAGTAACCTACCAGGCGAATCCTGGATCTTCGCAACACGCTCATCACCACGACCCTTCCGAAGAAGCACCCGAGTAGTGGAAGCGTGAGCAAGAACATGTCCACCAACAGGCTTACGACCATCAGCTCCAGCGAAAAGAGCACTAGCACCAGGGTCACTCTGGACCTGGTTTGTCTGAACTCAAGCGTGAGACCCAATACTCAAAGACAAATGGCAACAGCATACTCACCATCAAGACGCAAACGTTGAACTCTAGGACGCAAGCCAGATTAGCTAAAGATAAAACAAACCAGAAAACAGAAACATCAAATCTCACCTTCAGCCATATGCGCCAGCTTCATCAAAAACTGGTTCAGCTTCTGCTGCCGATCCGCCAACTCCCCACGCCCACAGTAATCAACCCGGAAGCAGTTCATGATACTGTCAATGACCAGCAATCTGTACTCACCACCAGAAAATGCCTGAGAAAGGGTATTCAGCAGCTCGAGTTGGTGCTCACTGTTCAGCGCACGCGCATAGGAAATGTTCTCCTGTGCAGTGCCCGGGTCCATGCCGAATCGTTCGGCGATTTGCGCAATCCGCTCGGGACGAAACGTGCCCTCTGTATCGATATAGGCTACTTTCCCATCTGCTCCGCCATCTGCCTTGGGTAGTTGAGCGACTACGGACATGGTGTGCGCCAGCTGGGTTTTGCCGCAGCGGAACTCGCCGAAGACTTCACTGATGCTCATGCTTTGGAAGCCGCTGGAGGGCATTAGTTTTCTGTTGTTCAGGTATTCCAATTGAGTGAAGGGATGTATGGACCCACCCGCCGAGGATTGAGTCGAATTGTTTGCTGCCAGTTGAGATGCGTACGACCTTCTTGCGCTGGTGGTGGAGTTCCATGGCTGTGATGAAACCCGAGGCGGAGGGTAGGCATTTCTGGATTGCTTCTTTGACTTTCTCAACCTTGATCTCGCTAAAGCCTTTGATTTTCGAGAGGGTCTTGCGAGTGGCACCATGGACGGACTGGACGGGTGGTTAGGTCGGGTGCAGAAGCATGGGCGATACTTGGATGATGCCTGGAGATGAGATGGTCAGGGCGGGGGTACTAACAGCGACAGTGTAGAATCCGTTGGCCTTCAGCTTGGTGATGTCAGCTGCGCCAATGCCATGGGCTTGTATACTGTCAATGTCCACGATGAAAGCCTATAGATGTCAGATGGTTGCTGATTAGACTCTTAAGACGTTCATCGAGTTTTGTGGATTTGATGGTACCTCGCCGTCGTCGTCGAATTCATCACTTCCCACGGAGCCTGGCATTTTGGCAGAACCAATTGATTCAAAATGACTTGAATATGTCTGATGGGGAAGGGTGTAAAGTAAATGAGAGGGGTGATGAATGTTAACCTGAACTTAGCCTCCACGCTTGGTCACGGGTTCCACCACGACCTTGAACACATGTCGGGGGATGTACACTACAACTATACTACATGCACGAACAAGTGGGCGTGACTAAATAGGGCATCAACCACGGAGTACCCCGTACAGATCTAGGAAACTTGAATTTCTTTTGGGCTCTCGATATATCTCCGCGAGGACTCTTCCCATCAGGAAGTCCTCCCACACAAAACAACGCAACGGTCCCCGAATCTAAGCACTCGTCTCACCATCTTCTCAGCCATTGCCACACTTCATCTCCTCGTTCTCTCCTTGGCCCATCCGGGAAAACCGCAACCAATCAAGAGTCGATCGATACAAAGACCAATCGAGAAAGACAATCCATGAGAAAGACAATAGACGCCAATCGTAAGACTTGGAACAAGTCAAGAAGGGGTAATTCGCGAAGTCACTTCGCGGAAATCATAAAAAAGACAAATAGAAAGGACTTTTCTGTTTGTTCGTCGTATACATGGTGGAAAAAAGGATCATTCAAGGGGAAAATAAGGGAAATCAAAAGTCGACGTAAATTTTTTTGGGTTGAAAGAGGCTCGAAGTCCAACTGAGAACCAGTATCCCAAAACAAGGGTGTGACTCAAATATATGCAAAGGAAGAGAGGGTGGAGAGGAAGGGCCGATCAAGGTTCAGGGAAGGTGACCGTAAAACAGAATCAAGGAAGAAAAAGGAACCCCACGATAAGTGGCTGGGGGATGTGCGGTGGAGAGGCCGACGTCACACTTATGCGACGGCGGTAGTAGGAGCCGCAGCAGGAACGGTGTTAGCCTCAGCCTCAACAGGGGCAGCAGCCACAGGAGCAGCGGCAACAGGGGCGGCGTCAACGGCAGCAGCGGGGGCAGCAGCACCCTCGTTGGTGGGGCAGTCGCGGGAGATGTGGCCAGCCTGGGCGCACTTGTAGCAGACCTTGCCGGCGGAGCTGAGGGGGCCGCCGTTGGGGGCGGTGCAGTCACGCGAGATGTGGCCGAGCTTGCCGCAGGCGTAGCACTTCATAGCCTGAGCCTGGCAGTCACGAGCGAAGTGGTTGGGGCCACCGCACTTGTAGCAAGTTGCGGCGCGGGGGTAGCCGCTGAAGCCGCCGCGGAATCCACCCTGGAAACCGCCGCGAGCACCAGCACCGCGGCCAGCGGCGGGACCGGTAGGAACGGCAGCAGCTCCAGGAGCAGCGGGACTTGGGCAGTTGCGCTGGAATGGGATTAGTAATTGCCTCGAGAGGTTCAATACCGGGTAGAACTTACAGCGAGGTGACCAGGCTGGTTGCAGTTGTAACAGCGGCCGCCGGCACCGCCTGCGCCGCCGTTCAGGCGCAAGGTGGGGCAGTCAGCCTGGACGTGACCGAGACCCTGGCAGTTGTAGCACTGCTTGGCTGTATGGGGGTTAGTAGCTGAATTTGCGAAAGGATTGGTTTTTGGTGATCGCTTACTCTCGGAGGTACGGGGCAGAGGACAGCTGCTCGACTCGTGGCCTAAATGACAGATTAGGAGCTTGTTCTGAGTCCTATGACTCATGAGAGGACATACCGGGTTGCTTGCCTATGAGACGAAACCAATTAGCACTCGAATAAGATGAGACGATACACTCCCGGCAAGGTATTCACGTACAGTTGTAGCAGAGACGCTCAGTGGAAGAGCAGACCTCTATCGAGGGGTTAGTTCGACCCCAGCACCAGATCGCTTCCAGCTCTACTAACCAGCATAGTGGCCAATGGTGCCACACTTGTAGCATGCGCGACGAGACAACATCATTCTGGCGGTATTCTGTCCATCGCGAGTCAGCCCGAGATCGGGGTTATGGTAGCTCCGTCGATGTCGATAAGCAGCGTCTTCCCCTCCATTGCCGGGAAATTTGTTGAATACGCAAAATCATGCAGCAGTCGTCTGCTCAACTGCCAGACCAAAGATCCGATGTTGTCGACCCAAATCCAGCATCCAGCATCCAGCACATTGTCGCTAATTGTTGCGATCTCGAAATTTTCAAGCGAAAGAGGGGAAGACGTAGATCGGCGGGGAGCACGAGCTCGAACAAAACGGCGAAACACCCACACAGAAGCTCACTCACCCTCACGGTAACTCTTCGAATCCTGATCAAATACTATCTTTGGGGTCAGTCTGAGAATGGAGAAAGTAGAGCACGTTCTGACAGCCCACTCGAGAAGAAAAAAGTGGGGTGGGGGGTAAGGGAAAACGACCACACACGGGAAAAAAGAAAAAAGCCACAGGAATGAACTCACACAACTTCAAAAACCTCAAGAACCTCAAGAACCTCACAACAGCTCCGACAACTTATATTAAGGAAGATGCACAAAGGTGACTCGAAGAAGTTGGAAAAGAGCTGCAAACTCGTCAAACGGGCATTAGCTCCCGGGCTTTTCCGTATTGCGTAAGGTTGCGGGTTTATTTAGTTCCAGGACGTACAGGAAGAGTATATATACGAAGTTGCACTACTTGCGCTTTAGAAAATGCTACGGCTTTGAGATCTTAGGATTGAATCGGAAGATAGTATTGAAGGATTGCTTTTGGAAATTCCTCACCCCTGCATTCCTAATCCATACGAAGCAACTTGATACAGTAGATCCATTCTGTCCATTCTCTGAGAGCCAAAAAGTGTCACAATGCAATTCGTTTCTTCGTTCCAAGGCTATTCCCGCAGAATCCGACTGGTAGATCCCCGGAATCGCTGCAAAGTCCATCTAATCTAGTCTTCCCTCTCCAAGATAGCGGGTGCTTTAATTTCCCGTCCCTTGAGGAATTCTAGGTTCTCACCGCCCTGTAGTGCATGTTAGTGATGAGTCTAGAGAAGAGAAGGAAGAGACAGGAGAACACATACGTAGCTGATCAGAGGAGAAACTTCGACACCAACGGCCTCACCGTCGGTGATAACAACGGCACCAGCAGCCTCAACCCATCGCTGACCCTGGGCCATGATATCCGCACGGCTGGTATCGGGGTCGTCCTCACCAGTACCGCGGGCGTTCTTCAACGGCGAGAACTCTTCGTGACGGTGCACCTCGAGGCAGGCGAACTTGTCAAGCGGTGTCATGGGGAACACATCGAAGACAAACTGCTCCAACTTGATGCCGTTAGGCCTTTCAGGCTTGACATTGTTACCAGACTCGGGATCGACACAAGCAATCTTCTTGCGGGCCACGTGGTGGGGCAGCTGGTGCATCCAGGTCTCAATCGACTCGAGGAAACGGAATGAGTAGTAGTGGTTGACAATGTTAGCAGCGCGGTACTTGAGAACGTCGGGCTGCTTGGGGTCCTTGGCCTCGGCAGTTTCCTTATCGATCTCAGAGTACTCAACCACGTCGGGCTTGCCGTTCTTCAACAAGATCAGACCGACAGACTCGGTGGCATTGCGCTTGCGCACCACCTTGGTGGCAATGTCCACCTGCTTAGAGGCTGCGAAGCCAATGAAGACTGGATCGGCAACCTTGACCAAGCAGTTGTCCACGCCGTAGAGGTGAATGTGCTCAATACCGCGGCGGCGCATATCCTCCCGCACACCAGACACCACTAGGGCCTGATAAATACCACCGTTTCCATCGGGAGCCACGGCAGCCTAGGTTGAGGGTTAACACAAGTTTTCCTTACACATATTGAGCTACGAACGATTAACATACTTTGCTCTTGCTCTCAAGAAGAATCTTGCCGTCATTGGAGATGCAGGGTAGAACACCTTGTTCGAAGATCATAACATTGCTCTTCTCGAGACCAAAGTAGTTGTTCTTCTCGAAGAACTCTTCGGTGGGCTTGCGTGTAGGCCCGCTGGTCATGACGTACCAAGGGATCACAACGTTCTTGGCACCAATCAAGGACTGCAGCTTGGCAATGCGCTGAGCCTGCAGCTGGAATAGCGATTTCTCGCTCAACAGACCAATATCGAAGCAGCCCTTAGGGGCAGAGCTGCCGAGCCGGGTTCCCTGTCCACCGGCCATCAAGACCACGGCCACCTTGTTTGCCGCCACCTCTTTCAGGCCGGCTTCGTACCATTTCTGGATATCTGAGGGATCGGAATCAAGGATGGAGGCTGTGGCGGATTCGGGAAGGGGCTCGAGGGTGACGGGTCCTGTGGAGGCGGGGGGAGCGTTGAGAGCTTTGTCGGCCAACTCGTTGATTCGAGTGGGGTCAAAGTTGGACAGCTGGTGGAAAAGTTGGGATTTCTCGACGGTCGTCAATTCATCGACAAAGGCAAAGACATGCCCTTGACCGGCATCTGTATATTTTTTCTGTAGTGTTTGGAACTCTTCGGCGGAGGGCTCGCGGGGAACCTCCGGGGCGGTGCCCTGGAACCTTCCAAGAACGCTGGAGACAGTATCTTTGATTATGCTTGCCATTGTGATTAAGGAGGTATTTTGATAAAAAAAAAGGAAGTCAATGGTAGTAATGAAGACAGTCGAGAAACGAAGGTGGGAAAGAAGGGAGAATAGAATACAAGCAAACGGTGGGGAAGCTCAAGCTGATTAAGTAGCCTCTTCCTTGAAAAGTTCTCCATAGCTTAATATACCTCACACTATCCTCAGCTAGTGGGTTTGGGTTATTTTTAGGGATCTACAACGAATAATTAAGGAGCATTGGCTACCAAAAGTGCCTAGTGATTCATGGAGTGAATGCCGAGTGAGACCTGCCCACTGGAAAGGGCTACGCTAACCAGAGCGGGGCTAGAGAGGCCCGCCGTGTTGCCATGGTAAGGGGCGAAGCCGCGAAACTGAAAATGTTATGTCGTACTGTGTATATTTATGTAGTCTTAACTTATAGGGGATATCATATGGTATGTGCTAGTGTCGTCGGTCACGCCGATCACGACCATCACGGTTATAGCGGCCTCGGTCTCGTTCACGGTCTCTCCGTGGACTACGACTATAAGACCGACGACGGTACCGGTCCTGTCCATCTCGACCACGGGGACTTCGACTGCCTCGGGCCCGACGATCGCGATTGCGATCTGAGCGCGCCTCTCGTGGAGCCTCGCGGGGTGGTGAGCGCACAGGTGGAGCGTTCTCGGTCTTGTTTCGCTTGTCAAACATCATCCGATAGCGTGGATCGCCCTCATCGTAAGAAGGCTCGTCGTCCAGTTCTCGGTACTGGCGTTTGGCCTCAAGATCTGCTACACCACCGAATCCACCTCTCTCGGCGCTTGGTGACGGTGGAGTTGCGCCAGCTTTCGGATAATTTGGACACCTAGGATGTGTTAGTGACTCTAGGAGCAATGGTGCCGCTGAGGACTTACACTTTGTGAGAAATCCACGTGTATACGGTGGTCATCAATCAGAACACCCTGCATCTTGAAGTAGGCCTGTTCGCAATCCTTCTGTTCCTCGAATTCGATAAAGGCGTATTGTAGACTATCGCCAGTGCGCTTGTCCCGAATGACCTCGCAAGACAAGATCTTTCCAAAGCGGCTGAAAATAAGATTCAAATCCTCATCTAGCATTGGATTAGCATGATCTCACCACTCGTGGACAACGTGACTAACCTTGTGTGACGGGGTTGAGCTTGCAAACAAAAAGAATATTCTCTGGTGGTTTGACGTCGGCAAAGGGCAGATCGCCCACCATCTCCAAAGTCAATGCCTGGGCGCGGGCCTCGCGCTCGCGACGTAGCTTGTCCATAGCCTCTTCGTCCATATCATCATCCAGCTCCTCATCGTCCGCGATTCTGACCGTGGCCAATTGCGCTTTGGAGGGCACCGGGCTCTCCGGCGGTTCAACCAGATTTGGGGGGTCATCGAAAGGGTCGTCAAGCACAGTAGTGTGACGAATCCGGATATCCTTCAGTGGTCGACCTTTATCGTCAATGAAGGCCTCATTGATTTTCTCCAGGACGTCGAAGCCCTCGACAACCTTGCCAAATACTGCAGCTTTCCCATCCAAATAATCCAAGTTGTCTCCTAGTGTAATAATAAATTGACTGGCGGCTAGTCGTTGGTCGGGGTCGTTCTTGTTGGGTACGGTTGCCATGCTCACAGTGCCGCGCTCCAAGTGTTTCAGTTTGCGCGATATCTCAATAGGAAATGTTCTCTTCGACGGTCCATCCAGCAGACCCCACACTGAAGAACCTCCATCACTCTCGGGCGCGTCAGGACCGAGCGGGTCGCCGGTCTGGAAGGTGAAGTTCTTTTGGACGCTGTGGACGGGCGAGAAATTGTAGTACTTGAGCTTGCATAGCTTCAGGAAGCTAAAAACACCCGAATGAGCTTAGTTTCAGATTCAGCAGACTGGGGAAGCCAAGGAATGGAGCTATTCTCACTTGTCACACGCTTTGGGTGCATCATCGACCAGCAGGTCAATTACAATGTCGCCCAGGGAGGTCTCTAAAAGCACGCTCATGGCGGGGAATCGGGTCGCGACACAAGAAATAAGAAAAGAGACTAAATTAGGCGCTTGTTCAACAAGATCGCTTAATAAGAGATAACAGAAAGAGGTCGAGAGAGAGAGTCCGGCAGTGAAATGCGGAAGAAAGAAGATCGCCGGGAGCTTAGACCAATGACCAATGACCACCCACGGGGAACCCTTCCAGTACTGCTCAACATTTTTCCTCTCTAACTACAAGGTGCACAAAATAACGCCTCAGGAAGATTTTCCACTAATAACACATCGATTTCAATGGGTACTTGCTGCAAGAGAGCTCTAGCGCTCTCCGGATGATCGACCCGGGACTCTTGTGCAACGGTCTTTGTCAATCGAACGGCATATCTTCCGAGTGTCCCCGTTGGGGGACATAGACCTAACCTACGTTTGAGATCAACAGCAGATCTTATTAAGGGCTCTGATCGACACTGGGATTCCAAGGCTGGGCTGTTTGTGCTTATATCCCTCATGCAAGCAGCAGCCCCAGCCAAAAGAAGCATCTGTTCTTGGCAGAGGAGTTCGAGAGTGAGCTGAAGGCCACTCACCCCTGGAGCCCAAGCCACTGTCTGTTGTATTGTTTCGCATTTTGTGTCTTTCCCCCACGGAGCCCCCACGGAGATCTGATCACGGTGTCTGGCAACTCAGAAAACGGTCCTCCTTGTACATGTAAGTACCTCTACCATCCAGTTTTCTTCTCCTCTCTGTGAGCTGTGACACAGCAGAAACGTTGGGGAAGGGGGCAACGGGCGGCCTCCTGCAGCAGGATTCAACGGGGTATCATTACGATGACCACACATCCATATCTGGGAGCCACACACGTGGGAGAGGAGATGATCAATCCTGAACGAGCCTCTTGCCACTGACCTCAGGCCTTCTGTTTCTCTCTTCGATCTGGGAGCGGGAAGTTCCGACGGTCAGCCAGGGGTTACGCTACCTCCACCGTATTCTGCAACATGGAAAGGCCAGTCTCAATCCCAACGTGTGTTCCTGGCGAGTCAATTCATCAGAGTCAGCCGGCGGAGCTTACTTTGTTTCTCCTGACTCTTCAATCTCAATCTTTGCTTTCCCCCGGATGTCGTGCATCGTCGAAACCTTAGTCTCCACGGACAGTGGTCGAAATACCTGCCAGCGACTCTATTCATGGATGGGCCCAGATTTGTGAGATCTCGACTTGTGATCCACCGCGCCTCTCCCCCTTTGGTTCTATTTCTCTTTGACTCTCGCTTCCTCCCTGTCTCTTACGACTCTTCTCGTGTCCTCACACTAGATGTCTTAAGGCGCACGATGGTTATATCTCTCAAATGGCGAAAGACGCGACACGAATCCTTCCAAATCCTTTGCCATGTCATACTGTAACGCGAAACCCACTCTCTCCACATTAGCTCCAAGCCAATGTGTGAACCTTGTAAGTATCCCAGGAGTTCATGCATCTCCACGGATCGTCTCTAGTCTCCCACTTTTAGCCTTTAGCGTCGATCATGATCAACGATCCGGGGATATGGAAGTAGATTCATCGCATTTGAGTATACTATCTTTGGTACCTTTGGTAAGTACTTTTTCAGTTTATGGGGGGAGGTGGTTCTTTCAATCCAGCCCCCGGAAGCGCTAAAGAAGGGTGCATCAGCCTAAAGACAGGTGCATCAGCCCCCATGTCGCCGATCAGCCTTCTTAAGATCGTTGATCCCTGACATTTTTATAAAGCGCGCTTGGCTCGGGGAAGATCAAACTCGTGCGCTTGTAAAAGTGACAGGTGTCAAAAGTTTCTACGTTAAATTTCTTTTTTTCCTTTTTCTGCCTCTTAAGACATTTGCAGTATGAGACAGCGTTTGTTTCTATTCTTTGGGAGACCGTGCGTTTGCCAGATATAAGCCATTCCAGGACGATGAGCTGTTCCAGACCTCGACAATGACCGAGTTCAGGACTGTTTGATACACCTGCAGCTACACCAATTCAAACTATCGAGCAAACATTTTTCGGACGTCGGACATCTTCCCCCGCGGATCGACACTAGGTGTATATCTCTGTCTACAAACAGCCCCGGCAGGTGCCCTTAGGAGATCGTTGAGATAGACCAGATCTGGTCTGAGGTCTTCTGAGGTCTCCTAGGGCTAGAGGAACTGGTTATTCATAAAAAGAAAGGCCAGTTCAAATCGACTGAAACACTGCCTACCGGAGCACTCTCTCCTGTTCTCGTCATGGCTATCAGGTGGCCGTGTGACGTTACCTTGTGAAACCTCGTTCTATTTTTCAAAACACCGGGGATATTGCTGGTCTTTCATGCTATCTCTGGGCACTGGGGAAGGGATCTGGGACGGAACTTTGCATATCATTTCCCCTTAATCGTAGGAAGAAAATTACGGGAAAATAAGAATGGAGCTAGTAAATAATAAGGAAAGGAATAAAAAATACCAACAAAAGTAAAAAAAAGAAAAATGCACAGACTTAGGGCCAGGGTACTCTTAGCCGGGGTACTGTGTATGTCTTCTTCTTCCTCTCCATCTCAACAGACATATACAGGGAAAATAATTAAAGAAAACAAGAAAACAGGGGGCAAAATATATATCTTCATAAAAAAGAAGGCAATCACACCGATTGTTACCAAAACATGGCTTAAATCTAGCCCTATCTCCCAGAGACATCTTTCACTTTCTACTTTCTTCTTTGCACACGCAATGAGTACTGCTTTATAGCTTCTCACAGTTGCATCTTGATTGACACATCTTGAAGCTTGAGCTACTATCTATATACACCTCCCTTGGAGCAAAACTTGCCGTTATATCAAGTTCTTGTTGCCAATTGATCCGCAATGGATCCCACATATGACAATATGGTTGGGATAGACCACTCCAGACATAACTCCAGTCTCTCCATGGCCCGCTCAATGCGTGTGGTCAAACAGGAGCGCAGTATGGAGCGAGAGGAGAAGCCCCGTAAACAGAGGAAGAGAGCCCTGGTTGCAGTAAGTTTCTACACACTGGTATTAGAGACCAAGATCTAACCATCATCAGTGTGACCGATGCCGAAAGAGAAAAATCAAGTGCAACGGTGATCTCGACTCTGGCAAAGCTTGTTCCAGCTGTCTGAGTGTGGGAGCAACCGAGTGCGCGTACAACCGAGTAAGCAAGGAAACTCACGAGACTCCCCCCATCTGAGAGTCACACGCTGACTCTCCATCTTCCTTAGGTCAACTCTTGGTCTGTGGAAAAGACCCAAAGAGAGGCTGCCAAAATGGCTGTTAGACACTTCGCCGCAAATCCCCAGGCAAGATCAAACTTCCTCTCCTCGGTTCCACACCGAGATGATTATCACCTGGACGTCCAACCCAGCTTCCGCCAATCCGTCGCAATGGACTCACTCTATGATGAGCAGTCAGCCAACTACGGCCAAACATCATCAGGATACATGCTACCCAACTCCAACGCAATGCTCGACTACAGCACAGCCTGGTCTAACCGAGGCTGGGATCTCAGCAGACCTGGTCAGGGCGAGTACTTCGACGAACAAAACCAAGCTGGCTATGGATTCATCCTCCCAGGCCAATCCATGTCCGACATTCCCCACTCAACAGGACCAGGAGCAAACTACACAGAAGCCGTAGACCGCACCCTCCCCACACCCCAAAGTCGACCCCAACAAACCCCACCAACCCTCCTCACCCTCCCAGACAATCTCTCCGGCATGACCCTAGCCCCAGACTCCAAACCTCCTTTCTGGAACATGCGCTACTCCACCTCCCCAGACACCCGGGCAATGCCAATGCCCCCCAACAACACCATGTACCCCCAGACCCAAGCCCGCATGAAACAACCAGAACCAGAAGACACCACCCCAGATCTCATCTTCGACATGCCCCCCTCAACAGCCGCAAACCCACCCTACCCATCTCTGGACACGATAGAGTCTCCCCTGGGTGTTGGCGGGTACGCGCACGATGCACGGGGGTTTCCACCTGAAGGTCAACGGCTTCCGCTGACGCCTGATGGTGCAGCGGATGTGTATGGGTATGCGAGTTCGCGGAAAAGAGGTGAGGCGGAGACGAGGTGTTCGGCTTCGACGCTTGTGAGTGGGATGACGTATACGAGGGTGCGACATGGGGATTCGGGGAGTGGACCGTCGTTTAACTATTTGTTGGATGCTTTGCCTCAGTATGGGCGTATGGAGGGTGCGCATCGCTCACCGGTTCCGCCGCTTGGGGGGCATGAGGCTTATTGAGTTGTTACTTTGTCATTGTTATGATGGTTGGGGTTTGATGTCTTTTCTTTTCTTTCTCTGTTCTGATCTTCCTTTGGCTGGTCATTGCTTTCTTTCTCACAAGATACACAAAAGAGATACCCATTTCACGGCCTCGAATACCTGTTGTCTTCCTTGATGTCTTTCTTTCTGTCTTGCTGCCTTGTCTTGATGTCTTGTCTTGCTGTCTTACTGTCTTACTGTCTTGATTTCTTGCTATGCTGTCTTGTCTCTGTCTCACTGGCTTATTGTCTTACCGTCTGTCCTGTCATTTCTTCGTTGATTCGATTGTTTACTGCTTCAGCTTGCCTTTTCATATTCGCACCAAAAAAGTCATGGACACGAGAAATCCACTTTCTCCAGTCTATGAAAACCAGCCCTAATACCTGCAATTCAAGTTTCTATCTATTCAAACCGAACAATTCCTTCCAAGTTCCAGCCATGTGTCTTTACCCGTGAGCATTTATTCTTGATTGGAATCCATCGATATATCCAAGTCACACGTCCTTAAGGATCCAGTCTATGATCAAGATCTAACTGTGACAATTTCATTACCAGTTTTCACATTTCCACTAATGATACATCTTATAAACCCCATCGCCATGTATACAACCAAAAACCACAGGACCAACCATGTGTCCTACGTCAGTAAAGGTCCTTCTGATCAATGTAAGTGACACACCCCCGCGAGACACGGACATACCCCGCAGTCACTGAGTCAAATGAGATGCAGTGTAGATCTAACGATACATTCAGATGCGGGGAGAAAAGAGACTTGTGTAATTCATCGTCATCACACAATCGAGCCGAGGGCAACACATACACATACACATACACGGTCCAGGTTTCGAGGTTCAAGGTTGACGGTTGTAACGCTAGATGTCTTAGACTCTTACTTGTTCCTGCATTTTGTTCATTGAAGAGATATTTCAGGGAGAGGTACGGAGGGCTTGGAGGTCCTGGCAGGCAGCATTGGGCTGCGATGGAATATCTTTCATATTACTGCGTATAGGGATTTGCATATAGATAGTCAATCCAGTTGCATGAAACGAAATGGATTTGGATCATATTGGTTTGGTGCCAGGATCTAGACGTAGGGTCAACAGTTGTATGTCTTTTGGCTCGACTGTGTAGAGATTAGGGCTCGGATAAGATGAAGTTGACCTCCGCATTACAGCGGCGGCTGACAAGACCAGCCTGGACTACGTAGTCCGCAGCCTACAATCCAGATCTCATCTACACTACTGGCAACTACAAACACCGAGTGAAGTAAACAAGTAAAATGTAATTTCATCCCGGGCAAAACAGCCGAAGCCCGGATTCTCATAACCCTGGCCGTCTTCACGAAGACCGATGACCTCCCAAAAAAAAACATACACACCAAGAATCAAACGCTGACGCCCTGTTTTAAATAATTCCCCAGGGGTGTTCGCCAGGTCTATTTTTTCAAACGGGAAATCACCAGCTCCAACAAGCACAGGAAGAAAAAAAGAGTTTCCGTCCACGATCTTCACCATTCAACGGGCATCATTTTTGGGTTTTAGTCTGATGTTCGCTGAAAAGGAAGATAAACCACTCCCCCCACACACGACCGACCACACCTGAGCCCGCAAAAGCCAGACCCAGGCGGGAAACTCCAGAGCCAAAGCCACCACCGCCATAATCTTTTCCCAATCCATGCCGCGTCAGCGGTCCATGTTGATTCGTGCGGATAGTTACAGGTGAGGCGCTTAATCCTTGTTCTTCTTGGGGCCCTTGACCTTGGCGACACCGCGGAACTTCTTGGAGCGGTTCTTCCGTTGCTTGCCTGTAGAAAGGGTTAGCGGACATCTTGTATAGAGGTTGGATCGCCGAGACGGGTGACATACGCTGCTGGCGGGAAGCCTTCTCGATCTTGGAGGCGACACCGATGCGGACGAGACGGTAGTGAGGCTCGAACTTCTTCAGGGCCTCCTGGGAGTCGTAGACGAGAGCGAAGCCAGTGCTCTTACCGCCACCGTACTGTGTGCGGAAACCGAAGACGGAGACCTGGTCCTTGTTGGACTTGTACAGATCGGCCAGCTTCTCGCGGAGCTCGTCCTTGGAGACGTTGGGGCGGTTGGGGTGGAGGACGTCCCTAGATCGCGAAATGTCAGATCGGTGTTCATTTCGAATATGGTGCTTGTGTCTGTGTGTGTGTGTGCGTTGAATAATTCGATCGCGCTTGTTCTCCTTCTCTTTCTGATTGTATTGTGCTGTCTGATTGTGCTGGTGATTTGTCGAATTCCGTGTCGCGCGCCTTCAATGTATTTCCACCACACACAGATCCAAAACGAAGGGGAAAAATCAGGGGGTTCTTACACGACCATCTGCTTGCGAGCAAGCAGAGGGTTGCGGATGAACTTGCGAGTCCGCAGAGTGACGGGAGTGTCGGCCATTTTGGTGTGTGCGTTGGTTGGAGGAAGTGTCGACGGGGTCTTTTGAGGATGTCGAACTTTCAATTTTCGTGTGGTGTGGGCTCGGCTAGGGTAGACGCTAGCCTGTTTGGGCTCGCTGCCTCAGGCTATAATTACTAAGTGGTTGCCTGAGGCACTCACTAGTCTGGCCCTTGCTTATCTCATTCCTGACTCATCATTCTTCTCCGTTTTCCCTCCAATGAGATCTGCCGCTGTGATCTTCGAATATTGAATTTCTTATGCTCATCTATGAACTACATATGGCCGACCCAATTGACAAATTAGCGGCGCAGTATTTCCAGCTCGTAGAGCTGCCGAATCTGGCATTGCCGCCAGGCTCTGTGCTGATCCAGCCAGCCGTGCAAGCAGCTCTATACGAGCGCATGTTCAACGAAAACGTCTTTCCTATCCCACCAGACAGCTACCGAAGCCGAGTGCTGAAAGAGATTCTCTCGCGAATCGAGGAATCAATCACTGACCCAGAGGAGGATGTATGCCCACCCATGTTCAGTCTTGCATTTTCATTGAATTCCCTCAGTTCTATTTCATCCTTTCCACTACACTAATACACTTCATGTACATCCCAATCCTCCAATTCCAATGCAAATACCATGATTGAAATTCCACTCTAACGTACGGATCACCCTCATCTTCCAATAGGAGATCAACGACGATCTCATGGAATGCTGGAGCACACTAGTCTCCCAGCCGAAACCATCAGCCCTACAGCAAGCGCAGCAACTATCGCTTGTCAAGTACACAGCACCTTTATCCAGTGGGACACCATCTCCGCGCACAGTCACGATTTCCGAATCACGGGGCTTGATTCTATCCGGCGGCACGACCGGAAATCGAACATGGGAGGCTGCTCTGCACCTCGGCTCGTTCCTTGTATCCGAAGCGGGCGAAGCGCTCGTGCGCGGTAAGAGGGTTATTGAGCTCGGCGCTGGCACCGGGTTTCTGTCGCTTCTTTGTGCACGGCATCTTGGTGTGCGCTCGGTTGTTGTGACTGATCGGGAGCCGGTTCTTATTGATAATATACGTGATTGCGTGCGGCATAATTTGCAAGGGAAAGAGTCTATTCCTATTTATCCTGCTATTTGGGATTGGGGCACTCCGTTGGAGAAGTCGGGGGACCTTGCTGGATTGATTTCCGAGGGCGGGGAGACCGGTTTGACCTTTGATATTGCACTTGGTGCTGATCTAGTGGGTTTTGTTATGTATAATTTGCTTGGGCTTGGTGCTGATATTGCTAGATCTATGATACGGACCTTGTTCCATTGCTCGTTTCCACTGTGCGTGATCTCTTCGAGAACTATCACATTAAGGAATTCATCATTGCTGCTACGCTGCGCAACGAGGATACTTTCCGCACGTTCTTGGTTGCTTGTGGTGAGTATTGATCTATACACCTATGTGTCTTGCGGGATGCTGATATTCTATAGAAACCAACTCATTCACAGTTGAAACTCTTCCGTTCGAGTCTACCCCATCAGAAGACCAGACGGGCTTCTTCCATTCGACCAGCATCCCGATTCGGACGTATCGGATTACGCGGAGGCAATGAGCATTTTGAACTGCGTTCACATCATGTCATGAAGTAACGAGTATAGATTAAAAACATGCTGCCTATCAGCCAAATCTATGATACGACCTAAGAGTGGTCATACGACATATTGCTGCAAGATATGAGTACCTAGAAGGAACCTTACTTCATCCGATAGGTATACCGGGGTAGACAACCAATCAAGTCTACAATGTGGGATCGTGAAGCGTAACAATATCGGTAGTATGGACATAAAGAGTGTATCATCTAGGTAGACTACCTAGGAAACCAACCAAAAATGAAAGCATGGGTATCACGTTCGCAACTCGCGCCATCCAAAACCAAGGAATCCAGGAAATGCAATAATCGAACGGCGAACAAGATGCAAAGATAAAGAATGTGCAATAGATGCAAGATAAAAACGAGCGTAGACGCTAATGTCAATCAATGTGCAAAATTACGAGCCGCGAAACCTAGCCAGTCTCATCGACTAGACTCTCTCGCAGCAAGTTCTCATCAATGCTCTGTGCATGAATAACGATGGGAGCAGGAGGTGGAGGACGCAGACCCATTATCGGTCCCTTCTGGTTCACGCCTGGGCGTCGGAAGCGGAGAGCCAGCGGATCCGGGTGGATAGGCGCGGACATGGAAGGTGAGGGTACGGAAGGCGAGGATGCGACAGACACACCAGGAGACTCTGCGGGTGACTCCGTCGAATCATGCGAGTCAACATTGGATGAGACTGCTGCTATGCCCCATCGGCCCAGGACCCAGCCACCCACGCGGCGACTCAACGGAGCCTTGCGCGGGCCAATGGTTGATGTTGAGGCGTTGCTGGTGCTCTGGGAGGAGGCAATGGAGGCCGTATCGGATCTGTGACTGTTTCCTGCAGCCATGGAAGCAAGCAATGATTTGGACGAATGCTCTGAGCCCTTTGCGCGATCGGCCGTGATAGCTGGGGCAGAGATCACCGGCGGCGTGGAGACCAGTTGGACACTGGGAGACAAGATGCGCCGAGGAATCCGCATGCCGGGATGCCAGTCTCCCATTCGCGCATGGCGGTTGTTGGGGGTGTGGATGTCCATACCAGCCACGGAGAGCAAGCTGTCATGAGAAGAAGATCTGTGCAAGGATGAAGACTGTACATGCATGGGAAAAATTTCATCCTCGGTGACCATTTCCTGTTCGCCCATGGCCGATGGGAAGTATGCCCCGGATGGGGATGATTCTGATTCTTCAGGGATGGCAGGCTCTCTATTATCACCCATGTTCGAGAAGTCTTGGCGCCTGTAGGGACCATCTTCAAGTGCGGACAAGTCGTCGGGTGGATCATGACTATCGTCACATATTGCCCGGAATGGCCCATCAAGGCCTTGGAAGGTCCGCGCGGTCATCAAAGGCGAAGAAAAGACGGTGCTGCCAGGGCTGGTAGGCTGGGAGAAATCAACGGCACATTCCACACGGTCGAATATTGATGATGTCCGGTACGCAGATCGAGGAGAGCTTGCCAGCGAGTCCGGAGCATGCGACTGTAATGAATAGCGGCGAGAGGATGAGTGAGGCGGAATAGAGACAGATGTGTGGGATAAGATGGTTGACATGGATGATCCAGATGATTGGGAGCGGTGGATGGCTCGTCGTGGCGAGTGTGATCGTGCGGAGTGCAGTGCTATCGGACTCGCCAACGCAGGGCGGCGTTTCTTCACGCGACGGTTCAACGTGCCTTTCTCCTTCTTAGGAGCTGCGGTTGGTGTGTGGAAATGATGATGGATGTGGAGCTCCTGAGACACTCGTCGTTCTTCTTTTGCTTCTAGCTCTTCGCTCAGTGTCGTGAAAGACCTTTGCTGCGCACTATCTTCATCGATTCCGGCCAGCGGCTGATGTGAGATCACCTGTTCCCGTAGGTTTTGCACCTCTTCGTTTGAACTCTGAAGCATGTCGCGCAGTTCCATTATCCCCACTTGTAGGTTGGCGTTGTCTTGCAGGATATCCTTGACGAAGCGAGAGACGACGGTAGTACCACCGGCACCACGGTTCAGTTCAGAGGCGGCAGCAGCACCCTTGAGGCGTCCTGCTGCGTTGTCTAGCTCGCGCTCCACGGCCCTCTTGCGTTCCATACGCTGAACGAGCTCAGTATGTCGCTCGCGCTCCTCCCGCGCCTCTTTTTCGATGCGATCAACTTGGTCATGAAGATCTCGCAGAGTGGTCTCCGCCTGTCTCCACCGCTGGACTGCTGACTTCTCGTCTTCTTGCACAGACATAAGGGTTTCTTGTAGCTTGGACTCTTCTGCCTCCAAGAAAGCTACTTGTATTTCGAGTTCCTCAGCGCGCGCTGCAGCCACAGTCAATCGTCGCAACTCGGACTCTGTGCTGTTCAACCTGACCTCAAGTGATTTGGCATAAGTGTCAGACTCGGCGACGGCTTGGTTAAGACTGTCAAGCTGCTCCAGGAGGCTGCGGTTTTCTTCGATGATGCGCGCATTTTCAGCCTGAACTTGTTTCTTTTCACGCTCTAGATCATCGATGTTGGCGACCAAGCGATGGCGGTCCTCTTCCGCCTCAGCCATGTAGCTTTCATGGCGGTGAAGCAAGGCCTGTAGAGAAAAAGTCAGCGACGACGCCTCAAAGCATCCTGCTTTAGCAGAGTAATCATGAAAGGTAGCCATGACGGACGCCAACGCAATGCGAGAGAATAACAGAAGGTGATCCGGGATAGGCCATCAGATCGTGAATCATGTATTGAGTGCTGGTGAGCATGAAAATGTGAATAAGATAGAGATGAATGAAACAACCAGAGAGAAAAGCAAAATGGTAGATTGTGTTTTGTTAGGAATGATGATTCGACATGCATGGTTCAGCCCGCCATGAACAGCTCCCTTGGCATTTTATGACCTGTCATAAACAACCAACATGCATGGAAAATCATATGACGCAGCTAAGCTGAGAGATACACGTACCTGCCCTAATCTTGCAGCAGTCTCCAGATCTTTCTCTAAGCCCTCGAGAGCTACATTATTGTGCTCGAGCAAGGCACAATCATTGCGGCCACAGCAGCAGCGCAGGGTGGTAGGCGTGTGAGTGTCTGAATGGGTAGGAATGCTAAGATCCTCCGAGCTATGTGGATTATCCATGGGCACGAGAATGTGGCCCCTTGAGGGAGCTGAATGTGCGGAGAGGCCTTATCATCAGAGAATTTCGTCAGAACATCACCGACTCCATCAGTGAGTTGTTCGAGAAAGCGGAGATGCCCAAATCAGATCAGCTGACGGTGAGATAAGCGGATAAGCGCTGGAGGGCAGAGACCTCGGTGTTCCAAGGTTCCTTCTGTGGAGCTAACCCGGGGTGGTTTAGCAGCGCTTACCGCTTTGATATTGCTGATGTCTACCGCCTAGGTAGTATGCTGAGATCTGGCAGTGTTGGTAGTGTCGACAGACTTTAGTTTATGAGGCTATAGGACTGGGACAAACTGGGAGGAGAAAACTCAGGAGTCAGCGAAGAGACTTGGGTAGATAGTGACCCCTAGCCCTAGATTTGACGTCCAGATGCAATCATGCAAGGCACCGCCGGTATTGAAGGCACGTGATGATTTCAATGTGATTGGTCACTTAGTTGCTGATGGACATACCTCCTTCCATTCAACACATAGCCACTCGAACGTCTAGACATCAAGATACCCACTTGAATACTGGAGGCCCTGGTTATGGTAAGCTACGATGTAATCGAATATATCACCACACGGCTAACTTCTAAGACACACAGGTCCACTGACGGTTAAAGGATACCCATGAAGGCCTCACTCATCATTCTGGCTATAAAAAAAACGTAGATACACTCTCTCGCAAGTGCAGTCTTGCACGCAGGGGAAAAGTAAAAAGATCCATGAAAGACGCCGCAGAACGAGTAAGAAAATATGGCATAGCGGAGATTGGTAGTGATCCCCACTGAAAGGAAAAATCAAGTATGGGCAATAACTTATAAGCAGAAAAGATGAGTCCTTTCCCAAGCGCCTTAGTGTCAATCAAAGCAAGATGTCGTCCCGAACATTAATGAACGCCCCAGCGCCGCCGTCTTCACTGATCTCGTTAACCAACACTTCGGTCTGTTGGTAAAGCCGTTCTAGCGCCGCAGCTGATGATTTGCCTAACGAGACTATATAAGGGTTAGCATGACAGTTCTACAAGTGGCAGAAGCAGAGAAATAAAAGAGAGGGAGTGCAACATACCAAGAATAGCCGAGTTCAACTCCTCGGCCACAGCCGCGCGCCCCTCGGGGTCGAGGTAATGGCCATGCACAGACCGCTTCGGGTCAGGATAAGCAACCAGGGAGAAGATATCGTCCAGCAGTTTCTGGTCGCCGCCATTCTCATCAGAGGGATAATCCGCGCGCAACTGCTGACCGTACTCCACGGCCTCTGTGAGAAGCCGGTTGAACTGCGCGACGACTGCTGGTTCCTCGGTGTCCATGCCGTCTGCAATCCAACTATCGCCGTCGCCGTCATCGAGTTCCATTTCATGATCAAAGACGGCGTGTTCGTGCGAGCTGGAGGTCGAAAGGCGGCGCTTCGAGGCTGAGGCAGTTGCAACGGAGAGCTCGTTGGATCGCCCCATCATTTCGAGGAACTTGCGGCAGCGCAGTTTGAAGTGAATGTGCGGGAAGTCTGCTAGGACATTAGAGTAGTTTTTCTTGGTGAGCTGGAGGGCTTTGTCAATGTCGCCGTCGAGGATTGCAGAGCGGATTTCTGAAAATCGCAAGTTAGTTTGGAACCGCGATAGAGGAGGAAGATATAGACCTACGATTCCTGTTGATTGCTTCATGATCTTCCTCAGCTTCGTATTTCTTCAGTGGCTGGTTACGGCCGTTCTGGAGGGCCCTTGTTTCAGTGGCCACTTCTCCTGCAAATGCTCGGGCTGTTTCAACGTATCCGTCATGGGCCAAGAACTGTGCGACCAGTTCTTGCATAAGTGACGACTCGTCCAACGGAGGGTGGAGGCCAGCCGTAGGCGTGGCGCTAATCTCTAATTGAACTTTGTGCCTCTCTTGCTGCTTGGGATTTAGCCTGCTGGTCTTCGCAAACGCAAGGGAATATATCACATACCTTGACCATGCCATCGATGTCAAACACGAAAGGTTCCTGTCCAAAGTTCGTCTTGAGATGTACCGGCGGCAATTTCTTCATACCCACAGACGGGAAGAGCTTGACGTTGCGCAGCTCGTGGAAAGCATTGCCTGTTAAAAGTTAGCCATAAGCATCCCCAGTTGCAATCCGGCCGAGACGTACCAAGGAAAACGCCGTTCTTAGTGAAGAATGCAGATCCCGTCGAGAAATTCACGCCACATCCCACTGTGTCACCAACGCCAAAAGTCGGTCCATACGCCCGTCCTTGTCCTTGACTTTCACCAAAGAATGACTTTCCGTCATCACCATGGTAAGCCCAGGACTCCGTCTCCCAACCAGGCAGCCTCTCGACGGACGCCTTGAGGCTGGAGAAGCCAATACCGATCATGCTAGAACCAAGTCAGCAAGGATCATCAATATCGAAATCAACCAAATAACATACCCCTCCTTCGGCTTTGACTCTACCTTGATCTCAAAGTAGTAGATCCCACACTGTGGCGGCATTGGATAATCCGCCCGCAAAGAAGCAGCTTCGTGGTCATGCTTGTGCATCGGACCCGTGTAGCGGACGTCGAAATTGTCATTTGATAATTCCAAACCGGAGAACTTATCGGAAGAGTTCCACTGCGTGGGCAGCGGCATGAGGACATCGGGTGCGGCGGGCGGTTCCTTCTCGATTATATCATAGGTCATGCCGCGGTGCGAGGGCGCCATGCGGGGGAGGTGGACATTGCTGGAGGAAGCGGAGAGGGGAGGGTTAGATGTAGCGGAGGCATCACGCTGTTGATTAGCGATCTTGTCTCTACGGGCGGCTTCGAGGCGGGCAATATAGCGGGAGTTGCGGAGGTAGGATGGGGTAAAGTGAGCGGGCGTATCGGTGAGGCCTAGGCCGTGCGGAAATTCCTCCGAGCGTAGGAAGCTGGCATGCTTGCGAGACCAGGGAGGAACTGAATCTGTTGATCCTGCTTTTCTCCAGGCGGAGTTCATGTGCATGTCTGCGGCATCCACGCCGAGCGGAGCCCGGTGGACTCGGCTGTCGGACGAGGAGTAGGGAAATGAGTGGGTGTCGTTGAGGAGATGCGAGAAGGAGCTGGAGATTGGAGGCGACAATGCGTTACCAGATACTACTGAGGCGTAGGATGAACGACGCGGGATAGAGGAGATGCTAGGGTTAGGGTCCAAGATCCTGAAGCCGGGGTATGAGGTTGGAGCTCGAGCTCCACCGGATGGGGGAACATGATGTTCGCGGGTTGCCCCCCAAACTGTTGCCACAGAATCAAGGCCACAGTTTGATCGCGTGCCTGGGTATTTCTGTTTTTGTATTTTCCTATCTTTCTGTTGGTGGGTTTGTCTTGTCGTTTTGCGGTTTTTTGCTCACTTCTTTGATAGAACTCGCTTGAGATCTTGCTTTTATCAAATTGAGGGGGTTTGGAGGGCGTGGTAATAGGACAATTATGGCCGTGGCGCGAGTGTCGCGGGGGGTTTTTATTGAGCTTGGTTGGAGGTGGAGGTGGGTGTGGTGCGTGGTAAAGTGATGGTAGTGAAGTAATGCGTGGAGCGAAGATGGCGCTCCAGCCTTACAGACTGAGAGGGACGAGGATACGATGAAAAGGCTTCAATCGTGGGTAGATGCAGCAGGTCTTGGAGCAGGGCTGATAGGCCGATAGACGGAAAAAGTGCGTGGTACTAATATATGATGTAAGTAAGTGCGTGGAATAAGTGGAGGATAGAAACGAGAGATGCGTGGAATTTATGGAGCGGGTGGTAATGAAAGAGAGTGAAGTGCGTGGAAAAGACTGACGATGGCGTGACAGGTCGAAGTGTTCAAATCTCACCTGTTCACTGACACTTGAATACTTGGGAAGTGCAAACAAGGTCGACGCTCAAAGCTTGTGATTCTCTAACAAAGAAAGTGAATGTTTCACTGAGACATGGTCGAAACAAACAAAGATGTAAACTAACGTTAGGAAACCCGCTTAGAAGTTAAGAAGCGATTATCGACAGACTACGAGCAGGAATACGCTCTGGGATGAGGAAGAAAAGAGGGGAGAGAGAATGTCACGAGTGTCCCCTGATCGGGACTGGGTGCACAGTCATGCTTGGCTACTGTGCTACTGGAGTCGGGTGAACAAGGACTTTGTAGATGCGAAGGGCACCAAAGTATACTTTCATTGTCGGAAGTACTACGAGGTACCTGCAAAGTACAAGGTTGAAAGAAAGTCCGAGGACCTGGCAGGATATCACTTACCCCTACTCCGTATAGGGACTGAAGAGAGAGAAATTAACCATGTTATGCTTTCACAGAGCAATTCTCCAGAAGTTGCAATAGAATAGCAAACTTGAACCCCATGAGGAAAAATAAAATAAAAGAAATGAAAATGCTATGATACAAAGCACAAATCCCGCCTAAGCCTGAACCCGGCTCCTACCGACTTGAAAAGAGAAGAGAACCAACCCCCTTCGAACAGAAGAGCCATCAACCAGGACAATCTTCCCGAACGCCGAACCCATACCGAAAATGTTCCCGCAAACGCAAAGGGAAAGAACCGCAAGATGTATAAGTACAGCATTAAAAACATCCAAACTCATCAGTCATACTTAAGCCGCCATAGCGATAGCCGGCGACGAGGGCTCGACTAGATGAGACGGAGCAGGGGTAACATCGCCATCCCCGGAATTGCTTTTCTCACTTGGTACAGCACTGCTACCATTGGCCGTATCGGTGCCGGGGACATGAAGCGCAGCCTTTGTGTCGCTGTCGCCGCTTGCCAGCGCAGCAGCCTGGATCTCGCCCGAACTGTCTGACTTGGCGATACCAGGTGTGCGCCAGGAAGGTAGTTGCCATGTTACGCCCGTAAAGCTGCGCAGCTGGAGAGGTTTGCGCTGCCACCTGCGACACGCAGCTCCCGAGCGATCTAGCGCACGCAAACCGGCGTTGATAGCTCCGGTATTGGCTTTCGGTCCCAGGCGGGTGGCTGCTGTGTTTTTCGCGGCTTCTCCGTCCTCACTAAGACGAGATGAAAGGTTAGTCACTGTTTTTCTTCCTGTCTGGCATTGTGGAGTTGTGTTGGAAGGTGATGTCAATTTTCCACCTACAGTTTGGGTTTCTTCTTAGGGCCAGGTCGTCCGCGCGACTTTGCGGTAGAGTCGATTTGATCTTTTGATCTTTTGTTGCCTGGCTTGGGACCCGGAACGCCCTTCCGATTCGATGTGTCTGCTGAAGTCGCCCCTGTGGCGGGTGTTGATATGGCGTCGGCATCGGAGTTGTTGTCGGCAGAGGATGGGCGGACAGGAGGGAGTTCGGTGGATGAAGCTGGAGAGGAGTGGTCGTCGCCCTTACTGTCCGGGGTATTAATTTGACTGGACTTGGACTTGGGGCTATCGGCGAATTGGCGAAGGGCGCTTGAAGATAGTTTCAGGACTATCTTCAAGGAGTTGGGTGAAGTCTTAGCTCCTCCAGCGCGGGAGCGACCATTTGGCGTACCGGCAGGCATGATGGATGGAGGAGATGAAGAAAAGGTTGAAATTTGTGAGGGTTTCAAGGAGGGGAATCCTGGATGTAGGCAATTCACAACCGTGACGTGGTGTCTCTACCGCCCGTCTCTATAGCAGTTTGTTGTGTAGTCGTGAAAGCATAGTCTGATAAGCAGAAGATGGGGGGGGGGGAAGGAGAGAGGTGGACGGGGAGGGGAAGAGGGAGGGAAAAAGAAAGAAGGGGGCGAAGTAAAAAAGGGATCGTGGGCCCTCATCATTAAGAGAAAAAAAACCCTCCAGAATGAAGCAACCAGGGGATGTTGCGAAGGTCTGGGAACTTTCGGCCTGTATTGTCATTACCAACTTTCCTGCCTTCGGATGAGGTACGAGGTGGATAAGAGGGTGGTGTGGTAAGACACTGTGACCATACCATACCTAGTAAACATCCATATATCCTCGTTTCTCTCTCGATCCTTTCTTGTCATTTATTGATCTGATCTATCTATAAATATACCATTCAACTACTACAGTATATACTCAATGGCCAGGTGTTTTTCATTGTGATTATTCACGTTTAGGCAGAAAATCTCGACATTCTGACGAATCTAACCAATACGCCCAACCCTAACCATTGATGGATCTCATTCCATACCCGCTGTGTCCCGAAAATAATGGCTCACTACGCTCACTGACCGCATGATGTCTCTCGAGAGCCTTTTTCTTTTTCTTTTTTTAGCGTTTTCGCTTACAAACAGATTACCCTCTGAGTCTCCTGAGATCCAACAGACCCGTTCTCAACGGATCTGCTGAGGGTATCACGAGTCGAAGCCCACTCGCCACCGGAATTGGAGCTCGCCAGTGAACCAAAAGAACGGCCAAATTACGCGAACTACTGCCAAGGGATCGACCAACTCTCCCCATACGCGAGACTAATATTAATCAATTACATCAACGGCGAAAAGAGATCCATGGATAACAACAATTCCACAATAAATACATCTACTGTGTATTGTTTGAAAATTGTGACATTTACTTCGCTAGCACTCTCAATCACGCTTATTGTCACTTTCAGCCTTGCGTCGTTCGAGCACCTGTGTCACAGCCAGTTGCACCCCAGGACTGCTCCGCACCGCGCCGAGGATCAATCCTTCTTTCATCCCTCGGCGTAGCGTTGATACGCTCTCGCGGTCACCGCGGAAAGGCGCCAGACTCAGCTGTAGCAACCGTGTCGCCTCTTTATCCGTCGCGCGCGTTATGTGGACCATCTGATTGAGACGCTCCATGGTCTGGGGAGGGATCTTATCGCCGTTCCCATTGCCGGAAGCTTTGGCGGCGGGTGGTGCTGCCTGTGAGATGAAAATGTGCAGCATGATCGAAGCGCGGCGTGCCAACGTCAGGATCTGGAATGGCAGCAGATAGTAGGAGTTCTGAGGGAGCCAGGCTTGTAGCGCAGCGGGGAGGTAAGCAGTAGGCATAAACACGGCCTGGGGGTGGGTAATCAAGCCCAGCTCGAGTGTCAGCATTGCGCCGAACGTGAAGAAGCGCCACTATAGGGAAACAGTCAGCTTAGGCGATTCGACAGTGATTTCATTCCTGGGTAAGACACTCACGTAGCGTCCCCAATTTGCCCACCACAGCCAATTCAGCACCACCATGGTGACAAACCCGCCGATATACTGCGGTAAGATCGACTTGGTCACCGAGCTCATCAAAAAGTCGCGCATAGTCTTCTGCTCGCCCCATCCATGCAAATCAGTCCCAAACCGATCATAAGCGAACCGCTTAACCGGGTCCGTCAAGGTCTCCTGAGCCCGTCGAAGGTACAAGAAGTAAGCATCAGACCCGCTGTCTAGCCCGACTTTATCAGGGTGGTACTGAGCAGCCAGCCGACGGAATCGCGACTTGATTATGCGATCATCGGCGAAGGGCGAGACTCCAAGCGCTTGGTAATAGTCGCCCGCCAGCTGTACTTGGTAGAAGGTCTCATAGAGCGTGTAGAGGAGGTAGCTGGTGATCACGAAGATGAAGATGCGGCGGCGATGGCGCTCGTATCGGGGTGTCTGAGGTAACGGTCGAGGCTCGCCTGCGCGGATGGTTATGCCATAATAAATGCTTTGCAGAAACGATGTGGCATACTGTTCATTTGTATCAGCACCGATGCCACGCATCACATAGCCGCACGGGAGATCCACTTACATTTGGAAGGACAGCCCACCCAAAGAAGGGTAAAAGTGAAGACATGTTTTCGTAATGTATTTCACTTGAGCTAATCCAACTACACCATATCGATGATGGAAATCCACAAGAAGATACCAAGTAACACACCCCAGATAGTGATACTAAATAGTCCGGGGGACCCCAATTGGCGCCCACTCGTCACCGCCCAACCCCACCGCCTTCCCAACCCGTCATATCAAAAGTCAAAATGAAAAAAAAAAAGTTCTTGCCGCGCAAGCAAAAAAGAAAAGCACATCCAATCCCTCCACGACTCCCACAAGCTCCGTGGAGCGCCCAAATTGCCGTCCAAGATGGCACTTGACGCAATGGAAATCGATAATCTCCCCCTCCGCACCGCCGACGCAGAACGGAAACGCAAATCAAAGAACAAAGACATCGAATCACCAACCAAAAAGCGCAAGCAGTCTACAACAAGCCCTACAGACCTCAACCCAGAATCCCCCTTCACCCTCACAACAGCAACCCTCTACCTGCCGTTATCACCCATCTCCATCTCACCAACGCACGCACTGGCCTCGCTGCTGGCCGAGCATCTCTCGCCACTGCTTCTGACCTACTTCCCCCCGCTGAAGGGCGTCATCCTGGCCTACTCCAATGCCTCGATTTCCAGCAAGCCGCCCGTCCCATCTTCACGCTCAGCTTCAGACAACAACCTCAACCCGCAGCCGCTGACACTCGCTACTACGGCCGACGAGTACGGCGTTCTCTACGTCTACCTGACTGCCACGTTCCTGGTCTTCCGGCCGAAGCGCGGACAGCCACTGGATGGCTGGGTGAATGTGCAATCAGAGGGATTCCTCGGCGCGGTGGTATTCAATTTGTTCTCTGTGGGAATCGAGCGCAAGCGTCTGCCGTCGAATTGGAAGTGGGTGCCGCCTGGCGAGGACGCTGAGACATCCGCTGCTACCGATGACGACTCAGGGTCTGATAAGGATTTGGCAGATTTCGATGCCGAGAAGGAAGGGTTCCAGCCTACTGCGCTTGCGGAGGATGGATCCATTGAGGAAGAGGAGGAGGAGAATGCTCACTCGGGATACTTCCAGTCTGTTTCTGGTCATCGGGTGAAGGGCTCTGTGCGCTTCCGTGTTGTTGATGTGGATGTTATTCCTGGTTCGGAGCGGGATCGTGGGTTCCTTAGTATTGAGGGGACTATGCTTTCTGTGGAGGAGGAGGAGAGACTTCTGGAGGCTGAGCGGAAGGGTCAGTCGTTGCCGCCTTCGTTCTTTTCGTCACCTAAGAAGGTCTCTGGGACCATTCCGGTGATGGATGTTCCTGCTGCGTCGGCGGTTCAGGAACTCTCGTCTGTGGATGTGCATTTGGAGCCGAGTCCGAAGAAGGAGAAAAAGGAGAAGAAAGAGAAGAAGGAAAAGTCTGAAAAGAAAGAGAAAAAGTCCAAATCTTCCAAGTCGAAGAAGAGCAAGGACGAATAAATTGGCTCTGCCATTTGCATGAGCATATATTACTGTTGACTACATCTTGAGTGGGCGTTCCGGGCTGTTTCTTTCGAATGTGTATATGCCAATTGAACATTTCATCATTAACTATCTAACATCCTTGCCATTGTAAAACCTACAGCGGAACAGACAAGATATCCACTCCACCAAGAACCTCCTTCTTCCCAGGCATCTTTCCAGCCCTCATCAACTCCGCAGATTTAGACATAACCGGATCCACCCCCATAGTAGAAACAGCCACAACAGTCTCACCAGCCGTATAGAACGCAACAAACTTCGCCTCCCCCTGCTCGCGCAGAATCACATCATCGAATCCGTGAACCGGATTCCCACAGTACCGCAGCTGAGAACCCAGCGCCGACCAGAAAACCGGAATGAAAGTCTTGGGTTTCAGGGAGGAAAGCGGGCCCCGCTGGGCATGCACGATAGCCCGCGCCGCAGCACGTCCAGCGTTCTGCGCAACGTTCCAGTGTTCAATGCGTACAGGCGTGCCGCCCGCATCAGACCCAGGCCCGAAATACGGGTACGTGGCTATATCACCGATGGCGAAGACAGAGTCCTGCAGACCGGGGACGAGGAAGTGGGCATCCGTGCGAAGCGAGCCGTCCTTCTCAAGGGTTACGGCTGGGTTGTCGCGGAGGAAGTCTGTTCCTGGACGGACGCCGACGCCTTGGATGACTACGTCGGCTGGGAGGGCGGTGCCGTCTTTCAGGTGCACAGCACCGACATTTTTAGTGTCTGAGGGGGATGCTGTCGCGTGGCTTACGTTTGCATCGAGGTGGAAAGTGATACCGGCTTTTTCAAGGTTTGACCTGAATATGCGGCCAACCTGGGCGCCCATTACGCGCTCCATTGGGGCGGATTCCATGCCGACGATCGTCACGTTGTGGTTTTTGGAAAGGGCAACGCCGACTTCCATACCGATGAAGGAGCTGCCGATTATGACGACGTTGCGCTTCGTCTCGCCTACAGCGGAGAGGATTGCTTCGACGTCTTTGATGCCGCGGAGGGTGAAGACATTGCCGAGGTCCCCCTTGAAGCCTTGTAGTGGGAGGGAGCGTGGGACGCCGCCTGTTGCTAGGACGAGCTTGGTATATGAGAGGCTCTTGCCAGATTTGGTGGAGACAGACTTCTGGTTGAAGTCGACGGCTGTCACTTCATCTGTGACTGTCTCTATGGCTGCCTCGGCGTACCATTCACGAGGCCGCCATTGGATCTTGGTTGGGTCTGAGATGAGAGCCTTGGATAGCTTGGTCCGATCTATGATCAGGTAGGGTTCTTTCGAGATGACCGTAATGGCACCGGGGTATTTCTGCTCGCGGAGGGACTGAATAAGACCTAGAGTTCCGCTTCCTCTGTTATGTTGTTAGTTCAGTGCCTAAGCATAGAGATGCGAGATAGAAGCCGGGGAGAGGGAAGATAAAGGTATGCAAACTTACCCTCCAATGACAACAACATGTTCATCAGGCTTTGATACCTTGCAGTTGAACACGGGATTCCGCTGTCCAGCTTTGACATCTTCTTCTCTAGCGTGAATGTACACGCCGTCGTTCTTTTCGAAGACTTCGAATTTGTTCAGGGCGTTTGGAGCTGGTGCATCTTCGACGTCTCCAGTCGCTACATTGAAACAGGCTGTATAGATATATGCAGTCAGTTTCTTGTCCTTGGCCCTGTATCTTTCGTTCCATGACCCTAGGTAGTCATCCGCATAGGTAGTGTGCGATGAGAACTCACCTCCATGCCAGGGACAGGTAATTCTTCCATCCCCCGTAACGACGCCGTTCTTCAATGGTGCACCATAGTGCGAGCATCGCGGACTGATAGCGTGGACCTTGTCACCCAATTTGATGAGGAGAACCTTGCCCTCCTCGATTCCCTCCACTTCCGCTTCGACCTTGTCCGAGCTGAGGGATGCAAAGGAGGCAATATCCTTTAGTTTATATTCTTGTTGAGACATTGTAGACAAATTCCGAGTTGATTGTGATAGACAATGGAATGGGGAATGATGGATAGGGCTGGACGTCAATTGATGGGAAGAAGTAGTGGATAGTAAGTTGGATGTGCGGGGTGAGGGGATATGGCTCGATGACGAGATATAAGCACAGCGGGATGGACCAGGATGACCGAAGCTACACCGACTAGTTCGTTGGATGAGAGCTCTGTATGGCCACGCACTTCGAGGGAGCATGGTTGAAGAGAGAAGAGATGAGCAAGAACAGAGCAACTGTTCCTAATATTAAGTGTCAATTGTTCTTTTATTAAGCCCAAGCCCAGAGGTCAGCATGAAGACGCGGTGGTTCTCATCTCGAGGAGTAACCTGAAGTATACAGATTCCCATGACATCATCTGCCTGAGCTTGGTTGACCAATCAGAGACCAGTATTTGTCACCAACCCTGAATCTGATATGGAGAGTTGATATTGGCTGGGTCATGTGGGATCACATGACCCAGCCAATAATAATGTTTGGTAAGGGAATTGATACATCCGGGAATTGATACAGACACCACACCATTTTACTAGCGGCACCACACCTTACGTAATTCAGGATCACATAATCAATTTTACTCACAATTGTTACCATACATTACCAGAGCAACTGCATGACTTACTACTGCGTACAGTAGCAACTACATTCTATCTACTACTAACTACATAAACTTCTCTTCCTGCTTGTTGTTTGATTCTTCATCAGGTCCTTCTTCATCTGATTCTTCATCCAACTTTTCTTTTGATTCTTCGCTGATTCCATCTGATCATGAACGATAGAGCCACCAATGGAACTTCATTATGGAAGAGGACAAGAGGTCTTTGAAACTAGAGACCAGTGGCTTGCTTCTATCCAGGAGCATACTCTATCTCGAAGTGCGACCTTCTTAGCTCCCGTATCTCTCGCTAAACGCCGATCTGGCGGAATGAACGGGGGATCTGGACTAAGACTTGACAACTGTCATGAGTGTCAACTACCACCCACTTGTATCAAACAACCTCTTCTTTAACCCTCGCCATGCTAGTCTGCTTGGCAGTTGACAAGGTAGACGCGGGTATTGCAGTGCACGTCGCCCAAGACACCGACTTGTAAGCTGATAGCAGCCCAGGAAGGATATCTCTGTTGGCTGTGAAAGCCTGTGATGGAAGGGGCGTTCAAACTTCACCATGATCAATGATCATATTAATGCCCGGACTGGGCGAAACGCGAGGGACCTAGCACGAGATCTCATAAATTGCCCCTTTTGCCATATGCAAAGAAGCTTAACTATTGATTCTGATCAATGGGAACTCTGGGTAAGAAACACTAATCATCACCATGTTGCTACAGTAGTAAGTCATGGAGTGGTGTGGTAATGTATGGTAACAATTTTGGGTAAAATTGATTATGTGATCCGGTGTGGTGCCGCTAGTAAAAACGTGTGGTGCCTGTATCAATTCCCATTGGGGTGTCCTTAACTAACTAGCAATTCCCCTTTCCACGCTAGTCTTTCCTACAGTATTCCCCACGGGCCCACCATCAACTCCCTTACCCAATCCACGCCCACGATGAGGACTGGGTTCCTTCACGGCCTCCTTGGCACTCAGGTCACAGTCGACTTATGGCCCCACCCAATTACTGGCCCTGCGTCAGAAACGTGGGAAATTACCGAAAAAATCGATGAAGAAATATGCCCCACGGACGAAAACGACTCGAATAATGGTAAGCTACCAGCGTACGTACTTGGCACATTCCGGTGCCGATCGACCGATGACAATGACGAGGGGAAGAAGCTTGGCATCGTGAAAATCTACAAGCAGATTCCATACGACGGCACCCAGTTTTATGACTATGAATATCGCAAGCAACAAGCCGTTGAGCCCTACGAACCAAGAGAGCTGATCGCCTTGAAGGCCTTAAAGCACCGAGGCTGCGTTGTTGTTCCGGAATTACTCGGCTATCGTCTTACTAAGCAAGATGCCATGGAGATCGTGCCTAGAGGATGCCTCATGTACATTGTGTGGAAGCAAGTCCCGGGGGAGCCCCTGACTGAAGAAGCCTTCTGGCAAGCTCCTCTCGCGAAGCGCGATGAGATTCGGGCCCAATTTCGCCACACCTACCAGTATGTCTTCAAAGAACTTACCTGATATGTTTATAGCTAACACGATATAGGCAGCTTGTTGAGTATGCGCCATTGATCAGTGAAATTCGGAAGATTATCTATGACTGGACAACAGGAGAGATGTATGTCGCTATCATATAATCCTATTCCACTCACCACATCCACCGAGCTAATAGTCTCCAGGCATATCAGTGGGTTCTGGCGTGCCGCGTCACTCGACGGTTACGCAAAATGGGATGACTACCTCTTTGTGCAATTTGACCTTGTCTCGGCAAACCCGTCATATAAACATTACTTTACCATTGGTGCCACTGATACCTATCACGATGAAAAGGGCTGGAGATGGTAGGTCTCATGACAACGTAGGAATGGGGATACATACTTGTTGCTAGTTCGGCTTATGAAGAATCGCCTGACCGGCTCAACGGGCTCTGACTCGCTGATTCAATCAGATCCCCAATGATCCCTGCATGAATTACTTGAGCTCCATGTTCCCGTAAGGTCTGCATGTGTAGCAAACTCATGTTTATTGATGGGAACAGGTTAGTGACTGTGACTCACGTGGCTGCTCTCTCTCTCTCTCTCTCTCTTAGACTCCTAGTAATTTCAATGTTGAATGATTTCTAGATGGCGCCGGCTATAGACCCGAAATACTCTTCGGTAAAAGGCCGCTTTGGTGGACAGACGTCAAATGCCATCCCTTGGATCAGTGAGGCCAAGGAGAGATGCGAAGCTAAGCCTATACAGAACGCCTGCTGGGAATAGTGTAACGATAGAATGAAGACGGGATCCCTGTTCCGAGGCGATGCGCGTAAACAAGTATCGATGTTATTGTGCCATGTATATGAACTTTTCTGTTGGCTTTCTCTAATGGTGGACCATGGCTCTCGTTTCGTCAATGTCGTTACTGTGCTCTAGAATCGGGGTACTATTGAGTCTAATACAATTGAACATTACCTTGAATGCTGTAGTATTCATGATCTCTATAGCTTTGCCACTGCTTTGGGCAACAATTCTAGTATGTGCTCGACAGAGTCTATTCACCAATGGCCGCTGTCAAGTTTGAGCGATGGAAGGAAGTCGGTGCCTGCCTATTTGGTCTTGATGGGTGCTTCCTGCCGCGCTCTGAATCTCCTCTGAATGTCTAGCATCAGCATCCAAAGCCAGCTCCCGACTTCAACAACAACAAGTCCACCACCTTGCTACAGACAACACCTCTCATCACATATCTTCCAGTATGTTATACTCTGCCCTATAGGCTCTAGACTCTACATTCCAGGCGTATGATATTGGGATTAGTAGTGTTGAAGGCTTATAACAGTTGTACGCCGGCTGATTCGTACTAACAAATGATTGATTAGATCAGTCCAATATGCCGTCAACCCTAACAGGCCGTGCCATTCTGAGAAAACCTTTGCCACAGCTGCACATTACCTCCAACCATACCACGTCGAGCGCAGTGCACGACAAGGCATTCCTCGGGCCTTTGCGCGACTGGGCAAACTTCTTCCAAGAAGTGAAGCAATTTGAGAAGAGTCAAGATTGGTCGCCCAAACTGCTAGGATGGAGCCTCCGGGGTAGAGAGGTCGATGTGGAATTTGTCGCCATTGGCGATGAGCATGGGGTCCAAGGGCGATTCCAGCAATCTGTCGGCTAGGTCGCTGGATCAGTGTTGGACGCGCAAGGCATCAAGGCGAGATTCGCGGACTTCAAATCAGCCGACATTGCTGATGCGTATTCCGGATATACCTGTATCCCCGACGTGGCACTGATTTCAACCGACCCGGCCAGCATTAACCAGCTCAAGGCTGTAGGGGAGCTGAAAACTCCCTGGGTGCGGGCGCACAGATTCGAGCACTACCCGACAGCCGAGCACAAGGCGTTCTTATTTGCCCAAGTCATCAAATACATGTTCGAGCTTCGAGTGATGTATGGCTTCATGTCAACCTATGAGAGCACGGTATTTCTGAGACAAGTGTTCAGAGATGGGGAGTGGATCGTAGAGTATTCGCCAAACGTAAAGGCGACGTTTGATGGCTCTGGTACGGGGAATGAGCCGCCATCGTTGCGGCAATGCTTCGCATATCTGAGCAGCCTAGCGTCTGAGCAGGCATTCGTTGATAACCGGACCCGTCGTGCTGACTGGTTCAGATATGCATGATAGCCCGGAGAGGATGTCTACTGTGGAACTGTTGTCTGTCCACTCTATCAGGTTATGAGCGCCGTCTCCGAGGCCTAGGTCTTTCTCACCATAAGCCTCCAATCCCCTCCTTTAGGTTTATTGAAACCCATATATTTTCCCAGCCACTTCAGGGGAATCAGGATGAGAGCCTTGCCGGCATGATACTTGGTCTAGTTGATACTTTGTCTTACTTGAGTGGAAGCGGGTCTTCCTTTTCACTTGCTCTTGGTCGAATTAATGCTTGTCTCAATGTATCAATAGTGAAAAAAAATGTATCAACAGTGAAAAGGACCTTTCTCGCATATAACATGACTCCCACTTATAGACCTACTGGATATTCATTCCCCCGGAGATACCAACTACCATGATCTTAAATAAGAGCTCCTCCCCAAGAACAGGGACGAACCATGTGTCAATCTTCTCATCTCAGCCACCTATCTTCATTCTGCCAACGCATCTCTCCCTGGGAGAGTTGGACGAGACAGAAGGCCGACTGGTCGACCATGGTGGGAAGGTGACCTATGACATTGCCGAAGCTGGCCTGATCCTGGGCAAGATTGAGCGACCCAAACGTGCGGCACTGGAACTGCGCTCTCGCGGTATCTGGACAGAAGAGACTATTCCTGACCCAACTCCGAAAAGTACTGCTAGTGATATGGAGCCTCCTGTTAAGCGCAGGCGCACAGGGGCACACGATGGGACCAAGGACATCCCAATCGAGATCATCGATCTCGATTCCGAGACTCAGATCGAGAAGAACAAGGTTGCAAGTCAACTTAGCTCTCCGCGACACCTGGCCCAAGTGCAAAAGGCAGAACAGGATAAGAATTCGGTCACTGTCCTGAAGCTCGAGTGGCTACTGGCTTCTATTGCATCCGGAGAAATGGTCTGTCAGGACTCATACGTTGTCTACCGTGGACGAAAGATCCCACCCCGACCAAGACAACACCGGCCACACGAAAGGAATTGGAGTCCCAATCAAGTCAAATCCTCCAGCGTGCAAAGCAAGATGCCGGCTCACCGGCACCATCCCTTCCTTCATCAGATCACTTCCGCTCACGACGCTCAAAAGAACCTGACCGTCCTCGACCCACCCTCTATCGACATACGACCTCCGAGCAAGAGGAGCAGAACCCACCACCCCAACCAGACTGGGTCCGCGACCAAGTCAAGTACGCATGCATGCGCTCTGCACCCCTGCACCCCGCGAACGAAGACTTCATCGGCCAACTGGTCAAAATCAGACGTATCCGAGAACTCACGCTCGATCAAATCGGCGTACGGGCCTACAGTACCTCCATCGCCGCTATAGGCTGATATAGCGGCTTACCCACATCGCCTCCGACTTCCAGGCGAGATCCTCACTCTTCCGGGTTGCGATGTTAAAATCGCCGACCTATTCGCACAGTTCCAGCAGCACGGCGGCTGCAGCCACACCGACGACGATGGCAACGTTGCCGCTGCCGATGCGTTGGAGACGGATCCCATGCTGCGCGTTCTGAACTCCTTCTACCAGATCTGGGGTATTGGCGCGAAGACCGCGCGCGACTTTTACCAGCGTGGTTGGCGTGACCTCGATGATATCGTGGAGCACGGGTGGAATACGCTGTCGCGCGTGCAGCAGATTGGTCTGAAGTACTACGAAGAGTTTCAGGAGGGTATCCCTCGAGCTGAAAGTGAGAAGATTGCAAATGTCATTCGCGATCATCCTGCTCGAGTCCGGAATCAGGGAGGAATGGAGTGCATTATTGTTGGCGGATACCGACGCGGAAAAGGACTGAGCGGTGATGTTGATATCGTAGTGACTCATCGTGATGATGTCGTTACTTACAATCTCGTTGTGGATCTTGTGGCGAGTCTTGAGGAGGAACATTATATCACTCATACGCTTGTCTTGCATTTGACTAATTCGCATCGGGGAACAGCATACGTTGCCTCTGCATCATGATGAGACGAGGGGCTTTGATACTTTGGATAAGGCATTGGTCGTCTGGCAGGACCCGGACTTCGATGCTAAAGCTATGGATGGAGACGATAAGAAGAAGAATCCTAATATTCATCGTCGTGTCGATATCATTATATCGCCCTGGCGCACGGTCGGTTGTGCTGTACTCGGCTGGTCCGGTGATACGACCTTCCAGCGAGATTTACGGCGGTATGCGAAGAAATCACGCTCGTGGAAGTTTGATTCCAGTGGTGTGCGAGATCGTGTCACTGGGAACCAGGTTGATCTGGAACATGGTGGAGAGACTTGGGAGGAGAGGGAGAAAATCGTCCTGGATGGACTGGGGGCAGGCTGGAGGCCAGCGGAAGAACGGTGTTCGGGATAGCCGGGCACTTGCAGAGAAGCTGAGCAGACCTCGAGTCTCGCCATCGAAGTATACACTGGACGACCGAGCCCCGGCAACAATTTACGATCGTGTGGGTGCAAGGCAAATGCGCACAGCACTCGTATCTCAGTCGGTCCAGCTCGGAAAATAGCTTTCCTTAGTTCCGGCCATTTGCCGTGCATGGGAGCTCTCACTGCCTACGGGCAGTTGATGGAGTCTGTCAAGCGAAACAATCAGTGGGGATGATACTGGGTTGTATCTGTCATGTATTCTGTACGCGCTAAATGGCAACATACACACGTACAAACCTATCTCGGTCTCCTTTCCTTCGAATGACAGTAAATGTTACGCTTACTGGTATAATCCCTTGCTTCACATAACCTGCGTTCATACTCAACAACGGCCGCAACTAAGGGCGACTCCGGTATAACTTTCCATTTTAGGATGGTTTGGAAGCCTATCTCCTTCTTACCTCAGCATGCTCAGACGAAACATGATTCGCTGGGTAATGCTCACATGACCCAGCCAATAATAATAATGCTTGGTCTGAGCATGCTGAGGTAAACCATGGATCATCAGGATGCTTAAACCACTTTGAATTAATTCCGAAATAAATTAAATTCGATTCAGTCGATCAAAAGAATGTCCAAGTAAGTAACATTCAATGTGCAGGTTCCTAGACGCCATCGCTTTGCGCCCATAGGTAGAAGATATGAACAATTTCACCCAGCAGCTTTAGAACTTCCGGGAGGTCCGCTTCTTCTTGATACTCGAAGGACTCACGCTAACTCCCACCATATGTTGGATATTCCCCGTAGACGCTCGGGTTAGCTGCCTCGATGACCGAGACCCATCGTCAAGCTGCGAATCTCCGAACAAGGCAGACTTGGAGCGCTGTGATAGTTTCAGATTGGATCCGCTGGGTTCAGGAGATCCACGCGGGCTGGAAGTGAGGTCGATCACTTCGGAGACTTGGGAGGCAGGAATCTGGGAGGCCGCGCTGGATTTAAGCGCGTGTTGGGAGTGTTTGGAGCGAGTGAATAGTGAGGGTGATTCCGATGGAGAGGATGGAGGGAAAGGATTTGGTTTCTGGGACTGGGCATCCTGTTGGGCGCTCATAGTAGGGTGGGGAGAGCGAGAGCTGGACGCCCGCGCGGTGTCAATGAAGGAGAAATCGAGCTCGACGTTGGACTGTAGCAGACTGTCTTGCAACTGCTCACTGTCTTCAAAAGGCCCAGGGCTGTCGCTGAGGGACATCATCTCTGGCTCTGGCTCCGATTTATTCCTCAGCCTATCCAGAAGCTGCCTCCATGATTCAGCAGAGCTGGTTGGTGCCGCACTGCGCTTTTCCTCTTTTACTTCCTTTCTCACTTCCTCTTTCACCTCCTTTTCAACAGGCGTGGATTCCTGCGCACCCTGGCTACCAGCTCGATCGATAGTGGACAAGAGCGAGCCAGAAGGAGCGCCGCTATCCCCTGACTCACCAGGCGGTGCAAGACTTTCCGGGACAACCTGTCGCTCATGCTCTTGGCTCTGGAACGATTCCTCGTTCTCGTCTTCGTCCTCGGGATCGTCAGCGAAGGATTGGTTCGCAGACATGTAAGTCAGCATGGATGGATCCTCGTCCCGGTTGACCAGCGCAGAAGGCGTTTCTCCTCCGATGAGAGTGCGACCCTCCAGCTCGCGGCCATTGTCAAGACCAGGAGTCGTTTGCTGTCGGGATAAAGCCGAGTGAAATCCAGTAAAGGTAGGCGACGGAATAGGAGGAGTGACACGGCGATGATCAGATGCCTGAACCTGGATCTGTGGCACTGCAGGCCTGCCAGGGGTTTGTTCAATTGACTCATCAGGCATTCCTGGGGATTCGCGAGGTGATTCGAGATGGGTCACGTCGTTTCCCATGGTGACAAAGGTGGTGTCATCAAGGTACATTTCCTCAGGAGAGCCTGGTTGGACAATCGGTACGGATTCTTGAACTACAGAGACACTTGGACATGTGAGCATAGGCCTTCAATGGGAATTTATTTCACTGACATGCTACCTTCTCGAGTATTGTTCTGATCCCCATAGACAGAATCAGACCGGTCTGCAGGCCGAAGAAGCTTTGGTTCGCTAAGTTCCGCAAACACAAGCTCTCGATAGCCATCGTCCTCGCCTTCCTCGTTGGCTAGGTCAGGTACCTCAAACTTGCTGAATTGACGGGGCTCATCATCCTCACTGAATGCTGATGTGGGCTTTCGGTCTCGCTTGGCCAGTAGGACATTCATTACTCCTTTACCTTGAAGAGAGCGGACCTCGGCCACTCTGTAGCCAGACATCTCAGGCTGCCAATTTGTGGCTTTGGACATGTCGAGCTGCCGGAATGCAATGATTGCGCCGACCTTGACATCGCTCTCCTTCAGATCGGAAAGAGTACCAACATCTGACGGAAGGGCAGGCAGGTCATCAGAGGAAGCGTTCGGGGCTGGCTCGGGTTCGGGGCCATCATCATAGTTGAGCTGATTGGCTTCACCTCCACCTGCATAATGCCCTTCATAGTACGGGGCTTCCTCTGCGTGATAGTCCTCGTAGTTTTCCTGGTCAGCTCCGTCCTGATATTGATCGTCACCACCGTAGTAGTTCGCATCTTCATCGTACTCCTCCTCGTATGCATCGTAAACCTGAACACGCTGCTTTCTCTTGCGCTTTTTGCTCGGGCCCTTCAGCTGGCGAATCAGGTCGTTGGCTTCTTGATCCCAACGTTGAACGAAGGGATAAGGAGGCGCGGTCATCTCGACGTCAGGATAGACACACTCGACAGCACGAATGACTAGCTTGTTCTGCCAGTTGATGTCGGATTCATCCTCGTCTTCTTGCATCTGGTCAGCCTCTTCTTTAGCAGCCTGTGCCGAACGCTTGCGCGGACGCCCGATTGCACTAGCTGCGGCAGCAAGCTTCTGGCGGGTTTCCTCCTCATCTTCTTTAGTCTTCGGGGTGCGCATCCCCCGCTCCCCAAACAGCATACGTCGTGAGCTAGCGATGTCGAGATTACGTCGATGCGAAGCATCCTGCTCCCGTTCGGCCTCATCGGACACATCCTGCGAAACAAGGGGCTGTGCAATAGAAGCCGATGCCCGCGGCGGGACATTTTCCTTCTCTGATGTTGCGTCCACATAAACACCATTGCCCGAGGCGAGATCCTGAAGTAGCTTCTGGCGCCTGGCTTCGAACTCTTCCTGTTCCTGTTGCTTCTTGTCCCTCTTCTGCTTCTTCCTGAGAGCTTCGGCTGATTCCATTTCCGGCTCGACGTGCTGTTGGGGTTCCACGACTGGTTCCGGTTTGACGGGTTGTTCCGGGAAATGCCAGCCTCCGTGACTTTGTTCCCACGCCCGCAGCGCTTCAAAGTCTGCCTCTTGGGGCAGGGCTCCTAGCTCCTTGAGCTTGGAGAGACGCCGGCGCAATTTGAGGCGGTTGTTGCTCTTCTTGGTGCGCATAGTTCCTTCGCCAGGGATGCCAGATACAACGGGTCGCTGCACCGTTTTGGGAGGCGGGGGAGCTTCTTCTTCTGATTCCGACTCTGACGAATCAGAGTCTTCGGAACTAGAGGACGAATCCGAATCAGATGCCTCCGAGGCAGGTTCCACCTCGCTCGAAGACGCCTCATCGGAATCACTATCAGACTCCTCCTCGGAATCGCTGTCTGAAGAAGACGCGGATGACTCCGACGAATCAGACTCAGAAGATTCTGCAACGCTGTCCTCGACCGGTGGGGCCTGAACGGCCTGCGGGAGGTCAGGCATAGCCTCATCCTCCTTCCCTGCTCCTTTGTTAAATCTCACGGCCTTCGAAGTCCGGGGAGAAGAATCGTCCCCACGAGACCGCTTGCTGGAAAGAGATGAGGCAGCTGCAATAGACCCCTTGGACGTTGGCCGCTTGACTATCGAGGCAGCACGTACTGCATGCCCACTAGCACCCCGCGTCTGGTTTCTGATGTCGACAAATTGAGATGGTTCTTCAAAATCCTCCTTCAGTGCTTTTAGCTCGCTCTCCAATTCGTTTTCCTCTATGTCAGACATTTCAGAGACCTCCGCTTCACTCTCAGATTCAGCGGTGTAGTCAACAGGATGCCGAATCACCGTGCCCAGAGATTCATCGTGCTCGCCCGCCATGATGGAAAGCTCTTTACCAAATCCGGTCTCCGGAGGCGGGAGCCATTCTCCATCCTCTTCCTCGTCAACATGAACCGGTGCGGGCACAAAGTCTGAGGGTTGTTCCCAGCCCGAAAGGACCGTGCGCCGCTTCTTCCTCGGGGGTATAGTGATCGCAGGTCGTGACGTGGTCGTTCTCTTCAAAAACGGTGAGCCGAAAGCCACACCGTCTATCAGATGTTTTCCCTCGGCGGTGATTTGATGGCGGCCACATAGCCGTCTTGCTCGCAGGTCAGCCAGCTGAAGGGCGCGAATTCTGCAGCGCACAAAATTAGCCAAAAGAGAATTCCCACGGAATAGTGTGGATGTACATACACAACTTCATCACCATCTCGAAGTAACCCTTCAACCTCCATGAAATGGAGGCACTCCGAACCAGCAACTTCAACAACATAATCTTCCAGTCCCCACTGACCACTGAACTCCGCATCAAAAACACTAGGTTCGGTCTCCAGCGGTACAACCTCGTTTACATCCTCCAGCAGCTGTGCGATCGTATACCCGCCATTCGAGAAGGCGACATTCGGGGTTCGAGATGATGCGATAGCTGCAGCTGGCGCCGGGCGGTGAGTGCCATATTCACCCAGCGTAGAGGTGGACGAAGTCGTAGTCCAGAGAATGCGCGTGACCGGCAGGCCGTGTCGTGAGATGACAAGGTGGAGACGCATGGTGGATGGTCAGTCGCGAGCTAAATCATTGACGCGGTGAATGGACTTTTCCCGGGTTGCTGTCAGGGTTTTCGAGTTTGGGACTTGGTGGTGGTAACTCCGTGCGGGGGCTAAGAAGTTGAACCGAGCTGGTCTAGCAAGATCGATGCAGAGTCGAAGTGGTGACAGATGCCATGGGGTTCCAAGGACATATGCTCGAAGTGGGAAACGAAGAAGCATCAGAGCTCAACCCGCGTGGATGTCGCGCTAACCACTTCAGGTATAGCGGCATTACTGGAAAGTCTTTGTCGATCTCCGATCTATTCTTCTTTGGACTGGCCTACTTTTTGGGTCTTAAGTAAATGTAAACAAATGTCGCGTCTAACAGCTCTGCGATCGATATGGATACGACTACGAGGACGTATATAGGCGCCAGCTGCCAAATTCATTTTCCGCCAAGTATTAGTGTTATTGATCTAGTGCTTGCGGTCACTGCCGATAATGCCTCTAACAATAAAACGCTGGTTGAAAACCTTCATCAGTCCGTTCAAGCCCTTAATCTCCCGAGTAGTACGCAAATTGCACTAATTCCATGCCTTGCGCATGTGATCCAGCTGAGTTGGAAGGAACTTCTTGGCTTAATGAAAGTTAACCCAAAAATGATTCCGTCAATACTGTTTGGTATCTTTGTAATAGGTCAGCAGCTTCTTTTCTCCTGCCTTCAAAGCACGACGCATATCTTGTTTCCAAGAGACCCTTTTCTGAGATAGCAGGCTTTCCGCTTCTTCGCAATGCCTAAACAGTATGTGGTATGCTTCAAAGACAGAGTGTATAGTCCGCAACATTCAGTCTACAACCAGCCTCAATTCCAGCTCAATGCGCAAGACTGGTGGTAGATTGATTACCTTCTTTGCATCATGAAGCCATTTTCCACATGGACCGTCGGACTCTCCAAGGTAAAAGATGTCACCATACACTCTGTCTTCGAAGTATACCACATACTGCTTAGGCATTTCGAAGGAGCGCAAAGCCTGCTAGCTCAGAAAAGGGTCCCTTGGAAACAAGATATGCTTCGTGCTTTGAAGGCAGGAGAAAAGAAGCTTCTGACATATTACAAAGATACCGATCAGTATAGACGGAATCGTTTTCTGGGTTAACTTGCATTAAGTCAGGAAGTTCCTTCAATCTGAGCCGGATCACATGGGCAAGGCATGGAATTCGTGCAACTTGCGTATACGGGAGGTTGAGGGCTTCAATGGACCGATGAAGGTTTTCAACAACCGTGTTATTGTTAGAGGATTATTGGCAGTGACCCCAAGCACTCGATCAATAACACTATGCTGGTGTAGCACCTTTTGTAGTATCTCGCTTAGATGACTACCAGTGTGCTGACCGTGTACTGGCTGAAACCCTAGTAGTATTTCATGGTAATTCCAACTGGAATCCACAAAATAGCCAGTGACAGCCATAAAAGCTTGTTGGAAAGGAGATGTTCAGCAATCAAGTGCAATAGAAACTCTTGCAGCAGTTGGTCAAAGAGAGAGGACTTTTTGCTGGTCTGCCCGAACCATTGTTTCCAGGCGCCGTCGTGCGGTTTTTGGAGAGAGGATCGGAGGCATTTCTTTTGAGAGGCGAGCAATACGATCAAATTCGTAGACCTCTGGGCGTCCGAGGAATTGGAATGGAAGCTGGCACATCGTTATCAAATTGACCTGGATTCGCTCCCAGTCATCAATGTTGAAAGCTGTCCTCGTTATGGGGCTGTGGTCGGGCACCAACAGTGTGTCGCCACCATTCAATGAACCGTGTTTTGTTCATTTCAGAGTAGCGAACCCAAAGCTTCTGAACACCGGGGCCAACTCGTTCAAGTCTTGTTGGAGCAAGAATAGTATCCGGAGTCTGGGATTCCGAGATGCTAAGCGTAGGGTGGGCGACTATATTGGGCCATCTGGCGTAAGAGGCTCATGCGTTGGACTGTAGGAAAGAAACTCCCAGTCGTCGAGGCTTCCGGGGTCTTCGATTTGAGATGAGAATACCTGCGAAGAAGGGCCAGGCTGAGAAAATTGTCTCGGTGTTGAGCTACAAACGCGAGGAGAAGAGTGGAAAAAATTGCAAATATCCGGCTCAGCGTCGGACTACGGCAGTTTACAGGGCACTACGGCAGTTTCTCGGACCTTGGCTGACAGTCTGACCGTCACCTGACGTTTGAATAGCCTCGTCTGTAGGTACTGCGGTACCTCACAGTACCGGGAAACGGTACCAAATTTGCTTGGTACTGCAGTACTTGTCAAGGCATAGCCGCAGCCATATTGATCCAATAGCCACCGGCCCACCAAAGGAAATCTATACAGCCATAGAGTGTGGGAATTAGACTTATTAGAGCTTCTATCAGGTCGTAATTCCACTGTCCTGTTACCTACTTCCTCAAACGTTGTAACCCCAAACCACCAAAATCCTGCATGAGCCATGAATCAACATGTGACTCATCCTTAGAAACAACAAGACAAGACAGTCAAGAGTAGGTAAAGACTCAAACTCCTAGATACTTGGATGCGCAACGGCCAACGAGGGTTTGGCGCCCTACGAAGTGGTTTCGACTCGCACCACTCGACAACCTACTACCTACTACCTATCGCCAAACATTGAGGACCACCTATGCATTTTCCTGTGCTGTGTATAAGTACATAGTCTACTACTTTTTCAACAGAATATCGACAACACCAAGACCATCCAGTACATCATGCACCTGCCCGAAGCCCTCAAAGCGCGTAAAGCAAAGCTTTATCAGCTACTTACTTGCCAAACAGGGTGATTATCCCGGCTTGATAGACAGAGAGTCGGGCTAGCAAATTTGGAATATGCGTACAATCCGTGCATAACGAAGATCGAAGGGCGAATTCGGACGAATTATGAGACCAAGGGTTACAAGGACGCCCACTGTACCATTTCTCATGTTGGTAACGAAGAGCCGGCCAAGGTGTTCAGAAAGACATTCAAGTCTGCTGCGCAGGCGTAATGCAAATACTTCGTTGAAACAGCGATTGACCGCAAATTACCTATGGCTGCCGCAGATGGAATAGGAATGGAATTGGTGTGACATAGAACCAGTACGCGGGACCTACTGCAGAATAACCTCTCCAAGTAAAGCGTCCCTGGAACAACCTAGGTACCGTTTAATAGGCGGGTACGGAAGAACTGTGTATATATATTAGTTGTCAAGGAACAAAGGACTAATCATACAAGCCATTGGCCCCTGCCGCATGTAGAAACTAGAATGTCGCTTGATGCATTCACCATGGATCAAACGACTGACATTCCTCTCCGGTCTGCGGCTGGTGAGCCCGCCGCCCGCCTGTCTGAGTGCTCTGCCGAGCCGTCTTTCAGCTTCTACTTCGGTTTGAGATGGATGTCAGTACGAAAAGTGCACCCCACGACCTACTCACTGGGACGCATTTCACATTGTCATAAGTCATGGTTGACTGAAACCATTCCATGGCTCTTGTAGTTGGTCTCAATTGATTAGTCGAGCCACCAGTCAACTCAGGACACTCCATAATCCCATGGATGTGTCGTGCAGGTAGATACCGGAGTGAATATGAGAGCAGACCAGCCTTTGAGAAAAGGAAGCTGAGGAGTTTTCCACCTACCTTAGACCCTTGTTCAGACACGAAGGTCAATGGGTATGATGTCGTCGTGAAGTGTGAGCCGCGACGCAAGCACAATGCGGCACAACGCTCCAATGCGCTCGCCTTAAAAAACGTTCCATCCATGTCCAAGGTATAGCAGGCGCTTATGTCGTTCCAGGTTGCCATGTTCAGTGCTCCCCATGGTTGCTCTTCCGGTTTGCTGGTCTCATCATGTGTCGCGTGCTTAGTCGTGCCCTCACCTCCCTCTCACTATATCTTCTCCTTTCTCAAACGGATCTCCCATCAACCTTCATCCCCAGAACAACGAACATCCCTACCACAACGAAGTTCCGGAATCGGTTGATGAGGCGCCTCATGTCGTCCGAGTAGAAAAGGAAGGGCCCCAAGCGCATCCTTCCCTCGGCGGCCTCGCTGTCTCGAGGGGGACCTGACCCCTCGTCTGTTGGTAAGCATCCCGCCATCACTTTCCATTCTTTTCCATCTTCCTTCACCTCCTTTCATCCCTTTCCATGACGACAGTTGATACTGATGACTGCAGCCGCCACAGAGACTGAGCAGGCATCATCTGCTCGCCGATCATCCACGAGGAACGGAGCTCTGATCGTTCTCCGTGTGAGCAACAAATGATGGAACTTGGCGCATCTACTCGACAGCGATCGAACGGTGGCCATCGGGGGATGCATGGACTCGATTGAACGCCTCGGTAAGTTATCGCTACCCAGCTGAACTGGAACGACATAAACTCTTGGATGGCTAACGTGCTTGCCTTTTGGCATGACAGGTCGCGATAGGTAAAACTGTCGGTTGAGGACAGCCATCAAGGCTGCCACCTGCCCTCCGCGTCCCAGTCCAGTTCACAACCCAGGCGGGATCCCCCGAGACTCGTCCCGTCGACGGACCTTTCAATGTCGACCTCGCTCGATTCCTGTCACAGGACCTCATGATTCCTTGTATCAGCTGATCCTTTCTCTCGGGCAGCTTTTCCAAGTGCCGCAGAAGTCTCCCGTCTCCTTTGTCGCCCTCATCATCGATGAGGTGAGCGTAGGCCAGGCAAGTCTGCCGGCAGACGCGCGAAACCCAGTCGGAGACCTTCATGAGCTAGACTCCATCGTATACGGAGCTGCAAACCAGGTCTCGACCCCCGCGGCCACGCCGGTAGTGGGAGTGGTCGCTGCCCTACCCTTCATCTGGCAGCGTGCCCCGGAATCCTGGTGGGCCTACCGCAAGCTCCAGAACCAGAGGAAGACACAATACGCTGCCAACCGTGCACCCCAGCGTCAGTCAACGGGGAAGGGGAACCACACGATGAAAGTACTCAAACCACGCAGCGCCAACAGCCCGCATGGCGAGCGCAACGATGCACATCATCAACAAATCATGACGCATGAATACGGTCCCACGAGCCGTCCAAGCATACAGCAGTATATGTAATGCCCCATGGGCATGATTGTCGGAGGTACAAGTATGGTACCAGACATCGACGCAGTCTTCCTTGACCCCCCAGCGCCTACATTTGCCATGGGTAATGGATCACCGGGTTGGTATCCTACAGAATCAGGCTCCAACAGGGTTCAGGGCCAGTCCCACTACATGATCCATGAACAATACAATCATGAGCGCTGACCAGGAAAAGGAGAATACGATGCAAAGGAGGCAGTCGGTAGGCAGTACTGGAACACTACGGATGCACCCGTGAGCAACTTGCAACTGTTGCAAGTCCCTCAGGCATCGTCATGTTGTCTCGGATAGTCTCCGCGGGCTTGGCAGATCGTGGGGTTACGAAAGCACCAAGCTAAGGCTTCGGGCTTCAACCAGCCTAACGAGCGTATGCCCAACTCGGCATCGTTGTCCAACATGGTCCACTGGATGCCCTCCAATGAGTCATTGGACCAGACATTGGACCCTCAAGCCATGACTCCCGGTCAGGTCGAGCCATTCCCTACCGGATCCCTGACTGCCCGTTTGAGTGGAGGCAGCTGGTGACCTGGTGTCAATGGTGGACGACGTTGTCCGGCTGATGGCTGGCCACTTTCCGATACCCCCGATGATGCTGCGAACCCTACCCCGGGACCTCTCGAAGAGGATGACAAGGGCTTCGAATGGCCTGAGCGCGTGGCACAGGCAGCTCATGTGAACATGAGGGCCAGAATCAACAAGGATGGCGGAAAGAAGTCCGGGTTCGGCGAAATTTGGCGACTTTTGAAGATCGCACGACCTGAATCAAAGGCGCTCAGCTTTGCCTTCTTTTTCCTCGTGGTCTCCTCATCGATGACCATGGCAGTTCCTTTCTTTATCGGTAAAATTTGGACAGTGCAACTCAAAGTGCGGCCGAAGGTGGTGGCGAATTGTTCGGCCTCAGCATGTCCATGTTTTACGCGGCTCTCCCGAGGAATCCTCTTGCTCGGCGCTGGTGCGAACTATGGGCGCATTATCATTCTTCGGATTGTCGGTGAGCAAATCGTTGCCCGGCTACGTTCAAAGCCTTTCCGTCGAACATTCGTGCAAGATGCCGAGTTCTTCGATGAAAACCGAGTTGGTGCCTTGATCTCGCGCGTTAGCTCTGACACCATTATTGTTGGCAAGAGTATCACGCAGAACTTGTCTGATGGACTACGAGCTGGTGTCAGTGGCGCAGCTGGGTTCAATCTGCTGGCTTATACCTGCAAACCACGCCCGGGCCGCCCCAACCTATGTTGGTGATAGAGAAGTCGCCGATCTACCTCTGACTGCTCAGTCGTCTTCAGATAGTCTCGCGTGCTCGGCTAGCGCTGAAGCTCATGTGTGGAGCGTGTGGAGTGAGAAAGGAGCGATTGGCAGGGATCGTGTCGTTTTGACCCTAGCGAGGGGAAGTTGAAATGGTCTGACTGAGACGAGCTCCTTCTCTCAGCCAAGCTCTTGCCATGGCTGCCTGTCCATTCCCAAATATTGCGCTGGGAGTCGGAGCCTACTGATTTCAAGCATATTTGCGGTCAAAAGTGTCAGCAAAATGATTGTTACACGTGACTTCCGGCTTAGGTGCCTGAGGATGCAGGCAAGGACGAATGGATGCTAATGTGTGCTGGAACTTCCGCATGTTTTGTCTGAGTGTCTCGCATTGTCTCTCAAGCCCGATTTCTCTGTTCGACGTCACGCCTTCTTCAAGTGAAACCGCCCGCCGTCGCCAAACGTTCCATGCGGACTACCCCGGAACCTCTCGAAGAGGATGACAAGGGCTTTGACTCGTCCGAGCGCGTAGACCGCAAGAGCATCGTACATCGCGATTTGAAGATCGAGAATCTCCTCATCAGCAAAACTGGTGATGGACAATTCTCCTACACTTATATAGTTGAATTCACAATTCCATATTCAAGCCCCCATTTCGCATACACTATGAGAAAAGACCGTCAGCGTAGATCGTAACACAAATGCCTCATACAGCGTCGTAGCAGCTATATCCGCCATACAACTCACCAGATTTCTGGTATGTGCAAGAGCAAGAGAAGAGAATGGTTCTCGCCCATGTCATGGGCTTGATAGAACAGCAAGGGCACAGAGACTAGAGTATTCCTCCAACAAACATGTGAGAAGACGAGAAGACTATACCTGGCTGAAACCGATCTGGCTTCTTGGAATACGCTGCCATTGGAAATGTCGATACGGGCCTATCTTGCGGGAAAGTCGGCCAGCTGAGAATCATGTCGGGCTCGGTAATCGGCGTTTTGAGCGCATCGCTTCGCGAGATTGATTCGGGATCTATTTCGTCCACTGGGGATGGCGACGCCTGCTGCGAGGAAAGGGATGCCTGAGGAGGATCCCCCCTATTCAAAGACAGGCCTTCTGATAGAAGACGCCCTTGACGTTCTACTGCCTCTAGGACTTTTCTGCTCCAAGTATCTAGTCTTTAGATGAAATTGGTGGTTATTAGATGCCCTAATGGAAGAAGCTCTATGGGGTCCGACACTGAGAGGGCATCCGTCTCCGGATACTCGCAAGTTACACCCCGCTGGACACACTTAGCACACACTGGCCGTGCCGAGTCGCATCGAGTCTTGCTTATACGACAGGCGTCGCATGTGGTGAGCACCCGAGTATTCTTAATCTTCCGTCGCGCAGTCGACAAACGGTCCATGTTGTTGGTGAGGCTCTGCAGTCGGACATGGGTACGAATATGGGGTAAAACATGTGGTGAGAGAGAGATATGTGGGTAAAAGGCCAAGAGAAAAAACGACGTCGGTTAGGGTCGGTGATTGGTGATGGGCTAAGCGAAACGGTGGCTGAATTGGTCCACTGTAGTTGCCTGGGATACGACGAACCTACAACAACCTCACGTCACAATTCCGGTTCATGGATCATGATGGGATTAGCCCGTATGACTTGTATTGGTCGGCGATAGTTGGAGAAGTTCTACCCAGCAGACGTAGGCAATAGGTGAGTCGGCGCCGTTCAAAATGATGTATCGATGTAGTCACCAACTTAGCCCTAAGCCTCGACTCGGCGCCGACGACCATTGTGTACCAGTATCCGACAAGAGCGATGCCGATATTCTCCAGGACGGGCTCGACCCCATCTGGCCTGAGGTCTTCGGCAGTCAGCCCTTTGATCAACGGGATGACAATATTATCGATGGCGGGAGCGACTCCATCTGGCCTGAAGTTGGATGGCCTGTCCTTTGCGGGGAGCTTCCTGATGATGAGTTATTCCTGGGTGTTTCCCTAGACTCCAGCGACAACGGCGGCAACTCCGAACCGCTGGCGGAAGGCGATAGGTCGAGCAATGTTCGCCTGGAGTCAAGGCAAAACCAGTCTGCCCATGGTGTCGTTGGCCAGGTGCTCCGGCAGGCAGTTGCCGAAGAAGATGTGGTCAGAGATGACGCTAGTCAACGTGCTGAGGCAGAAAGCGAACAAAAAGATGTTGAGCAGGATGACATCGTCGTGGATACGATTCAAGACCGCAAGATCAGCGACGAGGGGAAACGAGCCAAAGACAAAGCAAACGACGCAGTTGACAACAGTGACGCCACCCTCCCTCCCTTGGACGATTCCTGACGCTGAGGTACTGGCTGAAGTCTCTTAGTTTGCTTCGTCTTTGGCACTTTTCACCTCGTCGCTAATCTTCCGGTCCTGAATCGTACCCATGACGATGGGACCCTGATCAACATCTTTTTGTTTGCTTGCTGCCTCAGCACGTTGACTAGCGTCATCTCTGACCACATCTTCTTGGCTAACTGCTCGTAGGAGCACCTGGCCAACGACACCATGGGAGACTGGTTTTGCCACGACTCCAGGCGAACATTGCTCGACCTATCGCCTTCCGCCAGCGGTTCGGAGTTGCCGCCGTTGTCGCTGGAATCTAGGGAAAACACCCGGGAAGAGCTCATCATCAGGAGGCTCACCGTAAAGGACAGGCCATATAACTTCAGGCCAGATGGAGTCAATCGCGCCCTTGAGAATATCGGCATCGCTCTTGTCGGATACTGGTACACAATGGTCAGCAATATATCACGGCAAGAGTCCTCGACATAGTCGGCAGCACCCGTTGACATGGCCGGCAGCGGTCATCGACATGGTCGGCAACAACTGTCGACCTAGTCGTCGTGAAAAGCTGAGGGCGTTGCTCGTTGACGACCTCTATGGGACGACTCACCTCTTCCTATATCAGACGGCGGCTGGGCGTAGACTGATGGTGACTCGGTGTCATGATGGTCCACTTCGAGGTTGGAAGCATTGCCTGCTTGTATTAATGTGTCAGCAATAATCTCTACACGAGGTTAGTCAACGCGATCGGACAGCGAGTCGTCGAGCTCGATCGCGACTGGCAGGTTTTGGGATGGGGGGTGGATAGCAAGACTCAGGACGACTCACTTTTCTCTCGCGACGATGGCAAGTCAACGTTATCCAACCACGATAATACCTTGTTCATCGTCGGCGACATACCTTCTGTGTGGATTATCAGGGGATTAGGCTGTATTACTTGGTATTGGCCAGCGATAATTGGAGAAGTCCAGGGAGAACACTTAGAGAATTGGAGGTTGATTGATGGAAAAGAGATGAATCTGTCGTGTCTCATTTTGAATTTATACCCCTCTCCGACTCTGAGCTCGTCGTCGACGACGTCGATCGTGAAGCCGTCGGCGCCGAGTCGAGGCTTAGGGCTAAGTTGGCGACTACATCGATACATCATTTGACCGACGCCGACTCACCTGCCACAAGCATCATTGCAATTTTTTTTCCTTTTCTCCTATTGCCTAATTCTGTTGGGTAGAACTTCTCCAATTATCGCCGACCAATCCCAGGTCATACGGGCTAATCCCGTCATGATCCATGAACAAGACTTTTGACGTGTGAGGTTGTTGTCGATTCGCCGTTTCCCCCGGCAACTACAGAACACCATGACGGAACATTTCTGCTTTTTCATGGGCGAGGGAGTGCTCATCTAGAAATATGTACACTTCTATCATTCTGATCTTCCAGGGTAGACAAAGACCTCAACGTTGAAGCCATTCGTCTATCTGGCCAGACATTTAACCCGTCATCAACCTGTGCGTGGACTAATATAAGACGATAACGACAGTTTAACGGGATATTGTGCGATTGGAGAAGAAGAAGAAGGATGGCGCAGTTTAGGAGTGCAGTGCCAGGTCCACTGTACTCCCTTGATCCAAGCGAGCACACGAGCGGCAGCCGACAAGGATGGGCGGCTGGAACGAAGGGGATACGGGGATGTCACGTGGTGATATGTGGTTCTGGTCCCTACGGCCAGGAGTGCGACACTCATTTTTTTTTTCTGTTTTTTGTCTTTCCTTTGTTATGGTTTACATTTTTCTATTCTGGGGGCGACTGGTCGGAAATGTGCAAAGCGAGTTTCCAACAGTCGTCCAGTGGGCTGGCGCCCACACTTTCCAGCTGTCGGCAGGCCTGATAGCAACCCCGCATAGCAGCTTATACTTAGAGCAAGCTACATCGGGCCAATGAATTTCTCTCTCCCTTTAACGGGATATCGGTTCATACTAAATCAAAACATACACAATTGCTATGCTTCTCTGAAGGTATTCCAACTCTGTCACTAATTCAAACACCTCATTCCACAGGCCGCCATATAGGTATGAGGCTGCAGACATTCTATGACAGTATGGACACAGAGCCAGCCGAGCAAGCGATACAGACCATATGAGACATTGAGATGCAGACAATGCATAACCTGAGGTCTGAAGAAAAACGAACGGAGTACATGTTCAAACCAACAGTTCCAGTCGGATTTCAAAGACATTGGACAAGACGGTGTGCAACCAAGAACCCAAAGCCCTATATCCTTATACCATCATGCAACCAGCCCCGGCCTTCCTGCCATTGTCCTTATGGGGTGCATTTCAAGCTTGAGGGTGCTGATACTTGTCTAGTTCCGAAAGCGAGATTCACGGGCAGCCACCTGGGCAGCGTGGCACCCTGCCGGGAGAGCATCCTAGCACCTGGAAAACCGGCAATGTGGTTCATGGAAGGAACAAAAACAACTCAGGCTCCTTCTACACATAGCACCGGAGACAAGTATATCCCACGTGGGAGCACGTGGACAGTTCAGAAGTGTAGGTAAATCGCGTGACCTTGTTGATAAATACTGCCTTCGCCTCCATCCTCTTTCTTCTTCTTCTTCTTCTCCGTCTCACCTTCATGGCTAGCTTGGTGTCTGTGATCAAGAAGACAGACACCCAGATGGTCCTCTCACATTGCACATCGCGGGAAGACTATCTGGTCGCGGGCAACCGACGACAGGCATATTTTTTGGCACTTCCCCCATCAGGGGCCCATCTCTTCATCAACCCTCGCGCCAGGGGCACGGGATTGGAGAAGAGATTTTTTCATCACGTATGCCTCTGTGTCTTTGAGCGCGACTTCATTCAGTAGAGATACACAAACAACTTTGCACAGCTCGCTCCTTCCATGCATGCCCATGTAAGTCAGTCGCGTGACCTCGTCGATAAATATCACCTTCGTCTCCATCCTCTTCCTTCTCCTTCTTCTCCTTCTCCTCAGCTCGATCCTTAGTGCGCCTTGGCGTCTGTGATCAAGCAGACAGGCACCACAGTTGGTCCTCTCGCATTGCACATCGCGGGAAGACTATCTGGTCGCGGGCAACCGACGATAGGCATATTTTTTGGCACTTCCCCATCAGGGTCCCATCTTTTCATCAACCGTCGAGCCATTGGCACGGGATTGGAGAAGAGATCTTTGCGGCTGGTTGCCAGCCTCTTGTTCTTGCTTCTATAGAACGAAGCTTTCCAGTTCTCTTTTGTTGTTGTTTGGACTTCTGCATGGAGCTAGTTCGAGGGTATTTGACCTTTTGAGGCAGCGCCGTCGCCCATTCCCCAAAATGGACGTGGGAATAGCCTCGTGTTCCATTGCTATGGAAGGCTCGTGACCAAACGTGACCAGAGGCCCGTGACCGATCGTTCCTGGGTTCCATCTCTCTGGAAGCTATTTAACTCTCTGTCCTGATGCCTCTTCTCCTTTCATTCCTGAACTTTCCAACCATCGTTGGTTCTCTCTTTGGCCATCCTTTCTCGCGTTTTCTCGCGTTTTATCTTCATTGACACCATCCACCTTGTCTGCTCTGTTCTTAGAAGGTTGGAAGCACGCGTCACTCACCAAAGCTCACCGCGTTCATTCAACATACCTGCCCCCAGTGTGAAATGTAAGACAGCGAATTACATGGAGTCCACTCTTCGCATCACCACGCCTCTTCACTTGGAAGTTAGAACAGACATATCCAGACCAACCCTGGGAAATATTAGTACCACATCGATGCCCACACGATCTTCCAGCTCCGGGCTGAGTTCAAGCCCTTCTGGCTGCCTTCCTGCCGAACTACGCGTCGTATGTGGACCAGAACATTTTGACCAGGGGTTGGAACACGACAGATGCCAGCACTGCTTGCCAATAGCCAACGGCCAGCTCGATCTATCCTGCTTCGCGAAGCCACAGGTAGAAACAGACTTTCTGGGAGGTAGACTGGTATATGATGAAGGGACAAAAGGCGAACATGACGCCCCAAGCCGTCGATCAGTATTGGCGCAATCTCCAAATCAATGACGATGGCACGAAAGTCCAAGTTGTGCAGTGGATACAACGGATCCACGACCGAGTGCAGCCTGCCTTCGTCAACGAGGGTGTCCCCGCCGACGATTTGCTGAAGCGGTCCAATGCCCCGAAGATGCTCAGAAAGCCAATGAGCGATGGCTTCGAAATGCTGCCAATTCAAGTCCAACAGCAGCCGAAGGAGGGGGCCATATCCGGCCTCTATGACCTTTATCGTGCCCTTGGCTGTGCCTTTCCCGGGAAGTGGGGTTTGTCGGAAGCCAAACCGCGTCGCTCGCGAGCTGCGCGGGCGCAAGTACCAACACCAACAGCTCCAGCCGCAATCAGTGCCACGGCCCCCGCAACCAACAATGTCAACCCCGCTGAGCGAACCGAGGTCCTCGCGCCAGGCAGCGAGTTCCTCGCTGTCCCGGCGAGCTTTGTCAGGCAACTGCTCCAAGAGACCCTCGTCCGCCACGAGGGATGGGTAGAGGCGATGGAAGCGCACATAGAGGCGCTGAGGGGCCGGGTGTCACAACTGGAGGACCAGATCAGGCAGGCTGGCACCGTGCCCGAGCCCCCTTGGCAGCACCAGCCTGAGAATCCATACGAGACGCCCCAATGGTGGCAAGGACCTTCCACCGAAGGAAACTGAAGAGCCGGGTGAGGATTGGTCTTATTTTGCCCTGTTACTTCTTTTTTGCAGATAATGAATTGCGATGTTTTCTTCGGAGGTTCGTCCAGGACGATGTCATTCGACTATTATTTTCCAGTCTGTAATATTCGACGTAGCCTGCATTCATATGAGGACATCAGTAGATGGGATATTATCAAGGCTAAGTACTGGGATCTTAGGTTATTATGTGCAATGGCCCAGCCCCGAACGCAAAACGAAAGAAAGAGTACAATGAGGCTATGAATGAGGATCCTGAATGGAAGGCGTTTGTCGCGAAGAAGCGGGAAGAGGAAAAACCCAGCAAATCGCAAGCAAACACGGTACTTCAGAGCGGAGAACTAGGCTTCCTTTCCATGTCGACTACAAATCGCCAGCAAGTCGAGAGCACATCAAGGATAGATTGTTGATCGATACATGTGCCCAAGCGCACATCTGCAACAACCGGAGTTTGTTTGCCGAGTTTCAAGAAACAAAAAGCTCAATCCGAGTGGGTGATACAGTGTCAGGTATAGAGGGTGTCAGATTGGGATACACTGGGATTAGGCCTCCCTAGGCCATAAACAGGAACCTTGGTTTTTGATGTGGTCTAGTGGTAATTAATTCCGATAGTTATGATCTCAAAAACCAAGGTTCCTGTTTATGGCCTAGGGAGGCCTAATCCCAGTGTATCCCAATCTGACACCCTCTATACCTGACACTGTATCACCCACTCGGTTTGAGCTTTTTGTTTCTTGAAACTCGGTAAACAAACTCCGGTTGTTGCAGATGTGCACTTGTGCACATGTATCGATCAACAATCTATCCTTGATGTGCTCTCGACTTGCTGGCGATTCTGTAGCCGACATGGAAAGGAAGCCTAGTTCTCCGCTCTGAAGTACCGTGTTTGCTTGCGATTTGCTGGGTTTTTCCTCTTCCCGCTTCTTCGCGACAAACGCCTTCCATTCAGGATCCTCATTCATAGCCTCATTGTACGCTTTCTTTCGTTTTGCGTTCGGGGCTGGGGCGCTGTCTGGTTTGTCCTCTGGGTATGGAACCCAGCATTTCCAGGGAAAATGTTTGCTCTGGCTGCTGCAGGGACAGTGTCGTGCCCAATTCACATGGATGCGGCCAGCATTGACCTCTTGTTTGATCCAGCATCTGTTGATGTCGACGTGGCGTAGTTTGTGTGCATGGTAGCACCCCCTTTCGTCAGCAAATCCACAGTTTGCTGGTTGTCACACGCAATTGATAGTGTATGAGATGGTTTGAATCCTAAGGACTCAAGGACTCGGTACCACCATCGGACTGTTTTCCCTGCTTCTGCAAGAGCTAGAAGCTCGGCCTCGGTGGTGGACGTTGTCACTGTCTTCTGTTTTGAAGCTTTCCAGTTGATTGGTCCGCCATAGAGCTTACTGATGTAGCCCTCAGAGGTTTTCCGATCCTGGTTGTCACCAAACGATACATCGCTAGCAAATTCAAGAGACTTTGCTGCGAGCTGTAGACCGAAACATCTGGATGCAGTGGATCGAGTGGTGCAATATCTATACCAAACGAGGTATTATGCCGTTGAGTACGGTGTTCAGACCGAAAATTGCGGTCTACAGCTCGCAGCAAAGTCTCTTGAATTTGCTAGCGATCCATCATTTGGTGACAACCAGGATCGGAAAACCTCTGAGGGCTACATCAGTAAGCTCTATGGTGGACCAATCGACTGGAAGGCTTCAAAACAGAAGACAGTGACAACGTCCACCACCGAGGCCGAGCTTCTAGCTCTTGCAGAAGCAGGGAAAACCATGGGCGACGAATCGGACCACTACGACATAACCCCTATTACGATTCACCGCCCTAATCACCGCCTGTATGATTATCGTTTCGGGTCTGTATGTAATATGAGGCACATGGCCCGAACTGCGTATGGCATCTTGATGGACATATGAAGCTATCATGCTATGTAACTTTGGAATTGACATCTATGCTGCCATTGACGGATATCCGATATTCTCCGTTGCCGTTTACGTCCCATGGATCTACGTTGGGTTCACTGGCGGTACGGCAAACGAGTTTCTAGCCTAATCCCTTGAAACCATTAGTGCAAGCTTCTACCTCGAGCTATTCGCTCTGAGTCCTCAACTGGTTGCTCAACTAAGCCTACTAAGGTTCCAGTCCTGTATGGGTCCTTGGCCCGCTGTGTAGCCTTCTGTGTGGCCGCCCCTGCCTCTTGTTCACGTACAGGCCTAAAGAGGAGTGCAGGGGGCATAAGGGGAGTGGATATCGGCTCAGGTATGACCGTATGACCTCCTCAGCAAGGGTATCAACCTTCTTCTTGATGGCCGCTGTTTTAGTTGCAGGGGCAGGTCTCTTTCCTGCCTTTCTCGCTGAGCCAGAAGGTGCCTACCTCCGAAAAATGAGATGAACGAGGAATTCATTGCTCTGGGTATTCTGGTTGAATGAAGAGCAGAAATCCCGTACAGCACTGATCTTGTGACTTGTCATTGGACGGTGAGATCAGTTTAGCACGTGTATTGGCCATGATTCCGCAGGCGCGGATCAGCCGATCACCTGCCTGCGCCTGCCATCTTTCTGGTACTCCGGCCATATCAGGAGTTCGTCTCATTGGGGAGTGATTCCTTTGTCGGCCCGACTCGGTCTCCAATATCCCGCTGGATACGGGCACCCAGTCGGGCCGTCGTAGACCTTTGCAGTGGGCTAGGTATGGCCCCGGCCGTATACGGTATGGGCCCCCAATAAAGCCCATACATATGACCTGTCACCCCGACTCACCAGTATTGGCGCCCATAAACCAATCATTAATGCGTGGTAAAAAAACAGGAAAAAAACAGGCGCTGTTTTTTACGCATGTTCTGTAAGACTATACAATACAACATCGGCCCGACGTTTTACCAGACCTAGATTGGCAGTTCAACTCCCTAGGCATTAATATCTCAAGATTAAACGCCCAGGAGCTGGTAATCAAGGTCATAGATAAAACCAGCTACACCGGGCACTGCAGTCTACCAAGGTTATGGAAAGAAAATGTCAATTTCATCAACATTCCGTAGTATTCTGGCACTTGGAGAATTAGCAAGTGTCAACATGTGGAAATATATATTTCACGTATGCAGAAGTAGGTGCATCTTTCTGTTGAAGTATCGGACATGTATGGCATTTTTGATAGCCAACTTCATGATTTGTAGGTTAACAGCATTGAAAATTATATCAAAAGATAGCTAATTTTTTACCGCTTATACCTACACCCACAGAAATGGGATACTCTAGCTACTCTGGAGGTGAGAGAGGGTTAAAGACCTCCCATGAGCCATGGGGTGAATGTCTTGGCGAACAATTTGGCGGGGAGATGGGGAGATGGCCCGGGGGTTCCACCCACTTACTCAGGCCAACTTCCTCCACCAGCTCACTTTACAGAAGGGCAAAGCACAGTGCTAGGAGAGGGAGGCAGTCAATTAGCTGTATACCCATTTACTACTTTAACACCATTAAATCGATATGTGTTTCTATCTGTTTTATTGCAACCAATGAGGGGTGATACCACCTTGGAACAATACCATGGTAACCTTCCTAATGTTCTGCCGGGCAGAAAAGGGTTATGTGTGGTCCGATTCGTCGCCCATAGAAAACAGTCCGATGGTGGCACCGAGTCCTTGAATCCTTAGGATTCAAACCATCTTATGCACCATCAATTGCGCGTGACAACCAGCAAACTGTGGATTTGGTGACGAAAGAGGATGCTACCATGCACACAAAACTACGCCACGTCGACATCAACAGATGCTGGATCAAACAAGACTCACCTCATTATACCCCAGGCGGCTACTATGGACGAACTGTGTGTATATATCAGTTGTCGAGGAGCCAAAGAGTAACCTATCATACAAGCCATTTGCCCAGGTGCAGCGTGTAGAATGTCGTTTGACGCATTCAGCATGGATCAAACGAGTGATTTTCCCCTCCGGTCTGCGGCTGGTCTGCGACTGGTCTGAGTGATCTGCCGAGCCATCTTTCAGCTTCTACTTCGGTTTGAAATGGATGTCAGTACGAAAAGTGCACCGCACGACTCACCGGGACATATTTCCCTTGGTCATAACTAATGATTGACTAAAACCATTCCATGGCGTTTGTAGTTGGTCCCAATCAAGTAGCAAACCCACTAGTCAAGCCAGGACACTCCATAATCCCATGTGTCATGTAGGTAGATACGGGAGTGAAAATGAAAGAAGGCCAACCGTTTGAGAAAAGGAAGCTGATGAGTTCTCCACCTACCTTAGACCCTTGTTCGAACACGGAGGCCAATGGATATGATGTCGTCGTTAAGTGCGAGCCGCAACGGAAGCCCACGGCACAATGTGACACAACTGTCCAATGCGCTCGCCTTAAGCATAGCAGGCGCTTATGCCGTTCCAGGTTGCCATATTCAGTGCTCCCCATGGTTCCTCTTCCGGTTTGCTGGTCTCATCATGTGTCGCGTGCTTAGTCGTGCCCTCCCTCTCTCTCACTATATATTCTCCTTTCTCAATCGATCCCCCATCAACCTTCATCCTCCGAACAAGCCACAATCCTTATACCTGGCACAACAAGGTTTCTGGGCCATTTCCTCTGCGGAATCGGTTCATGAGGCGCCTGATGACGTCCGAGTAGCAGGGGAAGGGCCCCAGGCGCATGCTTCCCTCGGCGGCCTCGCTGCCTCGAGGGGGACTTGACCCCTCGTCTGTTGGTAAGCATCCCGCCATCTCTTTCCACCACTTTTCATCTCTTCATCCCTTTCACCTCATCTCATCTCTTTAATGCGTCACCCCGTCTCCATGACGACAGTTGATGCTGATGACTGCAGACGACACAGAGACTGATGAGGCATCGTTGCCTCTCTGTCCTCTCTTTCCTTCCCGATCATCCACAAAGAACGGAGCTCCGGTTGCTCGCAGCCTCGAAGGGACGCATCGCAAACAACTTCCAATGGAGGTCGAGTGCCGTTGAGATCCTTGAGAATCGGCAAAAGGCTATGCATAGTAAGTGATCGGCACTCGTCCGAAAATGACCTATGTCCATCTGTGTGTTCGTTCCTCTTCACCCATCTCCAACCCTCTCTTCACCAATCTTCATCTACTCTGTTGTCCATCTCTGCTCGGTCCTTTCCCGTTTCCGTTTTGGCGTGTTATCTCCAGCAGCATCTGACCAGCCAGCCCTTTCTCGGTTCTCGGTCACTTCTCGCGCGCGTCTTGTGCATCGTTCACAACGACCGTTCTGACCCATACCTTTCCCGACTTTCATCGCTGATCAAACACCTCAACCACTTGGTAAGTTGAATCAGCTATCCAGACCCCTCGTCTGTTGGTAAGCATCCCGCCATCTCTTTCCACCACTTTTCATCTCTTCATCCCTTTCACCTCATCTCATCTCTTTAATGCGTCACCCCGTCTCCATGACGACAGTTGATGCTGATGACTGCAGACGATACCGAGACTGATGAGGCATCGTTGCCTCTCTGTCCTCTCTTTCCTTCCCGATCATCCACAAAGAACGGAGCTTCGGTTGCTCGCAGCCTCGAAGGGACGCATCTCGCACAACTTCCAATGGAGGTCAAGTGCCGTTGAGATCCTTGAGAATCGGCAAACGGCTATGCATAGTAAGTGATGGGCACTCGTCCGAAAATGACCTATGTCCATCTGTGGGATCTCAATACTTACTCCTTCTTCCCGATAGTGCCCCCTTCTTGATGAGCACCGTTGGGTCACGGTCGCATCGATGGTGTGGGCATCATCCCGCCCCAGCTCATCAACGCAATCTGCAAGAAGAGTACTGGTTCTCAGTCTCTTGAGATTGACTGAGATCACCCGGTCAACATACTACGCCAACAATGGATGCTCGGTGGTAGCGTCTGCCGATCGACCAACCAGAATACTCTTGCCGCATTCCTTGACCCTCTCCATGGAGAGGAAATCAACATGAAGGGGATGGTCCCCCGGACTCCCGATGAGTTCGCCGCTGGCTGGCAGAAGAGTTACGCGTACAGGCGGTTGGTCAAAGAGATTGCAGAGGAAATCAACATCAAGGGCATGGTCACCCGGACCCCGGATGAGTTCATCGCTGTCTGCAGGAAGAGTGATGCGTACCAGCGGTTGGTGAAGGATATCGCGGAGTACGATGAGGACACCCAGCATGGCTTCAAGAGTTGAAGAAAGCAGAGCGCCATAACCTGAACAACATCGTGGTGCAGCTGCCAAAGTGTCTCTGCCGACCCTCTGTCTACCGGGACGGTTTGATGCAGCTCCCTGGTTGATGGCGCTATGACGAATTAGGCTATCTGTTGCGGAGAGGTTTGTCCGGGAAACAAAGCCGTGGACATCTGCCTTCACTTCCATCCGGTACCTCCAGAACATCAACATCCTCTGTCCGTCCGTCTCATCGGTGTGAATGGTGGACGAGGTTGTCCCGGTTGATGACTGGGCGATAGCCGATGATGCTGCGAAGCTGCAAACTAGGCTCCAACCCATGTTGGTGATAGAGATGTCGCTACTCTACCGCTGAGTGCTCAGTCGTCGTCGTATTGTGTCTCGTGCGTGGCTGGCGCTGCCCTATGGTCGACTGCTTAGGCAATTTGGGGATAGTGCCTCGCGATGGTTGGCGATGGAACATCTGGATCCATCGACTGGCGTCAAAGCTCCAGACATGTGCCAAGATCTTGGCGGCTTGTTAGCAAGTCGGGCGCGGACTGCGCCGCTGTGGATGGTCAGTTCTTAAACCCAGATGCCCCCGAGGGATTCTCCGTTCGCAATTTCCAGATTGAAAACGCCAAGCTCGCTCCAGTCACAGATATTGTATCTATGCCGAAAGCCAGACCCTTCACCAGGAAGCTGTCGATGTTGATTCTGGATAGATGGGAAGGGACAATGGGGTTTAAGCATACTCACAAGTCAGGTGTCAAAGTGCAGACCCTTGCACCGTTATATTGCCGCCAAGGAGGAGGAGGACGACGAGTAAATGGTTGAAAGGATGTTGGGTATTTACCGCGGGGAAAGGGGGCATGGAAAAAGCCAGCGGAGCTAATGCCTGTTATTTCTCATCCCACAAGTGGGCTTGTATGCGATAGATGGAAATCTGTATTTTTGACTTTCGAACTCCAAAGCTATACCAAATCTTTGAAGAGGCGAAGTTGGAAAGCCTGAGTCTGCTTTGAAGCTTCGAGAAACTGCCAGGGCTCTTTTTCGAGGAAGACCTGATGTCTATGGGTCTAAAGGCCCTGCAATGTGAAGAGAAATGAGGTTGATGTAAGACTATGATAACGAGATAGTTAAAAGCAATGTACGATAAATGTCCTCTCTGATTCAAAGTAGACTATAAATAGAGAGTCGAGACACAAAGCTAGGACTACGGAGTAGTGCAGGTTATTCATCCAGACCTAGCTTCTTGGTCAGCAGCCCAATAAAATGCACCACGCTAGATCCAAATGCATTTGTTCAGAAATCTTGACGGCTGTCCCCTCAGAGGCTCAAAGAAAGACTGCCATCTACGTCTGTCTCGTTGATATCAAAGCTACTGACCCTTCCCAGCATTGAGCACCCCTCGATTCCACCCTTTACACAATGCCCGGTACTGTACAGATAGGTATAAAGCGAGCGCCGAGCTGGTTGGCCGAGTCAGGATGGAATGCAAAGTACGCCAATGCACATGTGAATAATGGTTACAAAGCCAGCAGAATATCTCGATGCTCAATGCAGTGAACCAGACTACCACCTAGTCTACTCCTGACCCAGATAACGATATCCCAGTGGTGAGTCACTATCATCCAGCCCTGTCACCGTCACCACCTGCTCATCACCCGGAACAATGTCCATAGCGCTATCGCTGACCCGCACATTCTCCCTCTCCTCAAAGACAAGACATTTAACAGGTTTGCGTGAGCTGATGAGCAAGATATGTTGTCCAGCGACGCTCCCTGGCTGCTGCCTCACCTCTAGCCCACGATCAGCAAAATCCAAGTATTTGAACGGCTGCGGCCAGTCAACATCCCTAGCCACAATCTGACCATCGATCCAAAGTCGCGCAGCCAAAACATGCGGCTCAGGCTGCACCACATGATCAATAACGCCCTTTGTGATCTCTGTAGTACCATTGGCCACAATAGCCACATTCGAGAAGACCGCTGGCGCGCGTAAATCCCTACCAGTCACCACCGATAGAAATCGAAGCTCCACAGTTCCATGTACCACTTCTTGCCGATTGCTCGCAACCCACATCTCCCAGCGACTCTGCGTCGGAGGTGTCGCATGTACGGCACTCCAGTCAGAGTGCTCTCGTCGCACACCAATTGCGAGTGGCTGCATTACCCGCTTGACTGTGTAATACGCAGGCTTTGGCCGCAGGAAGTAGTCGACAATTGCCCAGGAAATCGTCGGCCAGCAGTCATTTATCTGCCAGAGGAGGGCTCCACCACACTTTCGATCGTCGCCCCATTGCCGGCGCCAGCCGCGATAGCCGAACATCATCGTCTCCGCTTGGACTACCTGCGTGAGGTAAATGTATGTCTAGGTGTGGTGTCAGTACTTTGGTTTTCTCTGGAATTGAAATGATCGTCAGGGATGACACACCTCTAGATCTGTAGCCATGCGTAGGTTTTCCACCAAGTACGTGGCCAACCGTCTCTCATGGCCATCGGCCTTGTTGTGGAAGTCCAGTACTTGTGATTGTGGATGTTTGTCTGCCTCATTCTCCACAAAGTACTCGATCGTCGACATATGGGGGAAGGCTTCCATTCCGAACTCGCTGTTGAATCGGCCTCCTAGGGTGTCGAAAATTTGATATTTCTCCTGGGAGCCGTGCCAAACTATAATCATCAGTTAGAGATATTCGATTAAGGAGTACGACCCCTCTCATTCTGGGCGTCTGTTTTGAATAGTGGAGTGACTGACCATTCCATTGGTGTATATCACCCACAGTAGGATCGGATGTGACCTTTCCGTCTCCCCACGGGCTTCCTGGGTGGTAGAAAGTACTCGGAGAGTACTCGGCCACAACATCAGGCAACAGTTTCTCGTAGATATAACGTGCCGGGAAGTCAGTCTTTAGCCAGCTTTCAGGGTCCTTGTCCTCAAAGTCGTAAGTAAGCCCCGCCTGTTCCTGGACCTGATAATCTTCATTGTTGCCGACGTAGATGACAATGGAAGGATGGTGTCGCAATCGCTGGACGTTGAAGATCGTTTCCTGACGCACAGAATCCAGTAACTCAGGCCAAGTTGGGTAGTTACCGCAACCGAACATGAAGTCCTGCCAGACCAACAGGCCGAGCTCATCGCAAGCATCATAGAAAGTATCATCTTCATAGATTCCGCCGCCCCATACTCTGCAAAGCTTGTTAGCCGGCCCTTCGAACATAAGATTGTGTCCCAGCTGTTGGTCTACGTACCTGACCATCACTTGGCCGCCCGCTACCATCAGCCGAATCCAATTTCGATATCGCTCCGCACTGATGCTGGGCAGCAGACTATCGGCAGGAATCCAGCAGGACCCTCCACAGAAGATATCAACCCCGTTCACTCGGAAATAGAACGACTTGCCATGTTTGTCCGGCTGCTGAACAACCTCGGCAGACCGAATACCGAATTTTTTCGATAAACTGTGTGCCTCCTTCCCACAGCACAAAAGAGACACGGACACCTCATACAAAGTCTGAGCGCCGTATCCATGCGGCCACCACAATTCGGGCTTGTTGACCTCAAAAGTAGCTCGGGCAGTTTGATCAGCGCACACGGCAACATCCTGACATGCAATCTCACGTCCGCTCAGAGTCAAAGAGAAACGAGCAACCCAGTCTTCTGTATCAGAAGCATCAATCTTTGCAGTTGCCGTGACACTCGCCGTCTCATGGCTCGATGCAAGACACGTTTGTGGCCACAAGTCTTCTACTCGCGCCGAGTAGATTTCCAACCGCACTTCGCGCCAGATACCAGCTGTCATGATAACGGGGCCCCAATCCCAGCCCCAGTGATACTGTGCCTTGCGCACAGCCAACCGCGCCATATCGCCGTTGAAGCCGTGCCATTTGTGGTTTGGGTCTTTGCTCCGCAGCTCAACTGCCTTGAGCTGGGCGCAGTCAAATTCGATTTCCAGCACATTTGTTTGCTCAGATAAGTTCAGAGCCTCGGTGATGTCCACACGATGGCCTAGGAACATGTTGCTAGACTGAAGGATTGTGTTGCCGTTAAGCTTCACTTTAGCAAAGGTATCCAGTCCGTCGAATACCAGGGCTGCGGTTGCACCGACGGGGAGTTCGGGGCGCTGGAATACATGTCGGTATACCCAGGCCTTTTCATTGACCCATCGTGCTTTGAGCTCGTTGAAGCCTATGTAAGGGTCTTCGAGCCTAGAATAATAATCAGCCAGACCACGCGGTGAAGGGTGTTTATGCCCACCTATTGTTTGCAATGAGATCCTGCTGCACCGTTGAAGGCACTGATGGCACCGGCATCCATGCATCTGGGAGCTCATCGTCTCGGTCCTTGAAGGTCCAGCCCTTGGACAGAACCTGCTTGGATAATGTCATTCTCGTTCTAATAAAGACAGGTTTGTCACGGACTATTCAAGGATTTCTTGTACATCTGCGTCGCAGAGGGTGAAAGACCCAATTTATACCTCTTAGATGGTGGATTTCTCGGACCTGAATTGGCCATTGAGCGTTGAGTCTGTCGAGAATTGGAGACATGTTGAACAGCAGATAGCCTATGTTCTCCAAACGCGGAGGATCCGTGGAAGGTTGAAGGGTACCACTAACGGAATGCCTACCCAAAATGTTGATCAGCTGAAGTTATCACGGAGCACTTGCTTTTGTCCCGTTTGGTTGCCAATTTGAGGTCATTCGGAGGCGGAAGTCCGACCGAATTAGGAAACCCCGAAGACCTCCGATTGACTTCCACATCAATTTACATAACGCGTGCGATCAGATCACCTTTCTATCAAAGCGTACATTTCACACATTCTCAGTCCAGAAAGTTGCCGGACAATGCCGTCGTATACCGTCTTCAACGCTTGGCGGCTTGTACGGCTTGGGTGATTTCACTTTCCCACTGTGCGGAGTATGATAATGCGGAGTATGATTCATCCACATATTCTCGTTCACGTCTTTATCCAACCCACCATCCCTCTCCTTTATCGTTTTATCTAAGCAGCAGTATACTTCTGCCGAATCTAGTACAGCCGTGAAGCGGTATCTATCCTGATGGAAGATTGTCCTTACGAACTGAAGGAATTACGGGTTACGTGTGGAGTGGTTAAAGCACCGTGAAACGAGACTTGAAACGAGATGATCTTTTCCAATTGTCGCACGGGCAAAATGGTGATCATTGCCATTGTCTGAACTATACTGTGTACATGGATTGGTGTCAACTCATGGCTATAAAAGGGACCTGATGCTCCGGGTTTCCAATGCATCTTCCAATTCAGCTTCACTTCGAACTTCGATCCTCATATCGCCAGTATGAAATTCTTATCTCTCGCCAGTTCTTTTGCCCTCGTGTCTGCGTTGCTTTCGTCCCCGGTGGCAGGCTCAAATGCAGTCGTAGCCCGTGCTGATGATCGAGGTACTGAAATCATCTCTGGACTCGGAGCTCGCAAGCAGGCCGTGCTGGATGCCGGTGGTAACACCCGTGATCTTGCTATTGCAATGCTGGAGACGTAAGTTCATCTTTTCGACATGATCGTATGGCAACTCAGCTTACAAGTACTAGCACCACCATGACTACCGACTACACTTATGGTATGTCCAAGGTTTCACCAGCTCTTCACCATACATTAGCTAAAAAGTTGATTTGCAGGTGATGGAAAGACCGGTGATGCCACCAACTTCGGTATCTTCAAGCAGAATTGGTATATCCTGAGACATTCTGCGTCTCAATTCCTCGGCGAGACCGAAGAGCAGGTCGACGATGGTGCTGTTCTGAAGTAAGTGGGCGAAGCAAAGGCTAAATCACGTACATGGCTAATGCTTCGAGTGCTAGTTCAAACCTGAAGCAGGACATTCAGGCTCGTCATGAGGGCGAGGAGCACTACGGCTATGAGACTTGGTTCAGTGGCCACCGCAACGGACAATCGGGTGTCGAGAACCCCGGTACTGAGGACATTCAGAGTGAGTCTTTTCTATTTTCCTGATTCTGGGCTTGGCTTAACGTTCTGAGTAGCCTACATCAGTGCCGTTGGTTGGATTCAAGAGCAGATCGAAAGTGACGCTAAATACCAGAGTGATGATACTCGGTTCTGGGTGGATGTTCAGGCTATCTAGGTCATGACAGCTTGTAGCGGATTGTCTACCACATATGCTGAGGCTAGATATTGAGCTATATAGTTCCGGACTGTGTGGTTGGCTTCGCAGCAGTACGGGTTCCCCTGCGGATTCTTGTCTCGTTATGTCAAGCACGATTTGATTATTTCGATCTTTACCCACTTCTTATAGTTGATTGTGTGCTTCTCACACGAATACACTCCTTGATCAGAAATATTGCACACTTCCGGATTAAGTATACCACCCAACTGCATTCATTCCTACGGATGAATGCTCAAAACAACCTATGTTCAAGCTTGAACAGACCCGAAGCTCCGGACGAATGCTTGCGTGTGGATACGGCTGAAGACGAAGATTACCGCAACGCAATGAAAGTGGTAGAGATGATTCCATGATATATAGTATAGATAAGTTGGGTCATACACAACTTCGGATATTTGTACAAGATCGCTGCTCGCATGCATATTCAAACAACTGTAACTCCTTGTCCCCATGCATCAGCACCGAGTCGCACTCTGTATCGCAACGGATGAGACGGCACCATGCCCATAGCGCTCCTTATGACTTCAGATTCGTATTTTGACTGGATGTACTTGAGTCGTCCGTGGTACTGTGTACAGTCTGGAGCTTCAGGTACTCCTGCTCGAGGGCTTTTTGCATTTCGAATTCGGCCTGGCGCTCCAGTCGGACACGTTGCTTTTCCATATCGCGCTCGACACCTTTGTGCATAGCCTAAAGTATAACAGCGTAAGTAAAGCTCAGAAATAGGCATTCGAAACCATAGCATACCGCCCTATCTGCCTCTTGTGCCCAGTGGACAAAGGAGACAATTCCCATTGTGGCAAGGCCGGTAGCTGCCAATGTGAATTTCGATGCTCGAGACATGGTGGAAGTGTTGAGAGCACGGCCGACACAGGAAGTCAGCAGTTATTGACAATGAACAATGTTCTGGCCTGACATCTCGGGGATTAGCAGTTTGTCGATCTCCGGGGCGGCGTTTTGTGGCAGAACCCCCACCGCTCGGGGGGGCGATGCGTGGCTCCGCTCGACCTGGACTCGGGAGCTCCAGACTTGCCAATTAATCGTCCTTGTCCAGCCTTATTTCCGTTCGCACCTATTTCGAAAGCTCAGAGCTGTCTAGCAAATATGGTGAGAGACCTATCTCAGAACTGATGGCTAGCTGCTAACGATGAACAACAGTCGGCTCAGAACTCCGCGGGCATTCAGACCCTCCTAGATGTATGTCTTTACTTCTATGCTCAGCGCAGTGCAGAGATACTGACTACTGACCTATCAGGCTGAGAGAGAGGCTCAGAAGATTGTGCAGAAAGGTATGTCAGATCCATGCTTACCCCCCACGACTACCTATCACAGACACTAATACGTCACATCTCAATCAGCCAGAGAATGTAGGCAATACGAGCTTCCCGATTGTCATAAAGAGCAGCTCGACTGACTATGCCGCAAATATACAGACCGCACCCAGCGCATAAGAGACGCCAAGTCAGAGGCCCAGAAGGAGATCGAGGAATACAGGAAGCAGAAGGAAGAGGAGTACAAGAAGTTCGAGGGCGAGGTGAGACACAGCCCCCAAGCTGTCTCCAACAATATGGTTGTTTGCAGTGTTAATCTGACGGTATGTCCAGCACTCGAGCGGATACAAGGTGGCAGCAGAAGAGGCCGATAAGGAAGCCGAAGCCAAGCTCCAGGAGATCAAGGACGCTGGCAAGAAGCAGGGCGATAAGGTGGTCGCAGACCTCATTCGTGTGACGACCGACGTCAAGGTCGAGGCGCCTCAGAAGATCAAGGCATAATGTAAATATTTTGGTTCAGCTTTGCTTTCCTCGCGGCGATGCGCTTGCGTGTGCGTTCATCGATATCCAACCATTTGTCGGACAATATCATTTTCTTTTTGGTTTATTCTTTTGGGTATATGGTATGCATATATCAGGACTCTTCTGTCGCTGGCGACTGGTCTCTTTTCTATCCCATACACATCACTTCGATATGCTGACCACACAGGCTTCGGGGGAAGAGACGTGCGTTTCAGAATATGACCGTGTGGAAGACTGCGAAGCAGCAGGGCGTGTGAAGGGTGGTTTGAATGGATGCCTGCCCTCATTGAGTCATTGCTCTCTACAGTGTGACAGAGATGGAGAAGAGAGGGCGAGCCTGAGCCGAAGATGTGGACCGTGGTTGTATCTGTGATTATGCACACAAGATATAACCATGCTCCTTGTACGATCCGATGTATCGGGAAATGTGTTTCGCCAGGTACCACTGAACTTGAGCTGCGTTCGAGCTGGTTTTTGGTGAATGGACCAATTCTAAGCATACAACAAAGTCGCCCGCGGCCGAGATCTGCTCATTAGGAGAGGGTAATTCATGCTGTACTAATATATGTCCCGTTCATTGGGATACGTTGCATCCTCCGAGCATTCCACTTCGGTAGTATCATAGGTCCAAGGCCCGCCTGCCATCACATTAGCCTCAAGACCCTTATCTAACCTGGCCATTCTGTTAAAATAAACGAAATTGGACACGTCGTCTTTCATAGGTAGGTTGTCATAGGAGAATTCCGATAAGAGTGCAATTTCCTCATAATTTCTCTCCGTGGCGAGCCGGAGGTCTGTTTTGTCTGGATGGACACCCTTCGCCAGCAGAAGTTTCACAATTTCAAGGTAGCCAAAATGTAGAGCGAAGCCTATTGTGGTATACGAATCCACTAGATCCTGACTGATGAACTGCCAGGTCAAGTTTGGGTTTGCGCCTTTCTCAATCAATGATTCGACCATATCGTAATGCCCGTGCATGATTGCGGCGAACATCGCCTGAGTGCCAAAAATGTCTATCTCCAAAGCATCATATTTGATCAATAGTTGATAAAGATCTTTGTCATTCTTGCGGGCAATGTGCATTAGAGCTCCATCAGAATTCAGCCGTTCTCCTTGTTTGAGAAGAAGCTCAACCACGGGTCGTTGATTGGTGAATATAGCATTCGCGAGGGGACTTGGGCGTTCTGAATCACCTGATTTTGCTCCTGCCTCTCGAAGCCGAGGGATAATGAAGTCATTCAGAGAGGCAACGGCAACACCTAATGCGGAGAACGCCCATATAGCATCGCCTGCAGGGTCCAGAGGGGCGCGATTCTTGATCATCAGCTCCACAATTTCATTATCGCGAGAACGGATAGCCCAGTGAAGAACGGTACGCAGCTGAGCTGGTGAGCAGACTCGATCCGACCGTGTTTCGGAAAGCATGGAATTGAGAGTGCCGAGATGCCCGCCTTGGGCGGCAAGTAATAACGGATTTTCGATTTCCTTCAAGAGGTCTCTGGTATCGATGGTATGTGCAACCTCTGCCGGACTCTCGAATGCAGCGACATTCGCCCCAGCATTCAGTAATCTTGTCGCCAGATCAGCATATCCATTCTTGGCAGCCCAAAGCAAGGCTGAGCTCTGATGGAACTGGATGTTATGCTGGCATAGGAAAAAATGTAGAAGGTGGTATAGATTCTGGTTGGCCTGCACCAAAGCATTGATGTCCCTCTCGTTGGGCAACTCTATTGCAATGAGACAAAGCAGTTCGAGCGGCAGTTGGTCCAACCGAGTCATGATGTGCTCTGAAATTCCAGGGGTTTGGAGACAAATAGTAAAACGTGATTGAGTATTTACAAGACACAGTATCACATGGGCAAAAGTGGAGGCTGGGTGTTTAGGTGGTTTACAAAGGGAGGTTAGCGGGTTAGCGAGATTCACTTGTGGGAGCACCTGAATCATCCTGCACCTCAGTGAGGTGTGCCTTGAGGTTGCCAGTGTGGCAGTTTGTGTTGGCCTGAGGTGTCAGTGACCCGATTGTTTTCCAGTTGCGTCATTCGGGTTCCGCGCCGCTCATTCGACAACCATACCAAACAGTACGATGAAATATGCAATTCGCACGAACACACTCAAAAGGCCTTCAATAGCCTGTTATTCATATGGTCAGTCTGTATGTTACCCTCACAACAGGCGGTATCATGAGTCTCCTTGCAGACCCCGATCAGTCCTCGAACCGCGATTAGAGGACCATGGCAGACTGATTCACGATGAATACTCACTTATCCGTGATAAATATGGTTCGTTTTTTTGTCTACGTCGTGTGCTGTGAGGCAAGTACTGATCATCCATTAGCTGCACCAAAAAACCCTGTCGTTCTGGCTCATGGTTTGCTCGGGTTTAATGAGCTGCGCCTAGCTGGCCAATATTTGCCCGGTATTCAGTACTGGCGTGGGATCAAAGAGGCAATGACGGCTCGAGGTATCGAAGTCATCACCGCGACAGTACCAGCCTCGGGCTCTATCGAGGCACGGGCAGCAGCATTAGCTCGGAACATCGAGACCGGCGCTCGAGGGAAAGATGTTAATATCATTGCGTATGTTCTTTCCTTTCCTAACTCCTGGAAGGCGCTTTGGACTAATTTTCTTGCAGACACAGCATGGTAAGACTCCTCGATCGTCGTGGTGGGGTTGAATACTAATCATTGACTAGGGGTAAGATATCATCATGAGAGAATCAAATCATACAGCGCGAGCTAATAAATCGCGAAGTGGCCTGGATTCGCGATATATGATCAGCCGCATCCGACCAGACAAATACAAAGTCTTATCACTTACCACTGTCGCATCTCCACATCGAGGTATGGCAGTGTGGCGTATTATACCTAATTTCTTGGTCCCCTCGCTGAACTTGTTATAGGCTCATCCGTGGCGGACTACGTGTTCGATCAAATCGGAGGTTAGTCTCTACAGATGCAGTTACCACAGTGAACTTGAGAGTTGACACTTGTTCCGTGCAGCCGATCGCCTACCCCAGATCTACTATGCCCTGAATCGGCTAAATATCGAAACCGGTGCTTTCTCTCAACTAACAAGAAAGTACATGACTGAGACCTTCAACCCTAACACCCCGGATGTAGAGGATGTCAGGTGAGTGTCAATCCCGGGGTCGTGAAATGATCTCCCTGCTCCATACACTGCCCTGCTGACATCCCCCAGATACTTTTCCTATGGAGCAGCAGTGGAGCCAACCATGTGGTCTGTCTTTCGGCTCTCGCACCGAATACTTGCGGAGATCGAAGGGCCTAATGATGGACTAGTCAGTGTATCTAGCAGCCGGTGGGGAGGCGATGCAGGATACAAAGGAACCCTTGTGGGTGTCAGCCATTTGGATCTAATCAATTGGACCAACCGACTTAGGTGGCTAGCCGGGGAGTTGACAGGCAAGAAGCGAAAGTGAGTTGGCACGCAGCATATTTTTGAGATCAGGCTGACAGTCGTGCAGGTTTAATGCCATTGCGTTTTACTTGGACATTGCAGGTATGTGTTGCAGCTTGATTGGATAGATTTTCAGAGAGTGACAAGCTTATTCTTGCTAGATATGTTGGCAAAGGAGGGACTCTGAGAATATCCAACATCTCAAGTGGATATATTTGGGATCTCCTCTCCTCAGCCCTGTGGGTCGCGGTGGAAATTCTGGTGCCTGGAGTGGAAGTGGTACTTTTGACCGTTAGGTACTGCCCATGAAGATATCTTGTACAGGATAGATCTGTATTAGTCGATTTGTATAAATTAGACCTAGCATTCAGCATTGGAATTCAAATAGCGTCAATTCAATCGTTGCTATACAATCCAAGGACCTACTGTGTAGTTCTACCGCGTACGTAGGGTGGATCGGCAAGAGTTTCTGGATGCCACCGGAAGTTCGGAACCAGCCTTTGTCTAGCAGAAGTGTGGCTGTGATGTGATTGAGGCGCAGTGTAGATCACTAATTCAACCTTCTAGTTTTATTACTGTTCTTCAAGAATCAGGGGTCGATACTGGGCGAGATCGCGGGAGTTGAGTGTGGCTTGGCAATCAGTTGGCCTGTGAACGATCGAAACGTCATTTCACGATCCTCCGCATATAATCCACATCTTCCCCCATCTGACACCCCGCGACGGTCCTTCGCACCGAACCCTACGCTATCCGCATCCCCCGAGATCTACATCCTTGTCGCATTATTATTCAGTAACCGAGACCTCCATTCGACCCTTCGAACGCCGCCGCCCGACAAGATCGAGCCCCGCCAGGGCCCGGGCGCTCCGCCGCCATGTCCGCAATTGTTGTGTTGGACAGCCGCCACACGCATTATACAAACCTAGATTTCCTTACAGGCAAGGTTGTGCTACAGCTACCGACCGAAGCTGCTATCGGGGGAATCCAGGTCAAATTGGAGGGCGAGAGCCGCACCCGTCTATCCGGTCCCAAGCATCCTCAGCATGTGCACTCAGATAAGAAGCGAACGGAGCTGGAGGTTCACAAGGTGAGCGGCGGATATGGTCTATCCCACCTACCGGTGGACTGCATTAAGTCGAGAATTGGCTGATTCGAAATGCAGATCTTGTACAAGGTCGCTACGGTCTTCCCTACACCCGGTGTGATGCAGAATGGGTCCCCTGCGCCTTCATACACATTTGCCGCAGGCTCATACGAGTACCCTTTCCAATTCAAGGTAAGTGTGCTCTCATCTTGCATTTCGGACATCTCTGACAATCTGCTAGTTTCCCTTCAACAACTCCTGCAACAGCACCAACAGCATGCTCACAAATCTAAACTTCTCCGGATTGAAAGTCGAGGTAGCCAAAGACACCAGTCGACATGTCCGAAAGACTCTTCCACCGTCTTTGAGCGGATTTCCCGGAGAAGCAGATATTAAATATTTCGTGAAGGCCACCGTCATCCGACCACAATTCTACAAAGAGAACATCAGATCGGTAGGTAACTTGCTCGAATGCTGTGGCGCCATATTAGCGTCAGACTCGCTAACTGACTTGTCAGATTGTGCCTATTAATTTCCTTCCGATTGAGCCACCAAGAGCTGGGAACCCCAATGAGGAAACATACGCCAGGCGGCAACATCAATTCTCCAAAATACAGGTTAGCTCTAAGAAGAAGAGTATCTTCTCTCGCGGGCCTTCTACATCCAACGATTTCGACCCTGAGCCTCCGCGGGTGTCTGTCGACGCCCGGCTCCCTAATCCATCTATCCTCACCTGCAACGAAGCCGTACCGCTCCGTCTCCTTGTGAAAAGGCTGAACGATGGACCGGACATGATCTTCCTTCAGATGTTGCAGGTGGAACTAATCTCTTACACGAAAATCCTGGCCCATGACCTGACGCGCACTGAAACCGGGTCGTGGGTTATTATGAGTCGTAGCAACATGAACATCCCATTAGGCAAACCGGGTGACCCCCTAGGCACCGATTGGGCTATTGACCCAAAGCTGTGGAATCGAAACTCACTGCCGAATTCAGTGGCGCCGTCTTTCCAGACATGCAACATCGAAAGATCCTACGAACTAGAGATTCGAGTGGGCTTAACTCACGGAAACTCCCGGGAAATGAAGGTATGTTGAATTATCAACCTCCGAATCGTCTTTAGGCTGACCTCCAGCATAGCCCCAACTCATTGTTCTTCCCCTGCGGATGCCCGTCAGAGTCTTTTCTGGAGTCGCTCCGCCACAGGCACTTCTGGATGCAATGGCCGCTGCATCACTCCAGCCATCATCATCCTCAATACAAAAACCACAGAATAGCCAGCCAGAAAAGAATGAAAATAACCGTCCACCTATGCCGCCACGACCAAGTGGCGAGCCTGTACCCGTCAATTCCGGTGATGTGTATGATGATGCACCACCAAGTTACGAGGATGCCATGGCAGACCACCTGAGTCCAGTGGATGGACCACGCCGCGAGTATCACCCACCAGATGCCTCCTCCCAGAGTACAATGGAACCTGATGCCAAGTCGGTAGCCCAACAGGGTAAGATGCTTGATGATATGCCCGCAGCGGAAGCATCCTCGGCGGCTCGTCGCCGAGATAACCGTTCCTCCTCGGAGTCCTTCGACATGCTACCTACTACACCACCGGAGTCTCAATCTGGGTCCCCTCCTGCCTCTCCCGTGAGACGCGCAGGGAGCATGATGAAAATCTCTCGGAATCCCGTTGATGAAGAAAGTCCGCCGCAGTATGAGCCTGTTGCGGCGGGACGACTGGATGCTCCTCAATCTGCACAACGCCGACCTTCACAGAATAACCTCCGTCCTATGAACTTGGGTGTTCCAAACAGGAAGCCCGTTCCACGAAGTTCAAATAATTGAGGTTATTGCTCTTGATGGGTGATATTGCCCACATGTTTTGGTGTCCACTCTCATGCTCATTGTTAGGTCCTGAAATGCATAAGGCTTCGTTCTTTTCTTGTGAGCATTCCAACATACATTACTAGCATACATATGATCATTCGAGATGCCTTCAAAAATTGATACCCCGTTCAAACCCAGTACTGGTGATCTTACTTGCCTGTTGTTCATGTAATGCGCTGTAGATCTACTCATGGGGGCGTTAGTATGAAAAGGTATGCATGACTGACATTTGCTAAGGCTGACATCGGCTCACTCATACTCTGTGCTCTTGCTGTTCGATCAAGCTACTGACATTGATAAGAAACCGGTCTCTTCGCTTGCCCGTGCTCTTGCACAGATCAGGAATCTGGTGAGTTGTATGGCGGATGTAGATACTACGACGATGTATGAGGCATTTGTATTACTTACGATCTAACCTAGATTAGGGTCTTTTTTCTTAGTGTATGCGAAATGGGGGTTTGAATATGGAATTGTGGATTCAACTATATAATGTAGGAGAATTGTCCATCACCAGTTTTGCTGATGAGGATATTCTCGATCTTGAGATCGCGATGTACGATGGTGCTGCGGTGCCAATAGTCCCAATGTCCAACGCGCTGACAATTCGTTCACAGAGTTTCGAGTCTCTTCTAAGACATACCTTGCGCCCATGTCTAGCGCCAAGTATTGGTATGAAGTTATGAACACAGGTCGTTGGAACAGACATATGGCTTCAGTGCCTCGAACGTGCCACTGGTTTTACAGTGACAAACAAGGCAAAACTCCGTGCACTTGGTAAAGTGCCGGAAAGTAAACTGCATAGCAACAAGGCGTAAGGACATTTGAGAAGTATCGCGGTCAAGTTCAGCCACATGGTATGTTGTCCAAGAATAGAGGCAGACAGTGAGCTATGTACGTTCATTCCATCGTACCAGGCCGCGAGAAAGTCAAAGATGCAGAGATGAAAGAAAGAATCCCTACCCGTCCTTGCCTGCATCCTCAGGCACCCGAGTCACAATCATATCATGAGTCACGGCTAACAATCACTTTGCTGGCACTTTTGACCGCAAATATGCTTGAACTCAGCTGGCTCCGACTCCCAGCGCAATAGACCGGAACCGAGAAGCAGCCATGGCAAGATACGTGCAGGCTGTAGCAAGAGCTCGGCTGAGGGAAGGAGCCCGTCTCCGTCAGACCATTCCAACTTCCCCTCGTTAGGGTCGAAACATCACGACCCCCCGCCAATTGTTCCTTTCCTACTCCACACGCTCCACACCTGAGTTTGGTGGAGGTCTTCGGGAAGTCTTCAACCAACATGCGATTCATCAACCCCAGGTGGCTACAACATCGACGGGAGTCATGGGGTGGGTGATTGGTCGTCTGCGATGGGTGTCGATGGTTCGGAGTCCCTTTGAGACCTGACTTGTGAGTTTGCTGGAACCCCTTTGTCCCTTCCAGGTTTATCCATAATATCATCCGCAGCGGCACAGTTTGCGCCCGGCTTGCTAACATGCCGCCAAGCTCTTGGCACATGTCTGGAGCCTTGACGCCAGTCGAATGATAGTGTGACGTTGACTGTCTCGATCGACAGGTCGAATTGTGTATAGTTAGTATCTTCTTCTTCGTCAGATACTGCCAGCCCATCCTCCGAACCAGTTTTACCTCGAGCTGCGGCCGCGGCTGCTGCAGACTTCGATGAGCCTTTGCTGACATGACGTCTGGAGCCTTGACGCCAGTCGAATGATCGAGGCACTATCCCCAAATTGCCTAAGCAGCCGACGATCAAGTATCCACCGTGCCGGACGTTTCCTGCTAGCTTGAGGAATGCCGTGGTTGTGAGCATCCTGTTATGCTTCGCTTCGTGGGCGCTCTTTCTCTGGAAATGGTACTTGCCCGTCGTCTCACCAGTATGGCAGACCATCACTTCCACCGGTGGATCCATATGTCCCAGCGCCAGCCAAGCAGAAGAGGCTATCCGATGACGACTGAGCAGTCAGCGATACAGCGGCGACCTCTCTATCACCAACATAGATTGGGGCCGACTTTGCAGCTTCGCAGCATCATCGGGGGTATCGCCCAGTTATCAACCGGGACAACGTCGTCCACCATTTACACCAGCTGCCTCCACTCGAGCAAGCAGTCTAGGTGGACTTACGGCAGCGGGGGTCTTGCGCGCCTTGCTGGAGTTGAAAGATGGATATTGCCACCTGCCTGAAGAAAGCTTCCCAGAAGCCTCGGCTCATCTGCAGCGCCTTGATCCTGTCGCAACTGGACTCGATTCATCCACAACAACACCCTCCACGGCAATTGCGCCCTATGAGACGGACGGGCAGAGGATGGGCCTTGTAACAAGTTCCACGCCAATGGTGACACGCTTTCCTTGTTCGACACTCAATCCGGTGTCGACGAACTGGATGGACCTGGAGCAGGACGACCATGGCTCGGTTTCCCGAACGAACCTCTCGGCAACACATCCGAGCTGGTCATAGCGCCATCACCCAGGAAGCTGGATCAAACATTCCCGGTAGAGATGAGAGAACTTGAGCTGTCGAACTGCAAGGCGCTTTTGAAGTGGTATTCTGCTGACGAGTCAGTTTTGACGCCGTGGACCAGGAGTGTGGTTTATGTACGGACCTTGGGATTCTGCTGGTGGTGACCCGACTGCATGGGTATCCAACGACCAGGAGAAACGTCGCAAGAAGGGTAGGGCAGCGACCACTCCGACTGCCGGCGTGGCCGCGGGGGTCGAGGCCTGGTTTGCAGCTCCGCAGATGGGCGTAGCTCATTAATGTCTCCGACTTAGATTCATGCGTCTGCCGGCAGGCTTGTTTGGCCTACGCTCAACTCGGTGAGGATCGAGGCCTGATCGAGACAAAGCAGACGAGAGACCTCCATCCCGGACAGCTCCGTGGTGCGGGCGTCAGGGTTCTCCGTCTGGTAGTTTGGATTTTGTCGCTCTACGGCACTTGGAAAGGTTTGCCGAGAAAGTAAAGCGGCAGATACCAGGTATCTTGAGATCCTGTGACAGTTATGGTGCGAGGTCGACATTGAAACGGCCCGTTGACGAGGCGAGTCTCGGGGTATCCCGCCTGGCTTGTGAACTGTACTGGGACGCGGAGGGCAGGGTTGTGCAGGACGTAGAAGCAACGGAAGCGCTGGGGGTAGGTGTTCTCCAAATCATGAAGCTCCTTCTTCAGAAGGATATCTTCCTCGGACACGATGCCAAAGACCAGGGTGACCTTAGTCTTGTCCCCGGGGTTCTTGAAGATCCCACGGGATGTGGCAGCCTTGATGGCTGTCCTCAACCGACGGTTATACCTATCCCGAGCTATCATACTAAAGGGCAAACATGTTAGCCATCGAACAGTTCATGTCGCTCCAGTTCAGATGGGTATTGATAACTTACTGAGGCCTTCAGTCGAGTCCATGCGTCATCCGATCGCCACCGTTGGATTGCCGTCGAGTAGATGAGCCGAGTTGCATCATTTGGTGCTCTCACGCAGAACAATCGATCTCCGTTCCTCGTGGATTATGGGGAAGCAGAAGATGCCTGCTCAGTCTCTGTGGCGGCTGCAGTCATCAGTATCAACTTTCGTCATGGAAAGGAATGAAAGGAGTTGAAACCGATGAAGAGAGAGGAAAATGGATGAAAGGAGGTGAAAAGGGACGAAGATGGCCGGATGCTTACCAACAGACGAGGGGTCAAGTCACCCTCGAGGCAGCGAGGCCGTCAAGGAAAGGACGCACCTGGGCCCTTCATTCTTCTACTCGGACGTCATGAGGCGCCTCGTCAACCGATTCCGCAGACTGAATCAGCCAGGAACTTCGTTGTGGTGGGTATGTTGATTGTTCTTGGGAAGAATGTTGATGGGGGATCGATTGAGAAAGGAGAATAATGATATAGTGAGGGACCTCAGGGAGGGCACGACTAAGCACGAGACACATGATGAGACCAGCAAACCGGAAGAGCAACCATGGGAGCACTGAACATGGCAACCTGGAACGAAATAAGCGCCTGCTATACCTTGGACACGGATGGATCGTTTTTCAAGGCGAGCGCATTGGAGCGTTATGCCGCATTGTGCTTGCGTTGCGGCTCACACTTCACCACGACATCATATCCATTGGCCTTCGTGTCTGGACAAGGGTCTAAGGTAGGTGGGAAACTCATCAGCTTCCTTTTCTCACAGGCTGGTCTGCTCTCATATTCACCCCGGTATCTACCTGCACGACACATCCATGGGATTATGGAGTGTCCTGAGTTGACTGGTGGCTCGGCTAATCAATTGAGACCAACTACAAGAGCCATGGAATGGATGGTTTCAGTCAACCATGACTTATGACAATGTGAAATGCGTGCCAGTGAGTAGGTCGTGGGGTGCACTTTTCGTACTGACATCCATCTCAAACCGGAGTACATAGAAGCTGAAAGACGGCTCGGAAGATCACTCAGACCAGCCGCAGACCACCCGCAAACTGCAGGGGAAAATTAGTCGTTTGATCCATGGTGAATGCGTCAAACGACATTTTACATGCTGCAGGGGCAAATGGCTTGTATAATTACTCCTTGGTTCCTGGACAACTGATAGGTATATACACAGGTCGCCCATAGGTATTAGCCGCATGGGGACACTCCATTCACATGAAGTATGGAACTAGGTTGTATTCCACATTCCCGCCGACTGAGATAGGTAGTCAAAACGAGGTCCTCGTAATACGACAGAACTTCCATCCCCGGGCAAACGCAATGCAAGCGAAATGCAAACGACAAATGAAGCCACAAGTCACACCAATTTCCCATGCATCTGCCGCAGCCATAATTTGGGATCAATCGCTGTTTTAACGAAGTATTTCCATTACGCCTGGGCATCATACTTGGATGCCTTTCCGGTCACTTTGGCCGGCTCCTAGTTATCAACTGTCGAGAATTGTGGATCATTCATGTATATACGCTAGTCCAGATTTGCCTTAGCGGATGTCGAGATTTTCCGGCTGAGTTTCCTTCTCCTTTGATCAACTCAAATCAACTCATTCATTTTTTATGATATTCATTACGATTGGTTCCCCTTGGCTCCTCTAGATTCCATCACATGTACTTCCATTGTAGCTCTTGGCTACAGCTCATCTTGCACAATTCCTTGCGAACCCATCACCGGACCATTTGCATGCCATCAACCAAGTGATTGGTTATCTCTTCCACCCACGCACGAGAGCAGTTTGCTATCGCGTACCCACGGAGGAAGAGGCAAACCAAATCACTTGGTTGATGGCATGCAAATGGTCCGGTGATGGGTTCGCAAGGAATTGTGCAAGATGGGCTGTAGCCTTGGCTGCATCCACCCTAGTGGTTGTGGTGGCCTATTGCGCGGAGCCCACCTTCTGTGCGTACTCGTGCTTCTGACCTGGGGTAGCCACTCCATCATAGGGCTTGAGTTCACCAATGGTCCATGGTGGACAGTCCGTCTTTCGCGCGTCAGTCAGGTGGTATTTGGCAGCCATGGAAGCTAGGTAGGCGTCTTGACAGAGCCAAACCAGCCCCTTCTGCCGATCCCTGAGGATGCGAATCCCGAGGAACCACCTTGCTTCTCCCAACGTGCAAAGCTCCCAGTGTTCAGATAGACGCGCAGCTACATCGGTCGCTTGCTGCTTCATGCCCTTAGGACTGAAGATCAAGATGTCATCGACATAGAAAATGATCAAAATCCCTTCTGGAGACACCATCAAACACACATCCCCGTACAATCTTGAATCCAAGTAACCCAAGAACTCTCGTGGCCTCCCTCTGCCACAGTCGAGGAGACTTGCGTAGGCCATAAAGGGCCCTCCGAAGTCTCCAACAGCGCACGTTCGCGGTCTTGGGGGCCATGCCTGGTGGCTACTCCACATAAACCTCGTCAGTGAGTATGCTGTTCAAAAACGCGTTGACTGCATCCAATTGGAGCGTGTCCAAGTCGAAAGCTGCAGCCAGGGCCAAGATCATTCGTGCGGTTCTTACAGCCAATGTGGCGGCATACTTCTCCTCTGTGGAGACAACTTGTAAGTCACCTCTCACGCAAATCCTGGCCTTGTATTTGATGAGAAAGCCGTCCTCATCAAACTTGTAAGTGAATATCCAAGTAAGAGGCAAAATCTGCCTTCTTTCAAGGTTGGTTTATAATCTGCTTGATGTCATCGACCTCGAACTCAGCAGCACCTGGTAGCGCGATTAATAGCCTTGAACCTTTGCGGCAAGTGCTCTAGACCGATGTCTTCGGTTGACATTGAGAAGATCACTGGTTCAAAGTGTTACTTGTAGGGCTGCCCAGCGCCCTCGATTACTTCGGCGCCCCAACAGGCATCGATGAGCTTCCAGCGGCCACCGTCAATCTTGGCGGCCTTCCAGGCGTAGTTGCTGCTGTAGGGGAGCACACTCCGAGGGAGAATAAACTGTGTCTTGTGGCGTGCGTTGCGAGTCTCAAGCCAGTCAAGGCAATTGTTGACTGTTGACTCGTTCAGTCTCCTGCAAGTCCGGTACTGGGGCAGCTTGGCTTCATGGGACGGACAACAAGTCCCGCAGTCCCGCAGCTACCGCTGGTGGCACTGCTGATGCGAATAAAGGTTGGCGTCATACATTGCCCCAGATAAATAGAGCTCCCCTCTTCGTGATCACTGATCTAAGTAACACTTAGCGTGGATGACCTATTTCCCACAGGTTTGTAGGAGGAAAAATCTAGTCTCTGTGCTCTTGTTGTTCGATCAAGCCCATGACATGGGCGAGAAACCGCTTTCTTCGCTTGCTCTTGCACAGACCAGGAATCCGGTGAGTTGTGTGGCGGATATAGATGCTAAGAAGGTATGAGGCATTTGTGTTACGATCTAGGCTTAGGGTCTTTTCTCTTAGTGTATGCGAGATGGGGGATTTGAATATGGAATCGTGAATTCAACTAGCTAGTTGCAGGCGAGTTTTCCATCACCAGTTTTGCTGATGAGGATATTCTCGATCTTCAGATCGCGATGTATGCTGCTGCGGTGACAATAAGTCCAACTGTCCAACGCGCTGACAATCCGTTCACTGAGTTTCGACTTTCGAGTCTCTTCCAAGACATATGTTAACCAAGAATAGAGGCAGACAGTAAGCTATGTACATGCATTCCATCGTACCAGGCAGCGAGAACGTCAAAGATGCAGAAGTCAAAGAAACAATCCCTACCCGTCCTTGCCTGCATTCTCAGGCACCCGAGTCACAACTATCATGAGTCACGACTCACGCCTAACAATCACTTTGCTGGCACTTTTGACCGCAAATATGCTTGAACTCAGCTGGCTCCGACTCCCAGCGCAATAGACCGGAACCGAGAAGCAGCCATGGCAAGATACGAGCAGGCTGTAGCAAGAGCTCGGCTGAGGGAAGGAGCCCGTCTCAGTCAGACCATTCCAACTTCCGCTCGTTAGGGCCGAAACATCACCACCCCGCCAATTATTCCTTTCCCACTCCACACGCTCCACACCTGAGCTTGGTGGAGGCCTTCGGGAAGTCTTCAACCAACATGGGATTCATCAACCCCAGGTGGCTACAATATCAACAGGGAATCATGGGGTGAGTGATTGGTCGTATTCCATGTTTCTCGACCGTTCGGAGCTCCTTTGAGACCTGACTTGTGAGTTTGCTGGAACCCCACTGTCCTTTGCAGGTCTATCCGGAATTAACATCATCTGCAGCGGCGCAGTCAGCGCCCGACTTGCTAACAAGGCTCAAGTCTCTTGGCACATGTCTGGAGCTTTGACGCCAGTCGATGGATCCAGATGTTCCATCGCCAACCGTCGCGAGGCACTATCCCCAGATTGCCTAAGTAGTCAACCATAGGGCAGTGCCAGCCACGCACGAAACACTATCCGAAGACGACTGAGCGGTCAGCGGTAAAGTAGCGACATCTCTATCACGAACATGGGTTGGAGCCTAGTTTGCAGCTTCGCAGCATCATCGGCTATAGCCCAGTCATCAACCGGGACAACCTCGTCCACCATTTACACCGATGAGACGGACGGACAGAGGTTGTTAATATTGGCGAGGGACGGGGTGGAACTGAAGGAAGACGTTCACGGCTTTGTTTTCCGGACAAACCTCTCCGCAACAGATATCCCAGTTGGTCATAGCGCCATCAACCAGGGAGCTGCATCAAACCGTCCCGGTAGACAGAGGGTCGGCAGAGTCACTTTGGCAGCTGCACCAGGATGTTGTTTGGGTGATGGGGCGCTCTGCTTTCTTCAGCTCTTGGAGCCATGCTGGGTGTCCTCGTCGTACTCTGCAATATCTTTCACCAACCGCTGGTACGCATCACTCTTCTTCCAGGCAGCGGTTAACTCATCCGGGGTCCGGGAGGCCATGTCCTTGATGTTGATTTCCTCTGCATGGAGAGGGTCAAGGAATGCGGCAAGAGTATTGTGGTTGGTAGATCGGCAGACGCTACCACCGAGCATCCATTGTTGGCGTAGTATGTTGACCGGGTAGTCTCAATCAATCTCAAGAGACTGAGGACCAGTACTCTTCTTGCAGATTGCGTTGATGAGCTGGGACGGGATGATGCCCACACCATCGATGCGACCGTGACCCAACGGTGCTCATCAAGAAGGGGGCACTATCGGGAAGAAGGAGTAAGTATTGAGATCCCACAGATGGACTTAGGTCATTGTCGGACGAGTGCCCATCACTTACTATGCATAGCCTTTTGCCGATTCTCAAGGATCTCAACGGCACTCGACCTCCATTGGAGGTTGTTTGAGATGTGTCCCTTCGAGGCTGCGAGCAACCGGAGCTCCGTTCTTTGTGGACGATCGGGAAGGAAAGAGAGGACAGAGAGGCAACGATGCCTCATCAGTCTCTGTGTCGTCTGCAGTCATCAGCATCAACTGTCGTCATGGAGACGGGGTGACGCATTAAAGAGATGAGATGAGGTGAAAGGGATGAAGAGATGAAAAGTGGTGGAAAGAGATGGCGGGATGCTTACCAACAGACGAGGGGTCAAGTCCCCCTCGAGGCAGCGAGGCCGCCGAGGGAAGCATGCGCCTGGGGCCCTTCCCCTGCTACTCGGACGTCATCAGGCGCCTCATGAACCGATTCCGCAGAGGAAATGGCCCAGAAACCTTGTTGTGCCAGGTATAAGGATTGTGGATTGTTCGGAGGATGAAGGTTGATGGGGGATCGATTGAGAAAGGAGAATATATAGTGAGAGAGAGGAGAGGGCACGACTAAGCACGCGACACATGATGAGACCAGCAAACCGGAAGAGGAACCATGGGGAGCACTGAATATGGCAACCTGGAACGGCATAAGCGCCTGCTATGCTTAAGGCGAGTGCATTGGACAGTTGTGTCACATTGTGCCGTGGGCTTCCGTTGCGGCTCGCACTTAACGACGACATCATATCCATTGGCCTCCGTGTTCAGTATCTGCCTAAACGACACATGGGATTATGAAGTGTCCTGAGCTGACTGGTGGGTCTGCTGATCAATTGAGACCAACTACAAGAGTCATGCAATTCTTTCAGTCATGACTATTGACTTAGGACAATGTGAAATGTGTCCCGATGAGTTGTGGGGTGCACTTTTCGTGCTGACATCCATGTCAAACTGAAGTAGAAGCTGAAAGACGGCTCGGCAGAGCACTCAGACCAGCCGCGTGGTAAGCCGCAGACCAGCCGCAGACCGGACGGGGAAATCAGTCGTTTGATCCATGGTGAATGCGTCAAACGACATTCTACATGCTGCAGGGGCAAATCCCGGCTTGTATAATTACTCCTTGGTTCCTCGACAACTGATATATATACACAATTCGTCCATATTAGCCGCCTGGGTATCGCTTCGCCTTAGTAGGTAGTCGAGTGGTGCGAGTCGCAATCGATGGACTTCGAAGGGCGCCAAAGCCTCGTGTGGTGTCGACGCGTCTGGAAGCTCTAATTACCACACTCAACGGGTGTATACTATGAGGTATATTTTGTTTCAGGGCTTAACTAGTGGAAATATATTGGGATTCCTAAATAATTGAACATAACCCGAACAGGTGCCCATTGGCGGACGTTGATATCGGATCAGCCAACTCAGCCGGGTCCGAGTTCTGGGACATGCGGACCGTGAGCTGAGAGGCGTAGGGGAAAGGTACAGTGAGAAAATTGATAGAAAGTTGATGTGATAAAGGTGATCGATAGAATGGTAAACTGCTAGGCCTCGACAACGTCGAAAAACGCGAAAAAGAAGAAAAACTTTCAGAAATTGCTTTGAATCGCTTTGATCTTTCTTCCTGATGCCTGAATCTGATGCACAGGACATGCTACCATTGTTAGGCCAAGATGGAAGAAGATGATATTTCTGTCTGATGATCTATGGGCCTATGAGGGGCAGTCGGTCACCTGACGGTGACTGACGTCCTGTCCCCCAACACTGGTGCTGCAAAGGGGGCGCGGGCGCGGCGCCAGCCCGCCTGATCTGGTCCTCGAGTTGTGTCACTCGGTGGATCAGCACCGTCATGTTCGCTTCCATCGCCTCGATCCGTCCCTCGTGGCGGACGAGGGTCTCTTGGAGCAGTTGCCTGACAAAGCTCGCCGGGACATCGAGGAACTCGCTACCTGCCGCGGGGACCTCGGTGGCCTCATCGGGGTTGACATTGCTGGTTGCGGGGGCCGTGGCACTGATTGCGGCTGGAGCTGCTGGTGTTGGTACTTGCGCCCGCGCAGCTCGCGAGCGACGCGGTTTGGCTTCCGACAGACCCCACTGCCCGGGAAAGGCACAGCGAAGGGCACGATAAAGGTCATAGAGGCCGGATATGGCCCCCTCCTTCGGCTGCTGTTGGACTTGAATTGGCAGCATCTTGAAGTCGGCGCTCATTTGCTTTCTGAGCATCTTCTGGGCATTGCACCGCTTCAGCAACGCGTCAGCCGGGGCACCCTTGTTCACGAAGGCAGGCTGCACTCGGTCGTGGATCCGTTGTATGCACTGCACAACTTGGACTTTCGTGCCATCGTCATTGATTTGGAGAGTGCGCGAATACTGATCGACGGCTTGGGGCTTCATGTTCGCCTTTTGTCTACCTGTGGCTTCGCCAAACAGGATAGATCGAGCTGGCCGTTGGCTATTGGCAAGCAGTGCTGGCATCTGTCGCGTTCCGACCCCTGGTCAAAATGTTCTGGTCCACATACGACGCGCAGTTCGGCAGGTAGGCAGCAGAAGGGCTTGAACCCAGCCCGGAGCTGGAAGATCGTGTGGGCATCGATGTGGTACTAATATTTCCCAGGGTTGATCTGGATATGTCAGTCTTAACTCCCAAGTGAAGAGGCGTGGGGATGGGAAGAGTGGACTCCGTGTAATTCGCTGTCTTACATTTCACACTGGAGGCAGGTATGTTGAATGAACACGGTGGGTTTTGGTGAGTGACGCGTTCTTCCAACCTTCTAAGAACAGGGAAGACAAGGTGGATGGTGTCAATGAAGATAAAACGCGAGAAAACGTGAGAAAGGATGGCCAAAGAGAGAACCAACGATGCTTGGAAAGTTCAAGAATGAAAGGAGAAGAGGCACCAGCACAGCGACTTAAATAGCTTCCAGAGAGATGGAACCCAGGAACGATCGGTCACGGGCCTTTGGTCACGTTTGGTCACGAGCCTTCCATAGCAATGGAACACGAGGCTATTCCCACGTTCATTTTGGGGAATGGGCGACGGCGCTGCCTCAAAAGGTCGAATACCCTCAAATTAATCACCAGGTTGCGTCTGGTCTTCAAACTATTCCCTGAACCATGTCTATTATTATCTATAACCTCCAGAAGAATGTTGATATGGCTCGACTACTAACAAGAGATCATACAGCCCAGGTTTGGTCAAAGGGATAGTGTAACTGCCAACTGGCAACTGGTGCCGGTACTTGTTTGCACACTTTGCACTGCTGCCGGTACTCCCATGTTTCTTCAGGCTTCTGATAGATTGCATCATTTTACCTCAGCATGCTCAGACCAAACATTATTAGTCACTCTGGGTCATGTGCAGTCACATGACATATCTAACCAAATTAGGTAACGTTAGGTCCAAATCAAATGTTTGGTCTGAGGGACTTTTTGACCGCCTATTTAGAAGGATCGGGGGAAAACCACGAAACGAGCCTCTCTCTTTGAACCATAAGATCTCGACCACCACGTCGATTTTCTTCTCAAAACTTGGCCTCCAGCGTCTTCTCCTTTATCTTTATTACTCTATACACTATCAACCATGTCTGAGCTAAGGCCGTCGAGATCGAAGCGTCCGCGCTCGACCCAAAATCGCGGGGAAGACACAATATAGCCATGTAGATGCCCGATAAAACGCAACATTGCTCACCAGCACGTTCAAGCATAACACTCACGTTCTAGGAGGCGTGGAAACTTCAAAATAGTAGCAAAGTAATTGTCCAGTTCGCATTTATGACGCTTGTAAGATTGAAGATGGCCAGCTCTGTGGTTGTTGAGAAGGTTGAGATCGAAATTCACACACCAAAGGAGCGGTCAAGCTGTTGGTCGATATTTCTTGGCAAAATTTCAAAATATCTCTCAGACGAAACGTCTGAGCTGAACCAACTTGGTTAGGCAGGTCATGTGAGCATTACCCAGCGAATCATGCTTCGTCTGAGCATGCTGAGGTAATGCATCATTTGCATCTGGTCTAGCCGAATTGAATCAAGTTTGTCTTCAGCCCTTTACAGATTATGGATAGAGCTTAATCTCCAGGTCACAAGCCGTCAAGCCCTGGTGAAGCCCATAGTCACGGCCCCACGGGCGCATATGAGATCAACCAAAAACCGATCGATGGCTGTTTGGCTTGATTGGACCAATTCAGCCACCGTTTCGCTTAGCCCATCACCAATCACCGACCCTAACCGACGTCGTTTTTTCTCTTGGCCTTTTACCCACATATCTCTCTCTGACCCCATGTTCTACCCCATATTCGTACCCATGTCCGACTGCAGAGCCCCACCAACCACATGGACCCTTTGTCGACTGCGCGACGGAAGATTAAGAATACTCGGGTGCTCACCACATGCGACGCCTGTCGTATAAGCAAGACTCGATGCGACTCGGCACGTCCAGTGTGTGCTAAGTGTGTCCAGCGGGGTGTAACTTGCGAGTATCCGGAGACGGATGCCCTCTCAGTGTCGGTCCCCATAGAGCTTCTTCCATTAGGGCATCTAATAACCACCAATTTCATCTAAAGACTAGATACTTGGAGCAGAAAAGTCCTAGAGGCAGTAGAACGTCAAGGGCGTCTTCTATCAGAAGGCCTGTCTTTGAATAGGGGGATCCTCCTCAGGCACCCCTTTTCTCGCAGCAGGCGTCGCCATCCCCAGTGGACGAAATAGATCCCGAATCAATCTCGCGAAGCGATGCGCTCAAAACGCCGATTACCGACCCCGACATGATTCTCAGCTGGACGATTTTCCCGCAAGTTAGGTCCATATCGACAT